GCAGGGCCAAAGGGACGCTTCTCGAGGTGAGGCAGGGCACCCAAGGACCCTTTCCAGTAGCCACAGGGATTTTGGGATTCCTATCAGTATTCAAGAGGAGTCAGGCATCGTCACCTTTTGAAGCAATGAACTCCGCGTGCCTCTCGAGGTGTCAGCGGGATGTGAGGCATTCCGTCAAAATGAGGCAGGGACCTAGGGCTTTCTCTAAGGTCTCCACAGGGGATTCAGACATCCCTTCATGTTGTGAGATGAAAGACGAGCCTGTATTCAAGCCACTGCAAGGAAATCCGGCCTCCTTTCAAGTTAGGGCTTCTCGCTGTATATTCCCCTTGAGGCAGCAAACTCGGGGTCCCTCCCACATACCTATTGCTGAGAGAAGCCTCCTCCTGAGGTGCTTCTGGGAAGTTGGCATACGTCTTGAGCCTAAGCCAGGGAATCAGCTCGCATCTCGAGACGATTTGGGGTACACGGAGCATTCCTCGAGTTGCTGTGCTGAAGTTGCTGTTCCTCTAGACTTGGGACAGTGTTCTCGGGGCATCTCTGGAGTTGCCTGAAGGAAGTCGAGCCACCGGTCGTGTTGAATGGGGAACGGGGAATGGCTCTGGAGTCAATGCAGGGGAATCGGGCCTCATCTCGAGTTGATTTGGGGCACATGGAGCTGCTTTGCGTTGCTGGGGTGACCTCAGGGTCCGTCTAGACTGGTGACAGTGTTCTTGGGGACTGTCTCGAGATCCATTAAGCAAGTCGAAGCTCCTGACTTGTTTGAATGGGGTCACGGAATAGCTCTGCATGCACTGCAGGGGAATGGGGCCTCATCTCGCCTCTAGGGGGAAGTCTCATGGTTTTTCTCGAGTTGCGGCGGGGACCTGGGGTATGTTCTCGACTTACGGCGGGGATGGCCCTTCAAAACACGAGTTTCTTCAGTGACGTCAGGACTCCTGTCTAGTAACGAGGGACACCTCAGGAATCTCTTCGAGGCTTGGCAGGGCCAAAGGGACGCTTCTCGAGGTGAGGCAGGGCACCCAAGGACCCTTTCCAGTAGCCACAGGGATTTTGGGATTCCTATCAGTATTCAAGAGGAGTCAGGCATCGTCACCTTTTGAAGCAATGAACTCCGCGTGCCTCTCGAGGTGTCAGCGGGATGTGAGGCATTCCGTCAAAATGAGGCAGGGACCTAGGGCTTTCTCTAAGGTCTCCACAGGGGATTCAGACATCCCTTCATGTTGTGAGATGAAAGACGAGCCTGTATTCAAGCCACTGCAAGGAAATCCGGCCTCCTTTCAAGTTAGGGCTTCTCGCTGTATATTCCCCTTGAGGCAGCAAACTCGGGGTCCCTCCCACATACCTATTGCTGAGAGAAGCCTCCTCCTGAGGTGCTTCTGGGAAGTTGGCATACGTCTTGAGCCTAAGCCAGGGAATCAGCTCGCATCTCGAGACGATTTGGGGTACACGGAGCATTCCTCGAGTTGCTGTGCTGAAGTTGCTGTTCCTCTAGACTTGGGACAGTGTTCTCGGGGCATCTCTGGAGTTGCCTGAAGGAAGTCGAGCCACCGGTCGTGTTGAATGGGGAACGGGGAATGGCTCTGGAGTCAATGCAGGGGAATCGGGCCTCATCTCGAGTTGATTTGGGGCACATGGAGCTGCTTTGCGTTGCTGGGGTGACCTCAGGGTCCGTCTAGACTGGTGACAGTGTTCTTGGGGACTGTCTCGAGATCCATTAAGCAAGTCGAAGCTCCTGACTTGTTTGAATGGGGTCACGGAATAGCTCTGCATGCACTGCAGGGGAATGGGGCCTCATCTCGCCTCTAGGGGGAAGTCTCATGGTTTTTCTCGAGTTGCGGCGGGGACCTGGGGTATGTTCTCGACTTACGGCGGGGATGGCCCTTCAAAACACGAGTTTCTTCAGTGACGTCAGGACTCCTGTCTAGTAACGAGGGACACCTCAGGAATCTCTTCGAGGCTTGGCAGGGCCAAAGGGACGCTTCTCGAGGTGAGGCAGGGCACCCAAGGACCCTTTCCAGTAGCCACAGGGATTTTGGGATTCCTATCAGTATTCAAGAGGAGTCAGGCATCGTCACCTTTTGAAGCAATGAACTCCGCGTGCCTCTCGATGTGTCAGCGGGATGTGAGGCATTCCGTCAAAATGAGGCAGGGACCTAGGGCTTTCTCTAAGGTCTCCACAGGGGATTCAGACATCCCTTCATGTTGTGAGATGAAAGACGAGCCTGTATTCAAGCCACTGCAAGGAAATCCGGCCTCCTTTCAAGTTAGGGCTTCTCGCTGTATATTCCCCTTGAGGCAGCAAACTCGGGGTCCCTCCCACATACCTATTGCTGAGAGAAGCCTCCTCCTGAGGTGCTTCTGGGAAGTTGGCATACGTCTTGAGCCTAAGCCAGGGAATCAGCTCGCATCTCGAGACGATTTGGGGTACACGGAGCATTCCTCGAGTTGCTGTGCTGAAGTTGGTGTTCCTCTAGACTTGGGACAGTGTTCTCGGGGCATCTCTGGAGTTGCCTGAAGGAAGTCGAGCCACCGGTCGTGTTGAATGGGGAACGGGGAATGGCTCTGGAGTCAATGCAGGGGAATCGGGCCTCATCTCGAGTTGATTTGGGGCACATGGAGCTGCTTTGCGTTGCTGGGGTGACCTCAGGGTCCGTCTAGACTGGTGACAGTGTTCTTGGGGACTGTCTCGAGATCCATTAAGCAAGTCGAAGCTCCTGACTTGTTTGAATGGGGTCACGGAATAGCTCTGCATGCACTGCAGGGGAATGGGGCCTCATCTCGCCTCTAGGGGGAAGTCTCGTGGTTTTCCTCGAGTTGCGGCGGGGACCTGGGGTATTTTCTCGACTTACGGCGGGGATGGCCCTTCAAAACACGAGTTTCTTCACTGACGTCAGGACTCCTGTCTAGTAACGAGGGACACCTCAGGAATCTCTTCGAGGCTTGGCAGGGCCAAAGGGACGCTTCTCGAGGTGAGGCAGGGCACCCAAGGACCCTTTCCAGTAGCCACAGGGATTTTGGGATTCCTATCAGTATTCAAGAGGAGTCAGGCATCGTCACCTTTTGAAGCAATGAACTCCGCGTGCCTCTCGAGGTGTCAGCGGGATGTGAGGCATTCCGTCAAAATGAGGCAGGGACCTAGGGCTTTCTCTAAGGTCTCCACAGGGGATTCAGACATCCCTTCATGTTGTGAGATGAAAGACGAGCCTGTATTCAAGCCACTGCAAGGAAATCCGGCCTCCTTTCAAGTTAGGGCTTCTCGCTGTATATTCCCCTTGAGGCAGCAAACTCGGGGTCCCTCCCACATACCTATTGCTGAGAGAAGCCTCCTCCTGAGGTGCTTCTGGGAAGTTGGCATAAGTCTTGAGCCTAAGCCAGGGAATCAGCTCGCATCTCGAGACGATTTGGGGTACACGGAGCATTCCTCGAGTTGCTGTGCTGAAGTTGCTGTTCCTCTAGACTTGGGACAGTGTTCTCGGGGCATCTCTGGAGTTGCCTGAAGGAAGTCGAGCCACCGGTCGTGTTGAATGGGGAACGGGGAATGGCTCTGGAGTCAATGCAGGGGAATCGGGCCTCATCTCGAGTTGATTTGGGGCACATGGAGCTGCTTTGCGTTGCTGGGGTGACCTCAGGGTCCGTCTAGACTGGTGACAGTGTTCTTGGGGACTGTCTCGAGATCCATTAAGCAAGTCGAAGCTCCTGACTTGTTTGAATGGGGTCACGGAATAGCTCTGCATGCACTGCAGGGGAATGGGGCCTCATCTCGCCTCTAGGGGGAAGTCTCGTGGTTTTCCTCGAGTTGCGGCGGGGACCTGGGGTATGTTCTCGACTTACGGCGGGGATGGCCCTTCAAAACACGAGTTTCTTCAGTGACGTCAGGACTCCTGTCTAGTAACGAGGGACACCTCAGGAATCTCTTCGAGGCTTGGCAGGGCCAAAGGGACGCTTCTCGAGGTGAGACAGGGCACCCAAGGACCCTTTCCAGTAGCCACAGGGATTTTGGGATTCCTATCAGTATTCAAGAGGAGTCAGGCATCGTCACCTTTTGAAGCAATGAACTCCGCGTGCCTCTCGAGGTGTCAGCGGGATGTGAGGCATTCCGTCAAAATGAGGCAGGGACCTAGGGCTTTCTCTAAGGTCTCCACAGGGGATTCAGACATCCCTTCATGTTGTGAGATGAAAGACGAGCCTGTATTCAAGCCACTGCAAGGAAATCCGGCCTCCTTTCAAGTTAGGGCTTCTCGCTGCATCTTCCCCTTGAGGCAGCAAACTCGGGGTCCCTCCCACATACCTATTGCTGAGAGAAGCCTCCTCCTGAGGTGCTTCTGGGAAGTTGGCATACGTCTTGAGCCTAAGCCAGGGAATCAGCTCGCATCTCGAGACGATTTGGGGTACACGGAGCATTCCTCGAGTTGCTGTGCTGAAGTTGGTGTTCCTCTAGACTTGGGACAGTGTTCTCGGGGCATCTCTGGAGTTGCCTGAAGGAAGTCGAGCCACCGGTCGTGTTGAATGGGGAACGGGGAATGGCTCTGGAGTCAATGCAGGGGAATCGGGCCTCATCTCGAGTTGATTTGGGGCACATGGAGCTGCTTTGCGTTGCTGGGGTGACCTCAGGGTCCGTCTAGACTGGTGACAGTGTTCTTGGGGACTGTCTCGAGATCCATTAAGCAAGTCGAAGCTCCTGACTTGTTTGAATGGGATCACGGAATAGCTCTGCATGCACTGCAGGGGAATGGGGCCTCATCTCGCCTCTAGGGGGAAGTCTCATGGTTTTTCTCGAGTTGCGGCGGGGACCTGGGGTATGTTCTCGACTTACGGCGGGGATGGCCCTTCAAAACACGAGTTTCTTCAGTGACGTCAGGACTCCTGTCTAGTAACGAGGGACACCTCAGGAATCTCTTCGAGGCTTGGCAGGGCCAAAGGGACGCTTCTCGAGGTGAGGCAGGGCACCCAAGGACCCTTTTTAGTAGCCACAGGGATTTTGGGATTCCTATCAGTATTCAAGAGGAGTCAGGCATCGTCACCTTTTGAAGCAATGAACTCCGCGTGCCTCTCGAGGTGTCAGCGGGATGTGAGGCATTCCGTCAAAATGAGGCAGGGACCTAGGGCTTTCTCTAAGGTCTCCACAGGGGATTCAGACATCCCTTCATGTTGTGAGATGAAAGACGAGCCTGTATTCAAGCCACTGCAAGGAAATCCGGCCTCCTTTCAAGTTAGGGCTTCTCGCTGTATATTCCCCTTGAGGCAGCAAACTCGGGGTCCCTCCCACATACCTATTGCTGAGAGAAGCCTCCTCCTGAGGTGCTTCTGGGAAGTTGGCATACGTCTTGAGCCTAAGCCAGGGAATCAGCTCGCATCTCGAGACGATTTGGGGTACACGGAGCATTCCTCGAGTTGCTGTGCTGAAGTTGCTGTTCCTCTAGACTTGGGACAGTGTTCTCGGGGCATCTCTGGAGTTGCCTGAAGGAAGTCGAGCCACCGGTCGTGTTGAATGGGGAACGGGGAATGGCTCTGGAGTCAATGCAGGGGAATCGGGCCTCATCTCGAGTTGATTTGGGGCACATGGAGCTGCTTTTCGTTGCTGGGGTGACCTCAGGGTCCGTCTAGACTGGTGACAGTGTTCTTGGGGACTGTCTCGAGATCCATTAAGCAAGTCGAAGCTCCTGACTTGTTTGAATGGGGTCACGGAATAGCTCTGCATGCACTGCAGGGGAATGGGGCCTCATCTCGCCTCTAGGGGGAAGTCTCGTGGTTTTCCTCGAGTTGCGGCGGGGACCTGGGGTATGTTCTCGACTTACGGCGGGGATGGCCCTTCAAAACACGAGTTTCTTCAGTGACGTCAGGACTCCTGTCTAGTAACGAGGGACACCTCAGGAATCTCTTCGAGGCTTGGCAGGGCCAAAGGGACGCTTCTCGAGGTGAGGCAGGGCACCCAAGGACCCTTTCCAGTAGCCACAGGGATTTTGGGATTCCTATCAGTATTCAAGAGGAGTCAGGCATCGTCACCTTTTGAAGCAATGAACTCCGCGTGCCTCTCGAGGTGTCAGCGGGATGTGAGGCATTCCGTCAAAATGAGGCAGGGACCTAGGGCTTTCTCTAAGGTCTCCACAGGGGATTCAGACATCCCTTCATGTTGTGAGATGAAAGACGAGCCTGTATTCAAGCCACTGCAAGGAAATCCGGCCTCCTTTCAAGTTAGGGCTTCTCGCTGTATATTCCCCTTGAGGCAGCAAACTCGGGGTCCCTCCCACATACCTATTGCTGAGAGAAGCCTCCTCCTGAGGTGCTTCTGGGAAGTTGGCATACGTCTTGAGCCTAAGCCAGGGAATCAGCTCGCATCTCGAGACGATTTGGGGTACACGGAGCATTCCTCGAGTTGCTGTGCTGAAGTTGCTGTTCCTCTAGACTTGGGACAGTGTTCTCGGGGCATCTCTGGAGTTGCCTGAAGGAAGTCGAGCCACCGGTCGTGTTGAATGGGGAACGGGGAATGGCTCTGGAGTCAATGCAGGGGAATCGGGCCTCATCTCGAGTTGATTTGGGGCACATGGAGCTGCTTTGCGTTGCTGGGGTGACCTCAGGGTCCGTCTAGACTGGTGACAGTGTTCTTGGGGACTGTCTCGAGATCCATTAAGCAAGTCGAAGCTCCTGACTTGTTTGAATGGGGTCACGGAATAGCTCTGCATGCACTGCAGGGGAATGGGGCCTCATCTCGCCTCTAGGGGGAAGTCTCATGGTTTTTCTCGAGTTGCGGCGGGGACCTGGGGTATGTTCTCGACTTACGGCGGGGATGGCCCTTCAAAACACGAGTTTCTTCAGTGACGTCAGGACTCCTGTCTAGTAACGAGGGACACCTCAGGAATCTCTTCGAGGCTTGGCAGGGCCAAAGGGACGCTTCTCGAGGTGAGGCAGGGCACCCAAGGACCCTTTCCAGTAGCCACAGGGATTTTGGGATTCCTATCAGTATTCAAGAGGAGTCAGGCATCGTCACCTTTTGAAGCAATGAACTCCGCGTGCCTCTCGAGGTGTCAGCGGGATGTGAGGCATTCCGTCAAAATGAGGCAGGGACCTAGGGCTTTCTCTAAGGTCTCCACAGGGGATTCAGACATCCCTTCATGTTGTGAGATGAAAGACGAGCCTGTATTCAAGCCACTGCAAGGAAATCCGGCCTCCTTTCAAGTTAGGGCTTCTCGCTGTATATTCCCCTTGAGGCAGCAAACTCGGGGTCCCTCCCACATACCTATTGCTGAGAGAAGCCTCCTCCTGAGGTGCTTCTGGGAAGTTGGCATACGTCTTGAGCCTAAGCCAGGGAATCAGCTCGCATCTCGAGACGATTTGGGGTACACGGAGCATTCCTCGAGTTGCTGTGCTGAAGTTGCTGTTCCTCTAGACTTGGGACAGTGTTCTCGGGGCATCTCTGGAGTTGCCTGAAGGAAGTCGAGCCACCGGTCGTGTTGAATGGGGAACGGGGAATGGCTCTGGAGTCAATGCAGGGGAATCGGGCCTCATCTCGAGTTGATTTGGGGCACATGGAGCTGCTTTGCGTTGCTGGGGTGACCTCAGGGTCCGTCTAGACTGGTGACAGTGTTCTTGGGGACTGTCTCGAGATCCATTAAGCAAGTCGAAGCTCCTGACTTGTTTGAATGGGGTCACGGAATAGCTCTGCATGCACTGCAGGGGAATGGGGCCTCATCTCGCCTCTAGGGGGAAGTCTCATGGTTTTTCTCGAGTTGCGGCGGGGACCTGGGGTATGTTCTCGACTTACGGCGGGGATGGCCCTTCAAAACACGAGTTTCTTCAGTGACGTCAGGACTCCTGTCTAGTAACGAGGGACACCTCAGGAATCTCTTCGAGGCTTGGCAGGGCCAAAGGGACGCTTCTCGAGGTGAGGCAGGGCACCCAAGGACCCTTTCCAGTAGCCACAGGGATTTTGGGATTCCTATCAGTATTCAAGAGGAGTCAGGCATCGTCACCTTTTGAAGCAATGAACTCCGCGTGCCTCTCGATGTGTCAGCGGGATGTGAGGCATTCCGTCAAAATGAGGCAGGGACCTAGGGCTTTCTCTAAGGTCTCCACAGGGGATTCAGACATCCCTTCATGTTGTGAGATGAAAGACGAGCCTGTATTCAAGCCACTGCAAGGAAATCCGGCCTCCTTTCAAGTTAGGGCTTCTCGCTGTATATTCCCCTTGAGGCAGCAAACTCGGGGTCCCTCCCACATACCTATTGCTGAGAGAAGCCTCCTCCTGAGGTGCTTCTGGGAAGTTGGCATAAGTCTTGAGCCTAAGCCAGGGAATCAGCTCGCATCTCGAGACGATTTGGGGTACACGGAGCATTCCTCGAGTTGCTGTGCTGAAGTTGCTGTTCCTCTAGACTTGGGACAGTGTTCTCGGGGCATCTCTGGAGTTGCCTGAAGGAAGTCGAGCCACCGGTCGTGTTGAATGGGGAACGGGGAATGGCTCTGGAGTCAATGCAGGGGAATCGGGCCTCATCTCGAGTTGATTTGGGGCACATGGAGCTGCTTTGCGTTGCTGGGGTGACCTCAGGGTCCGTCTAGACTGGTGACAGTGTTCTTGGGGACTGTCTCGAGATCCATTAAGCAAGTCGAAGCTCCTGACTTGTTTGAATGGGGTCACGGAATAGCTCTGCATGCACTGCAGGGGAATGGGGCCTCATCTCGCCTCTAGGGGGAAGTCTCGTGGTTTTCCTCGAGTTGCGGCGGGGACCTGGGGTATGTTCTCGACTTACGGCGGGGATGGCCCTTCAAAACACGAGTTTCTTCAGTGACGTCAGGACTCCTGTCTAGTAACGAGGGACACCTCAGGAATCTCTTCGAGGCTTGGCAGGGCCAAAGGGACGCTTCTCGAGGTGAGACAGGGCACCCAAGGACCCTTTCCAGTAGCCACAGGGATTTTGGGATTCCTATCAGTATTCAAGAGGAGTCAGGCATCGTCACCTTTTGAAGCAATGAACTCCGCGTGCCTCTCGAGGTGTCAGCGGGATGTGAGGCATTCCGTCAAAATGAGGCAGGGACCTAGGGCTTTCTCTAAGGTCTCCACAGGGGATTCAGACATCCCTTCATGTTGTGAGATGAAAGACGAGCCTGTATTCAAGCCACTGCAAGGAAATCCGGCCTCCTTTCAAGTTAGGGCTTCTCGCTGCATCTTCCCCTTGAGGCAGCAAACTCGGGGTCCCTCCCACATACCTATTGCTGAGAGAAGCCTCCTCCTGAGGTGCTTCTGGGAAGTTGGCATACGTCTTGAGCCTAAGCCAGGGAATCAGCTCGCATCTCGAGACGATTTGGGGTACACGGAGCATTCCTCGAGTTGCTGTGCTGAAGTTGGTGTTCCTCTAGACTTGGGACAGTGTTCTCGGGGCATCTCTGGAGTTGCCTGAAGGAAGTCGAGCCACCGGTCGTGTTGAATGGGGAACGGGGAATGGCTCTGGAGTCAATGCAGGGGAATCGGGCCTCATCTCGAGTTGATTTGGGGCACATGGAGCTGCTTTGCGTTGCTGGGGTGACCTCAGGGTCCGTCTAGACTGGTGACAGTGTTCTTGGGGACTGTCTCGAGATCCATTAAGCAAGTCGAAGCTCCTGACTTGTTTGAATGGGATCACGGAATAGCTCTGCATGCACTGCAGGGGAATGGGGCCTCATCTCGCCTCTAGGGGGAAGTCTCATGGTTTTTCTCGAGTTGCGGCGGGGACCTGGGGTATGTTCTCGACTTACGGCGGGGATGGCCCTTCAAAACACGAGTTTCTTCAGTGACGTCAGGACTCCTGTCTAGTAACGAGGGACACCTCAGGAATCTCTTCGAGGCTTGGCAGGGCCAAAGGGACGCTTCTCGAGGTGAGGCAGGGCACCCAAGGACCCTTTTTAGTAGCCACAGGGATTTTGGGATTCCTATCAGTATTCAAGAGGAGTCAGGCATCGTCACCTTTTGAAGCAATGAACTCCGCGTGCCTCTCGAGGTGTCAGCGGGATGTGAGGCATTCCGTCAAAATGAGGCAGGGACCTAGGGCTTTCTCTAAGGTCTCCACAGGGGATTCAGACATCCCTTCATGTTGTGAGATGAAAGACGAGCCTGTATTCAAGCCACTGCAAGGAAATCCGGCCTCCTTTCAAGTTAGGGCTTCTCGCTGTATATTCCCCTTGAGGCAGCAAACTCGGGGTCCCTCCCACATACCTATTGCTGAGAGAAGCCTCCTCCTGAGGTGCTTCTGGGAAGTTGGCATACGTCTTGAGCCTAAGCCAGGGAATCAGCTCGCATCTCGAGACGATTTGGGGTACACGGAGCATTCCTCGAGTTGCTGTGCTGAAGTTGCTGTTCCTCTAGACTTGGGACAGTGTTCTCGGGGCATCTCTGGAGTTGCCTGAAGGAAGTCGAGCCACCGGTCGTGTTGAATGGGGAACGGGGAATGGCTCTGGAGTCAATGCAGGGGAATCGGGCCTCATCTCGAGTTGATTTGGGGCACATGGAGCTGCTTTGCGTTGCTGGGGTGACCTCAGGGTCCGTCTAGACTGGTGACAGTGTTCTTGGGGACTGTCTCGAGATCCATTAAGCAAGTCGAAGCTCCTGACTTGTTTGAATGGGGTCACGGAATAGCTCTGCATGCACTGCAGGGGAATGGGGCCTCATCTCGCCTCTAGGGGGAAGTCTCGTGGTTTTCCTCGAGTTGCGGCGGGGACCTGGGGTATGTTCTCGACTTACGGCGGGGATGGCCCTTCAAAACACGAGTTTCTTCAGTGACGTCAGGACTCCTGTCTAGTAACGAGGGACACCTCAGGAATCTCTTCGAGGCTTGGCAGGGCCAAAGGGACGCTTCTCGAGGTGAGGCAGGGCACCCAAGGACCCTTTCCAGTAGCCACAGGGATTTTGGGATTCCTATCAGTATTCAAGAGGAGTCAGGCATCGTCACCTTTTGAAGCAATGAACTCCGCGTGCCTCTCGAGGTGTCAGCGGGATGTGAGGCATTCCGTCAAAATGAGGCAGGGACCTAGGGCTTTCTCTAAGGTCTCCACAGGGGATTCAGACATCCCTTCATGTTGTGAGATGAAAGACGAGCCTGTATTCAAGCCACTGCAAGGAAATCCGGCCTCCTTTCAAGTTAGGGCTTCTCGCTGCATCTTCCCCTTGAGGCAGCAAACTCGGGGTCCCTCCCACATACCTATTGCTGAGAGAAGCCTCCTCCTGAGGTGCTTCTGGGAAGTTGGCATACGTCTTGAGCCTAAGCCAGGGAATCAGCTCGCATCTCGAGACGATTTGGGGTACACGGAGCATTCCTCGAGTTGCTGTGCTGAAGTTGGTGTTCCTCTAGACTTGGGACAGTGTTCTCGGGGCATCTCTGGAGTTGCCTGAAAGAAGTCGAGCCACCGGTCGTGTTGAATGGGGAACGGGGAATGGCTCTGGAGTCAATGCAGGGGAATCGGGCCTCATCTCGAGTTGATTTGGGGCACATGGAGCTGCTTTGCGTTGCTGGGGTGACCTCAGGGTCCGTCTAGACTGGTGACAGTGTTCTTGGGGACTGTCTCGAGATCCATTAAGCAAGTCGAAGCTCCTGACTTGTTTGAATGGGATCACGGAATAGCTCTGCAAGCACTGCAGGGGAATGGGGCCTCATCTCGCCTCTAGGGGGAAGTCTCATGGTTTTTCTCGAGTTGCGGCGGGGACCTGGGGTATGTTCTCGACTTACGGCGGGGATGGCCCTTCAAAACAGGAGTTTCTTCAGTGACGTCAGGACTCCTGTCTAGTAACGAGGGACACCTCAGGAATCTCTTCGAGGCTTGGCAGGGCCAAAGGGACGCTTCTCGAGGTGAGGCAGGGCACCCAAGGACCCTTTCCAGTAGCCACAGGGATTTTGGGATTCCTATCAGTATTCAAGAGGAGTCAGGCATCGTCACCTTTTGAAGCAATGAACTCCGCGTGCCTCTCGAGGTGTCAGCGGGATGTGAGGCATTCCGTCAAAATGAGGCAGGGACCTAGGGCTTTCTCTAAGGTCTCCACAGGGGATTCAGACATCCCTTCATGTTGTGAGATGAAAGACGAGCCTGTATTCAAGCCACTGCAAGGAAATCCGGCCTCCTTTCAAGTTAGGGCTTCTCGCTGCATCTTCCCCTTGAGGCAGCAAACTCGGGGTCCCTCCCACATACCTATTGCTGAGAGAAGCCTCCTCCTGAGGTGCTTCTGGGAAGTTGGCATACGTCTTGAGCCTAAGCCAGGGAATCAGCTCGCATCTCGAGACGATTTGGGGTACACGGAGCATTCCTCGAGTTGCTGTGCTGAAGTTGCTGTTCCTCTAGACTTGGGACAGTGTTCTCGGGGCATCTCTGGAGTTGCCTGAAGGAAGTCGAGCCACCGGTCGTGTTGAATGGGGAACGGGGAATGGCTCTGGAGTCAATGCAGGGGAATCGGGCCTCATCTCGAGTTGATTTGGGGCACATGGAGCTGCTTTGCGTTGCTGGGGTGACCTCAGGGTCCGTCTAGACTGGTGACAGTGTTCTTGGGGACTGTCTCGAGATCCATTAAGCAAGTCGAAGCTCCTGACTTGTTTGAATGGGGTCACGGAATAGCTCTGCATGCACTGCAGGGGAATGGGGCCTCATCTCGCCTCTAGGGGGAAGTCTCATGGTTTTTCTCGAGTTGCGGCGGGGACCTGGGGTATGTTCTCGACTTACGGCGGGGATGGCCCTTCAAAACACGAGTTTCTTCAGTGACGTCAGGACTCCTGTCTAGTAACGAGGGACACCTCAGGAATCTCTTCGAGGCTTGGCAGGGCCAAAGGGACGCTTCTCGAGGTGAGGCAGGGCACCCAAGGACCCTTTCCAGTAGCCACAGGGATTTTGGGATTCCTATCAGTATTCAAGAGGAGTCAGGCATCGTCACCTTTTGAAGCAATGAACTCCGCGTGCCTCTCGAGGTGTCAGCGGGATGTGAGGCATTCCGTCAAAATGAGGCAGGGACCTAGGGCTTTCTCTAAGGTCTCCACAGGGGATTCAGACATCCCTTCATGTTGTGAGATGAAAGACGAGCCTGTATTCAAGCCACTGCAAGGAAATCCGGCCTCCTTTCAAGTTAGGGCTTCTCGCTGTATATTCCCCTTGAGGCAGCAAACTCGGGGTCCCTCCCACATACCTATTGCTGAGAGAAGCCTCCTCCTGAGGTGCTTCTGGGAAGTTGGCATACGTCTTGAGCCTAAGCCAGGGAATCAGCTCGCATCTCGAGACGATTTGGGGTACACGGAGCATTCCTCGAGTTGCTGTGCTGAAGTTGCTGTTCCTCTAGACTTGGGACAGTGTTCTCGGGGCATCTCTGGAGTTGCCTGAAGGAAGTCGAGCCACCGGTCGTGTTGAATGGGGAACGGGGAATGGCTCTGGAGTCAATGCAGGGGAATCGGGCCTCATCTCGAGTTGATTTGGGGCACATGGAGCTGCTTTGCGTTGCTGGGGTGACCTCAGGGTCCGTCTAGACTGGTGACAGTGTTCTTGGGGACTGTCTCGAGATCCATTAAGCAAGTCGAAGCTCCTGACTTGTTTGAATGGGGTCACGGAATAGCTCTGCATGCACTGCAGGGGAATGGGGCCTCATCTCGCCTCTAGGGGGAAGTCTCATGGTTTTTCTCGAGTTGCGGCGGGGACCTGGGGTATGTTCTCGACTTACGGCGGGGATGGCCCTTCAAAACACGAGTTTCTTCAGTGACGTCAGGACTCCTGTCTAGTAACGAGGGACACCTCAGGAATCTCTTCGAGGCTTGGCAGGGCCAAAGGGACGCTTCTCGATGTGAGGCAGGGCACCCAAGGACCCTTTCCAGTAGCCACAGGGATTTTGGGATTCCTATCAGTATTCAAGAGGAGTCAGGCATCGTCACCTTTTGAAGCAATGAACTCCGCGTGCCTCTCGATGTGTCAGCGGGATGTGAGGCATTCCGTCAAAATGAGGCAGGGACCTAGGGCTTTCTCTAAGGTCTCCACAGGGGATTCAGACATCCCTTCATGTTGTGAGATGAAAGACGAGCCTGTATTCAAGCCACTGCAAGGAAATCCGGCCTCCTTTCAAGTTAGGGCTTCTCGCTGTATATTCCCCTTGAGGCAGCAAACTCGGGGTCCCTCCCACATACCTATTGCTGAGAGAAGCCTCCTCCTGAGGTGCTTCTGGGAAGTTGGCATACGTCTTGAGCCTAAGCCAGGGAATCAGCTCGCATCTCGAGACGATTTGGGGTACACGGAGCATTCCTCGAGTTGCTGTGCTGAAGTTGGTGTTCCTCTAGACTTGGGACAGTGTTCTCGGGGCATCTCTGGAGTTGCCTGAAGGAAGTCGAGCCACCGGTCGTGTTGAATGGGGAACGGGGAATGGCTCTGGAGTCAATGCAGGGGAATCGGGCCTCATCTCGAGTTGATTTGGGGCACATGGAGCTGCTTTGCGTTGCTGGGGTGACCTCAGGGTCCGTCTAGACTGGTGACAGTGTTCTTGGGGACTGTCTCGAGATCCATTAAGCAAGTCGAAGCTCCTGACTTGTTTGAATGGGGTCACGGAATAGCTCTGCATGCACTGCAGGGGAATGGGGCCTCATCTCGCCTCTAGGGGGAAGTCTCGTGGTTTTCCTCGAGTTGCGGCGGGGACCTGGGGTATTTTCTCGACTTACGGCGGGGATGGCCCTTCAAAACACGAGTTTCTTCACTGACGTCAGGACTCCTGTCTAGTAACGAGGGACACCTCAGGAATCTCTTCGAGGCTTGGCAGGGCCAAAGGGACGCTTCTCGAGGTGAGGCAGGGCACCCAAGGACCCTTTCCAGTAGCCACAGGGATTTTGGGATTCCTATCAGTATTCAAGAGGAGTCAGGCATCGTCACCTTTTGAAGCAATGAACTCCGCGTGCCTCTCGAGGTGTCAGCGGGATGTGAGGCATTCCGTCAAAATGAGGCAGGGACCTAGGGCTTTCTCTAAGGTCTCCACAGGGGATTCAGACATCCCTTCATGTTGTGAGATGAAAGACGAGCCTGTATTCAAGCCACTGCAAGGAAATCCGGCCTCCTTTCAAGTTAGGGCTTCTCGCTGTATATTCCCCTTGAGGCAGCAAACTCGGGGTCCCTCCCACATACCTATTGCTGAGAGAAGCCTCCTCCTGAGGTGCTTCTGGGAAGTTGGCATAAGTCTTGAGCCTAAGCCAGGGAATCAGCTCGCATCTCGAGACGATTTGGGGTACACGGAGCATTCCTCGAGTTGCTGTGCTGAAGTTGCTGTTCCTCTAGACTTGGGACAGTGTTCTCGGGGCATCTCTGGAGTTGCCTGAAGGAAGTCGAGCCACCGGTCGTGTTGAATGGGGAACGGGGAATGGCTCTGGAGTCAATGCAGGGGAATCGGGCCTCATCTCGAGTTGATTTGGGGCACATGGAGCTGCTTTGCGTTGCTGGGGTGACCTCAGGGTCCGTCTAGACTGGTGACAGTGTTCTTGGGGACTGTCTCGAGATCCATTAAGCAAGTCGAAGCTCCTGACTTGTTTGAATGGGGTCACGGAATAGCTCTGCATGCACTGCAGGGGAATGGGGCCTCATCTCGCCTCTAGGGGGAAGTCTCATGGTTTTTCTCGAGTTGCGGCGGGGACCTGGGGTATGTTCTCGACTTACGGCGGGGATGGCCCTTCAAAACACGAGTTTCTTCAGTGACGTCAGGACTCCTGTCTAGTAACGAGGGACACCTCAGGAATCTCTTCGAGGCTTGGCAGGGCCAAAGGGACGCTTCTCGAGGTGAGGCAGGGCACCCAAGGACCCTTTCCAGTAGCCACAGGGATTTTGGGATTCCTATCAGTATTCAAGAGGAGTCAGGCATCGTCACCTTTTGAAGCAATGAACTCCGCGTGCCTCTCGATGTGTCAGCGGGATGTGAGGCATTCCGTCAAAATGAGGCAGGGACCTAGGGCTTTCTCTAAGGTCTCCACAGGGGATTCAGACATCCCTTCATGTTGTGAGATGAAAGACGAGCCTGTATTCAAGCCACTGCAAGGAAATCCGGCCTCCTTTCAAGTTAGGGCTTCTCGCTGTATATTCCCCTTGAGGCAGCAAACTCGGGGTCCCTCCCACATACCTATTGCTGAGAGAAGCCTCCTCCTGAGGTGCTTCTGGGAAGTTGGCATACGTCTTGAGCCTAAGCCAGGGAATCAGCTCGCATCTCGAGACGATTTGGGGTACACGGAGCATTCCTCGAGTTGCTGTGCTGAAGTTGGTGTTCCTCTAGACTTGGGACAGTGTTCTCGGGGCATCTCTGGAGTTGCCTGAAGGAAGTCGAGCCACCGGTCGTGTTGAATGGGGAACGGGGAATGGCTCTGGAGTCAATGCAGGGGAATCGGGCCTCATCTCGAGTTGATTTGGGGCACATGGAGCTGCTTTGCGTTGCTGGGGTGACCTCAGGGTCCGTCTAGACTGGTGACAGTGTTCTTGGGGACTGTCTCGAGATCCATTAAGCAAGTCGAAGCTCCTGACTTGTTTGAATGGGGTCACGGAATAGCTCTGCATGCACTGCAGGGGAATGGGGCCTCATCTCGCCTCTAGGGGGAAGTCTCGTGGTTTTCCTCGAGTTGCGGCGGGGACCTGGGGTATTTTCTCGACTTACGGCGGGGATGGCCCTTCAAAACACGAGTTTCTTCACTGACGTCAGGACTCCTGTCTAGTAACGAGGGACACCTCAGGAATCTCTTCGAGGCTTGGCAGGGCCAAAGGGACGCTTCTCGAGGTGAGGCAGGGCACCCAAGGACCCTTTCCAGTAGCCACAGGGATTTTGGGATTCCTATCAGTATTCAAGAGGAGTCAGGCATCGTCACCTTTTGAAGCAATGAACTCCGCGTGCCTCTCGAGGTGTCAGCGGGATGTGAGGCATTCCGTCAAAATGAGGCAGGGACCTAGGGCTTTCTCTAAGGTCTCCACAGGGGATTCAGACATCCCTTCATGTTGTGAGATGAAAGACGAGCCTGTATTCAAGCCACTGCAAGGAAATCCGGCCTCCTTTCAAGTTAGGGCTTCTCGCTGTATATTCCCCTTGAGGCAGCAAACTCGGGGTCCCTCCCACATACCTATTGCTGAGAGAAGCCTCCTCCTGAGGTGCTTCTGGGAAGTTGGCATAAGTCTTGAGCCTAAGCCAGGGAATCAGCTCGCATCTCGAGACGATTTGGGGTACACGGAGCATTCCTCGAGTTGCTGTGCTGAAGTTGCTGTTCCTCTAGACTTGGGACAGTGTTCTCGGGGCATCTCTGGAGTTGCCTGAAGGAAGTCGAGCCACCGGTCGTGTTGAATGGGGAACGGGGAATGGCTCTGGAGTCAATGCAGGGGAATCGGGCCTCATCTCGAGTTGATTTGGGGCACATGGAGCTGCTTTGCGTTGCTGGGGTGACCTCAGGGTCCGTCTAGACTGGTGACAGTGTTCTTGGGGACTGTCTCGAGATCCATTAAGCAAGTCGAAGCTCCTGACTTGTTTGAATGGGGTCACGGAATAGCTCTGCATGCACTGCAGGGGAATGGGGCCTCATCTCGCCTCCAGGGGGAAGTCTCGTGGTTTTCCTCGAGTTGCGGCGGGGACCTGGGGTATGTTCTCGACTTACGGCGGGGATGGCCCTTCAAAACACGAGTTTCTTCAGTGACGTCAGGACTCCTGTCTAGTAACGAGGGACACCTCAGGAATCTCTTCGAGGCTTGGCAGGGCCAAAGGGACGCTTCTCGAGGTGAGACAGGGCACCCAAGGACCCTTTCCAGTAGCCACAGGGATTTTGGGATTCCTATCAGTATTCAAGAGGAGTCAGGCATCGTCACCTTTTGAAGCAATGAACTCCGCGTGCCTCTCGAGGTGTCAGCGGGATGTGAGGCATTCCGTCAAAATGAGGCAGGGACCTAGGGCTTTCTCTAAGGTCTCCACAGGGGATTCAGACATCCCTTCATGTTGTGAGATGAAAGACGAGCCTGTATTCAAGCCACTGCAAGGAAATCCGGCCTCCTTTCAAGTTAGGGCTTCTCGCTGCATCTTCCCCTTGAGGCAGCAAACTCGGGGTCCCTCCCACATACCTATTGCTGAGAGAAGCCTCCTCCTGAGGTGCTTCTGGGAAGTTGGCATACGTCTTGAGCCTAAGCCAGGGAATCAGCTCGCATCTCGAGACGATTTGGGGTACACGGAGCATTCCTCGAGTTGCTGTGCTGAAGTTGGTGTTCCTCTAGACTTGGGACAGTGTTCTCGGGGCATCTCTGGAGTTGCCTGAAGGAAGTCGAGCCACCGGTCGTGTTGAATGGGGAACGGGGAATGGCTCTGGAGTCAATGCAGGGGAATCGGGCCTCATCTCGAGTTGATTTGGGGCACATGGAGCTGCTTTGCGTTGCTGGGGTGACCTCAGGGTCCGTCTAGACTGGTGACAGTGTTCTTGGGGACTGTCTCGAGATCCATTAAGCAAGTCGAAGCTCCTGACTTGTTTGAATGGGATCACGGAATAGCTCTGCATGCACTGCAGGGGAATGGGGCCTCATCTCGCCTCTAGGGGGAAGTCTCATGGTTTTTCTCGAGTTGCGGCGGGGACCTGGGGTATGTTCTCGACTTACGGCGGGGATGGCCCTTCAAAACACGAGTTTCTTCAGTGACGTCAGGACTCCTGTCTAGTAACGAGGGACACCTCAGGAATCTCTTCGAGGCTTGGCAGGGCCAAAGGGACGCTTCTCGAGGTGAGGCAGGGCACCCAAGGACCCTTTTTAGTAGCCACAGGGATTTTGGGATTCCTATCAGTATTCAAGAGGAGTCAGGCATCGTCACCTTTTGAAGCAATGAACTCCGCGTGCCTCTCGAGGTGTCAGCGGGATGTGAGGCATTCCGTCAAAATGAGGCAGGGACCTAGGGCTTTCTCTAAGGTCTCCACAGGGGATTCAGACATCCCTTCATGTTGTGAGATGAAAGACGAGCCTGTATTCAAGCCACTGCAAGGAAATCCGGCCTCCTTTCAAGTTAGGGCTTCTCGCTGTATATTCCCCTTGAGGCAGCAAACTCGGGGTCCCTCCCACATACCTATTGCTGAGAGAAGCCTCCTCCTGAGGTGCTTCTGGGAAGTTGGCATACGTCTTGAGCCTAAGCCAGGGAATCAGCTCGCATCTCGAGACGATTTGGGGTACACGGAGCATTCCTCGAGTTGCTGTGCTGAAGTTGCTGTTCCTCTAGACTTGGGACAGTGTTCTCGGGGCATCTCTGGAGTTGCCTGAAGGAAGTCGAGCCACCGGTCGTGTTGAATGGGGAACGGGGAATGGCTCTGGAGTCAATGCAGGGGAATCGGGCCTCATCTCGAGTTGATTTGGGGCACATGGAGCTGCTTTGCGTTGCTGGGGTGACCTCAGGGTCCGTCTAGACTGGTGACAGTGTTCTTGGGGACTGTCTCGAGATCCATTAAGCAAGTCGAAGCTCCTGACTTGTTTGAATGGGGTCACGGAATAGCTCTGCATGCACTGCAGGGGAATGGGGCCTCATCTCGCCTCTAGGGGGAAGTCTCGTGGTTTTCCTCGAGTTGCGGCGGGGACCTGGGGTATGTTCTCGACTTACGGCGGGGATGGCCCTTCAAAACACGAGTTTCTTCAGTGACGTCAGGACTCCTGTCTAGTAACGAGGGACACCTCAGGAATCTCTTCGAGGCTTGGCAGGGCCAAAGGGACGCTTCTCGAGGTGAGGCAGGGCACCCAAGGACCCTTTCCAGTAGCCACAGGGATTTTGGGATTCCTATCAGTATTCAAGAGGAGTCAGGCATCGTCACCTTTTGAAGCAATGAACTCCGCGTGCCTCTCGAGGTGTCAGCGGGATGTGAGGCATTCCGTCAAAATGAGGCAGGGACCTAGGGCTTTCTCTAAGGTCTCCACAGGGGATTCAGACATCCCTTCATGTTGTGAGATGAAAGACGAGCCTGTATTCAAGCCACTGCAAGGAAATCCGGCCTCCTTTCAAGTTAGGGCTTCTCGCTGCATCTTCCCCTTGAGGCAGCAAACTCGGGGTCCCTCCCACATACCTATTGCTGAGAGAAGCCTCCTCCTGAGGTGCTTCTGGGAAGTTGGCATACGTCTTGAGCCTAAGCCAGGGAATCAGCTCGCATCTCGAGACGATTTGGGGTACACGGAGCATTCCTCGAGTTGCTGTGCTGAAGTTGGTGTTCCTCTAGACTTGGGACAGTGTTCTCGGGGCATCTCTGGAGTTGCCTGAAAGAAGTCGAGCCACCGGTCGTGTTGAATGGGGAACGGGGAATGGCTCTGGAGTCAATGCAGGGGAATCGGGCCTCATCTCGAGTTGATTTGGGGCACATGGAGCTGCTTTGCGTTGCTGGGGTGACCTCAGGGTCCGTCTAGACTGGTGACAGTGTTCTTGGGGACTGTCTCGAGATCCATTAAGCAAGTCGAAGCTCCTGACTTGTTTGAATGGGATCACGGAATAGCTCTGCAAGCACTGCAGGGGAATGGGGCCTCATCTCGCCTCTAGGGGGAAGTCTCATGGTTTTTCTCGAGTTGCGGCGGGGACCTGGGGTATGTTCTCGACTTACGGCGGGGATGGCCCTTCAAAACAGGAGTTTCTTCAGTGACGTCAGGACTCCTGTCTAGTAACGAGGGACACCTCAGGAATCTCTTCGAGGCTTGGCAGGGCCAAAGGGACGCTTCTCGAGGTGAGGCAGGGCACCCAAGGACCCTTTCCAGTAGCCACAGGGATTTTGGGATTCCTATCAGTATTCAAGAGGAGTCAGGCATCGTCACCTTTTGAAGCAATGAACTCCGCGTGCCTCTCGAGGTGTCAGCGGGATGTGAGGCATTCCGTCAAAATGAGGCAGGGACCTAGGGCTTTCTCTAAGGTCTCCACAGGGGATTCAGACATCCCTTCATGTTGTGAGATGAAAGACGAGCCTGTATTCAAGCCACTGCAAGGAAATCCGGCCTCCTTTCAAGTTAGGGCTTCTCGCTGCATCTTCCCCTTGAGGCAGCAAACTCGGGGTCCCTCCCACATACCTATTGCTGAGAGAAGCCTCCTCCTGAGGTGCTTCTGGGAAGTTGGCATACGTCTTGAGCCAAAGCCAGGGAATCAGCTCGCATCTCGAGACGATTTGGGGTACACGGAGCATTCCTCGAGTTGCTGTGCTGAAGTTGCTGTTCCTCTAGACTTGGGACAGTGTTCTCGGGGCATCTCTGGAGTTGCCTGAAGGAAGTCGAGCCACCGGTCGTGTTGAATGGGGAACGGGGAATGGCTCTGGAGTCAATGCAGGGGAATCGGGCCTCATCTCGAGTTGATTTGGGGCACATGGAGCTGCTTTGCGTTGCTGGGGTGACCTCAGGGTCCGTCTAGACTGGTGACAGTGTTCTTGGGGACTGTCTCGAGATCCATTAAGCAAGTCGAAGCTCCTGACTTGTTTGAATGGGATCACGGAATAGCTCTGCATGCACTGCAGGGGAATGGGGCCTCATCTCGCCTCTAGGGGGAAGTCTCATGGTTTTTCTCGAGTTGCGGCGGGGACCTGGGGTATGTTCTCGACTTACGGCGGGGATGGCCCTTCAAAACACGAGTTTCTTCAGTGACGTCAGGACTCCTGTCTAGTAACGAGGGACACCTCAGGAATCTCTTCGAGGCTTGGCAGGGCCAAAGGGACGCTTCTCGAGGTGAGGCAGGGCACCCAAGGACCCTTTCCAGTAGCCACAGGGATTTTGGGATTCCTATCAGTATTCAAGAGGAGTCAGGCATCGTCACCTTTTGAAGCAATGAACTCCGCGTGCCTCTCGAGGTGTCAGCGGGATGTGAGGCATTCCGTCAAAATGAGGCAGGGACCTAGGGCTTTCTCTAAGGTCTCCACAGGGGATTCAGACATCCCTTCATGTTGTGAGATGAAAGACGAGCCTGTATTCAAGCCACTGCAAGGAAATCCGGCCTCCTTTCAAGTTAGGGCTTCTCGCTGTATATTCCCCTTGAGGCAGCAAACTCGGGGTCCCTCCCACATACCTATTGCTGAGAGAAGCCTCCTCCTGAGGTGCTTCTGGGAAGTTGGCATACGTCTTGAGCCTAAGCCAGGGAATCAGCTCGCATCTCGAGACGATTTGGGGTACACGGAGCATTCCTCGAGTTGCTGTGCTGAAGTTGCTGTTCCTCTAGACTTGGGACAGTGTTCTCGGGGCATCTCTGGAGTTGCCTGAAGGAAGTCGAGCCACCGGTCGTGTTGAATGGGGAACGGGGAATGGCTCTGGAGTCAATGCAGGGGAATCGGGCCTCATCTCGAGTTGATTTGGGGCACATGGAGCTGCTTTGCGTTGCTGGGGTGACCTCAGGGTCCGTCTAGACTGGTGACAGTGTTCTTGGGGACTGTCTCGAGATCCATTAAGCAAGTCGAAGCTCCTGACTTGTTTGAATGGGGTCACGGAATAGCTCTGCATGCACTGCAGGGGAATGGGGCCTCATCTCGCCTCTAGGGGGAAGTCTCGTGGTTTTCCTCGAGTTGCGGCGGGGACCTGGGGTATGTTCTCGACTTACGGCGGGGATGGCCCTTCAAAACACGAGTTTCTTCAGTGACGTCAGGACTCCTGTCTAGTAACGAGGGACACCTCAGGAATCTCTTCGAGGCTTGGCAGGGCCAAAGGGACGCTTCTCGAGGTGAGGCAGGGCACCCAAGGACCCTTTCCAGTAGCCACAGGGATTTTGGGATTCCTATCAGTATTCAAGAGGAGTCAGGCATCGTCACCTTTTGAAGCAATGAACTCCGCGTGCCTCTCGAGGTGTCAGCGGGATGTGAGGCATTCCGTCAAAATGAGGCAGGGACCTAGGGCTTTCTCTAAGGTCTCCACAGGGGATTCAGACATCCCTTCATGTTGTGAGATGAAAGACGAGCCTGTATTCAAGCCACTGCAAGGAAATCCGGCCTCCTTTCAAGTTAGGGCTTCTCGCTGCATCTTCCCCTTGAGGCAGCAAACTCGGGGTCCCTCCCACATACCTATTGCTGAGAGAAGCCTCCTCCTGAGGTGCTTCTGGGAAGTTGGCATACGTCTTGAGCCTAAGCCAGGGAATCAGCTCGCATCTCGAGACGATTTGGGGTACACGGAGCATTCCTCGAGTTGCTGTGCTGAAGTTGGTGTTCCTCTAGACTTGGGACAGTGTTCTCGGGGCATCTCTGGAGTTGCCTGAAGGAAGTCGAGCCACCGGTCGTGTTGAATGGGGAACGGGGAATGGCTCTGGAGTCAATGCAGGGGAATCGGGCCTCATCTCGAGTTGATTTGGGGCACATGGAGCTGCTTTGCGTTGCTGGGGTGACCTCAGGGTCCGTCTAGACTGGTGACAGTGTTCTTGGGGACTGTCTCGAGATCCATTAAGCAAGTCGAAGCTCCTGACTTGTTTGAATGGGATCACGGAATAGCTCTGCATGCACTGCAGGGGAATGGGGCCTCATCTCGCCTCTAGGGGGAAGTCTCATGGTTTTTCTCGAGTTGCGGCGGGGACCTGGGGTATGTTCTCGACTTACGGCGGGGATGGCCCTTCAAAACACGAGTTTCTTCAGTGACGTCAGGACTCCTGTCTAGTAACGAGGGACACCTCAGGAATCTCTTCGAGGCTTGGCAGGGCCAAAGGGACGCTTCTCGAGGTGAGGCAGGGCACCCAAGGACCCTTTCCAGTAGCCACAGGGATTTTGGGATTCCTATCAGTATTCAAGAGGAGTCAGGCATCGTCACCTTTTGAAGCAATGAACTCCGCATGCCTCTCGAGGTGTCAGCGGGATGTGAGGCATTCCGTCAAAATGAGGCAGGGACCTAGGGCTTTCTCTAAGGTCTCCACAGGGGATTCAGACATCCCTTCATGTTGTGAGATGAAAGACGAGCCTGTATTCAAGCCACTGCAAGGAAATCCGGCCTCCTTTCAAGTTAGGGCTTCTCGCTGTATATTCCCCTTGAGGCAGCAAACTCGGGGTCCCTCCCACATACCTATTGCTGAGAGAAGCCTCCTCCTGAGGTGCTTCTGGGAAGTTGGCATACGTCTTGAGCCTAAGCCAGGGAATCAGCTCGCATCTCGAGACGATTTGGGGTACACGGAGCATTCCTCGAGTTGCTGTGCTGAAGTTGCTGTTCCTCTAGACTTGGGACAGTGTTCTCGGGGCATTTCTGGAGTTGCCTGAAGGAAGTCGAGCCACCGGTCGTGTTGAATGGGGAACGGGGAATGGCTCTGGAGTCAATGCAGGGGAATCGGGCCTCATCTCGAGTTGATTTGGGGCACATGGAGCTGCTTTTCGTTGCTGGGGTGACCTCAGGGTCCGTCTAGACTGGTGACAGTGTTCTTGGGGACTGTCTCGAGATCCATTAAGCAAGTCGAAGCTCCTGACTTGTTTGAATGGGGTCACGGAATAGCTCTGCATGCACTGCAGGGGAATGGGGCCTCATCTCGCCTCTAGGGGGAAGTCTCGTGGTTTTCCTCGAGTTGCGGCGGGGACCTGGGGTATGTTCTCGACTTACGGCGGGGATGGCCCTTCAAAACACGAGTTTCTTCAGTGACGTCAGGACTCCTGTCTAGTAACGAGGGACACCTCAGGAATCTCTTCGAGGCTTGGCAGGGCCAAAGGGACGCTTCTCGAGGTGAGGCAGGGCACCCAAGGACCCTTTCCAGTAGCCACAGGGATTTTGGGATTCCTATCAGTATTCAAGAGGAGTCAGGCATCGTCACCTTTTGAAGCAATGAACTCCGCGTGCCTCTCGAGGTGTCAGCGGGATGTGAGGCATTCCGTCAAAATGAGGCAGGGACCTAGGGCTTTCTCTAAGGTCTCCACAGGGGATTCAGACATCCCTTCATGTTGTGAGATGAAAGACGAGCCTGTATTCAAGCCACTGCAAGGAAATCCGGCCTCCTTTCAAGTTAGGGCTTCTCGCTGCATCTTCCCCTTGAGGCAGCAAACTCGGGGTCCCTCCCACATACCTATTGCTGAGAGAAGCCTCCTCCTGAGGTGCTTCTGGGAAGTTGGCATACGTCTTGAGCCTAAGCCAGGGAATCAGCTCGCATCTCGAGACGATTTGGGGTACACGGAGCATTCCTCGAGTTGCTGTGCTGAAGTTGGTGTTCCTCTAGACTTGGGACAGTGTTCTCGGGGCATCTCTGGAGTTGCCTGAAGGAAGTCGAGCCACCGGTCGTGTTGAATGGGGAACGGGGAATGGCTCTGGAGTCAATGCAGGGGAATCGGGCCTCATCTCGAGTTGATTTGGGGCACATGGAGCTGCTTTGCGTTGCTGGGGTGACCTCAGGGTCCGTCTAGACTGGTGACAGTGTTCTTGGGGACTGTCTCGAGATCCATTAAGCAAGTCGAAGCTCCTGACTTGTTTGAATGGGGTCACGGAATAGCTCTGCATGCACTGCAGGGGAATGGGGCCTCATCTCGCCTCTAGGGGGAAGTCTCATGGTTTTTCTCGAGTTGCGGCGGGGACCTGGGGTATGTTCTCGACTTACGGCGGGGATGGCCCTTCAAAACACGAGTTTCTTCAGTGACGTCAGGACTCCTGTCTAGTAACGAGGGACACCTCAGGAATCTCTTCGAGGCTTGGCAGGGCCAAAGGGACGCTTCTCGAGGTGAGGCAGGGCACCCAAGGACCCTTTCCAGTAGCCACAGGGATTTTGGGATTCCTATCAGTATTCAAGAGGAGTCAGGCATCGTCACCTTTTGAAGCAATGAACTCCGCGTGCCTCTCGAGGTGTCAGCGGGATGTGAGGCATTCCGTCAAAATGAGGCAGGGACCTAGGGCTTTCTCTAAGGTCTCCACAGGGGATTCAGACATCCCTTCATGTTGTGAGATGAAAGACGAGCCTGTATTCAAGCCACTGCAAGGAAATCCGGCCTCCTTTCAAGTTAGGGCTTCTCGCTGCATCTTCCCCTTGAGGCAGCAAACTCGGGGTCCCTCCCACATACCTATTGCTGAGAGAAGCCTCCTCCTGAGGTGCTTCTGGGAAGTTGGCATACGTCTTGAGCCTAAGCCAGGGAATCAGCTCGCATCTCGAGACGATTTGGGGTACACGGAGCATTCCTCGAGTTGCTGTGCTGAAGTTGCTGTTCCTCTAGACTTGGGACAGTGTTCTCGGGGCATCTCTGGAGTTGCCTGAAGGAAGTCGAGCCACCGGTCGTGTTGAATGGGGAACGGGGAATGGCTCTGGAGTCAATGCAGGGGAATCGGGCCTCATCTCGAGTTGATTTGGGGCACATGGAGCTGCTTTGCGTTGCTGGGGTGACCTCAGGGTCCGTCTAGACTGGTGACAGTGTTCTTGGGGACTGTCTCGAGATCCATTAAGCAAGTCGAAGCTCCTGACTTGTTTGAATGGGATCACGGAATAGCTCTGCAAGCACTGCAGGGGAATGGGGCCTCATCTCGCCTCTAGGGGGAAGTCTCATGGTTTTTCTCGAGTTGCGGCGGGGACCTGGGGTATGTTCTCGACTTACGGCGGGGATGGCCCTTCAAAACACGAGTTTCTTCAGTGACGTCAGGACTCCTGTCTAGTAACGAGGGACACCTCAGGAATCTCTTCGAGGCTTGGCAGGGCCAAAGGGACGCTTCTCGAGGTGAGGCAGGGCACCCAAGGACCCTTTCCAGTAGCCACAGGGATTTTGGGATTCCTATCAGTATTCAAGAGGAGTCAGGCATCGTCACCTTTTGAAGCAATGAACTCCGCGTGCCTCTCGAGGTGTCAGCGGGATGTGAGGCATTCCGTCAAAATGAGGCAGGGACCTAGGGCTTTCTCTAAGGTCTCCACAGGGGATTCAGACATCCCTTCATGTTGTGAGATGAAAGACGAGCCTGTATTAAAGCCACTGCAAGGAAATCCGGCCTCCTTTCAAGTTAGGGCTTCTCGCTGCATCTTCCCCTTGAGGCAGCAAACTCGGGGTCCCTCCCACATACCTATTGCTGAGAGAAGCCTCCTCCTGAGGTGCTTCTGGGAAGTTGGCATACGTCTTGAGCCTAAGCCAGGGAATCAGCTCGCATCTCGAGACGATTTGGGGTACACGGAGCATTCCTCGAGTTGCTGTGCTGAAGTTGGTGTTCCTCTAGACTTGGGACAGTGTTCTCGGGGCATCTCTGGAGTTGCCTGAAGGAAGTCGAGCCACCGGTCGTGTTGAATGGGGAACGGGGAATGGCTCTGGAGTCAATGCAGGGGAATCGGGCCTCATCTCGAGTTGATTTGGGGCACATGGAGCTGCTTTGCGTTGCTGGGGTGACCTCAGGGTCCGTCTAGACTGGTGACAGTGTTCTTGGGGACTGTCTCGAGATCCATTAAGCAAGTCGAAGCTCCTGACTTGTTTGAATGGGATCACGGAATAGCTCTGCATGCACTGCAGGGGAATGGGGCCTCATCTCGCCTCTAGGGGGAAGTCTCATGGTTTTTCTCGAGTTGCGGCGGGGACCTGGGGTATGTTCTCGACTTACGGCGGGGATGGCCCTTCAAAACACGAGTTTCTTCAGTGACGTCAGGATTCCTGTCTAGTAACGAGGGACACCTCAGGAATCTCTTCGAGGCTTGGCAGGGCCAAAGGGACGCTTCTCGAGCTGAGGCAGGGCACCCAAGGACCCTTTCCAGTAGCCACAGGGATTTTGGGATTCCTATCAGTATTCAAGAGGAGTCAGGCATCGTCACCTTTTGAAGCAATGAACTCCGCGTGCCTCTCGAGGTGTCAGCGGGATGTGAGGCATTCCGTCAAAATGAGGCAGGGACCTAGGGCTTTCTCTAAGGTCTCCACAGGGGATTCAGACATCCCTTCATGTTGTGAGATGAAAGACGAGCCTGTATTCAAGCCACTGCAAGGAAATCCGGCCTCCTTTCAAGTTAGGGCTTCTCGCTGTATATTCCCCTTGAGGCAGCAAACTCGGGGTCCCTCCCACATACCTATTGCTGAGAGAAGCCTCCTCCTGAGGTGCTTCTGGGAAGTTGGCATACGTCTTGAGCCTAAGCCAGGGAATCAGCTCGCATCTCGAGACGATTTGGGGTACACGGAGCATTCCTCGAGTTGCTGTGCTGAAGTTGCTGTTCCTCTAGACTTGGGACAGTGTTCTCGGGGCATCTCTGGAGTTGCCTGAAGGAAGTCGAGCCACCGGTCGTGTTGAATGGGGAACGGGGAATGGCTCTGGAGTCAATGCAGGGGAATCGGGCCTCATCTCGAGTTGATTTGGGGCACATGGAGCTGCTTTGCGTTGCTGGGGTGACCTCAGGGTCCGTCTAGACTGGTGACAGTGTTCTTGGGGACTGTCTCGAGATCCATTAAGCAAGTCGAAGCTCCTGACTTGTTTGAATGGGGTCACGGAATAGCTCTGCATGCACTGCAGGGGAATGGGGCCTCATCTCGCCTCTAGGGGGAAGTCTCGTGGTTTTCCTCGAGTTGCGGCGGGGACCTGGGGTATGTTCTCGACTTACGGCGGGGATGGCCCTTCAAAACACGAGTTTCTTCAGTGACGTCAGGACTCCTGTCTAGTAACGAGGGACACCTCAGGAATCTCTTCGAGGCTTGGCAGGGCCAAAGGGACGCTTCTCGAGGTGAGGCAGGGCACCCAAGGACCCTTTCCAGTAGCCACAGGGATTTTGGGATTCCTATCAGTATTCAAGAGGAGTCAGGCATCGTCACCTTTTGAAGCAATGAACTCCGCGTGCCTCTCGAGGTGTCAGCGGGATGTGAGGCATTCCGTCAAAATGAGGCAGGGACCTAGGGCTTTCTCTAAGGTCTCCACAGGGGATTCAGACATCCCTTCATGTTGTGAGATGAAAGACGAGCCTGTATTCAAGCCACTGCAAGGAAATCCGGCCTCCTTTCAAGTTAGGGCTTCTCGCTGCATCTTCCCCTTGAGGCAGCAAACTCGGGGTCCCTCCCACATACCTATTGCTAAGAGAAGCCTCCTCCTGAGGTGCTTCTGGGAAGTTGGCATACGTCTTGAGCCTAAGCCAGGGAATCAGCTCGCATCTCGAGACGATTTGGGGTACACGGAGCATTCCTCGAGTTGCTGTGCTGAAGTTGGTGTTCCTCTAGACTTGGGACAGTGTTCTCGGGGCATCTCTGGAGTTGCCTGAAGGAAGTCGAGCCACCGGTCGTGTTGAATGGGGAACGGGGAATGGCTCTGGAGTCAATGCAGGGGAATCGGGCCTCATCTCGAGTTGATTTGGGGCACATGGAGCTGCTTTGCGTTGCTGGGGTGACCTCAGGGTCCGTCTAGACTGGTGACAGTGTTCTTGGGGACTGTCTCGAGATCCATTAAGCAAGTCGAAGCTCCTGACTTGTTTGAATGGGATCACGGAATAGCTCTGCAAGCACTGCAGGGGAATGGGGCCTCATCTCGCCTCTAGGGGGAAGTCTCATGGTTTTTCTCGAGTTGCGGCGGGGACCTGGGGTATGTTCTCGACTTACGGCGGGGATGGCCCTTCAAAACACGAGTTTCTTCAGTGACGTCAGGACTCCTGTCTAGTAACGAGGGACACCTCAGGAATCTCTTCGAGGCTTGGCAGGGCCAAAGGGACGCTTCTCGAGGTGAGGCAGGGCACCCAAGGACCCTTTCCAGTAGCCACAGGGATTTTGGGATTCCTATCAGTATTCAAGAGGAGTCAGGCATCGTCACCTTTTGAAGCAATGAACTCCGCATGCCTCTCGAGGTGTCAGCGGGATGTGAGGCATTCCGTCAAAATGAGGCAGGGACCTAGGGCTTTCTCTAAGGTCTCCACAGGGGATTCAGACATCCCTTCATGTTGTGAGATGAAAGACGAGCCTGTATTCAAGCCACTGCAAGGAAATCCGGCCTCCTTTCAAGTTAGGGCTTCTCGCTGTATATTCCCCTTGAGGCAGCAAACTCGGGGTCCCTCCCACATACCTATTGCTGAGAGAAGCCTCCTCCTGAGGTGCTTCTGGGAACTTGGCATACGTCTTGAGCCTAAGCCAGGGAATCAGCTCGCATCTCGAGACGATTTGGGGTACACGGAGCATTCCTCGAGTTGCTGTGCTGAAGTTGCTGTTCCTCTAGACTTGGGACAGTGTTCTCGGGGCATTTCTGGAGTTGCCTGAAGGAAGTCGAGCCACCGGTCGTGTTGAATGGGGAACGGGGAATGGCTCTGGAGTCAATGCAGGGGAATCGGGCCTCATCTCGAGTTGATTTGGGGCACATGGAGCTGCTTTTCGTTGCTGGGGTGACCTCAGGGTCCGTCTAGACTGGTGACAGTGTTCTTGGGGACTGTCTCGAGATCCATTAAGCAAGTCGAAGCTCCTGACTTGTTTGAATGGGGTCACGGAATAGCTCTGCATGCACTGCAGGGGAATGGGGCCTCATCTCGCCTCTAGGGGGAAGTCTCGTGGTTTTCCTCGAGTTGCGGCGGGGACCTGGGGTATGTTCTCGACTTACGGCGGGGATGGCCCTTCAAAACACGAGTTTCTTCAGTGACGTCAGGACTCCTGTCTAGTAACGAGGGACACCTCAGGAATCTCTTCGAGGCTTGGCAGGGCCAAAGGGACGCTTCTCGAGGTGAGGCAGGGCACCCAAGGACCCTTTCCAGTAGCCACAGGGATTTTGGGATTCCTATCAGTATTCAAGAGGAGTCAGGCATCGTCACCTTTTGAAGCAATGAACTCCGCGTGCCTCTCGAGGTGTCAGCGGGATGTGAGGCATTCCGTCAAAATGAGGCAGGGACCTAGGGCTTTCTCTAAGGTCTCCACAGGGGATTCAGACATCCCTTCATGTTGTGAGATGAAAGACGAGCCTGTATTCAAGCCACTGCAAGGAAATCCGGCCTCCTTTCAAGTTAGGGCTTCTCGCTGTATATTCCCCTTGAGGCAGCAAACTCGGGGTCCCTCCCACATACCTATTGCTGAGAGAAGCCTCCTCCTGAGGTGCTTCTGGGAAGTTGGCATACGTCTTGAGCCTAAGCCAGGGAATCAGCTCGCATCTCGAGACGATTTGGGGTACACGGAGCATTCCTCGAGTTGCTGTGCTGAAGTTGGTGTTCCTCTAGACTTGGGACAGTGTTCTCGGGGCATCTCTGGAGTTGCCTGAAGGAAGTCGAGCCACCGGTCGTGTTGAATGGGGAACGGGGAATGGCTCTGGAGTCAATGCAGGGGAATCGGGCCTCATCTCGAGTTGATTTGGGGCACATGGAGCTGCTTTGCGTTGCTGGGGTGACCTCAGGGTCCGTCTAGATTGGTGACAGTGTTCTTGGGGACTGTCTCGAGATCCATTAAGCAAGTCGAAGCTCCTGACTTGTTTGAATGGGGTCACGGAATAGCTCTGCATGCACTGCAGGGGAATGGGGCCTCATCTCGCCTCTAGGGGGAAGTCTCATGGTTTTTCTCGAGTTGCGGCGGGGACCTGGGGTATGTTCTCGACTTACGGCGGGGATGGCCCTTCAAAACACGAGTTTCTTCAGTGACGTCAGGACTCCTGTCTAGTAACGAGGGACACCTCAGGAATCTCTTCGAGGCTTGGCAGGGCCAAAGGGACGCTTCTCGAGGTGAGGCAGGGCACCCAAGGACCCTTTCCAGTAGCCACAGGGATTTTGGGATTCCTATCAGTATTCAAGAGGAGTCAGGCATCGTCACCTTTTGAAGCAATGAACTCCGCGTGCCTCTCGAGGTGTCAGCGGGATGTGAGGCATTCCGTCAAAATGAGGCAGGGACCTAGGGCTTTCTCTAAGGTCTCCACAGGGGATTCAGACATCCCTTCATGTTGTGAGATGAAAGACGAGCCTGTATTAAAGCCACTGCAAGGAAATCCGGCCTCCTTTCAAGTTAGGGCTTCTCGCTGCATCTTCCCCTTGAGGCAGCAAACTCGGGGTCCCTCCCACATACCTATTGCTGAGAGAAGCCTCCTCCTGAGGTGCTTCTGGGAAGTTGGCATACGTCTTGAGCCTAAGCCAGGGAATCAGCTCGCATCTCGAGACGATTTGGGGTACACGGAGCATTCCTCGAGTTGCTGTGCTGAAGTTGGTGTTCCTCTAGACTTGGGACAGTGTTCTCGGGGCATCTCTGGAGTTGCCTGAAGGAAGTCGAGCCACCGGTCGTGTTGAATGGGGAACGGGGAATGGCTCTGGAGTCAATGCAGGGGAATCGGGCCTCATCTCGAGTTGATTTGGGGCACATGGAGCTGCTTTGCGTTGCTGGGGTGACCTCAGGGTCCGTCTAGACTGGTGACAGTGTTCTTGGGGACTGTCTCGAGATCCATTAAGCAAGTCGAAGCTCCTGACTTGTTTGAATGGGGTCACGGAATAGCTCTGCATGCACTGCAGGGGAATGGGGCCTCATCTCGCCTCTAGGGGGAAGTCTCGTGGTTTTCCTCGAGTTGCGGCGGGGACCTGGGGTATGTTCTCGACTTACGGCGGGGATGGCCCTTCAAAACACGAGTTTCTTCAGTGACGTCAGGACTCCTGTCTAGTAACGAGGGGCACCTCAGGAATCTCTTCGAGGCTTGGCAGGGCCAAAGGGACGCTTCTCGAGGTGAGGCAGGGCACCCAAGGACCCTTTCCAGTAGCCACAGGGATTTTGGGATTCCTATCAGTATTCAAGAGGAGTCAGGCATCGTCACCTTTTGAAGCAATGAACTCCGCGTGCCTCTCGAGGTGTCAGCGGGATGTGAGGCATTCCGTCAAAATGAGGCAGGGACCTAGGGCTTTCTCTAAGGTCTCCACAGGGGATTCAGACATCCCTTCATGTTGTGAGATGAAAGACGAGCCTGTATTCAAGCCACTGCAAGGAAATCCGGCCTCCTTTCAAGTTAGGGCTTCTCGCTGTATATTCCCCTTGAGGCAGCAAACTCGGGGTCCCTCCCACATACCTATTGCTGAGAGAAGCCTCCTCCTGAGGTGCTTCTGGGAAGTTGGCATACGTCTTGAGCCTAAGCCAGGGAATCAGCTCGCATCTCGAGACGATTTGGGGTACACGGAGCATTCCTCGAGTTGCTGTGCTGAAGTTGGTGTTCCTCTAGACTTGGGACAGTGTTCTCGGGGCATCTCTGGAGTTGCCTGAAGGAAGTCGAGCCACCGGTCGTGTTGAATGGGGAACGGGGAATGGCTCTGGAGTCAATGCAGGGGAATCGGGCCTCATCTCGAGTTGATTTGGGGCACATGGAGCTGCTTTGCGTTGCTGGGGTGACCTCAGGGTCCGTCTAGACTGGTGACAGTGTTCTTGGGGACTGTCTCGAGATCCATTAAGCAAGTCGAAGCTCCTGACTTGTTTGAATGGGGTCACGGAATAGCTCTGCATGCACTGCAGGGGAATGGGGCCTCATCTCGCCTCTAGGGGGAAGTCTCGTGGTTTTCCTCGAGTTGCGGCGGGGACCTGGGGTATGTTCTCGACTTACGGCGGGGATGGCCCTTCAAAACACGAGTTTCTTCAGTGACGTCAGGACTCCTGTCTAGTAACGAGGGACACCTCAGGAATCTCTTCGAGGCTTGGCAGGGCCAAAGGGACGCTTCTCGAGGTGAGGCAGGGCACCCAAGGACCCTTTCCAGTAGCCACAGGGATTTTGGGATTCCTATCAGTATTCAAGAGGAGTCAGGCATCGTCACCTTTTGAAGCAATGAACTCCGCGTGCCTCTCGAGGTGTCAGCGGGATGTGAGGCATTCCGTCAAAATGAGGCAGGGACCTAGGGCTTTCTCTAAGGTCTCCACAGGGGATTCAGACATCCCTTCATGTTGTGAGATGAAAGACGAGCCTGTATTCAAGCCACTGCAAGGAAATCCGGCCTCCTTTCAAGTTAGGGCTTCTCGCTGTATATTCCCCTTGAGGCAGCAAACTCGGGGTCCCTCCCACATACCTATTGCTGAGAGAAGCCTCCTCCTGAGGTGCTTCTGGGAAGTTGGCATACGTCTTGAGCCTAAGCCAGGGAATCAGCTCGCATCTCGAGACGATTTGGGGTACACGGAGCATTCCTCGAGTTGCTGTGCTGAAGTTGGTGTTCCTCTAGACTTGGGACAGTGTTCTCGGGGCATCTCTGGAGTTGCCTGAAGGAAGTCGAGCCACCGGTCGTGTTGAATGGGGAACGGGGAATGGCTCTGGAGTCAATGCAGGGGAATCGGGCCTCATCTCGAGTTGATTTGGGGCACATGGAGCTGCTTTGCGTTGCTGGGGTGACCTCAGGGTCCGTCTAGACTGGTGACAGTGTTCTTGGGGACTGTCTCGAGATCCATTAAGCAAGTCGAAGCTCCTGACTTGTTTGAATGGGGTCACGGAATAGCTCTGCATGCACTGCAGGGGAATGGGGCCTCATCTCGCCTCTAGGGGGAAGTCTCATGGTTTTTCTCGAGTTGCGGCGGGGACCTGGGGTATGTTCTCGACTTACGGCGGGGATGGCCCTTCAAAACACGAGTTTCTTCAGTGACGTCAGGACTCCTGTCTAGTAACGAGGGACACCTCAGGAATCTCTTCGAGGCTTGGCAGGGCCAAAGGGACGCTTCTCGAGGTGAGGCAGGGCACCCAAGGACCCTTTCCAGTAGCCACAGGGATTTTGGGATTCCTATCAGTATTCAAGAGGAGTCAGGCATCGTCACCTTTTGAAGCAATGAACTCCGCGTGCCTCTCGAGGTGTCAGCGGGATGTGAGGCATTCCGTCAAAATGAGGCAGGGACCTAGGGCTTTCTCTAAGGTCTCCACAGGGGATTCAGACATCCCTTCATGTTGTGAGATGAAAGACGAGCCTGTATTCAAGCCACTGCAAGGAAATCCGGCCTCCTTTCAAGTTAGGGCTTCTCGCTGTATATTCCCCTTGAGGCAGCAAACTCGGGGTCCCTCCCACATACCTATTGCTGAGAGAAGCCTCCTCCTGAGGTGCTTCTGGGAAGTTGGCATACGTCTTGAGCCTAAGCCAGGGAATCAGCTCGCATCTCGAGACGATTTGGGGTACACGGAGCATTCCTCGAGTTGCTGTGCTGAAGTTGGTGTTCCTCTAGACTTGGGACAGTGTTCTCGGGGCATCTCTGGAGTTGCCTGAAGGAAGTCGAGCCACCGGTCGTGTTGAATGGGGAACGGGGAATGGCTCTGGAGTCAATGCAGGGGAATCGGGCCTCATCTCGAGTTGATTTGGGGCACATGGAGCTGCTTTGCGTTGCTGGGGTGACCTCAGGGTCCGTCTAGACTGGTGACAGTGTTCTTGGGGACTGTCTCGAGATCCATTAAGCAAGTCGAAGCTCCTGACTTGTTTGAATGGGGTCACGGAATAGCTCTGCATGCACTGCAGGGGAATGGGGCCTCATCTCGCCTCTAGGGGGAAGTCTCGTGGTTTTCCTCGAGTTGCGGCGGGGACCTGGGGTATGTTCTCGACTTACGGCGGGGATGGCCCTTCAAAACACGAGTTTCTTCAGTGACGTCAGGACTCCTGTCTAGTAACGAGGGACACCTCAGGAATCTCTTCGAGGCTTGGCAGGGCCAAAGGGACGCTTCTCGAGGTGAGGCAGGGCACCCAAGGACCCTTTCCAGTAGCCACAGGGATTTTGGGATTCCTATCAGTATTCAAGAGGAGTCAGGCATCGTCACCTTTTGAAGCAATGAACTCCGCGTGCCTCTCGAGGTGTCAGCGGGATGTGAGGCATTCCGTCAAAATGAGGCAGGGACCTAGGGCTTTCTCTAAGGTCTCCACAGGGGATTCAGACATCCCTTCATGTTGTGAGATGAAAGACGAGCCTGTATTCAAGCCACTGCAAGGAAATCCGGCCTCCTTTCAAGTTAGGGCTTCTCGCTGTATATTCCCCTTGAGGCAGCAAACTCGGGGTCCCTCCCACATACCTATTGCTGAGAGAAGCCTCCTCCTGAGGTGCTTCTGGGAAGTTGGCATAAGTCTTGAGCCTAAGCCAGGGAATCAGCTCGCATCTCGAGACGATTTGGGGTACACGGAGCATTCCTCGAGTTGCTGTGCTGAAGTTGCTGTTCCTCTAGACTTGGGACAGTGTTCTCGGGGCATCTCTGGAGTTGCCTGAAGGAAGTCGAGCCACCGGTCGTGTTGAATGGGGAACGGGGAATGGCTCTGGAGTCAATGCAGGGGAATCGGGCCTCATCTCGAGTTGATTTGGGGCACATGGAGCTGCTTTGCGTTGCCGGGGTGACCTCAGGGTCCGTCTAGACTGGTGACAGTGTTCTTGGGGACTGTCTCGAGATCCATTAAGCAAGTCGAAGCTCCTGACTTGTTTGAATGGGGTCACGGAATAGCTCTGCATGCACTGCAGGGGAATGGGGCCTCATCTCGCCTCTAGGGGGAAGTCTCATGGTTTTTCTCGAGTTGCGGCGGGGACCTGGGGTATGTTCTCGACTTACGGCGGGGATGGCCCTTCAAAACACGAGTTTCTTCAGTGACGTCAGGACTCCTGTCTAGTAACGAGGGACACCTCAGGAATCTCTTCGAGGCTTGGCAGGGCCAAAGGGACGCTTCTCGAGGTGAGGCAGGGCACCCAAGGACCCTTTCCAGTAGCCACAGGGATTTTGGGATTCCTATCAGTATTCAAGAGGAGTCAGGCATCGTCACCTTTTGAAGCAATGAACTCCGCGTGCCTCTCGAGGTGTCAGCGGGATGTGAGGCATTCCGTCAAAATGAGGCAGGGACCTAGGGCTTTCTCTAAGGTCTCCACAGGGGATTCAGACATCCCTTCATGTTGTGAGATGAAAGACGAGCCTGTATTCAAGCCACTGCAAGGAAATCCGGCCTCCTTTCAAGTTAGGGCTTCTCGCTGTATATTCCCCTTGAGGCAGCAAACTCGGGGTCCCTCCCACATATCTATTTCTGAGAGAAGCCTCCTCCTGAGGTGCTTCTGGGAAGTTGGCATACGTCTTGAGCCTAAGCCAGGGAATCAGCTCGCATCTCGAGACGATTTGGGGTACACGGAGCATTCCTCGAGTTGCTGTGCTGAAGTTGCTGTTCCTCTAGACTTGGGACAGTGTTCTCGGGGCATCTCTGGAGTTGCCTGAAGGAAGTCGAGCCACCGGTCGTGTTGAATGGGGAACGGGGAATGGCTCTGGAGTCAATGCAGGGGAATCGGGCCTCATCTCGAGTTGATTTGGGGCACATGGAGCTGCTTTGCGTTGCTGGGGTGACCTCAGGGTCCGTCTAGACTGGTGACAGTGTTCTTGGGGACTGTCTCGAGATCCATTAAGCAAGTCGAAGCTCCTGACTTGTTTGAATGGGGTCACGGAATAGCTCTGCATGCACTGCAGGGGAATGGGGCCTCATCTCGCCTCTAGGGGGAAGTCTCGTGGTTTTCTTCGAGTTGCGGCGGGGACCTGGGGTATGTTCTCGACTTACGGCGGGGATGGCCCTTCAAAACACGAGTTTCTTCAGTGACGTCAGGACTCCTGTCTAGTAACGAAGGACACCTCAGGAATCTCTTCGAGGCTTGGCAGGGCCAAAGGGACGCTTCTCGAGGTGAGGCAGGGCACCCAAGGACCCTTTCCAGTAGCCACAGGGATTTTGGGATTCCTATCAGTATTCAAGAGGAGTCAGGCATCGTCACCTTTTGAAGCAATGAACTCCGCGTGCCTCTCGAGGTGTCAGCGGGATGTGAGGCATTCCGTCAAAATGAGGCAGGGACCTAGGGCTTTCTCTAAGGTCTCCACAGGGGATTCAGACATCCCTTCATGTTGTGAGATGAAAGACGAGCCTGTATTCAAGCCACTGCAAGGAAATCCGGCCTAATTTCAAGTTAGGGCTTCTCGCTGCATCTTCCCCTTGAGGCAGCAAACTCGGGGTCCCTCCCACATACCTATTGCTGAGAGAAGCCTCCTCCTGAGGTGCTTCTGGGAAGTTGGCATACGTCTTGAGCCTAAGCCAGGGAATCAGCTCGCATCTCGAGACGATTTGGGGTACACGGAGCATTCCTCGAGTTGCTGTGCTGAAGTTGGTGTTCCTCTAGACTTGGGACAGTGTTCTCGGGGCATCTCTGGAGTTGCCTGAAGGAAGTCGAGCCACCGGTCGTGTTGAATGGGGAACGGGGAATGGCTCTGGAGTCAATGCAGGGGAATCGGGCCTCATCTCGAGTTGATTTGGGGCACATGGAGCTGCTTTGCGTTGCTGGGGTGACCTCAGGGTCCGTCTAGACTGGTGACAGTGTTCTTGGGGACTGTCTCGAGATCCATTAAGCAAGTCGAAGCTCCTGACTTGTTTGAATGGGGTCACGGAATAGCTCTGCATGCACTGCAGGGGAATGGGGCCTCATCTCGCCTCTAGGGGGAAGTCTCATGGTTTTTCTCGAGTTGCGGCGGGGACCTGGGGTATGTTCTCGACTTACGGCGGGGATGGCCCTTCAAAACACGAGTTTCTTCAGTGACGTCAGGACTCCTGTCTAGTAACGAGGGACACCTCAGGAATCTCTTCGAGGCTTGGCAGGGCCAAAGGGACGCTTCTCGAGGTGAGGCAGGGCACCCAAGGACCCTTTCCAGTAGCCACAGGGATTTTGGGATTCCTATCAGTATTCAAGAGGAGTCAGGCATCGTCACCTTTTGAAGCAATGAACTCCGCGTGCCTCTCGAGGTGTCAGCGGGATGTGAGGCATTCCGTCAAAATGAGGCAGGGACCTAGGGCTTTCTCTAAGGTCTCCACAGGGGATTCAGACATCCCTTCATGTTGTGAGATGAAAGACGAGCCTGTATTCAAGCCACTGCAAGGAAATCCGGCCTCCTTTCAAGTTAGGGCTTCTCGCTGTATATTCCCCTTGAGGCAGCAAACTCGGGGTCCCTCCCACATAACTATTGCTGAGAGAAGCCTCCTCTTGAGGTGCTTCTGGGAAGTTGGCATACGTCTTGAGCCTAAGCCAGGGAATCAGCTCGCATCTCGAGACGATTTGGGGTACACGGAGCATTCCTCGAGTTGCTGTGCTGAAGTTGCTGTTCCTCTAGACTTGGGACAGTGTTCTCGGGGCATTTCTGGAGTTGCCTGAAGGAAGTCGAGCCACCGGTCGTGTTGAATGGGGAACGGGGAATGGCTCTGGAGTCAATGCAGGGGAATCGGGCCTCATCTCGAGTTGATTTGGGGCACATGGAGCTGCTTTTCGTTGCTGGGGTGACCTCAGGGTCCGTCTAGACTGGTGACAGTGTTCTTGGGGACTGTCTCGAGATCCATTAAGCAAGTCGAAGCTCCTGACTTGTTTGAATGGGGTCACGGAATAGCTCTGCATGCACTGCAGGGGAATGGGGCCTCATCTCGCCTCTAGGGGGAAGTCTCGTGGTTTTCCTCGAGTTGCGGCGGGGACCTGGGGTATGTTCTCGACTTACGGCGGGGATGGCCCTTCAAAACACGAGTTTCTTCAGTGACGTCAGGACTCCTGTCTAGTAACGAGGGACACCTCAGGAATCTCTTCGAGGCTTGGCAGGGCCAAAGGGACGCTTCTCGAGGTGAGGCAGGGCACCCAAGGACCCTTTCCAGTAGCCACAGGGATTTTGGGATTCCTATCAGTATTCAAGAGGAGTCAGGCATCGTCACCTTTTGAAGCAATGAACTCCGCGTGCCTCTCGAGGTGTCAGCGGGATGTGAGGCATTCCGTCAAAATGAGGCAGGGACCTAGGGCTTTCTCTAAGGACTCCACAGGGGATTCAGACATCCCTTCATGTTGTGAGATGAAAGACGAGCCTGTATTCAAGCCACTGCAAGGAAATCCGGCCTCCTTTCAAGTTAGGGCTTCTCGCTGCATCTTCCCCTTGAGGCAGCAAACTCGGGGTCCCTCCCACATACCTATTGCTGAGAGAAGCCTCCTCCTGAGGTGCTTCTGGGAAGTTGGCATACGTCTTGAGCCTAAGCCAGGGAATCAGCTCGCATCTCGAGACGATTTGGGGTACACGGAGCATTCCTCGAGTTGCTGTGCTGAAGTTGGTGTTCCTCTAGACTTGGGACAGTGTTCTCGGGGCATCTCTGGAGTTGCCTGAAGGAAGTCGAGCCACCGGTCGTGTTGAATGGGGAACGGGGAATGGCTCTGGAGTCAATGCAGGGGAATCGGGCCTCATCTCGAGTTGATTTGGGGCACATGGAGCTGCTTTGCGTTGCTGGGGTGACCTCAGGGTCCGTCTAGACTGGTGACAGTGTTCTTGGGGACTGTCTCGAGATCCATTAAGCAAGTCGAAGCTCCTGACTTGTTTGAATGGGATCACGGAATAGCTCTGCATGCACTGCAGGGGAATGGGGCCTCATCTCGCCTCTAGGGGGAAGTCTCATGGTTTTTCTCGAGTTGCGGCGGGGACCTGGGGTATGTTCTCGACTTACGGCGGGGATGGCCCTTCAAAACACGAGTTTCTTCAGTGACGTCAGGACTCCTGTCTAGTAACGAGGGACACCTCAGGAATCTCTTCGAGGCTTGGCAGGGCCAAAGGGACGCTTCTCGAGGTGAGGCAGGGCACCCAAGGACCCTTTCCAGTAGCCACAGGGATTTTGGGATTCCTATCAGTATTCAAGAGGAGTCAGGCATCGTCACCTTTTGAAGCAATGAACTCCGCGTGCCTCTCGAGGTGTCAGCGGGATGTGAGGCATTCCGTCAAAATGAGGCAGGGACCTAGGGCTTTCTCTAAGGTCTCCACAGGGGATTCAGACATCCCTTCATGTTGTGAGATGAAAGACGAGCCTGTATTCAAGCCACTGCAAGGAAATCCGGCCTCCTTTCAAGTTAGGGCTTCTCGCTGTATATTCCCCTTGAGGCAGCAAACTCGGGGTCCCTCCCACATACCTATTGCTGAGAGAAGCCTCCTCCTGAGGTGCTTCTGGGAAGTTGGCATACGTCTTGAGCCTAAGCCAGGGAATCAGCTCGCATCTCGAGACGATTTGGGGTACACGGAGCATTCCTCGAGTTGCTGTGCTGAAGTTGGTGTTCCTCTAGACTTGGGACAGTGTTCTCGGGGCATCTCTGGAGTTGCCTGAAGGAAGTCGAGCCACCGGTCGTGTTGAATGGGGAACGGGGAATGGCTCTGGAGTCAATGCAGGGGAATCGGGCCTCATCTCGAGTTGATTTGGGGCACATGGAGCTGCTTTGCGTTGCTGGGGTGACCTCAGGGTCCGTCTAGACTGGTGACAGTGTTCTTGGGGACTGTCTCGAGATCCATTAAGCAAGTCGAAGCTCCTGACTTGTTTGAATGGGGTCACGGAATAGCTCTGCATGCACTGCAGGGGAATGGGGCCTCATCTCGCCTCTAGGGGGAAGTCTCGTGGTTTTCCTCGAGTTGCGGCGGGGACCTGGGGTATGTTCTCGACTTACGGCGGGGATGGCCCTTCAAAACACGAGTTTCTTCAGTGACGTCAGGACTCCTGTCTAGTAACGAGGGACACCTCAGGAATCTCTTCGAGGCTTGGCAGGGCCAAAGGGACGCTTCTCGAGGTGAGGCAGGGCACCCAAGGACCCTTTCCAGTAGCCACAGGGATTTTGGGATTCCTATCAGTATTCAAGAGGAGTCAGGCATCGTCACCTTTTGAAGCAATGAACTCCGCGTGCCTCTCGAGGTGTCAGCGGGATGTGAGGCATTCCGTCAAAATGAGGCAGGGACCTAGGGCTTTCTCTAAGGTCTCCACAGGGGATTCAGACATCCCTTCATGTTGTGAGATGAAAGACGAGCCTGTATTCAAGCCACTGCAAGGAAATCCGGCCTCCTTTCAAGTTAGGGCTTCTCGCTGCATCTTCCCCTTGAGGCAGCAAACTCGGGGTCCCTCCCACATACCTATTGCTGAGAGAAGCCTCCTCCTGAGGTGCTTCTGGGAAGTTGGCATACGTCTTGAGCCTAAGCCAGGGAATCAGCTCGCATCTCGAGACGATTTGGGGTACACGGAGCATTCCTCGAGTTGCTGTGCTGAAGTTGGTGTTCCTCTAGACTTGGGACAGTGTTCTCGGGGCATCTCTGGAGTTGCCTGAAGGAAGTCGAGCCACCGGTCGTGTTGAATGGGGAACGGGGAATGGCTCTGGAGTCAATGCAGGGGAATCGGGCCTCATCTCGAGTTGATTTGGGGCACATGGAGCTGCTTTGCGTTGCTGGGGTGACCTCAGGGTCCGTCTAGACTGGTGACAGTGTTCTTGGGGACTGTCTCGAGATCCATTAAGCAAGTCGAAGCTCCTGACTTGTTTGAATGGGATCACGGAATAGCTCTGCATGCACTGCAGGGGAATGGGGCCTCATCTCGCCTCTAGGGGGAAGTCTCATGGTTTTTCTCGAGTTACGGCGGGGACCTGGGGTATGTTCTCGACTTACGGCGGGGATGGCCCTTCAAAACACGAGTTTCTTCAGTGACGTCAGGACTCCTGTCTAGTAACGAGGGACACCTCAGGAATCTCTTCGAGGCTTGGCAGGGCCAAAGGGACGCTTCTCGAGGTGAGGCAGGGCACCCAAGGACCCTTTCCAGTAGCCACAGGGATTTTGGGATTCCTATCAGTATTCAAGAGGAGTCAGGCATCGTCACCTTTTGAAGCAATGAACTCCGCGTGCCTCTCGAGGTGTCAGCGGGATGTGAGGCATTCCGTCAAAATGAGGCAGGGACCTAGGGCTTTCTCTAAGGTCTCCACAGGGGATTCAGACATCCCTTCATGTTGTGAGATGAAAGACGAGCCTGTATTCAAGCCACTGCAAGGAAATCCGGCCTCCTTTCAAGTTAGGGCTTCTCGCTGTATATTCCCCTTGAGGCAGCAAACTCGGGGTCCCTCCCACATACCTATTGCTGAGAGAAGCCTCCTCCTGAGGTGCTTCTGGGAAGTTGGCATACGTCTTGAGCCTAAGCCAGGGAATCAGCTCGCATCTCGAGACGATTTGGGGTACACGGAGCATTCCTCGAGTTGCTGTGCTGAAGTTGCTGTTCCTCTAGACTTGGGACAGTGTTCTCGGGGCATTTCTGGAGTTGCCTGAAGGAAGTCGAGCCACCGGTCGTGTTGAATGGGGAACGGGGAATGGCTCTGGAGTCAATGCAGGGGAATCGGGCCTCATCTCGAGTTGATTTGGGGCACATGGAGCTGCTTTTCGTTGCTGGGGTGACCTCAGGGTCCGTCTAGACTGGTGACAGTGTTCTTGGGGACTGTCTCGAGATCCATTAAGCAAGTCGAAGCTCCTGACTTGTTTGAATGGGGTCACGGAATAGCTCTGCATGCACTGCAGGGGAATGGGGCCTCATCTCGCCTCTAGGGGGAAGTCTCGTGGTTTTCCTCGAGTTGCGGCGGGGACCTGGGGTATGTTCTCGACTTACGGCGGGGATGGCCCTTCAAAACACGAGTTTCTTCAGTGACGTCAGGACTCCTGTCTAGTAACGAGGGACACCTCAGGAATCTCTTCGAGGCTTGGCAGGGCCAAAGGGACGCTTCTCGAGGTGAGGCAGGGCACCCAAGGACCCTTTCCAGTAGCCACAGGGATTTTGGGATTCCTATCAGTATTCAAGAGGAGTCAGGCATCGTCACCTTTTGAAGCAATGAACTCCGCGTGCCTCTCGAGGTGTCAGCGGGATGTGAGGCATTCCGTCAAAATGAGGCAGGGACCTAGGGCTTTCTCTAAGGTCTCCACAGGGGATTCAGACATCCCTTCATGTTGTGAGATGAAAGACGAGCCTGTATTCAAGCCACTGCAAGGAAATCCGGCCTCCTTTCAAGTTAGGGCTTCTCGCTGTATATTCCCCTTGAGGCAGCAAACTCGGGGTCCCTCCCACATACCTATTGCTGAGAGAAGCCTCCTCCTGAGGTGCTTCTGGGAAGTTGGCATACGTCTTGAGCCTAAGCCAGGGAATCAGCTCGCATCTCGAGACGATTTGGGGTACACGGAGCATTCCTCGAGTTGCTGTGCTGAAGTTGCTGTTCCTCTAGACTTGGGACAGTGTTCTCGGGGCATTTCTGGAGTTGCCTGAAGGAAGTCGAGCCACCGGTCGTGTTGAATGGGGAACGGGGAATGGCTCTGGAGTCAATGCAGGGGAATCGGGCCTCATCTCGAGTTGATTTGGGGCACATGGAGCTGCTTTTCGTTGCTGGGGTGACCTCAGGGTCCGTCTAGACTGGTGACAGTGTTCTTGGGGACTGTCTCGAGATCCATTAAGCAAGTCGAAGCTCCTGACTTGTTTGAATGGGGTCACGGAATAGCTCTGCATGCACTGCAGGGGAATGGGGCCTCATCTCGCCTCTAGGGGGAAGTCTCGTGGTTTTCCTCGAGTTGCGGCGGGGACCTGGGGTATGTTCTCGACTTACGGCGGGGATGGCCCTTCAAAACACGAGTTTCTTCAGTGACGTCAGGACTCCTGTCTAGTAACGAGGGACACCTCAGGAATCTCTTCGAGGCTTGGCAGGGCCAAAGGGACGCTTCTCGAGGTGAGGCAGGGCACCCAAGGACCCTTTCCAGTAGCCACAGGGATTTTGGGATTCCTATCAGTATTCAAGAGGAGTCAGGCATCGTCACCTTTTGAAGCAATGAACTCCGCGTGCCTCTCGAGGTGTCAGCGGGATGTGAGGCATTCCGTCAAAATGAGGCAGGGACCTAGGGCTTTCTCTAAGGTCTCCACAGGGGATTCAGACATCCCTTCATGTTGTGAGATGAAAGACGAGCCTGTATTCAAGCCACTGCAAGGAAATCTGGCCTCCTTTCAAGTTAGGGCTTCTCGCTGTATATTCCCCTTGAGGCAGCAAACTCGGGGTCCCTCCCACATACCTATTGCTGAGAGAAGCCTCCTCCTGAGGTGCTTCTGGGAAGTTGGCATACGTCTTGAGCCTAAGCCAGGGAATCAGCTCGCATCTCGAGATGATTTGGGGTACACGGAGCATTCCTCGAGTTGCTGTGCTGAAGTTGGTGTTCCTCTAGACTTGGGACAGTGTTCTCGGGGCATCTCTGGAGTTGCCTGAAGGAAGTCGAGCCACCGGTCGTGTTGAATGGGGAACGGGGAATGGCTCTGGAGTCAATGCAGGGGAATCGGGCCTCATCTCGAGTTGATTTGGGGCACATGGAGCTGCTTTGCGTTGCTGGGGTGACCTCAGGGTCCGTCTAGACTGGTGACAGTGTTCTTGGGGACTGTCTCGAGATCCATTAAGCAAGTCGAAGCTCCTGACTTGTTTGAATGGGGTCACGGAATAGCTCTGCATGCACTGCAGGGGAATGGGGCCTCATCTCGCCTCTAGGGGGAAGTCTCATGGTTTTTCTCGAGTTGCGGCGGGGACCTGGGGTATGTTCTCGACTTACGGCGGGGATGGCCCTTCAAAACACGAGTTTCTTCAGTGACGTCAGGACTCCTGTCTAGTAACGAGGGACACCTCAGGAATCTCTTCGAGGCTTGGCAGGGCCAAAGGGACGCTTCTCGAGGTGAGGCAGGGCACCCAAGGACCCTTTCCAGTAGCCACAGGGATTTTGGGATTCCTATCAGTATTCAAGAGGAGTCAGGCATCGTCACCTTTTGAAGCAATGAACTCCGCGTGCCTCTCGAGGTGTCAGCGGGATGTGAGGCATTCCGTCAAAATGAGGCAGGGACCTAGGGCTTTCTCTAAGGTCTCCACAGGGGATTCAGACATCCCTTCATGTTGTGAGATGAAAGACGAGCCTGTATTCAAGCCACTGCAAGGAAATCCGGCCTCCTTTCAAGTTAGGGCTTCTCGCTGTATATTCCCCTTGAGGCAGCAAACTCGGGGTCCCTCCCACATACCTATTGCTGAGAGAAGCCTCCTCCTGAGGTGCTTCTGGGAAGTTGGCATACGTCTTGAGCCTAAGCCAGGGAATCAGCTCGCATCTCGAGACGATTTGGGGTACACGGAGCATTCCTCGAGTTGCTGTGCTGAAGTTGGTGTTCCTCTAGACTTGGGACAGTGTTCTCGGGGCATCTCTGGAGTTGCCTGAAGGAAGTCGAGCCACCGGTCGTGTTGAATGGGGAACGGGGAATGGCTCTGGAGTCAATGCAGGGGAATCGGGCCTCATCTCGAGTTGATTTGGGGCACATGGAGCTGCTTTGCGTTGCTGGGGTGACCTCAGGGTCCGTCTAGACTGGTGACAGTGTTCTTGGGGACTGTCTCGAGATCCATTAAGCAAGTCGAAGCTCCTGACTTGTTTGAATGGGGTCACGGAATAGCTCTGCATGCACTGCAGGGGAATGGGGCCTCATCTCGCCTCTAGGGGGAAGTCTCGTGGTTTTCCTCGAGTTGCGGCGGGGACCTGGGGTATGTTCTCGACTTACGGCGGGGATGGCCCTTCAAAACACGAGTTTCTTCAGTGACATCAGGACTCCTGTCTAGTAACGAGGGACACCTCAGGAATCTCTTCGAGGCTTGGCAGGGCCAAAGGGACGCTTCTCGAGGTGAGGCAGGGCACCCAAGGACCCTTTCCAGTAGCCACAGGGATTTTGGGATTCCTATCAGTATTCAAGAGGAGTCAGGCATCGTCACCTTTTGAAGCAATGAACTCCGCGTGACTCTCGAGGTGTCAGCGGGATGTGAGGCATTCCGTCAAAATGAGGCAGGGACCTAGGGCTTTCTCTAAGGTCTCCACAGGGGATTCAGACATCCCTTCATGTTGTGAGATGAAAGACGAGCCTGTATTCAAGCCACTGCAAGGAAATCCGGCCTCCTTTCAAGTTAGGGCTTCTCGCTGTATATTCCCCTTGAGGCAGCAAACTCGGGGTCCCTCCCACATACCTATTGCTGAGAGAAGCCTCCTCCTGAGGTGCTTCTGGGAAGTTGGCATAAGTCTTGAGCCTAAGCCAGGGAATCAGCTCGCATCTCGAGACGATTTGGGGTACACGGAGCATTCCTCGAGTTGCTGTGCTGAAGTTGCTGTTCCTCTAGACTTGGGACAGTGTTCTCGGGGCATCTCTGGAGTTGCCTGAAGGAAGTCGAGCCACCGGTCGTGTTGAATGGGGAACGGGGAATGGCTCTGGAGTCAATGCAGGGGAATCGGGCCTCATCTCGAGTTGATTTGGGGCACATGGAGCTGCTTTGCGTTGCTGGGGTGACCTCAGGGTCCGTCTAGACTGGTGACAGTGTTCTTGGGGACTGTCTCGAGATCCATTAAGCAAGTCGAAGCTCCTGACTTGTTTGAATGGGGTCACGGAATAGCTCTGCATGCACTGCAGGGGAATGGGGCCTCATCTCGCCTCTAGGGGGAAGTCTCATGGTTTTTCTCGAGTTGCGGCGGGGACCTGAGGTATGTTCTCGACTTACGGCGGGGATGGCCCTTCAAAACACGAGTTTCTTCAGTGACGTCAGGACTCCTGTCTAGTAACGAGGGACACCTCAGGAATCTCTTCGAGGCTTGGCAGGGCCAAAGGGACGCTTCTCGAGGTGAGGCAGGGCACCCAAGGACCCTTTCCAGTAGCCACAGGGATTTTGGGATTCCTATCAGTATTCAAGAGGAGTCAGGCATCGTCACCTCTTGAAGCAATGAACTCCGCGTGCCTCTCGAGGTGTCAGCGGGATGTGAGGCATTCCGTCAAAATGAGGCAGGGACCTAGGGCTTTCTCTAAGGTCTCCACAGGGGATTCAGACATCCCTTCATGTTGTGAGATGAAAGACGAGCCTGTATTCAAGCCACTGGAAGGAAATCCGGCCTCCTTTCAAGTTAGGGCTTCTCGCTGTATATTCCCCTTGAGGCAGCAAACTCGGGGTCCCTCCCACATACCTATTGCTGAGAGAAGCCTCCTCCTGAGGTGCTTCTGGGAAGTTGGCATACGTCTTGAGCCTAAGCCAGGGAATCAGCTCGCATCTCGAGACGATTTGGGGTACACGGAGCATTCCTCGAGTTGCTGTGCTGAAGTTGCTGTTCCTCTAGACTTGGGACAGTGTTCTCGGGGCATTTCTGGAGTTGCCTGAAGGAAGTCGAGCCACCGGTCTTGTTGAATGGGGAACGGGGAATGGCTCTGGAGTCAATGCAGGGGAATCGGGCCTCATCTCGAGTTGTTTTGGGGCACATGGAGCTGCTTTTCGTTGCTGGGGTGACCTCAGGGTCCGTCTAGACTGGTGACAGTGTTCTTGGGGACTGTCTCGAGATCCATTAAGCAAGTCGAAGCTCCTGACTTGTTTGAATGGGGTCACGGAATAGCTCTGCATGCACTGCAGGGGAATGGGGCCTCATCTCGCCTCTAGGGGGAAGTCTCGTGGTTTTCCTCGAGTTGCGGCGGGGACCTGGGGTATGTTCTCGACTTACGGCGGGGATGGCCCTTCAAAACACGAGTTTCTTCAGTGACGTCAGGACTCCTGTCTAGTAACGAGGGACACCTCAGGAATCTCTTCGAGGCTTGGCAGGGCCAAAGGGACGCTTCTCGAGGTGAGGCAGGGCACCCAAGGACCCTTTCCAGTAGCCACAGGGATTTTGGGATTCCTATCAGTATTCAAGAGGAGTCAGGCATCGTCACCTTTTGAAGCAATGAACTCCGCGTGCCTCTCGAGGTGTCAGCGGGATGTGAGGCATTCCGTCAAAATGAGGCAGGGACCTAGGGCTTTCTCTAAGGACTCCACAGGGGATTCAGACATCCCTTCATGTTGTGAGATGAAAGACGAGCCTGTATTCAAGCCACTGCAAGGAAATCCGGCCTCCTTTCAAGTTAGGGCTTCTCGCTGCATCTTCCCCTTGAGGCAGCAAACTCGGGGTCCCTCCCACATACCTATTGCTGAGAGAAGCCTCCTCCTGAGGTGCTTCTGGGAAGTTGGCATACGTCTTGAGCCTAAGCCAGGGAATCAGCTCGCATCTCGAGACGATTTGGGGTACACGGAGCATTCCTCGAGTTGCTGTGCTGAAGTTGGTGTTCCTCTAGACTTGGGACAGTGTTCTCGGGGCATCTCTGGAGTTGCCTGAAGGAAGTCGAGCCACCGGTCGTGTTGAATGGGGAACGGGGAATGGCTCTGGAGTCAATGCAGGGGAATCGGGCCTCATCTCGAGTTGATTTGGGGCACATGGAGCTGCTTTGCGTTGCTGGGGTGACCTCAGGGTCCGTCTAGACTGGTGACAGTGTTCTTGGGGACTGTCTCGAGATCCATTAAGCAAGTCGAAGCTCCTGACTTGTTTGAATGGGATCACGGAATAGCTCTGCATGCACTGCAGGGGAATGGGGCCTCATCTCGCCTCTAGGGGGAAGTCTCATGGTTTTTCTCGAGTTGCGGCGGGGACCTGGGGTATGTTCTCGACTTACGGCGGGGATGGCCCTTCAAAACACGAGTTTCTTCAGTGACGTCAGGACTCCTGTCTAGTAACGAGGGACACCTCAGGAATCTCTTCGAGGCTTGGCAGGGCCAAAGGGACGCTTCTCGAGGTGAGGCAGGGCACCCAAGGACCCTTTCCAGTAGCCACAGGGATTTTGGGATTCCTATCAGTATTCAAGAGGAGTCAGGCATCGTCACCTTTTGAAGCAATGAACTCCGCGTGCCTCTCGAGGTGTCAGCGGGATGTGAGGCATTCCGTCAAAATGAGGCAGGGACCTAGGGCTTTCTCTAAGGTCTCCACAGGGGATTCAGACATCCCTTCATGTTGTGAGATGAAAGACGAGCCTGTATTCAAGCCACTGCAAGGAAATCCGGCCTCCTTTCAAGTTAGGGCTTCTCGCTGTATATTCCCCTTGAGGCAGCAAACTCGGGGTCCCTCCCACATACCTATTGCTGAGAGAAGCCTCCTCCTGAGGTGCTTCTGGGAAGTTGGCATACGTCTTGAGCCTAAGCCAGGGAATCAGCTCGCATCTCGAGACGATTTGGGGTACACGGAGCATTCCTCGAGTTGCTGTGCTGAAGTTGCTGTTCCTCTAGACTTGGGACAGTGTTCTCGGGGCATCTCTGGAGTTGCCTGAAGGAAGTCGAGCCACCGGTCGTGTTGAATGGGGAACGGGGAATGGCTCTGGAGTCAATGCAGGGGAATCGGGCCTCATCTCGAGTTGATTTGGGGCACATGGAGCTGCTTTGCGTTGCTGGGGTGACCTCAGGGTCCGTCTAGACTGGTGACAGTGTTCTTGGGGACTGTCTCGAGATCCATTAAGCAAGTCGAAGCTCCTGACTTGTTTGAATGGGGTCACGGAATAGCTCTGCATGCACTGCAGGGGAATGGGGCCTCATCTCGCCTCTAGGGGGAAGTCTCGTGGTTTTCCTCGAGTTGCGGCGGGGACCTGGGGTATGTTCTCGACTTACGGCGGGGATGGCCCTTCAAAACACGAGTTTCTTCAGTGACGTCAGGACTCCTGTCTAGTAACGAGGGACACCTCAGGAATCTCTTCGAGGCTTGGCAGGGCCAAAGGGACGCTTCTCGAGGTGAGGCAGGGCACCCAAGGACCCTTTCCAGTAGCCACAGGGATTTTGGGATTCCTATCAGTATTCAAGAGGAGTCAGGCATCGTCACCTTTTGAAGCAATGAACTCCGCGTGCCTCTCGAGGTGTCAGCGGGATGTGAGGCATTCCGTCAAAATGAGGCAGGGACCTAGGGCTTTCTCTAAGGTCTCCACAGGGGATTCAGACATCCCTTCATGCTGTGAGATGAAAGACGAGCCTGTATTCAAGCCACTGCAAGGAAATCCGGCCTCCTTTCAAGTTAGGGCTTCTCGCTGCATCTTCCCCTTGAGGCAGCAAACTCGGGGTCCCTCCCACATACCTATTGCTGAGAGAAGCCTCCTCCTGAGGTGCTTCTGGGAAGTTGGCATACGTCTTGAGCCTAAGCCAGGGAATCAGCTCGCATCTCGAGACGATTTGGGGTACACGGAGCATTCCTCGAGTTGCTGTGCTGAAGTTGGTGTTCCTCTAGACTTGGGACAGTGTTCTCGGGGCATCTCTGGAGTTGCCTGAAGGAAGTCGAGCCACCGGTCGTGTTGAATGGGGAACGGGGAATGGCTCTGGTGTCAATGCAGGGGAATCGGGCCTCATCTCGAGTTGATTTGGGGCACATGGAGCTGCTTTGCGTTGCTGGGGTGACCTCAGGGTCCGTCTAGACTGGTGACAGTGTTCTTGGGGACTGTCTCGAGATCCATTAAGCAAGTCGAAGCTCCTGACTTGTTTGAATGGGATCACGGAATAGCTCTGCATGCACTGCAGGGGAATGGGGCCTCATCTCGCCTCTAGGGGGAAGTCTCATGGTTTTTCTCGAGTTACGGCGGGGACCTGGGGTATGTTCTCGACTTACGGCGGGGATGGCCCTTCAAAACACGAGTTTCTTCAGTGACGTCAGGACTCCTGTCTAGTAACGAGGGACACCTCAGGAATCTCTTCGAGGCTTGGCAGGGCCAAAGGGACGCTTCTCGAGGTGAGGCAGGGCACCCAAGGACCCTTTCCAGTAGCCACAGGGATTTTGGGATTCCTATCAGTATTCAAGAGGAGTCAGGCATCGTCACCTTTTGAAGCAATGAACTCCGCGTGCCTCTCGAGGTGTCAGCGGGATGTGAGGCATTCCGTCAAAATGAGGCAGGGACCTAGGGCTTTCTCTAAGGTCTCCACAGGGGATTCAGACATCCCTTCATGTTGTGAGATGAAAGACGAGCCTGTATTCAAGCCACTGCAAGGAAATCCGGCCTCCTTTCAAGTTAGGGCTTCTCGCTGTATATTCCCCTTGAGGCAGCAAACTCGGGGTCCCTCCCACATACCTATTGCTGAGAGAAGCCTCCTCCTGAGGTGCTTCTGGGAAGTTGGCATACGTCTTGAGCCTAAGCCAGGGAATCAGCTCGCATCTCGAGACGATTTGGGGTACACGGAGCATTCCTCGAGTTGCTGTGCTGAAGTTGCTGTTCCTCTAGACTTGGGACAGTGTTCTCGGGGCATTTCTGGAGTTGCCTGAAGGAAGTCGAGCCACCGGTCGTGTTGAATGGGGAACGGGGAATGGCTCTGGAGTCAATGCAGGGGAATCGGGCCTCATCTCGAGTTGATTTGGGGCACATGGAGCTGCTTTTCGTTGCTGGGGTGACCTCAGGGTCCGTCTAGACTGGTGACAGTGTTCTTGGGGACTGTCTCGAGATCCATTAAGCAAGTCGAAGCTCCTGACTTGTTTGAATGGGGTCACGGAATAGCTCTGCATGCACTGCAGGGGAATGGGGCCTCATCTCGCCTCTAGGGGGAAGTCTCGTGGTTTTCCTCGAGTTGCGGCGGGGACCTGGGGTATGTTCTCGACTTACGGCGGGGATGGCCCTTCAAAACACGAGTTTCTTCAGTGACGTCAGGACTCCTGTCTAGTAACGAGGGACACCTCAGGAATCTCTTCGAGGCTTGGCAGGGCCAAAGGGACGCTTCTCGAGGTGAGGCAGGGCACCCAAGGACCCTTTCCAGTAGCCACAGGGATTTTGGGATTCCTATCAGTATTCAAGAGGAGTCAGGCATCGTCACCTTTTGAAGCAATGAACTCCGCGTGCCTCTCGAGGTGTCAGCGGGATGTGAGGCATTCCGTCAAAATGAGGCAGGGACCTAGGGCTTTCTCTAAGGTCTCCACAGGGGATTCAGACATCCCTTCATGTTGTGAGATGAAAGACGAGCCTGTATTCAAGCCACTGCAAGGAAATCCGGCCTCCTTTCAAGTTAGGGCTTCTCGCTGTATATTCCCCTTGAGGCAGCAAACTCGGGGTCCCTCCCACATACCTATTGCTGAGAGAAGCCTCCTCCTGAGGTGCTTCTGGGAAGTTGGCATAAGTCTTGAGCCTAAGCCAGGGAATCAGCTCGCATCTCGAGACGATTTGGGGTACACGGAGCATTCCTCGAGTTGCTGTGCTGAAGTTGCTGTTCCTCTAGACTTGGGACAGTGTTCTCGGGGCATCTCTGGAGTTGCCTGAAGGAAGTCGAGCCACCGGTCGTGTTGAATGGGGAACGGGGAATGGCTCTGGAGTCAATGCAGGGGAATCGGGCCTCATCTCGAGTTGATTTGGGGCACATGGAGCTGCTTTGCGTTGCTGGGGTGACCTCAGGGTCCGTCTAGACTGGTGACAGTGTTCTTGGGGACTGTCTCGAGATCCATTAAGCAAGTCGAAGCTCCTGACTTGTTTGAATGGGGTCACGGAATAGCTCTGCATGCACTGCAGGGGAATGGGGCCTCATCTCGCCTCTAGGGGGAAGTCTCATGGTTTTTCTCGAGTTGCGGCGGGGACCTGAGGTATGTTCTCGACTTACGGCGGGGATGGCCCTTCAAAACACGAGTTTCTTCAGTGACGTCAGGACTCCTGTCTAGTAACGAGGGACACCTCAGGAATCTCTTCGAGGCTTGGCAGGGCCAAAGGGACGCTTCTCGAGGTGAGGCAGGGCACCCAAGGACCCTTTCCAGTAGCCACAGGGATTTTGGGATTCCTATCAGTATTCAAGAGGAGTCAGGCATCGTCACCTCTTGAAGCAATGAACTCCGCGTGCCTCTCGAGGTGTCAGCGGGATGTGAGGCATTCCGTCAAAATGAGGCAGGGACCTAGGGCTTTCTCTAAGGTCTCCACAGGGGATTCAGACATCCCTTCATGTTGTGAGATGAAAGACGAGCCTGTATTCAAGCCACTGGAAGGAAATCCGGCCTCCTTTCAAGTTAGGGCTTCTCGCTGTATATTCCCCTTGAGGCAGCAAACTCGGGGTCCCTCCCACATACCTATTGCTGAGAGAAGCCTCCTCCTGAGGTGCTTCTGGGAAGTTGGCATACGTCTTGAGCCTAAGCCAGGGAATCAGCTCGCATCTCGAGACGATTTGGGGTACACGGAGCATTCCTCGAGTTGCTGTGCTGAAGTTGCTGTTCCTCTAGACTTGGGACAGTGTTCTCGGGGCATTTCTGGAGTTGCCTGAAGGAAGTCGAGCCACCGGTCGTGTTGAATGGGGAACGGGGAATGGCTCTGGAGTCAATGCAGGGGAATCGGGCCTCATCTCGAGTTGATTTGGGGCACATGGAGCTGCTTTTCGTTGCTGGGGTGACCTCAGGGTCCGTCTAGACTGGTGACAGTGTTCTTGGGGACTGTCTCGAGATCCATTAAGCAAGTCGAAGCTCCTGACTTGTTTGAATGGGGTCACGGAATAGCTCTGCATGCACTGCAGGGGAATGGGGCCTCATCTCGCCTCTAGGGGGAAGTCTCGTGGTTTTCCTCGAGTTGCGGCGGGGACCTGGGGTATGTTCTCGACTTACGGCGGGGATGGCCCTTCAAAACACGAGTTTCTTCAGTGACGTCAGGACTCCTGTCTAGTAACGAGGGACACCTCAGGAATCTCTTCGAGGCTTGGCAGGGCCAAAGGGACGCTTCTCGAGGTGAGGCAGGGCACCCAAGGACCCTTTCCAGTAGCCACAGGGATTTTGGGATTCCTATCAGTATTCAAGAGGAGTCAGGCATCGTCACCTTTTGAAGCAATGAACTCCGCGTGCCTCTCGAGGTGTCAGCGGGATGTGAGGCATTCCGTCAAAATGAGGCAGGGACCTAGGGCTTTCTCTAAGGACTCCACAGGGGATTCAGACATCCCTTCATGTTGTGAGATGAAAGACGAGCCTGTATTCAAGCCACTGCAAGGAAATCCGGCCTCCTTTCAAGTTAGGGCTTCTCGCTGCATCTTCCCCTTGAGGCAGCAAACTCGGGGTCCCTCCCACATACCTATTGCTGAGAGAAGCCTCCTCCTGAGGTGCTTCTGGGAAGTTGGCATACGTCTTGAGCCTAAGCCAGGGAATCAGCTCGCATCTCGAGACGATTTGGGGTACACGGAGCATTCCTCGAGTTGCTGTGCTGAAGTTGGTGTTCCTCTAGACTTGGGACAGTGTTCTCGGGGCATCTCTGGAGTTGCCTGAAGGAAGTCGAGCCACCGGTCGTGTTGAATGGGGAACGGGGAATGGCTCTGGAGTCAATGCAGGGGAATCGGGCCTCATCTCGAGTTGATTTGGGGCACATGGAGCTGCTTTGCGTTGCTGGGGTGACCTCAGGGTCCGTCTAGACTGGTGACAGTGTTCTTGGGGACTGTCTCGAGATCCATTAAGCAAGTCGAAGCTCCTGACTTGTTTGAATGGGATCACGGAATAGCTCTGCATGCACTGCAGGGGAATGGGGCCTCATCTCGCCTCTAGGGGGAAGTCTCATGGTTTTTCTCGAGTTGCGGCGGGGACCTGGGGTATGTTCTCGACTTACGGCGGGGATGGCCCTTCAAAACACGAGTTTCTTCAGTGACGTCAGGACTCCTGTCTAGTAACGAGGGACACCTCAGGAATCTCTTCGAGGCTTGGCAGGGCCAAAGGGACGCTTCTCGAGGTGAGGCAGGGCACCCAAGGACCCTTTCCAGTAGCCACAGGGATTTTGGGATTCCTATCAGTATTCAAGAGGAGTCAGGCATCGTCACCTTTTGAAGCAATGAACTCCGCGTGCCTCTCGAGGTGTCAGCGGGATGTGAGGCATTCCGTCAAAATGAGGCAGGGACCTAGGGCTTTCTCTAAGGTCTCCACAGGGGATTCAGACATCCCTTCATGTTGTGAGATGAAAGACGAGCCTGTATTCAAGCCACTGCAAGGAAATCCGGCCTCCTTTCAAGTTAGGGCTTCTCGCTGTATATTCCCCTTGAGGCAGCAAACTCGGGGTCCCTCCCACATACCTATTGCTGAGAGAAGCCTCCTCCTGAGGTGCTTCTGGGAAGTTGGCATACGTCTTGAGCCTAAGCCAGGGAATCAGCTCGCATCTCGAGACGATTTGGGGTACACGGAGCATTCCTCGAGTTGCTGTGCTGAAGTTGGTGTTCCTCTAGACTTGGGACAGTGTTCTCGGGGCATCTCTGGAGTTGCCTGAAGGAAGTCGAGCCACCGGTCGTGTTGAATGGGGAACGGGGAATGGCTCTGGAGTCAATGCAGGGGAATCGGGCCTCATCTCGAGTTGATTTGGGGCACATGGAGCTGCTTTGCGTTGCTGGGGTGACCTCAGGGTCCGTCTAGACTGGTGACAGTGTTCTTGGGGACTGTCTCGAGATCCATTAAGCAAGTCGAAGCTCCTGACTTGTTTGAATGGGGTCACGGAATAGCTCTGCATGCACTGCAGGGGAATGGGGCCTCATCTCGCCTCTAGGGGGAAGTCTCGTGGTTTTCCTCGAGTTGCGGCGGGGACCTGGGGTATGTTCTCGACTTACGGCGGGGATGGCCCTTCAAAACACGAGTTTCTTCAGTGACGTCAGGACTCCTGTCTAGTAACGAGGGACACCTCAGGAATCTCTTCGAGGCTTGGCAGGGCCAAAGGGACGCTTCTCGAGGTGAGGCAGGGCACCCAAGGACCCTTTCCAGTAGCCACAGGGATTTTGGGATTCCTATCAGTATTCAAGAGGAGTCAGGCATCGTCACCTTTTGAAGCAATGAACTCCGCGTGCCTCTCGAGGTGTCAGCGGGATGTGAGGCATTCCGTCAAAATGAGGCAGGGACCTAGGGCTTTCTCTAAGGTCTCCACAGGGGATTCAGACATCCCTTCATGTTGTGAGATGAAAGACGAGCCTGTATTCAAGCCACTGCAAGGAAATCCGGCCTCCTTTCAAGTTAGGGCTTCTCGCTGCATCTTCCCCTTGAGGCAGCAAACTCGGGGTCCCTCCCACATACCTATTGCTGAGAGAAGCCTCCTCCTGAGGTGCTTCTGGGAAGTTGGCATACGTCTTGAGCCTAAGCCAGGGAATCAGCTCGCATCTCGAGACGATTTGGGGTACACGGAGCATTCCTCGAGTTGCTGTGCTGAAGTTGGTGTTCCTCTAGACTTGGGACAGTGTTCTCGGGGCATCTCTGGAGTTGCCTGAAGGAAGTCGAGCCACCGGTCGTGTTGAATGGGGAACGGGGAATGGCTCTGGAGTCAATGCAGGGGAATCGGGCCTCATCTCGAGTTGATTTGGGGCACATGGAGCTGCTTTGCGTTGCTGGGGTGACCTCAGGGTCCGTCTAGACTGGTGACAGTGTTCTTGGGGACTGTCTCGAGATCCATTAAGCAAGTCGAAGCTCCTGACTTGTTTGAATGGGATCACGGAATAGCTCTGCATGCACTGCAGGGGAATGGGGCCTCATCTCGCCTCTAGGGGGAAGTCTCATGGTTTTTCTCGAGTTACGGCGGGGACCTGGGGTATGTTCTCGACTTACGGCGGGGATGGCCCTTCAAAACACGAGTTTCTTCAGTGACGTCAGGACTCCTGTCTAGTAACGAGGGACACCTCAGGAATCTCTTCGAGGCTTGGCAGGGCCAAAGGGACGCTTCTCGAGGTGAGGCAGGGCACCCAAGGACCCTTTCCAGTAGCCACAGGGATTTTGGGATTCCTATCAGTATTCAAGAGGAGTCAGGCATCGTCACCTTTTGAAGCAATGAACTCCGCGTGCCTCTCGAGGTGTCAGCGGGATGTGAGGCATTCCGTCAAAATGAGGCAGGGACCTAGGGCTTTCTCTAAGGTCTCCACAGGGGATTCAGACATCCCTTCATGTTGTGAGATGAAAGACGAGCCTGTATTCAAGCCACTGCAAGGAAATCCGGCCTCCTTTCAAGTTAGGGCTTCTCGCTGTATATTCCCCTTGAGGCAGCAAACTCGGGGTCCCTCCCACATACCTATTGCTGAGAGAAGCCTCCTCCTGAGGTGCTTCTGGGAAGTTGGCATACGTCTTGAGCCTAAGCCAGGGAATCAGCTCGCATCTCGAGACGATTTGGGGTACACGGAGCATTCCTCGAGTTGCTGTGCTGAAGTTGCTGTTCCTCTAGACTTGGGACAGTGTTCTCGGGGCATTTCTGGAGTTGCCTGAAGGAAGTCGAGCCACCGGTCGTGTTGAATGGGGAACGGGGAATGGCTCTGGAGTCAATGCAGGGGAATCGGGCCTCATCTCGAGTTGATTTGGGGCACATGGAGCTGCTTTTCGTTGCTGGGGTGACCTCAGGGTCCGTCTAGACTGGTGACAGTGTTCTTGGGGACTGTCTCGAGATCCATTAAGCAAGTCGAAGCTCCTGACTTGTTTGAATGGGGTCACGGAATAGCTCTGCATGCACTGCAGGGGAATGGGGCCTCATCTCGCCTCTAGGGGGAAGTCTCGTGGTTTTCCTCGAGTTGCGGCGGGGACCTGGGGTATGTTCTCGACTTACGGCGGGGATGGCCCTTCAAAACACGAGTTTCTTCAGTGACGTCAGGACTCCTGTCTAGTAACGAGGGACACCTCAGGAATCTCTTCGAGGCTTGGCAGGGCCAAAGGGACGCTTCTCGAGGTGAGGCAGGGCACCCAAGGACCCTTTCCAGTAGCCACAGGGATTTTGGGATTCCTATCAGTATTCAAGAGGAGTCAGGCATCGTCACCTTTTGAAGCAATGAACTCCGCGTGCCTCTCGAGGTGTCAGCGGGATGTGAGGCATTCCGTCAAAATGAGGCAGGGACCTAGGGCTTTCTCTAAGGTCTCCACAGGGGATTCAGACATCCCTTCATGTTGTGAGATGAAAGACGAGCCTGTATTCAAGCCACTGCAAGGAAATCCGGCCTCCTTTCAAGTTAGGGCTTCTCGCTGTATATTCCCCTTGAGGCAGCAAACTCGGGGTCCCTCCCACATACCTATTGCTGAGAGAAGCCTCCTCCTGAGGTGCTTCTGGGAAGTTGGCATACGTCTTGAGCCTAAGCCAGGGAATCAGCTCGCATCTCGAGACGATTTGGGGTACACGGAGCATTCCTCGAGTTGCTGTGCTGAAGTTGGTGTTCCTCTAGACTTGGGACAGTGTTCTCGGGGCATCTCTGGAGTTGCCTGAAGGAAGTCGAGCCACCGGTCGTGTTGAATGGGGAACGGGGAATGGCTCTGCAGTCAATGCAGGGGAATCGGGCCTCATCTCGAGTTGATTTGGGGCACATGGAGCTGCTTTGCGTTGCTGGGGTGACCTCAGGGTCCGTCTAGACTGGTGACAGTGTTCTTGGGGACTGTCTCGAGATCCATTAAGCAAGTCGAAGCTCCTGACTTGTTTGAATGGGGTCACGGAATAGCTCTGCATGCACTGCAGGGGAATGGGGCCTCATCTCGCCTCTAGGGGGAAGTCTCATGGTTTTTCTCGAGTTGCGGCGGGGACCTGGGGTATGTTCTCGACTTACGGCGGGGATGGCCCTTCAAAACACGAGTTTCTTCAGTGACGTCAGGACTCCTGTCTAGTAACGAGGGACACCTCAGGAATCTCTTCGAGGCTTGGCAGGGCCAAAGGGACGCTTCTCGAGCTGAGGCAGGGCACCCAAGGACCCTTTCCAGTAGCCACAGGGATTTTGGGATTCCTATCAGTATTCAAGAGGAGTCAGGCATCGTCACCTTTTGAAGCAATGAACTCCGCGTGCCTCTCGAGGTGTCAGCGGGATGTGAGGCATTCCGTCAAAATGAGGCAGGGACCTAGGGCTTTCTCTAAGGTCTCCACAGGGGATTCAGACATCCCTTCATGTTGTGAGATGAAAGACGAGCCTGTATTCAAGCCACTGCAAGGAAATCCGGCCTCCTTTCAAGTTAGGGCTTCTCGCTGTATATTCCCCTTGAGGCAGCAAACTCGGGGTCCCTCCCACATACCTATTGCTGAGAGAAGCCTCCTCCTGAGGTGCTTCTGGGAAGTTGGCATACGTCTTGAGCCTAAGCCAGGGAATCAGCTCGCATCTCGAGACGATTTGGGGTACACGGAGCATTCCTCGAGTTGCTGTGCTGAAGTTGGTGTTCCTCTAGACTTGGGACAGTGTTCTCGGGGCATCTCTGGAGTTGCCTGAAGGAAGTCGAGCCACCGGTCGTGTTGAATGGGGAACGGGGAATGGCTCTGGAGTCAATGCAGGGGAATCGGGCCTCATCTCGAGTTGATTTGGGGCACATGGAGCTGCTTTGCGTTGCTGGGGTGACCTCAGGGTCCGTCTAGACTGGTGACAGTGTTCTTGGGGACTGTCTCGAGATCCATTAAGCAAGTCGAAGCTCCTGACTTGTTTGAATGGGGTCACGGAATAGCTCTGCATGCACTGCAGGGGAATGGGGCCTCATCTCGCCTCTAGGGGGAAGTCTCGTGGTTTTCCTCGAGTTGCGGCGGGGACCTGGGGTATGTTCTCGACTTACGGCGGGGATGGCCCTTCAAAACACGAGTTTCTTCAGTGACGTCAGGACTCCTGTCTAGTAACGAGGGACACCTCAGGAATCTCTTCGAGGCTTGGCAGGGCCAAAGGGACGCTTCTCGAGGTGAGGCAGGGCACCCAAGGACCCTTTCCAGTAGCCACAGGGATTTTGGGATTCCTATCAGTATTCAAGAGGAGTCAGGCATCGTCACCTTTTGAAGCAATGAACTCCGCGTGCCTCTCGAGGTGTCAGCGGGATGTGAGGCATTCCGTCAAAATGAGGCAGGGACCTAGGGCTTTCTCTAAGGTCTCCACAGGGGATTCAGACATCCCTTCATGTTGTGAGATGAAAGACGAGCCTGTATTCAAGCCACTGCAAGGAAATCCGGCCTCCTTTCAAGTTAGGGCTTCTCGCTGTATATTCCCCTTGAGGCAGCAAACTCGGGGTCCCTCCCACATACCTATTGCTGAGAGAAGCCTCCTCCTGAGGTGCTTCTGGGAAGTTGGCATACGTCTTGAGCCTAAGCCAGGGAATCAGCTCGCATCTCGAGACGATTTGGGGTACACGGAGCATTCCTCGAGTTGCTGTGCTGAAGTTGGTGTTCCTCTAGACTTGGGACAGTGTTCTCGGGGCATCTCTGGAGTTGCCTGAAGGAAGTCGAGCCACCGGTCGTGTTGAATGGGGAACGGGGAATGGCTCTGGAGTCAATGCAGGGGAATCGGGCCTCATCTCGAGTTGATTTGGGGCACATGGAGCTGCTTTGCGTTGCTGGGGTGACCTCAGGGTCCGTCTAGACTGGTGACAGTGTTCTTGGGGACTGTCTCGAGATCCATTAAGCAAGTCGAAGCTCCTGACTTGTTTGAATGGGGTCACGGAATAGCTCTGCATGCACTGCAGGGGAATGGGGCCTCATCTCGCCTCTAGGGGGAAGTCTCGTGGTTTTCCTCGAGTTGCGGCGGGGACCTGGGGTATGTTCTCGACTTACGGCGGGGATGGCCCTTCAAAACACGAGTTTCTTCAGTGACGTCAGGACTCCTGTCTAGTAACGAGGGACACCTCAGGAATCTCTTCGAGGCTTGGCAGGGCCAAAGGGACGCTTCTCGAGCTGAGGCAGGGCACCCAAGGACCCTTTCCAGTAGCCACAGGGATTTTGGGATTCCTATCAGTATTCAAGAGGAGTCAGGCATCGTCACCTTTTGAAGCAATGAACTCCGCGTGCCTCTCGAGGTGTCAGCGGGATGTGAGGCATTCCGTCAAAATGAGGCAGGGACCTAGGGCTTTCTCTAAGGTCTCCACAGGGGATTCAGACATCCCTTCATGTTGTGAGATGAAAGACGAGCCTGTATTCAAGCCACTGCAAGGAAATCCGGCCTCCTTTCAAGTTAGGGCTTCTCGCTGCATCTTCCCCTTGAGGCAGCAAACTCGGGGTCCCTCCCACATACCTATTGCTGAGAGAAGCCTCCTCCTGAGGTGCTTCTGGGAAGTTGGCATACGTCTTGAGCCTAAGCCAGGGAATCAGCTCGCATCTCGAGACGATTTGGGGTACACGGAGCATTCCTCGAGTTGCTGTGCTGAAGTTGGTGTTCCTCTAGACTTGGGACAGTGTTCTCGGGGCATCTCTGGAGTTGCCTGAAGGAAGTCGAGCCACCGGTCGTGTTGAATGGGGAACGGGGAATGGCTCTGGAGTCAATGCAGGGGAATCGGGCCTCATCTCGAGTTGATTTGGGGCACATGGAGCTGCTTTGCGTTGCTGGGGTGACCTCAGGGTCCGTCTAGACTGGTGACAGTGTTCTTGGGGACTGTCTCGAGATACATTAAGCAAGTCGAAGCTCCTGACTTGTTTGAATGGGATCACGGAATAGCTCTGCATGCACTGCAGGGGAATGGGGCCTCATCTCGCCTCTAGGGGGAAGTCTCATGGTTTTTCTCGAGTTGCGGCGGGGACCTGGGGTATGTTCTCGACTTACGGCGGGGATGGCCCTTCAAAACACGAGTTTCTTCAGTGACGTCAGGACTCCTGTCTAGTAACGAGGGACACCTCAGGAATCTCTTCGAGGCTTGGCAGGGCCAAAGGGACGCTTCTCGAGGTGAGGCAGGGCACCCAAGGACCCTTTCCAGTAGCCACAGGGATTTTGGGATTCCTATCAGTATTCAAGAGGAGTCAGGCATCGTCACCTTTTGAAGCAATGAACTCCGCGTGCCTCTCGAGGTGTCAGCGGGATGTGAGGCATTCCGTCAAAATGAGGCAGGGACCTAGGGCTTTCTCTAAGGTCTCCACAGGGGATTCAGACATCCCTTCATGTTGTGAGATGAAAGACGAGCCTGTATTCAAGCCACTGCAAGGAAATCCGGCCTCCTTTCAAGTTAGGGCTTCTCGCTGTATATTCCCCTTGAGGCAGCAAACTCGGGGTCCCTCCCACATAACTATTGCTGAGAGAAGCCTCCTCTTGAGGTGCTTCTGGGAAGTTGGCATACGTCTTGAGCCTAAGCCAGGGAATCAGCTCGCATCTCGAGACGATTTGGGGTACACGGAGCATTCCTCGAGTTGCTGTGCTGAAGTTGGTGTTCCTCTAGACTTGGGACAGTGTTCTCGGGGCATCTCTGGAGTTGCCTGAAGGAAGTCGAGCCACCGGTCGTGTTGAATGGGGAACGGGGAATGGCTCTGGAGTCAATGCAGGGGAATCGGGCCTCATCTCGAGTTGATTTGGGGCACATGGAGCTGCTTTGCGTTGCTGGGGTGACCTCAGGGTCCGTCTAGACTGGTGACAGTGTTCTTGGGGACTGTCTCGAGATCCATTAAGCAAGTCGAAGCTCCTGACTTGTTTGAATGGGGTCACGGAATAGCTCTGCATGCACTGCAGGGGAATGGGGCCTCATCTCGCCTCTAGGGGGAAGTCTCGTGGTTTTCCTCGAGTTGCGGCGGGGACCTGGGGTATGTTCTCGACTTACGGCGGGGATGGCCCTTCAAAACACGAGTTTCTTCAGTGACGTCAGGACTCCTGTCTAGTAACGAGGGACACCTCAGGAATCTCTTCGAGGCTTGGCAGGGCCAAAGGGACGCTTCTCGAGGTGAGGCAGGGCACCCAAGGACCCTTTCCAGTAGCCACAGGGATTTTGGGATTCCTATCAGTATTCAAGAGGAGTCAGGCATCGTCACCTTTTGAAGCAATGAACTCCGCGTGCCTCTCGAGGTGTCAGCGGGATGTGAGGCATTCCGTCAAAATGAGGCAGGGACCTAGGGCTTTCTCTAAGGTCTCCACAGGGGATTCAGACATCCCTTCATGTTGTGAGATGAAAGACGAGCCTGTATTCAAGCCACTGCAAGGAAATCCGGCCTCCTTTCAAGTTAGGGCTTCTCGCTGTATATTCCCCTTGAGGCAGCAAACTCGGGGTCCCTCCCACATACCTATTGCTGAGAGAAGCCTCCTCCTGAGGTGCTTCTGGGAAGTTGGCATACGTCTTGAGCCTAAGCCAGGGAATCAGCTCGCATCTCGAGACGATTTGGGGTACACGGAGCATTCCTCGAGTTGCTGTGCTGAAGTTGGTGTTCCTCTAGACTTGGGACAGTGTTCTCGGGGCATCTCTGGAGTTGCCTGAAGGAAGTCGAGCCACCGGTCGTGTTGAATGGGGAACGGGGAATGGCTCTGGAGTCAATGCAGGGGAATCGGGCCTCATCTCGAGTTGATTTGGGGCACATGGAGCTGCTTTGCGTTGCTGGGGTGACCTCAGGGTCCGTCTAGACTGGTGACAGTGTTCTTGGGGACTGTCTCGAGATCCATTAAGCAAGTCGAAGCTCCTGACTTGTTTGAATGGGGTCACGGAATAGCTCTGCATGCACTGCAGGGGAATGGGGCCTCATCTCGCCTCTAGGGGGAAGTCTCGTGGTTTTCCTCGAGTTGCGGCGGGGACCTGGGGTATGTTCTCGACTTACGGCGGGGATGGCCCTTCAAAACACGAGTTTCTTCAGTGACGTCAGGACTCCTGTCTAGTAACGAGGGACACCTCAGGAATCTCTTCGAGGCTTGGCAGGGCCAAAGGGACGCTTCTCGAGCTGAGGCAGGGCACCCAAGGACCCTTTCCAGTAGCCACAGGGATTTTGGGATTCCTATCAGTATTCAAGAGGAGTCAGGCATCGTCACCTTTTGAAGCAATGAACTCCGCGTGCCTCTCGAGGTGTCAGCGGGATGTGAGGCATTCCGTCAAAATGAGGCAGGGACCTAGGGCTTTCTCTAAGGTCTCCACAGGGGATTCAGACATCCCTTCATGTTGTGAGATGAAAGACGAGCCTGTATTCAAGCCACTGCAAGGAAATCCGGCCTCCTTTCAAGTTAGGGCTTCTCGCTGCATCTTCCCCTTGAGGCAGCAAACTCGGGGTCCCTCCCACATACCTATTGCTGAGAGAAGCCTCCTCCTGAGGTGCTTCTGGGAAGTTGGCATACGTCTTGAGCCTAAGCCAGGGAATCAGCTCGCATCTCGAGACGATTTGGGGTACACGGAGCATTCCTCGAGTTGCTGTGCTGAAGTTGGTGTTCCTCTAGACTTGGGACAGTGTTCTCGGGGCATCTCTGGAGTTGCCTGAAGGAAGTCGAGCCACCGGTCGTGTTGAATGGGGAACGGGGAATGGCTCTGGAGTCAATGCAGGGGAATCGGGCCTCATCTCGAGTTGATTTGGGGCACATGGAGCTGCTTTGCGTTGCTGGGGTGACCTCAGGGTCCGTCTAGACTGGTGACAGTGTTCTTGGGGACTGTCTCGAGATACATTAAGCAAGTCGAAGCTCCTGACTTGTTTGAATGGGATCACGGAATAGCTCTGCATGCACTGCAGGGGAATGGGGCCTCATCTCGCCTCTAGGGGGAAGTCTCATGGTTTTTCTCGAGTTGCGGCGGGGACCTGGGGTATGTTCTCGACTTACGGCGGGGATGGCCCTTCAAAACACGAGTTTCTTCAGTGACGTCAGGACTCCTGTCTAGTAACGAGGGACACCTCAGGAATCTCTTCGAGGCTTGGCAGGGCCAAAGGGACGCTTCTCGAGGTGAGGCAGGGCACCCAAGGACCCTTTCCAGTAGCCACAGGGATTTTGGGATTCCTATCAGTATTCAAGAGGAGTCAGGCATCGTCACCTTTTGAAGCAATGAACTCCGCGTGCCTCTCGAGGTGTCAGCGGGATGTGAGGCATTCCGTCAAAATGAGGCAGGGACCTAGGGCTTTCTCTAAGGTCTCCACAGGGGATTCAGACATCCCTTCATGTTGTGAGATGAAAGACGAGCCTGTATTCAAGCCACTGCAAGGAAATCCGGCCTCCTTTCAAGTTAGGGCTTCTCGCTGTATATTCCCCTTGAGGCAGCAAACTCGGGGTCCCTCCCACATAACTATTGCTGAGAGAAGCCTCCTCTTGAGGTGCTTCTGGGAAGTTGGCATACGTCTTGAGCCTAAGCCAGGGAATCAGCTCGCATCTCGAGACGATTTGGGGTACACGGAGCATTCCTCGAGTTGCTGTGCTGAAGTTGCTGTTCCTCTAGACTTGGGACAGTGTTCTCGGGGCATTTCTGGAGTTGCCTGAAGGAAGTCGAGCCACCGGTCGTGTTGAATGGGGAACGGGGAATGGCTCTGGAGTCAATGCAGGGGAATCGGGCCTCATCTCGAGTTGATTTGGGGCACATGGAGCTGCTTTTCGTTGCTGGGGTGACCTCAGGGTCCGTCTAGACTGGTGACAGTGTTCTTGGGGACTGTCTCGAGATCCATTAAGCAAGTCGAAGCTCCTGACTTGTTTGAATGGGGTCACGGAATAGCTCTGCATGCACTGCAGGGGAATGGGGCCTCATCTCGCCTCTAGGGGGAAGTCTCGTGGTTTTCCTCGAGTTGCGGCGGGGACCTGGGGTATGTTCTCGACTTACGGCGGGGATGGCCCTTCAAAACACGAGTTTCTTCAGTGACGTCAGGACTCCTGTCTAGTAACGAGGGACACCTCAGGAATCTCTTCGAGGCTTGGCAGGGCCAAAGGGACGCTTCTCGAGGTGAGGCAGGGCACCCAAGGACCCTTTCCAGTAGCCACAGGGATTTTGGGATTCCTATCAGTATTCAAGAGGAGTCAGGCATCGTCACCTTTTGAAGCAATGAACTCCGCGTGCCTCTCGAGGTGTCAGCGGGATGTGAGGCATTCCGTCAAAATGAGGCAGGGACCTAGGGCTTTCTCTAAGGACTCCACAGGGGATTCAGACATCCCTTCATGTTGTGAGATGAAAGACGAGCCTGTATTCAAGCCACTGCAAGGAAATCCGGCCTCCTTTCAAGTTAGGGCTTCTCGCTGCATCTTCCCCTTGAGGCAGCAAACTCGGGGTCCCTCCCACATACCTATTGCTGAGAGAAGCCTCCTCCTGAGGTGCTTCTGGGAAGTTGGCATACGTCTTGAGCCTAAGCCAGGGAATCAGCTCGCATCTCGAGACGATTTGGGGTACACGGAGCATTCCTCGAGTTGCTGTGCTGAAGTTGGTGTTCCTCTAGACTTGGGACAGTGTTCTCGGGGCATCTCTGGAGTTGCCTGAAGGAAGTCGAGCCACCGGTCGTGTTGAATGGGGAACGGGGAATGGCTCTGGAGTCAATGCAGGGGAATCGGGCCTCATCTCGAGTTGATTTGGGGCACATGGAGCTGCTTTTCGTTGCTGGGGTGACCTCAGGGTCCGTCTAGACTGGTGACAGTGTTCTTGGGGACTGTCTCGAGATCCATTAAGCAAGTCGAAGCTCCTGACTTGTTTGAATGGGGTCACGGAATAGCTCTGCATGCACTGCAGGGGAATGGGGCCTCATCTCGCCTCTAGGGGGAAGTCTCGTGGTTTTCCTCGAGTTGCGGCGGGGACCTGGGGTATGTTCTCGACTTACGGCGGGGATGGCCCTTCAAAACACGAGTTTCTTCAGTGACGTCAGGACTCCTGTCTAGTAACGAGGGACACCTCAGGAATCTCTTCGAGGCTTGGCAGGGCCAAAGGGACGCTTCTCGAGGTGAGGCAGGGCACCCAAGGACCCTTTCCAGTAGCCACAGGGATTTTGGGATTCCTATCAGTATTCAAGAGGAGTCAGGCATCGTCACCTTTTGAAGCAATGAACTCCGCGTGCCTCTCGAGGTGTCAGCGGGATGTGAGGCATTCCGTCAAAATGAGGCAGGGACCTAGGGCTTTCTCTAAGGACTCCACAGGGGATTCAGACATCCCTTCATGTTGTGAGATGAAAGACGAGCCTGTATTCAAGCCACTGCAAGGAAATCCGGCCTCCTTTCAAGTTAGGGCTTCTCGCTGCATCTTCCCCTTGAGGCAGCAAACTCGGGGTCCCTCCCACATACCTATTGCTGAGAGAAGCCTCCTCCTGAGGTGCTTCTGGGAAGTTGGCATAAGTCTTGAGCCTAAGCCAGGGAATCAGCTCGCATCTCGAGACGATTTGGGGTACACGGAGCATTCCTCGAGTTGCTGTGCTGAAGTTGCTGTTCCTCTAGACTTGGGACAGTGTTCTCGGGGCATCTCTGGAGTTGCCTGAAGGAAGTCGAGCCACCGGTCGTGTTGAATGGGGAACGGGGAATGGCTCTGGAGTCAATGCAGGGGAATCGGGCCTCATCTCGAGTTGATTTGGGGCACATGGAGCTGCTTTGCGTTGCTGGGGTGACCTCAGGGTCCGTCTAGACTGGTGACAGTGTTCTTGGGGACTGTCTCGAGATCCATTAAGCAAGTCGAAGCTCCTGACTTGTTTGAATGGGGTCACGGAATAGCTCTGCATGCACTGCAGGGGAATGGGGCCTCATCTCGCCTCTAGGGGGAAGTCTCATGGTTTTTCTCGAGTTGCGGCGGGGACCTGAGGTATGTTCTCGACTTACGGCGGGGATGGCCCTTCAAAACACGAGTTTCTTCAGTGACGTCAGGACTCCTGTCTAGTAACGAGGGACACCTCAGGAATCTCTTCGAGGCTTGGCAGGGCCAAAGGGACGCTTCTCGAGGTGAGGCAGGGCACCCAAGGACCCTTTCCAGTAGCCACAGGGATTTTGGGATTCCTATCAGTATTCAAGAGGAGTCAGGCATCGTCACCTCTTGAAGCAATGAACTCCGCGTGCCTCTCGAGGTGTCAGCGGGATGTGAGGCATTCCGTCAAAATGAGGCAGGGACCTAGGGCTTTCTCTAAGGTCTCCACAGGGGATTCAGACATCCCTTCATGTTGTGAGATGAAAGACGAGCCTGTATTCAAGCCACTGGAAGGAAATCCGGCCTCCTTTCAAGTTAGGGCTTCTCGCTGTATATTCCCCTTGAGGCAGCAAACTCGGGGTCCCTCCCACATACCTATTGCTGAGAGAAGCCTCCTCCTGAGGTGCTTCTGGGAAGTTGGCATACGTCTTGAGCCTAAGCCAGGGAATCAGCTCGCATCTCGAGACGATTTGGGGTACACGGAGCATTCCTCGAGTTGCTGTGCTGAAGTTGCTGTTCCTCTAGACTTGGGACAGTGTTCTCGGGGCATTTCTGGAGTTGCCTGAAGGAAGTCGAGCCACCGGTCTTGTTGAATGGGGAACGGGGAATGGCTCTGGAGTCAATGCAGGGGAATCGGGCCTCATCTCGAGTTGTTTTGGGGCACATGGAGCTGCTTTTCGTTGCTGGGGTGACCTCAGGGTCCGTCTAGACTGGTGACAGTGTTCTTGGGGACTGTCTCGAGATCCATTAAGCAAGTCGAAGCTCCTGACTTGTTTGAATGGGGTCACGGAATAGCTCTGCATGCACTGCAGGGGAATGGGGCCTCATCTCGCCTCTAGGGGGAAGTCTCGTGGTTTTCCTCGAGTTGCGGCGGGGACCTGGGGTATGTTCTCGACTTACGGCGGGGATGGCCCTTCAAAACACGAGTTTCTTCAGTGACGTCAGGACTCCTGTCTAGTAACGAGGGACACCTCAGGAATCTCTTCGAGGCTTGGCAGGGCCAAAGGGACGCTTCTCGAGGTGAGGCAGGGCACCCAAGGACCCTTTCCAGTAGCCACAGGGATTTTGGGATTCCTATCAGTATTCAAGAGGAGTCAGGCATCGTCACCTTTTGAAGCAATGAACTCCGCGTGCCTCTCGAGGTGTCAGCGGGATGTGAGGCATTCCGTCAAAATGAGGCAGGGACCTAGGGCTTTCTCTAAGGACTCCACAGGGGATTCAGACATCCCTTCATGTTGTGAGATGAAAGACGAGCCTGTATTCAAGCCACTGCAAGGAAATCCGGCCTCCTTTCAAGTTAGGGCTTCTCGCTGCATCTTCCCCTTGAGGCAGCAAACTCGGGGTCCCTCCCACATACCTATTGCTGAGAGAAGCCTCCTCCTGAGGTGCTTCTGGGAAGTTGGCATACGTCTTGAGCCTAAGCCAGGGAATCAGCTCGCATCTCGAGACGATTTGGGGTACACGGAGCATTCCTCGAGTTGCTGTGCTGAAGTTGGTGTTCCTCTAGACTTGGGACAGTGTTCTCGGGGCATCTCTGGAGTTGCCTGAAGGAAGTCGAGCCACCGGTCGTGTTGAATGGGGAACGGGGAATGGCTCTGGAGTCAATGCAGGGGAATCGGGCCTCATCTCGAGTTGATTTGGGGCACATGGAGCTGCTTTGCGTTGCTGGGGTGACCTCAGGGTCCGTCTAGACTGGTGACAGTGTTCTTGGGGACTGTCTCGAGATCCATTAAGCAAGTCGAAGCTCCTGACTTGTTTGAATGGGATCACGGAATAGCTCTGCATGCACTGCAGGGGAATGGGGCCTCATCTCGCCTCTAGGGGGAAGTCTCATGGTTTTTCTCGAGTTGCGGCGGGGACCTGGGGTATGTTCTCGACTTACGGCGGGGATGGCCCTTCAAAACACGAGTTTCTTCAGTGACGTCAGGACTCCTGTCTAGTAACGAGGGACACCTCAGGAATCTCTTCGAGGCTTGGCAGGGCCAAAGGGACGCTTCTCGAGGTGAGGCAGGGCACCCAAGGACCCTTTCCAGTAGCCACAGGGATTTTGGGATTCCTATCAGTATTCAAGAGGAGTCAGGCATCGTCACCTTTTGAAGCAATGAACTCCGCGTGCCTCTCGAGGTGTCAGCGGGATGTGAGGCATTCCGTCAAAATGAGGCAGGGACCTAGGGCTTTCTCTAAGGTCTCCACAGGGGATTCAGACATCCCTTCATGTTGTGAGATGAAAGACGAGCCTGTATTCAAGCCACTGCAAGGAAATCCGGCCTCCTTTCAAGTTAGGGCTTCTCGCTGTATATTCCCCTTGAGGCAGCAAACTCGGGGTCCCTCCCACATACCTATTGCTGAGAGAAGCCTCCTCCTGAGGTGCTTCTGGGAAGTTGGCATACGTCTTGAGCCTAAGCCAGGGAATCAGCTCGCATCTCGAGACGATTTGGGGTACACGGAGCATTCCTCGAGTTGCTGTGCTGAAGTTGCTGTTCCTCTAGACTTGGGACAGTGTTCTCGGGGCATCTCTGGAGTTGCCTGAAGGAAGTCGAGCCACCGGTCGTGTTGAATGGGGAACGGGGAATGGCTCTGGAGTCAATGCAGGGGAATCGGGCCTCATCTCGAGTTGATTTGGGGCACATGGAGCTGCTTTGCGTTGCTGGGGTGACCTCAGGGTCCGTCTAGACTGGTGACAGTGTTCTTGGGGACTGTCTCGAGATCCATTAAGCAAGTCGAAGCTCCTGACTTGTTTGAATGGGGTCACGGAATAGCTCTGCATGCACTGCAGGGGAATGGGGCCTCATCTCGCCTCTAGGGGGAAGTCTCGTGGTTTTCCTCGAGTTGCGGCGGGGACCTGGGGTATGTTCTCGACTTACGGCGGGGATGGCCCTTCAAAACACGAGTTTCTTCAGTGACGTCAGGACTCCTGTCTAGTAACGAGGGACACCTCAGGAATCTCTTCGAGGCTTGGCAGGGCCAAAGGGACGCTTCTCGAGGTGAGGCAGGGCACCCAAGGACCCTTTCCAGTAGCCACAGGGATTTTGGGATTCCTATCAGTATTCAAGAGGAGTCAGGCATCGTCACCTTTTGAAGCAATGAACTCCGCGTGCCTCTCGAGGTGTCAGCGGGATGTGAGGCATTCCGTCAAAATGAGGCAGGGACCTAGGGCTTTCTCTAAGGTCTCCACAGGGGATTCAGACATCCCTTCATGCTGTGAGATGAAAGACGAGCCTGTATTCAAGCCACTGCAAGGAAATCCGGCCTCCTTTCAAGTTAGGGCTTCTCGCTGCATCTTCCCCTTGAGGCAGCAAACTCGGGGTCCCTCCCACATACCTATTGCTGAGAGAAGCCTCCTCCTGAGGTGCTTCTGGGAAGTTGGCATACGTCTTGAGCCTAAGCCAGGGAATCAGCTCGCATCTCGAGACGATTTGGGGTACACGGAGCATTCCTCGAGTTGCTGTGCTGAAGTTGGTGTTCCTCTAGACTTGGGACAGTGTTCTCGGGGCATCTCTGGAGTTGCCTGAAGGAAGTCGAGCCACCGGTCGTGTTGAATGGGGAACGGGGAATGGCTCTGGTGTCAATGCAGGGGAATCGGGCCTCATCTCGAGTTGATTTGGGGCACATGGAGCTGCTTTGCGTTGCTGGGGTGACCTCAGGGTCCGTCTAGACTGGTGACAGTGTTCTTGGGGACTGTCTCGAGATCCATTAAGCAAGTCGAAGCTCCTGACTTGTTTGAATGGGATCACGGAATAGCTCTGCATGCACTGCAGGGGAATGGGGCCTCATCTCGCCTCTAGGGGGAAGTCTCATGGTTTTTCTCGAGTTACGGCGGGGACCTGGGGTATGTTCTCGACTTACGGCGGGGATGGCCCTTCAAAACACGAGTTTCTTCAGTGACGTCAGGACTCCTGTCTAGTAACGAGGGACACCTCAGGAATCTCTTCGAGGCTTGGCAGGGCCAAAGGGACGCTTCTCGAGGTGAGGCAGGGCACCCAAGGACCCTTTCCAGTAGCCACAGGGATTTTGGGATTCCTATCAGTATTCAAGAGGAGTCAGGCATCGTCACCTTTTGAAGCAATGAACTCCGCGTGCCTCTCGAGGTGTCAGCGGGATGTGAGGCATTCCGTCAAAATGAGGCAGGGACCTAGGGCTTTCTCTAAGGTCTCCACAGGGGATTCAGACATCCCTTCATGTTGTGAGATGAAAGACGAGCCTGTATTCAAGCCACTGCAAGGAAATCCGGCCTCCTTTCAAGTTAGGGCTTCTCGCTGTATATTCCCCTTGAGGCAGCAAACTCGGGGTCCCTCCCACATACCTATTGCTGAGAGAAGCCTCCTCCTGAGGTGCTTCTGGGAAGTTGGCATACGTCTTGAGCCTAAGCCAGGGAATCAGCTCGCATCTCGAGACGATTTGGGGTACACGGAGCATTCCTCGAGTTGCTGTGCTGAAGTTGCTGTTCCTCTAGACTTGGGACAGTGTTCTCGGGGCATTTCTGGAGTTGCCTGAAGGAAGTCGAGCCACCGGTCGTGTTGAATGGGGAACGGGGAATGGCTCTGGAGTCAATGCAGGGGAATCGGGCCTCATCTCGAGTTGATTTGGGGCACATGGAGCTGCTTTTCGTTGCTGGGGTGACCTCAGGGTCCGTCTAGACTGGTGACAGTGTTCTTGGGGACTGTCTCGAGATCCATTAAGCAAGTCGAAGCTCCTGACTTGTTTGAATGGGGTCACGGAATAGCTCTGCATGCACTGCAGGGGAATGGGGCCTCATCTCGCCTCTAGGGGGAAGTCTCGTGGTTTTCCTCGAGTTGCGGCGGGGACCTGGGGTATGTTCTCGACTTACGGCGGGGATGGCCCTTCAAAACACGAGTTTCTTCAGTGACGTCAGGACTCCTGTCTAGTAACGAGGGACACCTCAGGAATCTCTTCGAGGCTTGGCAGGGCCAAAGGGACGCTTCTCGAGGTGAGGCAGGGCACCCAAGGACCCTTTCCAGTAGCCACAGGGATTTTGGGATTCCTATCAGTATTCAAGAGGAGTCAGGCATCGTCACCTTTTGAAGCAATGAACTCCGCGTGCCTCTCGAGGTGTCAGCGGGATGTGAGGCATTCCGTCAAAATGAGGCAGGGACCTAGGGCTTTCTCTAAGGTCTCCACAGGGGATTCAGACATCCCTTCATGTTGTGAGATGAAAGACGAGCCTGTATTCAAGCCACTGCAAGGAAATCCGGCCTCCTTTCAAGTTAGGGCTTCTCGCTGTATATTCCCCTTGAGGCAGCAAACTCGGGGTCCCTCCCACATACCTATTGCTGAGAGAAGCCTCCTCCTGAGGTGCTTCTGGGAAGTTGGCATAAGTCTTGAGCCTAAGCCAGGGAATCAGCTCGCATCTCGAGACGATTTGGGGTACACGGAGCATTCCTCGAGTTGCTGTGCTGAAGTTGCTGTTCCTCTAGACTTGGGACAGTGTTCTCGGGGCATCTCTGGAGTTGCCTGAAGGAAGTCGAGCCACCGGTCGTGTTGAATGGGGAACGGGGAATGGCTCTGGAGTCAATGCAGGGGAATCGGGCCTCATCTCGAGTTGATTTGGGGCACATGGAGCTGCTTTGCGTTGCTGGGGTGACCTCAGGGTCCGTCTAGACTGGTGACAGTGTTCTTGGGGACTGTCTCGAGATCCATTAAGCAAGTCGAAGCTCCTGACTTGTTTGAATGGGGTCACGGAATAGCTCTGCATGCACTGCAGGGGAATGGGGCCTCATCTCGCCTCTAGGGGGAAGTCTCATGGTTTTTCTCGAGTTGCGGCGGGGACCTGAGGTATGTTCTCGACTTACGGCGGGGATGGCCCTTCAAAACACGAGTTTCTTCAGTGACGTCAGGACTCCTGTCTAGTAACGAGGGACACCTCAGGAATCTCTTCGAGGCTTGGCAGGGCCAAAGGGACGCTTCTCGAGGTGAGGCAGGGCACCCAAGGACCCTTTCCAGTAGCCACAGGGATTTTGGGATTCCTATCAGTATTCAAGAGGAGTCAGGCATCGTCACCTCTTGAAGCAATGAACTCCGCGTGCCTCTCGAGGTGTCAGCGGGATGTGAGGCATTCCGTCAAAATGAGGCAGGGACCTAGGGCTTTCTCTAAGGTCTCCACAGGGGATTCAGACATCCCTTCATGTTGTGAGATGAAAGACGAGCCTGTATTCAAGCCACTGGAAGGAAATCCGGCCTCCTTTCAAGTTAGGGCTTCTCGCTGTATATTCCCCTTGAGGCAGCAAACTCGGGGTCCCTCCCACATACCTATTGCTGAGAGAAGCCTCCTCCTGAGGTGCTTCTGGGAAGTTGGCATACGTCTTGAGCCTAAGCCAGGGAATCAGCTCGCATCTCGAGACGATTTGGGGTACACGGAGCATTCCTCGAGTTGCTGTGCTGAAGTTGCTGTTCCTCTAGACTTGGGACAGTGTTCTCGGGGCATTTCTGGAGTTGCCTGAAGGAAGTCGAGCCACCGGTCGTGTTGAATGGGGAACGGGGAATGGCTCTGGAGTCAATGCAGGGGAATCGGGCCTCATCTCGAGTTGATTTGGGGCACATGGAGCTGCTTTTCGTTGCTGGGGTGACCTCAGGGTCCGTCTAGACTGGTGACAGTGTTCTTGGGGACTGTCTCGAGATCCATTAAGCAAGTCGAAGCTCCTGACTTGTTTGAATGGGGTCACGGAATAGCTCTGCATGCACTGCAGGGGAATGGGGCCTCATCTCGCCTCTAGGGGGAAGTCTCGTGGTTTTCCTCGAGTTGCGGCGGGGACCTGGGGTATGTTCTCGACTTACGGCGGGGATGGCCCTTCAAAACACGAGTTTCTTCAGTGACGTCAGGACTCCTGTCTAGTAACGAGGGACACCTCAGGAATCTCTTCGAGGCTTGGCAGGGCCAAAGGGACGCTTCTCGAGGTGAGGCAGGGCACCCAAGGACCCTTTCCAGTAGCCACAGGGATTTTGGGATTCCTATCAGTATTCAAGAGGAGTCAGGCATCGTCACCTTTTGAAGCAATGAACTCCGCGTGCCTCTCGAGGTGTCAGCGGGATGTGAGGCATTCCGTCAAAATGAGGCAGGGACCTAGGGCTTTCTCTAAGGACTCCACAGGGGATTCAGACATCCCTTCATGTTGTGAGATGAAAGACGAGCCTGTATTCAAGCCACTGCAAGGAAATCCGGCCTCCTTTCAAGTTAGGGCTTCTCGCTGCATCTTCCCCTTGAGGCAGCAAACTCGGGGTCCCTCCCACATACCTATTGCTGAGAGAAGCCTCCTCCTGAGGTGCTTCTGGGAAGTTGGCATACGTCTTGAGCCTAAGCCAGGGAATCAGCTCGCATCTCGAGACGATTTGGGGTACACGGAGCATTCCTCGAGTTGCTGTGCTGAAGTTGGTGTTCCTCTAGACTTGGGACAGTGTTCTCGGGGCATCTCTGGAGTTGCCTGAAGGAAGTCGAGCCACCGGTCGTGTTGAATGGGGAACGGGGAATGGCTCTGGAGTCAATGCAGGGGAATCGGGCCTCATCTCGAGTTGATTTGGGGCACATGGAGCTGCTTTGCGTTGCTGGGGTGACCTCAGGGTCCGTCTAGACTGGTGACAGTGTTCTTGGGGACTGTCTCGAGATCCATTAAGCAAGTCGAAGCTCCTGACTTGTTTGAATGGGATCACGGAATAGCTCTGCATGCACTGCAGGGGAATGGGGCCTCATCTCGCCTCTAGGGGGAAGTCTCATGGTTTTTCTCGAGTTGCGGCGGGGACCTGGGGTATGTTCTCGACTTACGGCGGGGATGGCCCTTCAAAACACGAGTTTCTTCAGTGACGTCAGGACTCCTGTCTAGTAACGAGGGACACCTCAGGAATCTCTTCGAGGCTTGGCAGGGCCAAAGGGACGCTTCTCGAGGTGAGGCAGGGCACCCAAGGACCCTTTCCAGTAGCCACAGGGATTTTGGGATTCCTATCAGTATTCAAGAGGAGTCAGGCATCGTCACCTTTTGAAGCAATGAACTCCGCGTGCCTCTCGAGGTGTCAGCGGGATGTGAGGCATTCCGTCAAAATGAGGCAGGGACCTAGGGCTTTCTCTAAGGTCTCCACAGGGGATTCAGACATCCCTTCATGTTGTGAGATGAAAGACGAGCCTGTATTCAAGCCACTGCAAGGAAATCCGGCCTCCTTTCAAGTTAGGGCTTCTCGCTGTATATTCCCCTTGAGGCAGCAAACTCGGGGTCCCTCCCACATACCTATTGCTGAGAGAAGCCTCCTCCTGAGGTGCTTCTGGGAAGTTGGCATACGTCTTGAGCCTAAGCCAGGGAATCAGCTCGCATCTCGAGACGATTTGGGGTACACGGAGCATTCCTCGAGTTGCTGTGCTGAAGTTGGTGTTCCTCTAGACTTGGGACAGTGTTCTCGGGGCATCTCTGGAGTTGCCTGAAGGAAGTCGAGCCACCGGTCGTGTTGAATGGGGAACGGGGAATGGCTCTGGAGTCAATGCAGGGGAATCGGGCCTCATCTCGAGTTGATTTGGGGCACATGGAGCTGCTTTGCGTTGCTGGGGTGACCTCAGGGTCCGTCTAGACTGGTGACAGTGTTCTTGGGGACTGTCTCGAGATCCATTAAGCAAGTCGAAGCTCCTGACTTGTTTGAATGGGGTCACGGAATAGCTCTGCATGCACTGCAGGGGAATGGGGCCTCATCTCGCCTCTAGGGGGAAGTCTCGTGGTTTTCCTCGAGTTGCGGCGGGGACCTGGGGTATGTTCTCGACTTACGGCGGGGATGGCCCTTCAAAACACGAGTTTCTTCAGTGACGTCAGGACTCCTGTCTAGTAACGAGGGACACCTCAGGAATCTCTTCGAGGCTTGGCAGGGCCAAAGGGACGCTTCTCGAGGTGAGGCAGGGCACCCAAGGACCCTTTCCAGTAGCCACAGGGATTTTGGGATTCCTATCAGTATTCAAGAGGAGTCAGGCATCGTCACCTTTTGAAGCAATGAACTCCGCGTGCCTCTCGAGGTGTCAGCGGGATGTGAGGCATTCCGTCAAAATGAGGCAGGGACCTAGGGCTTTCTCTAAGGTCTCCACAGGGGATTCAGACATCCCTTCATGTTGTGAGATGAAAGACGAGCCTGTATTCAAGCCACTGCAAGGAAATCCGGCCTCCTTTCAAGTTAGGGCTTCTCGCTGCATCTTCCCCTTGAGGCAGCAAACTCGGGGTCCCTCCCACATACCTATTGCTGAGAGAAGCCTCCTCCTGAGGTGCTTCTGGGAAGTTGGCATACGTCTTGAGCCTAAGCCAGGGAATCAGCTCGCATCTCGAGACGATTTGGGGTACACGGAGCATTCCTCGAGTTGCTGTGCTGAAGTTGGTGTTCCTCTAGACTTGGGACAGTGTTCTCGGGGCATCTCTGGAGTTGCCTGAAGGAAGTCGAGCCACCGGTCGTGTTGAATGGGGAACGGGGAATGGCTCTGGAGTCAATGCAGGGGAATCGGGCCTCATCTCGAGTTGATTTGGGGCACATGGAGCTGCTTTGCGTTGCTGGGGTGACCTCAGGGTCCGTCTAGACTGGTGACAGTGTTCTTGGGGACTGTCTCGAGATCCATTAAGCAAGTCGAAGCTCCTGACTTGTTTGAATGGGATCACGGAATAGCTCTGCATGCACTGCAGGGGAATGGGGCCTCATCTCGCCTCTAGGGGGAAGTCTCATGGTTTTTCTCGAGTTACGGCGGGGACCTGGGGTATGTTCTCGACTTACGGCGGGGATGGCCCTTCAAAACACGAGTTTCTTCAGTGACGTCAGGACTCCTGTCTAGTAACGAGGGACACCTCAGGAATCTCTTCGAGGCTTGGCAGGGCCAAAGGGACGCTTCTCGAGGTGAGGCAGGGCACCCAAGGACCCTTTCCAGTAGCCACAGGGATTTTGGGATTCCTATCAGTATTCAAGAGGAGTCAGGCATCGTCACCTTTTGAAGCAATGAACTCCGCGTGCCTCTCGAGGTGTCAGCGGGATGTGAGGCATTCCGTCAAAATGAGGCAGGGACCTAGGGCTTTCTCTAAGGTCTCCACAGGGGATTCAGACATCCCTTCATGTTGTGAGATGAAAGACGAGCCTGTATTCAAGCCACTGCAAGGAAATCCGGCCTCCTTTCAAGTTAGGGCTTCTCGCTGTATATTCCCCTTGAGGCAGCAAACTCGGGGTCCCTCCCACATACCTATTGCTGAGAGAAGCCTCCTCCTGAGGTGCTTCTGGGAAGTTGGCATACGTCTTGAGCCTAAGCCAGGGAATCAGCTCGCATCTCGAGACGATTTGGGGTACACGGAGCATTCCTCGAGTTGCTGTGCTGAAGTTGCTGTTCCTCTAGACTTGGGACAGTGTTCTCGGGGCATTTCTGGAGTTGCCTGAAGGAAGTCGAGCCACCGGTCGTGTTGAATGGGGAACGGGGAATGGCTCTGGAGTCAATGCAGGGGAATCGGGCCTCATCTCGAGTTGATTTGGGGCACATGGAGCTGCTTTTCGTTGCTGGGGTGACCTCAGGGTCCGTCTAGACTGGTGACAGTGTTCTTGGGGACTGTCTCGAGATCCATTAAGCAAGTCGAAGCTCCTGACTTGTTTGAATGGGGTCACGGAATAGCTCTGCATGCACTGCAGGGGAATGGGGCCTCATCTCGCCTCTAGGGGGAAGTCTCGTGGTTTTCCTCGAGTTGCGGCGGGGACCTGGGGTATGTTCTCGACTTACGGCGGGGATGGCCCTTCAAAACACGAGTTTCTTCAGTGACGTCAGGACTCCTGTCTAGTAACGAGGGACACCTCAGGAATCTCTTCGAGGCTTGGCAGGGCCAAAGGGACGCTTCTCGAGGTGAGGCAGGGCACCCAAGGACCCTTTCCAGTAGCCACAGGGATTTTGGGATTCCTATCAGTATTCAAGAGGAGTCAGGCATCGTCACCTTTTGAAGCAATGAACTCCGCGTGCCTCTCGAGGTGTCAGCGGGATGTGAGGCATTCCGTCAAAATGAGGCAGGGACCTAGGGCTTTCTCTAAGGTCTCCACAGGGGATTCAGACATCCCTTCATGTTGTGAGATGAAAGACGAGCCTGTATTCAAGCCACTGCAAGGAAATCCGGCCTCCTTTCAAGTTAGGGCTTCTCGCTGTATATTCCCCTTGAGGCAGCAAACTCGGGGTCCCTCCCACATACCTATTGCTGAGAGAAGCCTCCTCCTGAGGTGCTTCTGGGAAGTTGGCATACGTCTTGAGCCTAAGCCAGGGAATCAGCTCGCATCTCGAGACGATTTGGGGTACACGGAGCATTCCTCGAGTTGCTGTGCTGAAGTTGGTGTTCCTCTAGACTTGGGACAGTGTTCTCGGGGCATCTCTGGAGTTGCCTGAAGGAAGTCGAGCCACCGGTCGTGTTGAATGGGGAACGGGGAATGGCTCTGCAGTCAATGCAGGGGAATCGGGCCTCATCTCGAGTTGATTTGGGGCACATGGAGCTGCTTTGCGTTGCTGGGGTGACCTCAGGGTCCGTCTAGACTGGTGACAGTGTTCTTGGGGACTGTCTCGAGATCCATTAAGCAAGTCGAAGCTCCTGACTTGTTTGAATGGGGTCACGGAATAGCTCTGCATGCACTGCAGGGGAATGGGGCCTCATCTCGCCTCTAGGGGGAAGTCTCATGGTTTTTCTCGAGTTGCGGCGGGGACCTGGGGTATGTTCTCGACTTACGGCGGGGATGGCCCTTCAAAACACGAGTTTCTTCAGTGACGTCAGGACTCCTGTCTAGTAACGAGGGACACCTCAGGAATCTCTTCGAGGCTTGGCAGGGCCAAAGGGACGCTTCTCGAGCTGAGGCAGGGCACCCAAGGACCCTTTCCAGTAGCCACAGGGATTTTGGGATTCCTATCAGTATTCAAGAGGAGTCAGGCATCGTCACCTTTTGAAGCAATGAACTCCGCGTGCCTCTCGAGGTGTCAGCGGGATGTGAGGCATTCCGTCAAAATGAGGCAGGGACCTAGGGCTTTCTCTAAGGTCTCCACAGGGGATTCAGACATCCCTTCATGTTGTGAGATGAAAGACGAGCCTGTATTCAAGCCACTGCAAGGAAATCCGGCCTCCTTTCAAGTTAGGGCTTCTCGCTGTATATTCCCCTTGAGGCAGCAAACTCGGGGTCCCTCCCACATACCTATTGCTGAGAGAAGCCTCCTCCTGAGGTGCTTCTGGGAAGTTGGCATACGTCTTGAGCCTAAGCCAGGGAATCAGCTCGCATCTCGAGACGATTTGGGGTACACGGAGCATTCCTCGAGTTGCTGTGCTGAAGTTGGTGTTCCTCTAGACTTGGGACAGTGTTCTCGGGGCATCTCTGGAGTTGCCTGAAGGAAGTCGAGCCACCGGTCGTGTTGAATGGGGAACGGGGAATGGCTCTGGAGTCAATGCAGGGGAATCGGGCCTCATCTCGAGTTGATTTGGGGCACATGGAGCTGCTTTGCGTTGCTGGGGTGACCTCAGGGTCCGTCTAGACTGGTGACAGTGTTCTTGGGGACTGTCTCGAGATCCATTAAGCAAGTCGAAGCTCCTGACTTGTTTGAATGGGGTCACGGAATAGCTCTGCATGCACTGCAGGGGAATGGGGCCTCATCTCGCCTCTAGGGGGAAGTCTCGTGGTTTTCCTCGAGTTGCGGCGGGGACCTGGGGTATGTTCTCGACTTACGGCGGGGATGGCCCTTCAAAACACGAGTTTCTTCAGTGACGTCAGGACTCCTGTCTAGTAACGAGGGACACCTCAGGAATCTCTTCGAGGCTTGGCAGGGCCAAAGGGACGCTTCTCGAGGTGAGGCAGGGCACCCAAGGACCCTTTCCAGTAGCCACAGGGATTTTGGGATTCCTATCAGTATTCAAGAGGAGTCAGGCATCGTCACCTTTTGAAGCAATGAACTCCGCGTGCCTCTCGAGGTGTCAGCGGGATGTGAGGCATTCCGTCAAAATGAGGCAGGGACCTAGGGCTTTCTCTAAGGTCTCCACAGGGGATTCAGACATCCCTTCATGTTGTGAGATGAAAGACGAGCCTGTATTCAAGCCACTGCAAGGAAATCCGGCCTCCTTTCAAGTTAGGGCTTCTCGCTGTATATTCCCCTTGAGGCAGCAAACTCGGGGTCCCTCCCACATACCTATTGCTGAGAGAAGCCTCCTCCTGAGGTGCTTCTGGGAAGTTGGCATACGTCTTGAGCCTAAGCCAGGGAATCAGCTCGCATCTCGAGACGATTTGGGGTACACGGAGCATTCCTCGAGTTGCTGTGCTGAAGTTGGTGTTCCTCTAGACTTGGGACAGTGTTCTCGGGGCATCTCTGGAGTTGCCTGAAGGAAGTCGAGCCACCGGTCGTGTTGAATGGGGAACGGGGAATGGCTCTGGAGTCAATGCAGGGGAATCGGGCCTCATCTCGAGTTGATTTGGGGCACATGGAGCTGCTTTGCGTTGCTGGGGTGACCTCAGGGTCCGTCTAGACTGGTGACAGTGTTCTTGGGGACTGTCTCGAGATCCATTAAGCAAGTCGAAGCTCCTGACTTGTTTGAATGGGGTCACGGAATAGCTCTGCATGCACTGCAGGGGAATGGGGCCTCATCTCGCCTCTAGGGGGAAGTCTCGTGGTTTTCCTCGAGTTGCGGCGGGGACCTGGGGTATGTTCTCGACTTACGGCGGGGATGGCCCTTCAAAACACGAGTTTCTTCAGTGACGTCAGGACTCCTGTCTAGTAACGAGGGACACCTCAGGAATCTCTTCGAGGCTTGGCAGGGCCAAAGGGACGCTTCTCGAGCTGAGGCAGGGCACCCAAGGACCCTTTCCAGTAGCCACAGGGATTTTGGGATTCCTATCAGTATTCAAGAGGAGTCAGGCATCGTCACCTTTTGAAGCAATGAACTCCGCGTGCCTCTCGAGGTGTCAGCGGGATGTGAGGCATTCCGTCAAAATGAGGCAGGGACCTAGGGCTTTCTCTAAGGTCTCCACAGGGGATTCAGACATCCCTTCATGTTGTGAGATGAAAGACGAGCCTGTATTCAAGCCACTGCAAGGAAATCCGGCCTCCTTTCAAGTTAGGGCTTCTCGCTGCATCTTCCCCTTGAGGCAGCAAACTCGGGGTCCCTCCCACATACCTATTGCTGAGAGAAGCCTCCTCCTGAGGTGCTTCTGGGAAGTTGGCATACGTCTTGAGCCTAAGCCAGGGAATCAGCTCGCATCTCGAGACGATTTGGGGTACACGGAGCATTCCTCGAGTTGCTGTGCTGAAGTTGGTGTTCCTCTAGACTTGGGACAGTGTTCTCGGGGCATCTCTGGAGTTGCCTGAAGGAAGTCGAGCCACCGGTCGTGTTGAATGGGGAACGGGGAATGGCTCTGGAGTCAATGCAGGGGAATCGGGCCTCATCTCGAGTTGATTTGGGGCACATGGAGCTGCTTTGCGTTGCTGGGGTGACCTCAGGGTCCGTCTAGACTGGTGACAGTGTTCTTGGGGACTGTCTCGAGATACATTAAGCAAGTCGAAGCTCCTGACTTGTTTGAATGGGATCACGGAATAGCTCTGCATGCACTGCAGGGGAATGGGGCCTCATCTCGCCTCTAGGGGGAAGTCTCATGGTTTTTCTCGAGTTGCGGCGGGGACCTGGGGTATGTTCTCGACTTACGGCGGGGATGGCCCTTCAAAACACGAGTTTCTTCAGTGACGTCAGGACTCCTGTCTAGTAACGAGGGACACCTCAGGAATCTCTTCGAGGCTTGGCAGGGCCAAAGGGACGCTTCTCGAGGTGAGGCAGGGCACCCAAGGACCCTTTCCAGTAGCCACAGGGATTTTGGGATTCCTATCAGTATTCAAGAGGAGTCAGGCATCGTCACCTTTTGAAGCAATGAACTCCGCGTGCCTCTCGAGGTGTCAGCGGGATGTGAGGCATTCCGTCAAAATGAGGCAGGGACCTAGGGCTTTCTCTAAGGTCTCCACAGGGGATTCAGACATCCCTTCATGTTGTGAGATGAAAGACGAGCCTGTATTCAAGCCACTGCAAGGAAATCCGGCCTCCTTTCAAGTTAGGGCTTCTCGCTGTATATTCCCCTTGAGGCAGCAAACTCGGGGTCCCTCCCACATAACTATTGCTGAGAGAAGCCTCCTCTTGAGGTGCTTCTGGGAAGTTGGCATACGTCTTGAGCCTAAGCCAGGGAATCAGCTCGCATCTCGAGACGATTTGGGGTACACGGAGCATTCCTCGAGTTGCTGTGCTGAAGTTGGTGTTCCTCTAGACTTGGGACAGTGTTCTCGGGGCATCTCTGGAGTTGCCTGAAGGAAGTCGAGCCACCGGTCGTGTTGAATGGGGAACGGGGAATGGCTCTGGAGTCAATGCAGGGGAATCGGGCCTCATCTCGAGTTGATTTGGGGCACATGGAGCTGCTTTGCGTTGCTGGGGTGACCTCAGGGTCCGTCTAGACTGGTGACAGTGTTCTTGGGGACTGTCTCGAGATCCATTAAGCAAGTCGAAGCTCCTGACTTGTTTGAATGGGGTCACGGAATAGCTCTGCATGCACTGCAGGGGAATGGGGCCTCATCTCGCCTCTAGGGGGAAGTCTCGTGGTTTTCCTCGAGTTGCGGCGGGGACCTGGGGTATGTTCTCGACTTACGGCGGGGATGGCCCTTCAAAACACGAGTTTCTTCAGTGACGTCAGGACTCCTGTCTAGTAACGAGGGACACCTCAGGAATCTCTTCGAGGCTTGGCAGGGCCAAAGGGACGCTTCTCGAGGTGAGGCAGGGCACCCAAGGACCCTTTCCAGTAGCCACAGGGATTTTGGGATTCCTATCAGTATTCAAGAGGAGTCAGGCATCGTCACCTTTTGAAGCAATGAACTCCGCGTGCCTCTCGAGGTGTCAGCGGGATGTGAGGCATTCCGTCAAAATGAGGCAGGGACCTAGGGCTTTCTCTAAGGTCTCCACAGGGGATTCAGACATCCCTTCATGTTGTGAGATGAAAGACGAGCCTGTATTCAAGCCACTGCAAGGAAATCCGGCCTCCTTTCAAGTTAGGGCTTCTCGCTGTATATTCCCCTTGAGGCAGCAAACTCGGGGTCCCTCCCACATACCTATTGCTGAGAGAAGCCTCCTCCTGAGGTGCTTCTGGGAAGTTGGCATACGTCTTGAGCCTAAGCCAGGGAATCAGCTCGCATCTCGAGACGATTTGGGGTACACGGAGCATTCCTCGAGTTGCTGTGCTGAAGTTGGTGTTCCTCTAGACTTGGGACAGTGTTCTCGGGGCATCTCTGGAGTTGCCTGAAGGAAGTCGAGCCACCGGTCGTGTTGAATGGGGAACGGGGAATGGCTCTGGAGTCAATGCAGGGGAATCGGGCCTCATCTCGAGTTGATTTGGGGCACATGGAGCTGCTTTGCGTTGCTGGGGTGACCTCAGGGTCCGTCTAGACTGGTGACAGTGTTCTTGGGGACTGTCTCGAGATCCATTAAGCAAGTCGAAGCTCCTGACTTGTTTGAATGGGGTCACGGAATAGCTCTGCATGCACTGCAGGGGAATGGGGCCTCATCTCGCCTCTAGGGGGAAGTCTCGTGGTTTTCCTCGAGTTGCGGCGGGGACCTGGGGTATGTTCTCGACTTACGGCGGGGATGGCCCTTCAAAACACGAGTTTCTTCAGTGACGTCAGGACTCCTGTCTAGTAACGAGGGACACCTCAGGAATCTCTTCGAGGCTTGGCAGGGCCAAAGGGACGCTTCTCGAGCTGAGGCAGGGCACCCAAGGACCCTTTCCAGTAGCCACAGGGATTTTGGGATTCCTATCAGTATTCAAGAGGAGTCAGGCATCGTCACCTTTTGAAGCAATGAACTCCGCGTGCCTCTCGAGGTGTCAGCGGGATGTGAGGCATTCCGTCAAAATGAGGCAGGGACCTAGGGCTTTCTCTAAGGTCTCCACAGGGGATTCAGACATCCCTTCATGTTGTGAGATGAAAGACGAGCCTGTATTCAAGCCACTGCAAGGAAATCCGGCCTCCTTTCAAGTTAGGGCTTCTCGCTGCATCTTCCCCTTGAGGCAGCAAACTCGGGGTCCCTCCCACATACCTATTGCTGAGAGAAGCCTCCTCCTGAGGTGCTTCTGGGAAGTTGGCATACGTCTTGAGCCTAAGCCAGGGAATCAGCTCGCATCTCGAGACGATTTGGGGTACACGGAGCATTCCTCGAGTTGCTGTGCTGAAGTTGGTGTTCCTCTAGACTTGGGACAGTGTTCTCGGGGCATCTCTGGAGTTGCCTGAAGGAAGTCGAGCCACCGGTCGTGTTGAATGGGGAACGGGGAATGGCTCTGGAGTCAATGCAGGGGAATCGGGCCTCATCTCGAGTTGATTTGGGGCACATGGAGCTGCTTTGCGTTGCTGGGGTGACCTCAGGGTCCGTCTAGACTGGTGACAGTGTTCTTGGGGACTGTCTCGAGATACATTAAGCAAGTCGAAGCTCCTGACTTGTTTGAATGGGATCACGGAATAGCTCTGCATGCACTGCAGGGGAATGGGGCCTCATCTCGCCTCTAGGGGGAAGTCTCATGGTTTTTCTCGAGTTGCGGCGGGGACCTGGGGTATGTTCTCGACTTACGGCGGGGATGGCCCTTCAAAACACGAGTTTCTTCAGTGACGTCAGGACTCCTGTCTAGTAACGAGGGACACCTCAGGAATCTCTTCGAGGCTTGGCAGGGCCAAAGGGACGCTTCTCGAGGTGAGGCAGGGCACCCAAGGACCCTTTCCAGTAGCCACAGGGATTTTGGGATTCCTATCAGTATTCAAGAGGAGTCAGGCATCGTCACCTTTTGAAGCAATGAACTCCGCGTGCCTCTCGAGGTGTCAGCGGGATGTGAGGCATTCCGTCAAAATGAGGCAGGGACCTAGGGCTTTCTCTAAGGTCTCCACAGGGGATTCAGACATCCCTTCATGTTGTGAGATGAAAGACGAGCCTGTATTCAAGCCACTGCAAGGAAATCCGGCCTCCTTTCAAGTTAGGGCTTCTCGCTGTATATTCCCCTTGAGGCAGCAAACTCGGGGTCCCTCCCACATAACTATTGCTGAGAGAAGCCTCCTCTTGAGGTGCTTCTGGGAAGTTGGCATACGTCTTGAGCCTAAGCCAGGGAATCAGCTCGCATCTCGAGACGATTTGGGGTACACGGAGCATTCCTCGAGTTGCTGTGCTGAAGTTGCTGTTCCTCTAGACTTGGGACAGTGTTCTCGGGGCATTTCTGGAGTTGCCTGAAGGAAGTCGAGCCACCGGTCGTGTTGAATGGGGAACGGGGAATGGCTCTGGAGTCAATGCAGGGGAATCGGGCCTCATCTCGAGTTGATTTGGGGCACATGGAGCTGCTTTTCGTTGCTGGGGTGACCTCAGGGTCCGTCTAGACTGGTGACAGTGTTCTTGGGGACTGTCTCGAGATCCATTAAGCAAGTCGAAGCTCCTGACTTGTTTGAATGGGGTCACGGAATAGCTCTGCATGCACTGCAGGGGAATGGGGCCTCATCTCGCCTCTAGGGGGAAGTCTCGTGGTTTTCCTCGAGTTGCGGCGGGGACCTGGGGTATGTTCTCGACTTACGGCGGGGATGGCCCTTCAAAACACGAGTTTCTTCAGTGACGTCAGGACTCCTGTCTAGTAACGAGGGACACCTCAGGAATCTCTTCGAGGCTTGGCAGGGCCAAAGGGACGCTTCTCGAGGTGAGGCAGGGCACCCAAGGACCCTTTCCAGTAGCCACAGGGATTTTGGGATTCCTATCAGTATTCAAGAGGAGTCAGGCATCGTCACCTTTTGAAGCAATGAACTCCGCGTGCCTCTCGAGGTGTCAGCGGGATGTGAGGCATTCCGTCAAAATGAGGCAGGGACCTAGGGCTTTCTCTAAGGACTCCACAGGGGATTCAGACATCCCTTCATGTTGTGAGATGAAAGACGAGCCTGTATTCAAGCCACTGCAAGGAAATCCGGCCTCCTTTCAAGTTAGGGCTTCTCGCTGCATCTTCCCCTTGAGGCAGCAAACTCGGGGTCCCTCCCACATACCTATTGCTGAGAGAAGCCTCCTCCTGAGGTGCTTCTGGGAAGTTGGCATACGTCTTGAGCCTAAGCCAGGGAATCAGCTCGCATCTCGAGACGATTTGGGGTACACGGAGCATTCCTCGAGTTGCTGTGCTGAAGTTGGTGTTCCTCTAGACTTGGGACAGTGTTCTCGGGGCATCTCTGGAGTTGCCTGAAGGAAGTCGAGCCACCGGTCGTGTTGAATGGGGAACGGGGAATGGCTCTGGAGTCAATGCAGGGGAATCGGGCCTCATCTCGAGTTGATTTGGGGCACATGGAGCTGCTTTTCGTTGCTGGGGTGACCTCAGGGTCCGTCTAGACTGGTGACAGTGTTCTTGGGGACTGTCTCGAGATCCATTAAGCAAGTCGAAGCTCCTGACTTGTTTGAATGGGGTCACGGAATAGCTCTGCATGCACTGCAGGGGAATGGGGCCTCATCTCGCCTCTAGGGGGAAGTCTCGTGGTTTTCCTCGAGTTGCGGCGGGGACCTGGGGTATGTTCTCGACTTACGGCGGGGATGGCCCTTCAAAACACGAGTTTCTTCAGTGACGTCAGGACTCCTGTCTAGTAACGAGGGACACCTCAGGAATCTCTTCGAGGCTTGGCAGGGCCAAAGGGACGCTTCTCGAGGTGAGGCAGGGCACCCAAGGACCCTTTCCAGTAGCCACAGGGATTTTGGGATTCCTATCAGTATTCAAGAGGAGTCAGGCATCGTCACCTTTTGAAGCAATGAACTCCGCGTGCCTCTCGAGGTGTCAGCGGGATGTGAGGCATTCCGTCAAAATGAGGCAGGGACCTAGGGCTTTCTCTAAGGACTCCACAGGGGATTCAGACATCCCTTCATGTTGTGAGATGAAAGACGAGCCTGTATTCAAGCCACTGCAAGGAAATCCGGCCTCCTTTCAAGTTAGGGCTTCTCGCTGCATCTTCCCCTTGAGGCAGCAAACTCGGGGTCCCTCCCACATACCTATTGCTGAGAGAAGCCTCCTCCTGAGGTGCTTCTGGGAAGTTGGCATAAGTCTTGAGCCTAAGCCAGGGAATCAGCTCGCATCTCGAGACGATTTGGGGTACACGGAGCATTCCTCGAGTTGCTGTGCTGAAGTTGCTGTTCCTCTAGACTTGGGACAGTGTTCTCGGGGCATCTCTGGAGTTGCCTGAAGGAAGTCGAGCCACCGGTCGTGTTGAATGGGGAACGGGGAATGGCTCTGGAGTCAATGCAGGGGAATCGGGCCTCATCTCGAGTTGATTTGGGGCACATGGAGCTGCTTTGCGTTGCTGGGGTGACCTCAGGGTCCGTCTAGACTGGTGACAGTGTTCTTGGGGACTGTCTCGAGATCCATTAAGCAAGTCGAAGCTCCTGACTTGTTTGAATGGGGTCACGGAATAGCTCTGCATGCACTGCAGGGGAATGGGGCCTCATCTCGCCTCTAGGGGGAAGTCTCATGGTTTTTCTCGAGTTGCGGCGGGGACCTGAGGTATGTTCTCGACTTACGGCGGGGATGGCCCTTCAAAACACGAGTTTCTTCAGTGACGTCAGGACTCCTGTCTAGTAACGAGGGACACCTCAGGAATCTCTTCGAGGCTTGGCAGGGCCAAAGGGACGCTTCTCGAGGTGAGGCAGGGCACCCAAGGACCCTTTCCAGTAGCCACAGGGATTTTGGGATTCCTATCAGTATTCAAGAGGAGTCAGGCATCGTCACCTCTTGAAGCAATGAACTCCGCGTGCCTCTCGAGGTGTCAGCGGGATGTGAGGCATTCCGTCAAAATGAGGCAGGGACCTAGGGCTTTCTCTAAGGTCTCCACAGGGGATTCAGACATCCCTTCATGTTGTGAGATGAAAGACGAGCCTGTATTCAAGCCACTGGAAGGAAATCCGGCCTCCTTTCAAGTTAGGGCTTCTCGCTGTATATTCCCCTTGAGGCAGCAAACTCGGGGTCCCTCCCACATACCTATTGCTGAGAGAAGCCTCCTCCTGAGGTGCTTCTGGGAAGTTGGCATACGTCTTGAGCCTAAGCCAGGGAATCAGCTCGCATCTCGAGACGATTTGGGGTACACGGAGCATTCCTCGAGTTGCTGTGCTGAAGTTGCTGTTCCTCTAGACTTGGGACAGTGTTCTCGGGGCATTTCTGGAGTTGCCTGAAGGAAGTCGAGCCACCGGTCTTGTTGAATGGGGAACGGGGAATGGCTCTGGAGTCAATGCAGGGGAATCGGGCCTCATCTCGAGTTGTTTTGGGGCACATGGAGCTGCTTTTCGTTGCTGGGGTGACCTCAGGGTCCGTCTAGACTGGTGACAGTGTTCTTGGGGACTGTCTCGAGATCCATTAAGCAAGTCGAAGCTCCTGACTTGTTTGAATGGGGTCACGGAATAGCTCTGCATGCACTGCAGGGGAATGGGGCCTCATCTCGCCTCTAGGGGGAAGTCTCGTGGTTTTCCTCGAGTTGCGGCGGGGACCTGGGGTATGTTCTCGACTTACGGCGGGGATGGCCCTTCAAAACACGAGTTTCTTCAGTGACGTCAGGACTCCTGTCTAGTAACGAGGGACACCTCAGGAATCTCTTCGAGGCTTGGCAGGGCCAAAGGGACGCTTCTCGAGGTGAGGCAGGGCACCCAAGGACCCTTTCCAGTAGCCACAGGGATTTTGGGATTCCTATCAGTATTCAAGAGGAGTCAGGCATCGTCACCTTTTGAAGCAATGAACTCCGCGTGCCTCTCGAGGTGTCAGCGGGATGTGAGGCATTCCGTCAAAATGAGGCAGGGACCTAGGGCTTTCTCTAAGGACTCCACAGGGGATTCAGACATCCCTTCATGTTGTGAGATGAAAGACGAGCCTGTATTCAAGCCACTGCAAGGAAATCCGGCCTCCTTTCAAGTTAGGGCTTCTCGCTGCATCTTCCCCTTGAGGCAGCAAACTCGGGGTCCCTCCCACATACCTATTGCTGAGAGAAGCCTCCTCCTGAGGTGCTTCTGGGAAGTTGGCATACGTCTTGAGCCTAAGCCAGGGAATCAGCTCGCATCTCGAGACGATTTGGGGTACACGGAGCATTCCTCGAGTTGCTGTGCTGAAGTTGGTGTTCCTCTAGACTTGGGACAGTGTTCTCGGGGCATCTCTGGAGTTGCCTGAAGGAAGTCGAGCCACCGGTCGTGTTGAATGGGGAACGGGGAATGGCTCTGGAGTCAATGCAGGGGAATCGGGCCTCATCTCGAGTTGATTTGGGGCACATGGAGCTGCTTTGCGTTGCTGGGGTGACCTCAGGGTCCGTCTAGACTGGTGACAGTGTTCTTGGGGACTGTCTCGAGATCCATTAAGCAAGTCGAAGCTCCTGACTTGTTTGAATGGGATCACGGAATAGCTCTGCATGCACTGCAGGGGAATGGGGCCTCATCTCGCCTCTAGGGGGAAGTCTCATGGTTTTTCTCGAGTTGCGGCGGGGACCTGGGGTATGTTCTCGACTTACGGCGGGGATGGCCCTTCAAAACACGAGTTTCTTCAGTGACGTCAGGACTCCTGTCTAGTAACGAGGGACACCTCAGGAATCTCTTCGAGGCTTGGCAGGGCCAAAGGGACGCTTCTCGAGGTGAGGCAGGGCACCCAAGGACCCTTTCCAGTAGCCACAGGGATTTTGGGATTCCTATCAGTATTCAAGAGGAGTCAGGCATCGTCACCTTTTGAAGCAATGAACTCCGCGTGCCTCTCGAGGTGTCAGCGGGATGTGAGGCATTCCGTCAAAATGAGGCAGGGACCTAGGGCTTTCTCTAAGGTCTCCACAGGGGATTCAGACATCCCTTCATGTTGTGAGATGAAAGACGAGCCTGTATTCAAGCCACTGCAAGGAAATCCGGCCTCCTTTCAAGTTAGGGCTTCTCGCTGTATATTCCCCTTGAGGCAGCAAACTCGGGGTCCCTCCCACATACCTATTGCTGAGAGAAGCCTCCTCCTGAGGTGCTTCTGGGAAGTTGGCATACGTCTTGAGCCTAAGCCAGGGAATCAGCTCGCATCTCGAGACGATTTGGGGTACACGGAGCATTCCTCGAGTTGCTGTGCTGAAGTTGCTGTTCCTCTAGACTTGGGACAGTGTTCTCGGGGCATCTCTGGAGTTGCCTGAAGGAAGTCGAGCCACCGGTCGTGTTGAATGGGGAACGGGGAATGGCTCTGGAGTCAATGCAGGGGAATCGGGCCTCATCTCGAGTTGATTTGGGGCACATGGAGCTGCTTTGCGTTGCTGGGGTGACCTCAGGGTCCGTCTAGACTGGTGACAGTGTTCTTGGGGACTGTCTCGAGATCCATTAAGCAAGTCGAAGCTCCTGACTTGTTTGAATGGGGTCACGGAATAGCTCTGCATGCACTGCAGGGGAATGGGGCCTCATCTCGCCTCTAGGGGGAAGTCTCGTGGTTTTCCTCGAGTTGCGGCGGGGACCTGGGGTATGTTCTCGACTTACGGCGGGGATGGCCCTTCAAAACACGAGTTTCTTCAGTGACGTCAGGACTCCTGTCTAGTAACGAGGGACACCTCAGGAATCTCTTCGAGGCTTGGCAGGGCCAAAGGGACGCTTCTCGAGGTGAGGCAGGGCACCCAAGGACCCTTTCCAGTAGCCACAGGGATTTTGGGATTCCTATCAGTATTCAAGAGGAGTCAGGCATCGTCACCTTTTGAAGCAATGAACTCCGCGTGCCTCTCGAGGTGTCAGCGGGATGTGAGGCATTCCGTCAAAATGAGGCAGGGACCTAGGGCTTTCTCTAAGGTCTCCACAGGGGATTCAGACATCCCTTCATGCTGTGAGATGAAAGACGAGCCTGTATTCAAGCCACTGCAAGGAAATCCGGCCTCCTTTCAAGTTAGGGCTTCTCGCTGCATCTTCCCCTTGAGGCAGCAAACTCGGGGTCCCTCCCACATACCTATTGCTGAGAGAAGCCTCCTCCTGAGGTGCTTCTGGGAAGTTGGCATACGTCTTGAGCCTAAGCCAGGGAATCAGCTCGCATCTCGAGACGATTTGGGGTACACGGAGCATTCCTCGAGTTGCTGTGCTGAAGTTGGTGTTCCTCTAGACTTGGGACAGTGTTCTCGGGGCATCTCTGGAGTTGCCTGAAGGAAGTCGAGCCACCGGTCGTGTTGAATGGGGAACGGGGAATGGCTCTGGTGTCAATGCAGGGGAATCGGGCCTCATCTCGAGTTGATTTGGGGCACATGGAGCTGCTTTGCGTTGCTGGGGTGACCTCAGGGTCCGTCTAGACTGGTGACAGTGTTCTTGGGGACTGTCTCGAGATCCATTAAGCAAGTCGAAGCTCCTGACTTGTTTGAATGGGATCACGGAATAGCTCTGCATGCACTGCAGGGGAATGGGGCCTCATCTCGCCTCTAGGGGGAAGTCTCATGGTTTTTCTCGAGTTACGGCGGGGACCTGGGGTATGTTCTCGACTTACGGCGGGGATGGCCCTTCAAAACACGAGTTTCTTCAGTGACGTCAGGACTCCTGTCTAGTAACGAGGGACACCTCAGGAATCTCTTCGAGGCTTGGCAGGGCCAAAGGGACGCTTCTCGAGGTGAGGCAGGGCACCCAAGGACCCTTTCCAGTAGCCACAGGGATTTTGGGATTCCTATCAGTATTCAAGAGGAGTCAGGCATCGTCACCTTTTGAAGCAATGAACTCCGCGTGCCTCTCGAGGTGTCAGCGGGATGTGAGGCATTCCGTCAAAATGAGGCAGGGACCTAGGGCTTTCTCTAAGGTCTCCACAGGGGATTCAGACATCCCTTCATGTTGTGAGATGAAAGACGAGCCTGTATTCAAGCCACTGCAAGGAAATCCGGCCTCCTTTCAAGTTAGGGCTTCTCGCTGTATATTCCCCTTGAGGCAGCAAACTCGGGGTCCCTCCCACATACCTATTGCTGAGAGAAGCCTCCTCCTGAGGTGCTTCTGGGAAGTTGGCATACGTCTTGAGCCTAAGCCAGGGAATCAGCTCGCATCTCGAGACGATTTGGGGTACACGGAGCATTCCTCGAGTTGCTGTGCTGAAGTTGCTGTTCCTCTAGACTTGGGACAGTGTTCTCGGGGCATTTCTGGAGTTGCCTGAAGGAAGTCGAGCCACCGGTCGTGTTGAATGGGGAACGGGGAATGGCTCTGGAGTCAATGCAGGGGAATCGGGCCTCATCTCGAGTTGATTTGGGGCACATGGAGCTGCTTTTCGTTGCTGGGGTGACCTCAGGGTCCGTCTAGACTGGTGACAGTGTTCTTGGGGACTGTCTCGAGATCCATTAAGCAAGTCGAAGCTCCTGACTTGTTTGAATGGGGTCACGGAATAGCTCTGCATGCACTGCAGGGGAATGGGGCCTCATCTCGCCTCTAGGGGGAAGTCTCGTGGTTTTCCTCGAGTTGCGGCGGGGACCTGGGGTATGTTCTCGACTTACGGCGGGGATGGCCCTTCAAAACACGAGTTTCTTCAGTGACGTCAGGACTCCTGTCTAGTAACGAGGGACACCTCAGGAATCTCTTCGAGGCTTGGCAGGGCCAAAGGGACGCTTCTCGAGGTGAGGCAGGGCACCCAAGGACCCTTTCCAGTAGCCACAGGGATTTTGGGATTCCTATCAGTATTCAAGAGGAGTCAGGCATCGTCACCTTTTGAAGCAATGAACTCCGCGTGCCTCTCGAGGTGTCAGCGGGATGTGAGGCATTCCGTCAAAATGAGGCAGGGACCTAGGGCTTTCTCTAAGGTCTCCACAGGGGATTCAGACATCCCTTCATGTTGTGAGATGAAAGACGAGCCTGTATTCAAGCCACTGCAAGGAAATCCGGCCTCCTTTCAAGTTAGGGCTTCTCGCTGTATATTCCCCTTGAGGCAGCAAACTCGGGGTCCCTCCCACATACCTATTGCTGAGAGAAGCCTCCTCCTGAGGTGCTTCTGGGAAGTTGGCATAAGTCTTGAGCCTAAGCCAGGGAATCAGCTCGCATCTCGAGACGATTTGGGGTACACGGAGCATTCCTCGAGTTGCTGTGCTGAAGTTGCTGTTCCTCTAGACTTGGGACAGTGTTCTCGGGGCATCTCTGGAGTTGCCTGAAGGAAGTCGAGCCACCGGTCGTGTTGAATGGGGAACGGGGAATGGCTCTGGAGTCAATGCAGGGGAATCGGGCCTCATCTCGAGTTGATTTGGGGCACATGGAGCTGCTTTGCGTTGCTGGGGTGACCTCAGGGTCCGTCTAGACTGGTGACAGTGTTCTTGGGGACTGTCTCGAGATCCATTAAGCAAGTCGAAGCTCCTGACTTGTTTGAATGGGGTCACGGAATAGCTCTGCATGCACTGCAGGGGAATGGGGCCTCATCTCGCCTCTAGGGGGAAGTCTCATGGTTTTTCTCGAGTTGCGGCGGGGACCTGAGGTATGTTCTCGACTTACGGCGGGGATGGCCCTTCAAAACACGAGTTTCTTCAGTGACGTCAGGACTCCTGTCTAGTAACGAGGGACACCTCAGGAATCTCTTCGAGGCTTGGCAGGGCCAAAGGGACGCTTCTCGAGGTGAGGCAGGGCACCCAAGGACCCTTTCCAGTAGCCACAGGGATTTTGGGATTCCTATCAGTATTCAAGAGGAGTCAGGCATCGTCACCTCTTGAAGCAATGAACTCCGCGTGCCTCTCGAGGTGTCAGCGGGATGTGAGGCATTCCGTCAAAATGAGGCAGGGACCTAGGGCTTTCTCTAAGGTCTCCACAGGGGATTCAGACATCCCTTCATGTTGTGAGATGAAAGACGAGCCTGTATTCAAGCCACTGGAAGGAAATCCGGCCTCCTTTCAAGTTAGGGCTTCTCGCTGTATATTCCCCTTGAGGCAGCAAACTCGGGGTCCCTCCCACATACCTATTGCTGAGAGAAGCCTCCTCCTGAGGTGCTTCTGGGAAGTTGGCATACGTCTTGAGCCTAAGCCAGGGAATCAGCTCGCATCTCGAGACGATTTGGGGTACACGGAGCATTCCTCGAGTTGCTGTGCTGAAGTTGCTGTTCCTCTAGACTTGGGACAGTGTTCTCGGGGCATTTCTGGAGTTGCCTGAAGGAAGTCGAGCCACCGGTCGTGTTGAATGGGGAACGGGGAATGGCTCTGGAGTCAATGCAGGGGAATCGGGCCTCATCTCGAGTTGATTTGGGGCACATGGAGCTGCTTTTCGTTGCTGGGGTGACCTCAGGGTCCGTCTAGACTGGTGACAGTGTTCTTGGGGACTGTCTCGAGATCCATTAAGCAAGTCGAAGCTCCTGACTTGTTTGAATGGGGTCACGGAATAGCTCTGCATGCACTGCAGGGGAATGGGGCCTCATCTCGCCTCTAGGGGGAAGTCTCGTGGTTTTCCTCGAGTTGCGGCGGGGACCTGGGGTATGTTCTCGACTTACGGCGGGGATGGCCCTTCAAAACACGAGTTTCTTCAGTGACGTCAGGACTCCTGTCTAGTAACGAGGGACACCTCAGGAATCTCTTCGAGGCTTGGCAGGGCCAAAGGGACGCTTCTCGAGGTGAGGCAGGGCACCCAAGGACCCTTTCCAGTAGCCACAGGGATTTTGGGATTCCTATCAGTATTCAAGAGGAGTCAGGCATCGTCACCTTTTGAAGCAATGAACTCCGCGTGCCTCTCGAGGTGTCAGCGGGATGTGAGGCATTCCGTCAAAATGAGGCAGGGACCTAGGGCTTTCTCTAAGGACTCCACAGGGGATTCAGACATCCCTTCATGTTGTGAGATGAAAGACGAGCCTGTATTCAAGCCACTGCAAGGAAATCCGGCCTCCTTTCAAGTTAGGGCTTCTCGCTGCATCTTCCCCTTGAGGCAGCAAACTCGGGGTCCCTCCCACATACCTATTGCTGAGAGAAGCCTCCTCCTGAGGTGCTTCTGGGAAGTTGGCATACGTCTTGAGCCTAAGCCAGGGAATCAGCTCGCATCTCGAGACGATTTGGGGTACACGGAGCATTCCTCGAGTTGCTGTGCTGAAGTTGGTGTTCCTCTAGACTTGGGACAGTGTTCTCGGGGCATCTCTGGAGTTGCCTGAAGGAAGTCGAGCCACCGGTCGTGTTGAATGGGGAACGGGGAATGGCTCTGGAGTCAATGCAGGGGAATCGGGCCTCATCTCGAGTTGATTTGGGGCACATGGAGCTGCTTTGCGTTGCTGGGGTGACCTCAGGGTCCGTCTAGACTGGTGACAGTGTTCTTGGGGACTGTCTCGAGATCCATTAAGCAAGTCGAAGCTCCTGACTTGTTTGAATGGGATCACGGAATAGCTCTGCATGCACTGCAGGGGAATGGGGCCTCATCTCGCCTCTAGGGGGAAGTCTCATGGTTTTTCTCGAGTTGCGGCGGGGACCTGGGGTATGTTCTCGACTTACGGCGGGGATGGCCCTTCAAAACACGAGTTTCTTCAGTGACGTCAGGACTCCTGTCTAGTAACGAGGGACACCTCAGGAATCTCTTCGAGGCTTGGCAGGGCCAAAGGGACGCTTCTCGAGGTGAGGCAGGGCACCCAAGGACCCTTTCCAGTAGCCACAGGGATTTTGGGATTCCTATCAGTATTCAAGAGGAGTCAGGCATCGTCACCTTTTGAAGCAATGAACTCCGCGTGCCTCTCGAGGTGTCAGCGGGATGTGAGGCATTCCGTCAAAATGAGGCAGGGACCTAGGGCTTTCTCTAAGGTCTCCACAGGGGATTCAGACATCCCTTCATGTTGTGAGATGAAAGACGAGCCTGTATTCAAGCCACTGCAAGGAAATCCGGCCTCCTTTCAAGTTAGGGCTTCTCGCTGTATATTCCCCTTGAGGCAGCAAACTCGGGGTCCCTCCCACATACCTATTGCTGAGAGAAGCCTCCTCCTGAGGTGCTTCTGGGAAGTTGGCATACGTCTTGAGCCTAAGCCAGGGAATCAGCTCGCATCTCGAGACGATTTGGGGTACACGGAGCATTCCTCGAGTTGCTGTGCTGAAGTTGGTGTTCCTCTAGACTTGGGACAGTGTTCTCGGGGCATCTCTGGAGTTGCCTGAAGGAAGTCGAGCCACCGGTCGTGTTGAATGGGGAACGGGGAATGGCTCTGGAGTCAATGCAGGGGAATCGGGCCTCATCTCGAGTTGATTTGGGGCACATGGAGCTGCTTTGCGTTGCTGGGGTGACCTCAGGGTCCGTCTAGACTGGTGACAGTGTTCTTGGGGACTGTCTCGAGATCCATTAAGCAAGTCGAAGCTCCTGACTTGTTTGAATGGGGTCACGGAATAGCTCTGCATGCACTGCAGGGGAATGGGGCCTCATCTCGCCTCTAGGGGGAAGTCTCGTGGTTTTCCTCGAGTTGCGGCGGGGACCTGGGGTATGTTCTCGACTTACGGCGGGGATGGCCCTTCAAAACACGAGTTTCTTCAGTGACGTCAGGACTCCTGTCTAGTAACGAGGGACACCTCAGGAATCTCTTCGAGGCTTGGCAGGGCCAAAGGGACGCTTCTCGAGGTGAGGCAGGGCACCCAAGGACCCTTTCCAGTAGCCACAGGGATTTTGGGATTCCTATCAGTATTCAAGAGGAGTCAGGCATCGTCACCTTTTGAAGCAATGAACTCCGCGTGCCTCTCGAGGTGTCAGCGGGATGTGAGGCATTCCGTCAAAATGAGGCAGGGACCTAGGGCTTTCTCTAAGGTCTCCACAGGGGATTCAGACATCCCTTCATGTTGTGAGATGAAAGACGAGCCTGTATTCAAGCCACTGCAAGGAAATCCGGCCTCCTTTCAAGTTAGGGCTTCTCGCTGCATCTTCCCCTTGAGGCAGCAAACTCGGGGTCCCTCCCACATACCTATTGCTGAGAGAAGCCTCCTCCTGAGGTGCTTCTGGGAAGTTGGCATACGTCTTGAGCCTAAGCCAGGGAATCAGCTCGCATCTCGAGACGATTTGGGGTACACGGAGCATTCCTCGAGTTGCTGTGCTGAAGTTGGTGTTCCTCTAGACTTGGGACAGTGTTCTCGGGGCATCTCTGGAGTTGCCTGAAGGAAGTCGAGCCACCGGTCGTGTTGAATGGGGAACGGGGAATGGCTCTGGAGTCAATGCAGGGGAATCGGGCCTCATCTCGAGTTGATTTGGGGCACATGGAGCTGCTTTGCGTTGCTGGGGTGACCTCAGGGTCCGTCTAGACTGGTGACAGTGTTCTTGGGGACTGTCTCGAGATCCATTAAGCAAGTCGAAGCTCCTGACTTGTTTGAATGGGATCACGGAATAGCTCTGCATGCACTGCAGGGGAATGGGGCCTCATCTCGCCTCTAGGGGGAAGTCTCATGGTTTTTCTCGAGTTACGGCGGGGACCTGGGGTATGTTCTCGACTTACGGCGGGGATGGCCCTTCAAAACACGAGTTTCTTCAGTGACGTCAGGACTCCTGTCTAGTAACGAGGGACACCTCAGGAATCTCTTCGAGGCTTGGCAGGGCCAAAGGGACGCTTCTCGAGGTGAGGCAGGGCACCCAAGGACCCTTTCCAGTAGCCACAGGGATTTTGGGATTCCTATCAGTATTCAAGAGGAGTCAGGCATCGTCACCTTTTGAAGCAATGAACTCCGCGTGCCTCTCGAGGTGTCAGCGGGATGTGAGGCATTCCGTCAAAATGAGGCAGGGACCTAGGGCTTTCTCTAAGGTCTCCACAGGGGATTCAGACATCCCTTCATGTTGTGAGATGAAAGACGAGCCTGTATTCAAGCCACTGCAAGGAAATCCGGCCTCCTTTCAAGTTAGGGCTTCTCGCTGTATATTCCCCTTGAGGCAGCAAACTCGGGGTCCCTCCCACATACCTATTGCTGAGAGAAGCCTCCTCCTGAGGTGCTTCTGGGAAGTTGGCATACGTCTTGAGCCTAAGCCAGGGAATCAGCTCGCATCTCGAGACGATTTGGGGTACACGGAGCATTCCTCGAGTTGCTGTGCTGAAGTTGCTGTTCCTCTAGACTTGGGACAGTGTTCTCGGGGCATTTCTGGAGTTGCCTGAAGGAAGTCGAGCCACCGGTCGTGTTGAATGGGGAACGGGGAATGGCTCTGGAGTCAATGCAGGGGAATCGGGCCTCATCTCGAGTTGATTTGGGGCACATGGAGCTGCTTTTCGTTGCTGGGGTGACCTCAGGGTCCGTCTAGACTGGTGACAGTGTTCTTGGGGACTGTCTCGAGATCCATTAAGCAAGTCGAAGCTCCTGACTTGTTTGAATGGGGTCACGGAATAGCTCTGCATGCACTGCAGGGGAATGGGGCCTCATCTCGCCTCTAGGGGGAAGTCTCGTGGTTTTCCTCGAGTTGCGGCGGGGACCTGGGGTATGTTCTCGACTTACGGCGGGGATGGCCCTTCAAAACACGAGTTTCTTCAGTGACGTCAGGACTCCTGTCTAGTAACGAGGGACACCTCAGGAATCTCTTCGAGGCTTGGCAGGGCCAAAGGGACGCTTCTCGAGGTGAGGCAGGGCACCCAAGGACCCTTTCCAGTAGCCACAGGGATTTTGGGATTCCTATCAGTATTCAAGAGGAGTCAGGCATCGTCACCTTTTGAAGCAATGAACTCCGCGTGCCTCTCGAGGTGTCAGCGGGATGTGAGGCATTCCGTCAAAATGAGGCAGGGACCTAGGGCTTTCTCTAAGGTCTCCACAGGGGATTCAGACATCCCTTCATGTTGTGAGATGAAAGACGAGCCTGTATTCAAGCCACTGCAAGGAAATCCGGCCTCCTTTCAAGTTAGGGCTTCTCGCTGTATATTCCCCTTGAGGCAGCAAACTCGGGGTCCCTCCCACATACCTATTGCTGAGAGAAGCCTCCTCCTGAGGTGCTTCTGGGAAGTTGGCATACGTCTTGAGCCTAAGCCAGGGAATCAGCTCGCATCTCGAGACGATTTGGGGTACACGGAGCATTCCTCGAGTTGCTGTGCTGAAGTTGGTGTTCCTCTAGACTTGGGACAGTGTTCTCGGGGCATCTCTGGAGTTGCCTGAAGGAAGTCGAGCCACCGGTCGTGTTGAATGGGGAACGGGGAATGGCTCTGCAGTCAATGCAGGGGAATCGGGCCTCATCTCGAGTTGATTTGGGGCACATGGAGCTGCTTTGCGTTGCTGGGGTGACCTCAGGGTCCGTCTAGACTGGTGACAGTGTTCTTGGGGACTGTCTCGAGATCCATTAAGCAAGTCGAAGCTCCTGACTTGTTTGAATGGGGTCACGGAATAGCTCTGCATGCACTGCAGGGGAATGGGGCCTCATCTCGCCTCTAGGGGGAAGTCTCATGGTTTTTCTCGAGTTGCGGCGGGGACCTGGGGTATGTTCTCGACTTACGGCGGGGATGGCCCTTCAAAACACGAGTTTCTTCAGTGACGTCAGGACTCCTGTCTAGTAACGAGGGACACCTCAGGAATCTCTTCGAGGCTTGGCAGGGCCAAAGGGACGCTTCTCGAGCTGAGGCAGGGCACCCAAGGACCCTTTCCAGTAGCCACAGGGATTTTGGGATTCCTATCAGTATTCAAGAGGAGTCAGGCATCGTCACCTTTTGAAGCAATGAACTCCGCGTGCCTCTCGAGGTGTCAGCGGGATGTGAGGCATTCCGTCAAAATGAGGCAGGGACCTAGGGCTTTCTCTAAGGTCTCCACAGGGGATTCAGACATCCCTTCATGTTGTGAGATGAAAGACGAGCCTGTATTCAAGCCACTGCAAGGAAATCCGGCCTCCTTTCAAGTTAGGGCTTCTCGCTGTATATTCCCCTTGAGGCAGCAAACTCGGGGTCCCTCCCACATACCTATTGCTGAGAGAAGCCTCCTCCTGAGGTGCTTCTGGGAAGTTGGCATACGTCTTGAGCCTAAGCCAGGGAATCAGCTCGCATCTCGAGACGATTTGGGGTACACGGAGCATTCCTCGAGTTGCTGTGCTGAAGTTGGTGTTCCTCTAGACTTGGGACAGTGTTCTCGGGGCATCTCTGGAGTTGCCTGAAGGAAGTCGAGCCACCGGTCGTGTTGAATGGGGAACGGGGAATGGCTCTGGAGTCAATGCAGGGGAATCGGGCCTCATCTCGAGTTGATTTGGGGCACATGGAGCTGCTTTGCGTTGCTGGGGTGACCTCAGGGTCCGTCTAGACTGGTGACAGTGTTCTTGGGGACTGTCTCGAGATCCATTAAGCAAGTCGAAGCTCCTGACTTGTTTGAATGGGGTCACGGAATAGCTCTGCATGCACTGCAGGGGAATGGGGCCTCATCTCGCCTCTAGGGGGAAGTCTCGTGGTTTTCCTCGAGTTGCGGCGGGGACCTGGGGTATGTTCTCGACTTACGGCGGGGATGGCCCTTCAAAACACGAGTTTCTTCAGTGACGTCAGGACTCCTGTCTAGTAACGAGGGACACCTCAGGAATCTCTTCGAGGCTTGGCAGGGCCAAAGGGACGCTTCTCGAGGTGAGGCAGGGCACCCAAGGACCCTTTCCAGTAGCCACAGGGATTTTGGGATTCCTATCAGTATTCAAGAGGAGTCAGGCATCGTCACCTTTTGAAGCAATGAACTCCGCGTGCCTCTCGAGGTGTCAGCGGGATGTGAGGCATTCCGTCAAAATGAGGCAGGGACCTAGGGCTTTCTCTAAGGTCTCCACAGGGGATTCAGACATCCCTTCATGTTGTGAGATGAAAGACGAGCCTGTATTCAAGCCACTGCAAGGAAATCCGGCCTCCTTTCAAGTTAGGGCTTCTCGCTGTATATTCCCCTTGAGGCAGCAAACTCGGGGTCCCTCCCACATACCTATTGCTGAGAGAAGCCTCCTCCTGAGGTGCTTCTGGGAAGTTGGCATACGTCTTGAGCCTAAGCCAGGGAATCAGCTCGCATCTCGAGACGATTTGGGGTACACGGAGCATTCCTCGAGTTGCTGTGCTGAAGTTGGTGTTCCTCTAGACTTGGGACAGTGTTCTCGGGGCATCTCTGGAGTTGCCTGAAGGAAGTCGAGCCACCGGTCGTGTTGAATGGGGAACGGGGAATGGCTCTGGAGTCAATGCAGGGGAATCGGGCCTCATCTCGAGTTGATTTGGGGCACATGGAGCTGCTTTGCGTTGCTGGGGTGACCTCAGGGTCCGTCTAGACTGGTGACAGTGTTCTTGGGGACTGTCTCGAGATCCATTAAGCAAGTCGAAGCTCCTGACTTGTTTGAATGGGGTCACGGAATAGCTCTGCATGCACTGCAGGGGAATGGGGCCTCATCTCGCCTCTAGGGGGAAGTCTCGTGGTTTTCCTCGAGTTGCGGCGGGGACCTGGGGTATGTTCTCGACTTACGGCGGGGATGGCCCTTCAAAACACGAGTTTCTTCAGTGACGTCAGGACTCCTGTCTAGTAACGAGGGACACCTCAGGAATCTCTTCGAGGCTTGGCAGGGCCAAAGGGACGCTTCTCGAGCTGAGGCAGGGCACCCAAGGACCCTTTCCAGTAGCCACAGGGATTTTGGGATTCCTATCAGTATTCAAGAGGAGTCAGGCATCGTCACCTTTTGAAGCAATGAACTCCGCGTGCCTCTCGAGGTGTCAGCGGGATGTGAGGCATTCCGTCAAAATGAGGCAGGGACCTAGGGCTTTCTCTAAGGTCTCCACAGGGGATTCAGACATCCCTTCATGTTGTGAGATGAAAGACGAGCCTGTATTCAAGCCACTGCAAGGAAATCCGGCCTCCTTTCAAGTTAGGGCTTCTCGCTGCATCTTCCCCTTGAGGCAGCAAACTCGGGGTCCCTCCCACATACCTATTGCTGAGAGAAGCCTCCTCCTGAGGTGCTTCTGGGAAGTTGGCATACGTCTTGAGCCTAAGCCAGGGAATCAGCTCGCATCTCGAGACGATTTGGGGTACACGGAGCATTCCTCGAGTTGCTGTGCTGAAGTTGGTGTTCCTCTAGACTTGGGACAGTGTTCTCGGGGCATCTCTGGAGTTGCCTGAAGGAAGTCGAGCCACCGGTCGTGTTGAATGGGGAACGGGGAATGGCTCTGGAGTCAATGCAGGGGAATCGGGCCTCATCTCGAGTTGATTTGGGGCACATGGAGCTGCTTTGCGTTGCTGGGGTGACCTCAGGGTCCGTCTAGACTGGTGACAGTGTTCTTGGGGACTGTCTCGAGATACATTAAGCAAGTCGAAGCTCCTGACTTGTTTGAATGGGATCACGGAATAGCTCTGCATGCACTGCAGGGGAATGGGGCCTCATCTCGCCTCTAGGGGGAAGTCTCATGGTTTTTCTCGAGTTGCGGCGGGGACCTGGGGTATGTTCTCGACTTACGGCGGGGATGGCCCTTCAAAACACGAGTTTCTTCAGTGACGTCAGGACTCCTGTCTAGTAACGAGGGACACCTCAGGAATCTCTTCGAGGCTTGGCAGGGCCAAAGGGACGCTTCTCGAGGTGAGGCAGGGCACCCAAGGACCCTTTCCAGTAGCCACAGGGATTTTGGGATTCCTATCAGTATTCAAGAGGAGTCAGGCATCGTCACCTTTTGAAGCAATGAACTCCGCGTGCCTCTCGAGGTGTCAGCGGGATGTGAGGCATTCCGTCAAAATGAGGCAGGGACCTAGGGCTTTCTCTAAGGTCTCCACAGGGGATTCAGACATCCCTTCATGTTGTGAGATGAAAGACGAGCCTGTATTCAAGCCACTGCAAGGAAATCCGGCCTCCTTTCAAGTTAGGGCTTCTCGCTGTATATTCCCCTTGAGGCAGCAAACTCGGGGTCCCTCCCACATAACTATTGCTGAGAGAAGCCTCCTCTTGAGGTGCTTCTGGGAAGTTGGCATACGTCTTGAGCCTAAGCCAGGGAATCAGCTCGCATCTCGAGACGATTTGGGGTACACGGAGCATTCCTCGAGTTGCTGTGCTGAAGTTGGTGTTCCTCTAGACTTGGGACAGTGTTCTCGGGGCATCTCTGGAGTTGCCTGAAGGAAGTCGAGCCACCGGTCGTGTTGAATGGGGAACGGGGAATGGCTCTGGAGTCAATGCAGGGGAATCGGGCCTCATCTCGAGTTGATTTGGGGCACATGGAGCTGCTTTGCGTTGCTGGGGTGACCTCAGGGTCCGTCTAGACTGGTGACAGTGTTCTTGGGGACTGTCTCGAGATCCATTAAGCAAGTCGAAGCTCCTGACTTGTTTGAATGGGGTCACGGAATAGCTCTGCATGCACTGCAGGGGAATGGGGCCTCATCTCGCCTCTAGGGGGAAGTCTCGTGGTTTTCCTCGAGTTGCGGCGGGGACCTGGGGTATGTTCTCGACTTACGGCGGGGATGGCCCTTCAAAACACGAGTTTCTTCAGTGACGTCAGGACTCCTGTCTAGTAACGAGGGACACCTCAGGAATCTCTTCGAGGCTTGGCAGGGCCAAAGGGACGCTTCTCGAGGTGAGGCAGGGCACCCAAGGACCCTTTCCAGTAGCCACAGGGATTTTGGGATTCCTATCAGTATTCAAGAGGAGTCAGGCATCGTCACCTTTTGAAGCAATGAACTCCGCGTGCCTCTCGAGGTGTCAGCGGGATGTGAGGCATTCCGTCAAAATGAGGCAGGGACCTAGGGCTTTCTCTAAGGTCTCCACAGGGGATTCAGACATCCCTTCATGTTGTGAGATGAAAGACGAGCCTGTATTCAAGCCACTGCAAGGAAATCCGGCCTCCTTTCAAGTTAGGGCTTCTCGCTGTATATTCCCCTTGAGGCAGCAAACTCGGGGTCCCTCCCACATACCTATTGCTGAGAGAAGCCTCCTCCTGAGGTGCTTCTGGGAAGTTGGCATACGTCTTGAGCCTAAGCCAGGGAATCAGCTCGCATCTCGAGACGATTTGGGGTACACGGAGCATTCCTCGAGTTGCTGTGCTGAAGTTGGTGTTCCTCTAGACTTGGGACAGTGTTCTCGGGGCATCTCTGGAGTTGCCTGAAGGAAGTCGAGCCACCGGTCGTGTTGAATGGGGAACGGGGAATGGCTCTGGAGTCAATGCAGGGGAATCGGGCCTCATCTCGAGTTGATTTGGGGCACATGGAGCTGCTTTGCGTTGCTGGGGTGACCTCAGGGTCCGTCTAGACTGGTGACAGTGTTCTTGGGGACTGTCTCGAGATCCATTAAGCAAGTCGAAGCTCCTGACTTGTTTGAATGGGGTCACGGAATAGCTCTGCATGCACTGCAGGGGAATGGGGCCTCATCTCGCCTCTAGGGGGAAGTCTCGTGGTTTTCCTCGAGTTGCGGCGGGGACCTGGGGTATGTTCTCGACTTACGGCGGGGATGGCCCTTCAAAACACGAGTTTCTTCAGTGACGTCAGGACTCCTGTCTAGTAACGAGGGACACCTCAGGAATCTCTTCGAGGCTTGGCAGGGCCAAAGGGACGCTTCTCGAGCTGAGGCAGGGCACCCAAGGACCCTTTCCAGTAGCCACAGGGATTTTGGGATTCCTATCAGTATTCAAGAGGAGTCAGGCATCGTCACCTTTTGAAGCAATGAACTCCGCGTGCCTCTCGAGGTGTCAGCGGGATGTGAGGCATTCCGTCAAAATGAGGCAGGGACCTAGGGCTTTCTCTAAGGTCTCCACAGGGGATTCAGACATCCCTTCATGTTGTGAGATGAAAGACGAGCCTGTATTCAAGCCACTGCAAGGAAATCCGGCCTCCTTTCAAGTTAGGGCTTCTCGCTGCATCTTCCCCTTGAGGCAGCAAACTCGGGGTCCCTCCCACATACCTATTGCTGAGAGAAGCCTCCTCCTGAGGTGCTTCTGGGAAGTTGGCATACGTCTTGAGCCTAAGCCAGGGAATCAGCTCGCATCTCGAGACGATTTGGGGTACACGGAGCATTCCTCGAGTTGCTGTGCTGAAGTTGGTGTTCCTCTAGACTTGGGACAGTGTTCTCGGGGCATCTCTGGAGTTGCCTGAAGGAAGTCGAGCCACCGGTCGTGTTGAATGGGGAACGGGGAATGGCTCTGGAGTCAATGCAGGGGAATCGGGCCTCATCTCGAGTTGATTTGGGGCACATGGAGCTGCTTTGCGTTGCTGGGGTGACCTCAGGGTCCGTCTAGACTGGTGACAGTGTTCTTGGGGACTGTCTCGAGATACATTAAGCAAGTCGAAGCTCCTGACTTGTTTGAATGGGATCACGGAATAGCTCTGCATGCACTGCAGGGGAATGGGGCCTCATCTCGCCTCTAGGGGGAAGTCTCATGGTTTTTCTCGAGTTGCGGCGGGGACCTGGGGTATGTTCTCGACTTACGGCGGGGATGGCCCTTCAAAACACGAGTTTCTTCAGTGACGTCAGGACTCCTGTCTAGTAACGAGGGACACCTCAGGAATCTCTTCGAGGCTTGGCAGGGCCAAAGGGACGCTTCTCGAGGTGAGGCAGGGCACCCAAGGACCCTTTCCAGTAGCCACAGGGATTTTGGGATTCCTATCAGTATTCAAGAGGAGTCAGGCATCGTCACCTTTTGAAGCAATGAACTCCGCGTGCCTCTCGAGGTGTCAGCGGGATGTGAGGCATTCCGTCAAAATGAGGCAGGGACCTAGGGCTTTCTCTAAGGTCTCCACAGGGGATTCAGACATCCCTTCATGTTGTGAGATGAAAGACGAGCCTGTATTCAAGCCACTGCAAGGAAATCCGGCCTCCTTTCAAGTTAGGGCTTCTCGCTGTATATTCCCCTTGAGGCAGCAAACTCGGGGTCCCTCCCACATAACTATTGCTGAGAGAAGCCTCCTCTTGAGGTGCTTCTGGGAAGTTGGCATACGTCTTGAGCCTAAGCCAGGGAATCAGCTCGCATCTCGAGACGATTTGGGGTACACGGAGCATTCCTCGAGTTGCTGTGCTGAAGTTGCTGTTCCTCTAGACTTGGGACAGTGTTCTCGGGGCATTTCTGGAGTTGCCTGAAGGAAGTCGAGCCACCGGTCGTGTTGAATGGGGAACGGGGAATGGCTCTGGAGTCAATGCAGGGGAATCGGGCCTCATCTCGAGTTGATTTGGGGCACATGGAGCTGCTTTTCGTTGCTGGGGTGACCTCAGGGTCCGTCTAGACTGGTGACAGTGTTCTTGGGGACTGTCTCGAGATCCATTAAGCAAGTCGAAGCTCCTGACTTGTTTGAATGGGGTCACGGAATAGCTCTGCATGCACTGCAGGGGAATGGGGCCTCATCTCGCCTCTAGGGGGAAGTCTCGTGGTTTTCCTCGAGTTGCGGCGGGGACCTGGGGTATGTTCTCGACTTACGGCGGGGATGGCCCTTCAAAACACGAGTTTCTTCAGTGACGTCAGGACTCCTGTCTAGTAACGAGGGACACCTCAGGAATCTCTTCGAGGCTTGGCAGGGCCAAAGGGACGCTTCTCGAGGTGAGGCAGGGCACCCAAGGACCCTTTCCAGTAGCCACAGGGATTTTGGGATTCCTATCAGTATTCAAGAGGAGTCAGGCATCGTCACCTTTTGAAGCAATGAACTCCGCGTGCCTCTCGAGGTGTCAGCGGGATGTGAGGCATTCCGTCAAAATGAGGCAGGGACCTAGGGCTTTCTCTAAGGACTCCACAGGGGATTCAGACATCCCTTCATGTTGTGAGATGAAAGACGAGCCTGTATTCAAGCCACTGCAAGGAAATCCGGCCTCCTTTCAAGTTAGGGCTTCTCGCTGCATCTTCCCCTTGAGGCAGCAAACTCGGGGTCCCTCCCACATACCTATTGCTGAGAGAAGCCTCCTCCTGAGGTGCTTCTGGGAAGTTGGCATACGTCTTGAGCCTAAGCCAGGGAATCAGCTCGCATCTCGAGACGATTTGGGGTACACGGAGCATTCCTCGAGTTGCTGTGCTGAAGTTGGTGTTCCTCTAGACTTGGGACAGTGTTCTCGGGGCATCTCTGGAGTTGCCTGAAGGAAGTCGAGCCACCGGTCGTGTTGAATGGGGAACGGGGAATGGCTCTGGAGTCAATGCAGGGGAATCGGGCCTCATCTCGAGTTGATTTGGGGCACATGGAGCTGCTTTTCGTTGCTGGGGTGACCTCAGGGTCCGTCTAGACTGGTGACAGTGTTCTTGGGGACTGTCTCGAGATCCATTAAGCAAGTCGAAGCTCCTGACTTGTTTGAATGGGGTCACGGAATAGCTCTGCATGCACTGCAGGGGAATGGGGCCTCATCTCGCCTCTAGGGGGAAGTCTCGTGGTTTTCCTCGAGTTGCGGCGGGGACCTGGGGTATGTTCTCGACTTACGGCGGGGATGGCCCTTCAAAACACGAGTTTCTTCAGTGACGTCAGGACTCCTGTCTAGTAACGAGGGACACCTCAGGAATCTCTTCGAGGCTTGGCAGGGCCAAAGGGACGCTTCTCGAGGTGAGGCAGGGCACCCAAGGACCCTTTCCAGTAGCCACAGGGATTTTGGGATTCCTATCAGTATTCAAGAGGAGTCAGGCATCGTCACCTTTTGAAGCAATGAACTCCGCGTGCCTCTCGAGGTGTCAGCGGGATGTGAGGCATTCCGTCAAAATGAGGCAGGGACCTAGGGCTTTCTCTAAGGACTCCACAGGGGATTCAGACATCCCTTCATGTTGTGAGATGAAAGACGAGCCTGTATTCAAGCCACTGCAAGGAAATCCGGCCTCCTTTCAAGTTAGGGCTTCTCGCTGCATCTTCCCCTTGAGGCAGCAAACTCGGGGTCCCTCCCACATACCTATTGCTGAGAGAAGCCTCCTCCTGAGGTGCTTCTGGGAAGTTGGCATACGTCTTGAGCCTAAGCCAGGGAATCAGCTCGCATCTCGAGACGATTTGGGGTACACGGAGCATTCCTCGAGTTGCTGTGCTGAAGTTGGTGTTCCTCTAGACTTGGGACAGTGTTCTCGGGGCATCTCTGGAGTTGCCTGAAGGAAGTCGAGCCACCGGTCGTGTTGAATGGGGAACGGGGAATGGCTCTGGAGTCAATGCAGGGGAATCGGGCCTCATCTCGAGTTGATTTGGGGCACATGGAGCTGCTTTGCGTTGCTGGGGTGACCTCAGGGTCCGTCTAGACTGGTGACAGTGTTCTTGGGGACTGTCTCGAGATCCATTAAGCAAGTCGAAGCTCCTGACTTGTTTGAATGGGATCACGGAATAGCTCTGCATGCACTGCAGGGGAATGGGGCCTCATCTCGCCTCTAGGGGGAAGTCTCATGGTTTTTCTCGAGTTGCGGCGGGGACCTGGGGTATGTTCTCGACTTACGGCGGGGATGGCCCTTCAAAACACGAGTTTCTTCAGTGACGTCAGGACTCCTGTCTAGTAACGAGGGACACCTCAGGAATCTCTTCGAGGCTTGGCAGGGCCAAAGGGACGCTTCTCGAGGTGAGGCAGGGCACCCAAGGACCCTTTCCAGTAGCCACAGGGATTTTGGGATTCCTATCAGTATTCAAGAGGAGTCAGGCATCGTCACCTTTTGAAGCAATGAACTCCGCGTGCCTCTCGAGGTGTCAGCGGGATGTGAGGCATTCCGTCAAAATGAGGCAGGGACCTAGGGCTTTCTCTAAGGTCTCCACAGGGGATTCAGACATCCCTTCATGTTGTGAGATGAAAGACGAGCCTGTATTCAAGCCACTGCAAGGAAATCCGGCCTCCTTTCAAGTTAGGGCTTCTCGCTGTATATTCCCCTTGAGGCAGCAAACTCGGGGTCCCTCCCACATACCTATTGCTGAGAGAAGCCTCCTCCTGAGGTGCTTCTGGGAAGTTGGCATACGTCTTGAGCCTAAGCCAGGGAATCAGCTCGCATCTCGAGACGATTTGGGGTACACGGAGCATTCCTCGAGTTGCTGTGCTGAAGTTGCTGTTCCTCTAGACTTGGGACAGTGTTCTCGGGGCATTTCTGGAGTTGCCTGAAGGAAGTCGAGCCACCGGTCGTGTTGAATGGGGAACGGGGAATGGCTCTGGAGTCAATGCAGGGGAATCGGGCCTCATCTCGAGTTGATTTGGGGCACATGGAGCTGCTTTTCGTTGCTGGGGTGACCTCAGGGTCCGTCTAGACTGGTGACAGTGTTCTTGGGGACTGTCTCGAGATCCATTAAGCAAGTCGAAGCTCCTGACTTGTTTGAATGGGGTCACGGAATAGCTCTGCATGCACTGCAGGGGAATGGGGCCTCATCTCGCCTCTAGGGGGAAGTCTCGTGGTTTTCCTCGAGTTGCGGCGGGGACCTGGGGTATGTTCTCGACTTACGGCGGGGATGGCCCTTCAAAACACGAGTTTCTTCAGTGACGTCAGGACTCCTGTCTAGTAACGAGGGACACCTCAGGAATCTCTTCGAGGCTTGGCAGGGCCAAAGGGACGCTTCTCGAGGTGAGGCAGGGCACCCAAGGACCCTTTCCAGTAGCCACAGGGATTTTGGGATTCCTATCAGTATTCAAGAGGAGTCAGGCATCGTCACCTTTTGAAGCAATGAACTCCGCGTGCCTCTCGAGGTGTCAGCGGGATGTGAGGCATTCCGTCAAAATGAGGCAGGGACCTAGGGCTTTCTCTAAGGTCTCCACAGGGGATTCAGACATCCCTTCATGTTGTGAGATGAAAGACGAGCCTGTATTCAAGCCACTGCAAGGAAATCCGGCCTCCTTTCAAGTTAGGGCTTCTCGCTGTATATTCCCCTTGAGGCAGCAAACTCGGGGTCCCTCCCACATACCTATTGCTGAGAGAAGCCTCCTCCTGAGGTGCTTCTGGGAAGTTGGCATACGTCTTGAGCCTAAGCCAGGGAATCAGCTCGCATCTCGAGACGATTTGGGGTACACGGAGCATTCCTCGAGTTGCTGTGCTGAAGTTGGTGTTCCTCTAGACTTGGGACAGTGTTCTCGGGGCATCTCTGGAGTTGCCTGAAGGAAGTCGAGCCACCGGTCGTGTTGAATGGGGAACGGGGAATGGCTCTGGAGTCAATGCAGGGGAATCGGGCCTCATCTCGAGTTGATTTGGGGCACATGGAGCTGCTTTGCGTTGCTGGGGTGACCTCAGGGTCCGTCTAGACTGGTGACAGTGTTCTTGGGGACTGTCTCGAGATCCATTAAGCAAGTCGAAGCTCCTGACTTGTTTGAATGGGGTCACGGAATAGCTCTGCATGCACTGCAGGGGAATGGGGCCTCATCTCGCCTCTAGGGGGAAGTCTCGTGGTTTTCCTCGAGTTGCGGCGGGGACCTGGGGTATGTTCTCGACTTACGGCGGGGATGGCCCTTCAAAACACGAGTTTCTTCAGTGACGTCAGGACTCCTGTCTAGTAACGAGGGACACCTCAGGAATCTCTTCGAGGCTTGGCAGGGCCAAAGGGACGCTTCTCGAGGTGAGGCAGGGCACCCAAGGACCCTTTCCAGTAGCCACAGGGATTTTGGGATTCCTATCAGTATTCAAGAGGAGTCAGGCATCGTCACCTTTTGAAGCAATGAACTCCGCGTGCCTCTCGAGGTGTCAGCGGGATGTGAGGCATTCCGTCAAAATGAGGCAGGGACCTAGGGCTTTCTCTAAGGTCTCCACAGGGGATTCAGACATCCCTTCATGTTGTGAGATGAAAGACGAGCCTGTATTCAAGCCACTGCAAGGAAATCCGGCCTCCTTTCAAGTTAGGGCTTCTCGCTGTATATTCCCCTTGAGGCAGCAAACTCGGGGTCCCTCCCACATACCTATTGCTGAGAGAAGCCTCCTCCTGAGGTGCTTCTGGGAAGTTGGCATACGTCTTGAGCCTAAGCCAGGGAATCAGCTCGCATCTCGAGACGATTTGGGGTACACGGAGCATTCCTCGAGTTGCTGTGCTGAAGTTGGTGTTCCTCTAGACTTGGGACAGTGTTCTCGGGGCATCTCTGGAGTTGCCTGAAGGAAGTCGAGCCACCGGTCGTGTTGAATGGGGAACGGGGAATGGCTCTGGAGTCAATGCAGGGGAATCGGGCCTCATCTCGAGTTGATTTGGGGCACATGGAGCTGCTTTGCGTTGCTGGGGTGACCTCAGGGTCCGTCTAGACTGGTGACAGTGTTCTTGGGGACTGTCTCGAGATCCATTAAGCAAGTCGAAGCTCCTGACTTGTTTGAATGGGGTCACGGAATAGCTCTGCATGCACTGCAGGGGAATGGGGCCTCATCTCGCCTCTAGGGGGAAGTCTCGTGGTTTTTCTCGAGTTGCGGCGGGGACCTGGGGTATGTTCTCGACTTACGGCGGGGATGGCCCTTCAAAACACGAGTTTCTTCAGTGACGTCAGGACTCCTGTCTAGTAACGAGGGACACCTCAGGAATCTCTTCGAGGCTTGGCAGGGCCAAAGGGACGCTTCTCGAGCTGAGGCAGGGCACCCAAGGACCCTTTCCAGTAGCCACAGGGATTTTGGGATTCCTATCAGTATTCAAGAGGAGTCAGGCATCGTCACCTTTTGAAGCAATGAACTCCGCGTGCCTCTCGAGGTGTCAGCGGGATGTGAGGCATTCCGTCAAAATGAGGCAGGGACCTAGGGCTTTCTCTAAGGTCTCCACAGGGGATTCAGACATCCCTTCATGTTGTGAGATGAAAGACGAGCCTGTATTCAAGCCACTGCAAGGAAATCCGGCCTCCTTTCAAGTTAGGGCTTCTCGCTGCATCTTCCCCTTGAGGCAGCAAACTCGGGGTCCCTCCCACATACCTATTGCTGAGAGAAGCCTCCTCCTGAGGTGCTTCTGGGAAGTTGGCATACGTCTTGAGCCTAAGCCAGGGAATCAGCTCGCATCTCGAGACGATTTGGGGTACACGGAGCATTCCTCGAGTTGCTGTGCTGAAGTTGGTGTTCCTCTAGACTTGGGACAGTGTTCTCGGGGCATCTCTGGAGTTGCCTGAAGGAAGTCGAGCCACCGGTCGTGTTGAATGGGGAACGGGGAATGGCTCTGGAGTCAATGCAGGGGAATCGGGCCTCATCTCGAGTTGATTTGGGGCACATGGAGCTGCTTTGCGTTGCTGGGGTGACCTCAGGGTCCGTCTAGACTGGTGACAGTGTTCTTGGGGACTGTCTCGAGATCCATTAAGCAAGTCGAAGCTCCTGACTTGTTTGAATGGGATCACGGAATAGCTCTGCATGCACTGCAGGGGAATGGGGCCTCATCTCGCCTCTAGGGGGAAGTCTCGTGGTTTTCCTCGAGTTGCGGCGGGGACCTGGGGTATGTTCTCGACTTACGGCGGGGATGGCCCTTCAAAACACGAGTTTCTTCAGTGACGTCAGGACTCCTGTCTAGTAACGAGGGACACCTCAGGAATCTCTTCGAGGCTTGGCAGGGCCAAAGGGACGCTTCTCGAGGTGAGGCAGGGCACCCAAGGACCCTTTCCAGTAGCCACAGGGATTTTGGGATTCCTATCAGTATTCAAGAGGAGTCAGGCATCGTCACCTTTTGAAGCAATGAACTCCGCGTGCCTCTCGAGGTGTCAGCGGGATGTGAGGCATTCCGTCAAAATGAGGCAGGGACCTAGGGCTTTCTCTAAGGTCTCCACAGGGGATTCAGACATCCCTTCATGTTGTGAGATGAAAGACGAGCCTGTATTCAAGCCACTGCAAGGAAATCCGGCCTCCTTTCAAGTTAGGGCTTCTCGCTGTATATTCCCCTTGAGGCAGCAAACTCGGGGTCCCTCCCACATACCTATTGCTGAGAGAAGCCTCCTCCTGAGGTGCTTCTGGGAAGTTGGCATACGTCTTGAGCCTAAGCCAGGGAATCAGCTCGCATCTCGAGACGATTTGGGGTACACGGAGCATTCCTCGAGTTGCTGTGCTGAAGTTGGTGTTCCTCTAGACTTGGGACAGTGTTCTCGGGGCATCTCTGGAGTTGCCTGAAGGAAGTCGAGCCACCGGTCGTGTTGAATGGGGAACGGGGAATGGCTCTGGAGTCAATGCAGGGGAATCGGGCCTCATCTCGAGTTGATTTGGGGCACATGGAGCTGCTTTGCGTTGCTGGGGTGACCTCAGGGTCCGTCTAGACTGGTGACAGTGTTCTTGGGGACTGTCTCGAGATCCATTAAGCAAGTCGAAGCTCCTGACTTGTTTGAATGGGGTCACGGAATAGCTCTGCATGCACTGCAGGGGAATGGGGCCTCATCTCGCCTCTAGGGGAAAGTCTCATGGTTTTTCTCGAGTTGCGGCGGGGACCTGGGGTATGTTCTCGACTTACGGCGGGGATGGCCCTTCAAAACACGAGTTTCTTCTGTGACGTCAGGACTCCTGTCTAGTAACGAGGGACACCTCAGGAATCTCTTCGAGGCTTGGCAGGGCCAAAGGGACGCTTCTCGAGGTGAGGCAGGGCACCCAAGGACCCTTTCCAGTAGCCACAGGGATTTTGGGATTCCTATCAGTATTCAAGAGGAGTCAGGCATCGTCACCTTTTGAAGCAATGAACTCCGCGTGCCTCTCGAGGTGTCAGCGGGATGTGAGGCATTCCGTCAAAATGAGGCAGGGACCTAGGGCTTTCTCTAAGGTCTCCACAGGGGATTCAGACATCCCTTCATGTTGTGAGATGAAAGACGAGCCTGTATTCAAGCCACTGCAAGGAAATCCGGCCTCCTTTCAAGTTAGGGCTTCTCGCTGTATATTCCCCTTGAGGCAGCAAACTCGGGGTCCCTCCCACATACCTATTGCTGAGAGGAGCCTCCTCCTGAGGTGCTTCTGGGAAGTTGGCATACGTCTTGAGCCTAAGCCAGGGAATCAGCTCGCATCTCGAGACGATTTGGGGTACACGGAGCATTCCTCGAGTTGCTGTGCTGAAGTTGGTGTTCCTCTAGACTTGGGACAGTGTTCTCGGGGCATCTCTGGAGTTGCCTGAAGGAAGTCGAGCCACCGGTCGTGTTGAATGGGGAACGGGGAATGGCTCTGGAGTCAATGCAGGGGAATCGGGCCTCATCTCGAGTTGATTTGGGGCACATGGAGCTGCTTTGCGTTGCTGGGGTGACCTCAGGGTCCGTCTAGACTGGTGACAGTGTTCTTGGGGACTGTCTCGAGATACATTAAGCAAGTCGAAGCTCCTGACTTGTTTGAATGGGATCACGGAATAGCTCTGCATGCACTGCAGGGGAATGGGGCCTCATCTCGCCTCTAGGGGGAAGTCTCATGGTTTTTCTCGAGTTGCGGCGGGGACCTGGGGTATGTTCTCGACTTACGGCGGGGATGGCCCTTCAAAACACGAGTTTCTTCAGTGACGTCAGGACTCCTGTCTAGTAACGAGGGACACCTCAGGAATCTCTTCGAGGCTTGGCAGGGCCAAAGGGACGCTTCTCGAGGTGAGGCAGGGCACCCAAGGACCCTTTCCAGTAGCCACAGGGATTTTGGGATTCCTATCAGTATTCAAGAGGAGTCAGGCATCGTCACCTTTTGAAGCAATGAACTCCGCGTGCCTCTCGAGGTGTCAGCGGGATGTGAGGCATTCCGTCAAAATGAGGCAGGGACCTAGGGCTTTCTCTAAGGTCTCCACAGGGGATTCAGACATCCCTTCATGTTGTGAGATGAAAGACGAGCCTGTATTCAAGCCACTGCAAGGAAATCCGGCCTCCTTTCAAGTTAGGGCTTCTCGCTGTATATTCCCCTTGAGGCAGCAAACTCGGGGTCCCTCCCACATAACTATTGCTGAGAGAAGCCTCCTCTTGAGGTGCTTCTGGGAAGTTGGCATACGTCTTGAGCCTAAGCCAGGGAATCAGCTCGCATCTCGAGACGATTTGGGGTACACGGAGCATTCCTCGAGTTGCTGTGCTGAAGTTGCTGTTCCTCTAGACTTGGGACAGTGTTCTCGGGGCATTTCTGGAGTTGCCTGAAGGAAGTCGAGCCACCGGTCGTGTTGAATGGGGAACGGGGAATGGCTCTGGAGTCAATGCAGGGGAATCGGGCCTCATCTCGAGTTGATTTGGGGCACATGGAGCTGCTTTTCGTTGCTGGGGTGACCTCAGGGTCCGTCTAGACTGGTGACAGTGTTCTTGGGGACTGTCTCGAGATCCATTAAGCAAGTCGAAGCTCCTGACTTGTTTGAATGGGGTCACGGAATAGCTCTGCATGCACTGCAGGGGAATGGGGCCTCATCTCGCCTCTAGGGGGAAGTCTCGTGGTTTTCCTCGAGTTGCGGCGGGGACCTGGGGTATGTTCTCGACTTACGGCGGGGATGGCCCTTCAAAACACGAGTTTCTTCAGTGACGTCAGGACTCCTGTCTAGTAACGAGGGACACCTCAGGAATCTCTTCGAGGCTTGGCAGGGCCAAAGGGACGCTTCTCGAGGTGAGGCAGGGCACCCAAGGACCCTTTCCAGTAGCCACAGGGATTTTGGGATTCCTATCAGTATTCAAGAGGAGTCAGGCATCGTCACCTTTTGAAGCAATGAACTCCGCGTGCCTCTCGAGGTGTCAGCGGGATGTGAGGCATTCCGTCAAAATGAGGCAGGGACCTAGGGCTTTCTCTAAGGACTCCACAGGGGATTCAGACATCCCTTCATGTTGTGAGATGAAAGACGAGCCTGTATTCAAGCCACTGCAAGGAAATCCGGCCTCCTTTCAAGTTAGGGCTTCTCGCTGCATCTTCCCCTTGAGGCAGCAAACTCGGGGTCCCTCCCACATACCTATTGCTGAGAGAAGCCTCCTCCTGAGGTGCTTCTGGGAAGTTGGCATACGTCTTGAGCCTAAGCCAGGGAATCAGCTCGCATCTCGAGACGATTTGGGGTACACGGAGCATTCCTCGAGTTGCTGTGCTGAAGTTGGTGTTCCTCTAGACTTGGGACAGTGTTCTCGGGGCATCTCTGGAGTTGCCTGAAGGAAGTCGAGCCACCGGTCGTGTTGAATGGGGAACGGGGAATGGCTCTGGAGTCAATGCAGGGGAATCGGGCCTCATCTCGAGTTGATTTGGGGCACATGGAGCTGCTTTGCGTTGCTGGGGTGACCTCAGGGTCCGTCTAGACTGGTGACAGTGTTCTTGGGGACTGTCTCGAGATCCATTAAGCAAGTCGAAGCTCCTGACTTGTTTGAATGGGATCACGGAATAGCTCTGCATGCACTGCAGGGGAATGGGGCCTCATCTCGCCTCTAGGGGGAAGTCTCATGGTTTTTCTCGAGTTGCGGCGGGGACCTGGGGTATGTTCTCGACTTACGGCGGGGATGGCCCTTCAAAACACGAGTTTCTTCAGTGACGTCAGGACTCCTGTCTAGTAACGAGGGACACCTCAGGAATCTCTTCGAGGCTTGGCAGGGCCAAAGGGACGCTTCTCGAGGTGAGGCAGGGCACCCAAGGACCCTTTCCAGTAGCCACAGGGATTTTGGGATTCCTATCAGTATTCAAGAGGAGTCAGGCATCGTCACCTTTTGAAGCAATGAACTCCGCGTGCCTCTCGAGGTGTCAGCGGGATGTGAGGCATTCCGTCAAAATGAGGCAGGGACCTAGGGCTTTCTCTAAGGTCTCCACAGGGGATTCAGACATCCCTTCATGTTGTGAGATGAAAGACGAGCCTGTATTCAAGCCACTGCAAGGAAATCCGGCCTCCTTTCAAGTTAGGGCTTCTCGCTGTATATTCCCCTTGAGGCAGCAAACTCGGGGTCCCTCCCACATACCTATTGCTGAGAGAAGCCTCCTCCTGAGGTGCTTCTGGGAAGTTGGCATACGTCTTGAGCCTAAGCCAGGGAATCAGCTCGCATCTCGAGACGATTTGGGGTACACGGAGCATTCCTCGAGTTGCTGTGCTGAAGTTGCTGTTCCTCTAGACTTGGGACAGTGTTCTCGGGGCATTTCTGGAGTTGCCTGAAGGAAGTCGAGCCACCGGTCGTGTTGAATGGGGAACGGGGAATGGCTCTGGAGTCAATGCAGGGGAATCGGGCCTCATCTCGAGTTGATTTGGGGCACATGGAGCTGCTTTTCGTTGCTGGGGTGACCTCAGGGTCCGTCTAGACTGGTGACAGTGTTCTTGGGGACTGTCTCGAGATCCATTAAGCAAGTCGAAGCTCCTGACTTGTTTGAATGGGGTCACGGAATAGCTCTGCATGCACTGCAGGGGAATGGGGCCTCATCTCGCCTCTAGGGGGAAGTCTCGTGGTTTTCCTCGAGTTGCGGCGGGGACCTGGGGTATGTTCTCGACTTACGGCGGGGATGGCCCTTCAAAACACGAGTTTCTTCAGTGACGTCAGGACTCCTGTCTAGTAACGAGGGACACCTCAGGAATCTCTTCGAGGCTTGGCAGGGCCAAAGGGACGCTTCTCGAGGTGAGGCAGGGCACCCAAGGACCCTTTCCAGTAGCCACAGGGATTTTGGGATTCCTATCAGTATTCAAGAGGAGTCAGGCATCGTCACCTTTTGAAGCAATGAACTCCGCGTGCCTCTCGAGGTGTCAGCGGGATGTGAGGCATTCCGTCAAAATGAGGCAGGGACCTAGGGCTTTCTCTAAGGTCTCCACAGGGGATTCAGACATCCCTTCATGTTGTGAGATGAAAGACGAGCCTGTATTCAAGCCACTGCAAGGAAATCCGGCCTCCTTTCAAGTTAGGGCTTCTCGCTGTATATTCCCCTTGAGGCAGCAAACTCGGGGTCCCTCCCACATACCTATTGCTGAGAGAAGCCTCCTCCTGAGGTGCTTCTGGGAAGTTGGCATACGTCTTGAGCCTAAGCCAGGGAATCAGCTCGCATCTCGAGACGATTTGGGGTACACGGAGCATTCCTCGAGTTGCTGTGCTGAAGTTGGTGTTCCTCTAGACTTGGGACAGTGTTCTCGGGGCATCTCTGGAGTTGCCTGAAGGAAGTCGAGCCACCGGTCGTGTTGAATGGGGAACGGGGAATGGCTCTGGAGTCAATGCAGGGGAATCGGGCCTCATCTCGAGTTGATTTGGGGCACATGGAGCTGCTTTGCGTTGCTGGGGTGACCTCAGGGTCCGTCTAGACTGGTGACAGTGTTCTTGGGGACTGTCTCGAGATCCATTAAGCAAGTCGAAGCTCCTGACTTGTTTGAATGGGGTCACGGAATAGCTCTGCATGCACTGCAGGGGAATGGGGCCTCATCTCGCCTCTAGGGGGAAGTCTCGTGGTTTTCCTCGAGTTGCGGCGGGGACCTGGGGTATGTTCTCGACTTACGGCGGGGATGGCCCTTCAAAACACGAGTTTCTTCAGTGACGTCAGGACTCCTGTCTAGTAACGAGGGACACCTCAGGAATCTCTTCGAGGCTTGGCAGGGCCAAAGGGACGCTTCTCGAGGTGAGGCAGGGCACCCAAGGACCCTTTCCAGTAGCCACAGGGATTTTGGGATTCCTATCAGTATTCAAGAGGAGTCAGGCATCGTCACCTTTTGAAGCAATGAACTCCGCGTGCCTCTCGAGGTGTCAGCGGGATGTGAGGCATTCCGTCAAAATGAGGCAGGGACCTAGGGCTTTCTCTAAGGTCTCCACAGGGGATTCAGACATCCCTTCATGTTGTGAGATGAAAGACGAGCCTGTATTCAAGCCACTGCAAGGAAATCCGGCCTCCTTTCAAGTTAGGGCTTCTCGCTGTATATTCCCCTTGAGGCAGCAAACTCGGGGTCCCTCCCACATACCTATTGCTGAGAGAAGCCTCCTCCTGAGGTGCTTCTGGGAAGTTGGCATACGTCTTGAGCCTAAGCCAGGGAATCAGCTCGCATCTCGAGACGATTTGGGGTACACGGAGCATTCCTCGAGTTGCTGTGCTGAAGTTGGTGTTCCTCTAGACTTGGGACAGTGTTCTCGGGGCATCTCTGGAGTTGCCTGAAGGAAGTCGAGCCACCGGTCGTGTTGAATGGGGAACGGGGAATGGCTCTGGAGTCAATGCAGGGGAATCGGGCCTCATCTCGAGTTGATTTGGGGCACATGGAGCTGCTTTGCGTTGCTGGGGTGACCTCAGGGTCCGTCTAGACTGGTGACAGTGTTCTTGGGGACTGTCTCGAGATCCATTAAGCAAGTCGAAGCTCCTGACTTGTTTGAATGGGGTCACGGAATAGCTCTGCATGCACTGCAGGGGAATGGGGCCTCATCTCGCCTCTAGGGGGAAGTCTCGTGGTTTTCCTCGAGTTGCGGCGGGGACCTGGGGTATGTTCTCGACTTACGGCGGGGATGGCCCTTCAAAACACGAGTTTCTTCAGTGACGTCAGGACTCCTGTCTAGTAACGAGGGACACCTCAGGAATCTCTTCGAGGCTTGGCAGGGCCAAAGGGACGCTTCTCGAGCTGAGGCAGGGCACCCAAGGACCCTTTCCAGTAGCCACAGGGATTTTGGGATTCCTATCAGTATTCAAGAGGAGTCAGGCATCGTCACCTTTTGAAGCAATGAACTCCGCGTGCCTCTCGAGGTGTCAGCGGGATGTGAGGCATTCCGTCAAAATGAGGCAGGGACCTAGGGCTTTCTCTAAGGTCTCCACAGGGGATTCAGACATCCCTTCATGTTGTGAGATGAAAGACGAGCCTGTATTCAAGCCACTGCAAGGAAATCCGGCCTCCTTTCAAGTTAGGGCTTCTCGCTGCATCTTCCCCTTGAGGCAGCAAACTCGGGGTCCCTCCCACATACCTATTGCTGAGAGAAGCCTCCTCCTGAGGTGCTTCTGGGAAGTTGGCATACGTCTTGAGCCTAAGCCAGGGAATCAGCTCGCATCTCGAGACGATTTGGGGTACACGGAGCATTCCTCGAGTTGCTGTGCTGAAGTTGGTGTTCCTCTAGACTTGGGACAGTGTTCTCGGGGCATCTCTGGAGTTGCCTGAAGGAAGTCGAGCCACCGGTCGTGTTGAATGGGGAACGGGGAATGGCTCTGGAGTCAATGCAGGGGAATCGGGCCTCATCTCGAGTTGATTTGGGGCACATGGAGCTGCTTTGCGTTGCTGGGGTGACCTCAGGGTCCGTCTAGACTGGTGACAGTGTTCTTGGGGACTGTCTCGAGATCCATTAAGCAAGTCGAAGCTCCTGACTTGTTTGAATGGGATCACGGAATAGCTCTGCATGCACTGCAGGGGAATGGGGCCTCATCTCGCCTCTAGGGGGAAGTCTCGTGGTTTTCCTCGAGTTGCGGCGGGGACCTGGGGTATGTTCTCGACTTACGGCGGGGATGGCCCTTCAAAACACGAGTTTCTTCAGTGACGTCAGGACTCCTGTCTAGTAACGAGGGACACCTCAGGAATCTCTTCGAGGCTTGGCAGGGCCAAAGGGACGCTTCTTGAGGTGAGGCAGGGCACCCAAGGACCCTTTCCAGTAGCCACAGGGATTTTGGGATTCCTATCAGTATTCAAGAGGAGTCAGGCATCGTCACCTTTTGAAGCAATGAACTCCGCGTGCCTCTCGAGGTGTCAGCGGGATGTGAGGCATTCCGTCAAAATGAGGCAGGGACCTAGGGCTTTCTCTAAGGTCTCCACAGGGGATTCAGACATCCCTTCATGTTGTGAGATGAAAGACGAGCCTGTATTCAAGCCACTGCAAGGAAATCCGGCCTCCTTTCAAGTTAGGGCTTCTCGCTGTATATTCCCCTTGAGGCAGCAAACTCGGGGTCCCTCCCACATACCTATTGCTGAGAGAAGCCTCCTCCTGAGGTGCTTCTGGGAAGTTGGCATACGTCTTGAGCCTAAGCCAGGGAATCAGCTCGCATCTCGAGACGATTTGGGGTACACGGAGCATTCCTCGAGTTGCTGTGCTGAAGTTGGTGTTCCTCTAGACTTGGGACAGTGTTCTCGGGGCATCTCTGGAGTTGCCTGAAGGAAGTCGAGCCACCGGTCGTGTTGAATGGGGAACGGGGAATGGCTCTGGAGTCAATGCAGGGGAATCGGGCCTCATCTCGAGTTGATTTGGGGCACATGGAGCTGCTTTGCGTTGCTGGGGTGACCTCAGGGTCCGTCTAGACTGGTGACAGTGTTCTTGGGGACTGTCTCGAGATCCATTAAGCAAGTCGAAGCTCCTGACTTGTTTGAATGGGGTCACGGAATAGCTCTGCATGCACTGCAGGGGAATGGGGCCTCATCTCGCCTCTAGGGGAAAGTCTCATGGTTTTTCTCGAGTTGCGGCGGGGACCTGGGGTATGTTCTCGACTTACGGCGGGGATGGCCCTTCAAAACACGAGTTTCTTCAGTGACGTCAGGACTCCTGTCTAGTAACGAGGGACACCTCAGGAATCTCTTCGAGGCTTGGCAGGGCCAAAGGGACGCTTCTCGAGGTGAGGCAGGGCACCCAAGGACCCTTTCCAGTAGCCACAGGGATTTTGGGATTCCTATCAGTATTCAAGAGGAGTCAGGCATCGTCACCTTTTGAAGCAATGAACTCCGCGTGCCTCTCGAGGTGTCAGCGGGATGTGAGGCATTCCGTCAAAATGAGGCAGGGACCTAGGGCTTTCTCTAAGGTCTCCACAGGGGATTCAGACATCCCTTCATGTTGTGAGATGAAAGACGAGCCTGTATTCAAGCCACTGCAAGGAAATCCGGCCTCCTTTCAAGTTAGGGCTTCTCGCTGTATATTCCCCTTGAGGCAGCAAACTCGGGGTCCCTCCCACATACCTATTGCTGAGAGGAGCCTCCTCCTGAGGTGCTTCTGGGAAGTTGGCATACGTCTTGAGCCTAAGCCAGGGAATCAGCTCGCATCTCGAGACGATTTGGGGTACACGGAGCATTCCTCGAGTTGTTGTGCTGAAGTTGGTGTTCCTCTAGACTTGGGACAGTGTTCTCGGGGCATCTCTGGAGTTGCCTGAAGGAAGTCGAGCCACCGGTCGTGTTGAATGGGGAACGGGGAATGGCTCTGGAGTCAATGCAGGGGAATCGGGCCTCATCTCGAGTTGATTTGGGGCACATGGAGCTGCTTTGCGTTGCTGGGGTGACCTCAGGGTCCGTCTAGACTGGTGACAGTGTTCTTGGGGACTGTCTCGAGATCCATTAAGCAAGTCGAAGCTCCTGACTTGTTTGAATGGGGTCACGGAATAGCTCTGCATGCACTGCAGGGGAATGGGGCCTCATCTCGCCTCTAGGGGGAAGTCTCGTGGTTTTTCTCGAGTTGCGGCGGTTACCTGGGGTATGTTCTCGACTTACGGCGGGGATGGCCCTTCAAAACACGAGTTTCTTCAGTGACGTCAGGACTCCTGTCTAGTAACGAGGGACACCTCAGGAATCTCTTCGAGGCTTGGCAGGGCCAAAGGGACGCTTCTCGAGGTGAGGCAGGGCACCCAAGGACCCTTTCCAGTAGCCACAGGGATTTTGGGATTCCTATCAGTATTCAAGAGGAGTCAGGCATCGTCACCTTTTGAAGCAATGAACTCCGCGTGCCTCTCGAGGTGTCAGCGGGATGTGAGGCATTCCGTCAAAATGAGGCAGGGACCTAGGGCTTTCTCTAAGGTCTCCACAGGGGATTCAGACATCCCTTCATGTTGTGAGATGAAAGACGAGCCTGTATTCAAGCCACTGCAAGGAAATCCGGCCTCCTTTCAAGTTAGGGCTTCTCGCTGTATATTCCCCTTGAGGCAGCAAACTCGGGGTCCCTCCCACATACCTATTGCTGAGAGAAGCCTCCTCCTGAGGTGCTTCTGGGAAGTTGGCATACGTCTTGAGCCTAAGCCAGGGAATCAGCTCGCATCTCGAGACGATTTGGGGTACACGGAGCATTCCTCGAGTTGCTGTGCTGAAGTTGGTGTTCCTCTAGACTTGGGACAGTGTTCTCGGGGCATCTCTGGAGTTGCCTGAAGGAAGTCGAGCCACCGGTCGTGTTGAATGGGGAACGGGGAATGGCTCTGGAGTCAATGCAGGGGAATCGGGCCTCATCTCGAGTTGATTTGGGGCACATGGAGCTGCTTTGCGTTGCTGGGGTGACCTCAGGGTCCGTCTAGACTGGTGACAGTGTTCTTGGGGACTGTCTCGAGATCCATTAAGCAAGTCGAAGCTCCTGACTTGTTTGAATGGGGTCACGGAATAGCTCTGCATGCACTGCAGGGGAATGGGGCCTCATCTCGCCTCTAGGGGGAAGTCTCATGGTTTTTCTCGAGTTGCGGCGGGGACCTGGGGTATGTTCTCGACTTACGGCGGGGATGGCCCTTCAAAACACGAGTTTCTTCAGTGACGTCAGGACTCCTGTCTAGTAACGAGGGACACCTCAGGAATCTCTTCGAGGCTTGGCAGGGCCAAAGGGACGCTTCTCGAGGTGAGGCAGGGCACCCAAGGACCCTTTCCAGTAGCCACAGGGATTTTGGGATTCCTATCAGTATTCAAGAGGAGTCAGGCATCGTCACCTTTTGAAGCAATGAACTCCGCGTGCCTCTCGAGGTGTCAGCGGGATGTGAGGCATTCCGTCAAAATGAGGCAGGGACCTAGGGCTTTCTCTAAGGTCTCCACAGGGGATTCAGACATCCCTTCATGTTGTGAGATGAAAGACGAGCCTGTATTCAAGCCACTGCAAGGAAATCCGGCCTCCTTTCAAGTTAGGGCTTCTCGCTGTATATTCCCCTTGAGGCAGCAAACTCGGGGTCCCTCCCACATACCTATTGCTGAGAGAAGCCTCCTCCTGAGGTGCTTCTGGGAAGTTGGCATACGTCTTGAGCCTAAGCCAGGGAATCAGCTCGCATCTCGAGACGATTTGGGGTACACGGAGCATTCCTCGAGTTGCTGTGCTGAAGTTGGTGTTCCTCTAGACTTGGGACAGTGTTCTCGGGGCATCTCTGGAGTTGCCTGAAGGAAGTCGAGCCACCGGTCGTGTTGAATGGGGAACGGGGAATGGCTCTGGAGTCAATGCAGGGGAATCGGGCCTCATCTCGAGTTGATTTGGGGCACATGGAGCTGCTTTGCGTTGCTGGGGTGACCTCAGGGTCCGTCTAGACTGGTGACAGTGTTCTTGGGGACTGTCTCGAGATCCATTAAGCAAGTCGAAGCTCCTGACTTGTTTGAATGGGGTCACGGAATAGCTCTGCATGCACTGCAGGGGAATGGGGCCTCATCTCGCCTCTAGGGGGAAGTCTCGTGGTTTTCCTCGAGTTGCGGCGGGGACCTGGGGTATGTTCTCGACTTACGGCGGGGATGGCCCTTCAAAACACGAGTTTCTTCAGTGACGTCAGGACTCCTGTCTAGTAACGAGGGACACCTCAGGAATCTCTTCGAGGCTTGGCAGGGCCAAAGGGACGCTTCTCGAGGTGAGGCAGGGCACCCAAGGACCCTTTCCAGTAGCCACAGGGATTTTGGGATTCCTATCAGTATTCAAGAGGAGTCAGGCATCGTCACCTTTTGAAGCAATGAACTCCGCGTGCCTCTCGAGGTGTCAGCGGGATGTGAGGCATTCCGTCAAAATGAGGCAGGGACCTAGGGCTTTCTCTAAGGTCTCCACAGGGGATTCAGACATCCCTTCATGTTGTGAGATGAAAGACGAGCCTGTATTCAAGCCACTGCAAGGAAATCCGGCCTCCTTTCAAGTTAGGGCTTCTCGCTGTATATTCCCCTTGAGGCAGCAAACTCGGGGTCCCTCCCACATACCTATTGCTGAGAGAAGCCTCCTCCTGAGGTGCTTCTGGGAAGTTGGCATACGTCTTGAGCCTAAGCCAGGGAATCAGCTCGCATCTCGAGACGATTTGGGGTACACGGAGCATTCCTCGAGTTGCTGTGCTGAAGTTGCTGTTCCTCTAGACTTGGGACAGTGTTCTCGGGGCATCTCTGGAGTTGCCTGAAGGAAGTCGAGCCACCGGTCGTGTTGAATGGGGAACGGGGAATGGCTCTGGAGTCAATGCAGGGGAATCGGGCCTCATCTCGAGTTGATTTGGGGCACATGGAGCTGCTTTGCGTTGCTGGGGTGACCTCAGGGTCCGTCTAGACTGGTGACAGTGTTCTTGGGGACTGTCTCGAGATCCATTAAGCAAGTCGAAGCTCCTGACTTGTTTGAATGGGATCACGGAATAGCTCTGCATGCACTGCAGGGGAATGGGGCCTCATCTCGCCTCTAGGGGGAAGTCTCATGGTTTTTCTCGAGTTGCGGCGGGGACCTGGGGTATGTTCTCGACTTAGGGCGGGGATGGCCCTTCAAAACACGAGTTTCTTCAGTGACGTCAGGACTCCTGTCTAGTAACGAGGGACACCTCAGGAATCTCTTCGAGGCTTGGCAGGGCCAAAGGGACGCTTCTCGAGGTGAGGCAGGGCACCCAAGGACCCTTTCCAGTAGCCACAGGGATTTTGGGATTCCTATCAGTATTCAAGAGGAGTCAGGCATCGTCACCTTTTGAAGCAATGAACTCCGCGTGCCTCTCGAGGTGTCAGCGGGATGTGAGGCATTCCGTCAAAATGAGGCAGGGACCTAGGGCTTTCTCTAAGGTCTCCACAGGGGATTCAGACATCCCTTCATGTTGTGAGATGAAAGACGAGCCTGTATTCAAGCCACTGCAAGGAAATCCGGCCTCCTTTCAAGTTAGGGCTTCTCGCTGTATATTCCCCTTGAGGCAGCAAACTCGGGGTCCCTCCCACATACCTATTGCTGAGAGAAGCCTCCTCCTGAGGTGCTTCTGGGAAGTTGGCATACGTCTTGAGCCTAAGCCAGGGAATCAGCTCGCATCTCGAGACGATTTGGGGTACACGGAGCATTCCTCGAGTTGCTGTGCTGAAGTTGCTGTTCCTCTAGACTTGGGACAGTGTTCTCGGGGCATCTCTGGAGTTGCCTGAAGGAAGTCGAGCCACCGGTCGTGTTGAATGGGGAACGGGGAATGGCTCTGGAGTCAATGCAGGGGAATCGGGCCTCATCTCGAGTTGATTTGGGGCACATGGAGCTGCTTTGCGTTGCTGGGGTGACCTCAGGGTCCGTCTAGACTGGTGACAGTGTTCTTGGGGACTGTCTCGAGATCCATTAAGCAAGTCGAAGCTCCTGACTTGTTTGAATGGGGTCACGGAATAGCTCTGCATGCACTGCAGGGGAATGGGGCCTCATCTAGCCTCTAGGGGGAAGTCTCCTGGTTTTCCTCGAGTTGCGGCGGGGACCTGGGGTATGTTCTCGACTTAGGGCGGGGATGGCCCTTCAAAACACGAGTTTCTTCAGTGACGTCAGGACTCCTGTCTAGTAACGAGGGACACCTCAGGAATCTCTTCGAGGCTTGGCAGGGCCAAAGGGACGCTTCTCGAGGTGAGGCAGGGCACCCAAGGACCCTTTCCAGTAGCCACAGGGATTTTGGGATTCCTATCAGTATTCAAGAGGAGTCAGGCATCGTCACCTTTTGAAGCAATGAACTCCGCGTGCCTCTCGAGGTGTCAGCGGGATGTGAGGCATTCCGTCAAAATGAGGCAGGGACCTAGGGCTTTCTCTAAGGTCTCCACAGGGGATTCAGACATCCCTTCATGTTGTGAGATGAAAGACGAGCCTGTATTCAAGCCACTGCAAGGAAATCCGGCCTCCTTTCAAGTTAGGGCTTCTCGCTGTATATTCCCCTTGAGGCAGCAAACTCGGGGTCCCTCCCACATACCTATTGCTGAGAGAAGCCTCCTCCTGAGGTGCTTCTGGGAAGTTGGCATACGTCTTGAGCCTAAGCCAGGGAATCAGCTCGCATCTCGAGACGATTTGGGGTACACGGAGCATTCCTCGAGTTGCTGTGCTGAAGTTGCTGTTCCTCTAGACTTGGGACAGTGTTCTCGGGGCATCTCTGGAGTTGCCTGAAGGAAGTCGAGCCACCGGTCGTGTTGAATGGGGAACGGGGAATGGCTCTGGAGTCAATGCAGGGGAATCGGGCCTCATCTCGAGTTGATTTGGGGCACATGGAGCTGCTTTGCGTTGCTGGGGTGACCTCAGGGTCCGTCTAGACTGGTGACAGTGTTCTTGGGGACTGTCTCGAGATCCATTAAGCAAGTCGAAGCTCCTGACTTGTTTGAATGGGGTCACGGAATAGCTCTGCATGCACTGCAGGGGAATGGGGCCTCATCTCGCCTCTAGGGGGAAGTCTCGTGGTTTTCCTCGAGTTGCGGCGGGGACCTGGGGTATGTTCTCGACTTACGGCGGGGATGGCCCTTCAAAACACGAGTTTCTTCAGTGACGTCAGGACTCCTGTCTAGTAACGAGGGACACCTCAGGAATCTCTTCGAGGCTTGGCAGGGCCAAAGGGACGCTTCTCGAGGTGAGGCAGGGCACCCAAGGACCCTTTCCAGTAGCCACAGGGATTTTGGGATTCCTATCAGTATTCAAGAGGAGTCAGGCATCGTCACCTTTTGAAGCAATGAACTCCGCGTGCCTCTCGAGGTGTCAGCGGGATGTGAGGCATTCCGTCAAAATGAGGCAGGGACCTAGGGCTTTCTCTAAGGTCTCCACAGGGGATTCAGACATCCCTTCATGTTGTGAGATGAAAGACGAGCCTGTATTCAAGCCACTGCAAGGAAATCCGGCCTCCTTTCAAGTTAGGGCTTCTCGCTGTATATTCCCCTTGAGGCAGCAAACTCGGGGTCCCTCCCACATACCTATTGCTGAGAGGAGCCTCCTCCTGAGGTGCTTCTGGGAAGTTGGCATACGTCTTGAGCCTAAGCCAGGGAATCAGCTCGCATCTCGAGACGATTTGGGGTACACGGAGCATTCCTCGAGTTGCTGTGCTGAAGTTGGTGTTCCTCTAGACTTGGGACAGTGTTCTCGGGGCATCTCTGGAGTTGCCTGAAGGAAGTCGAGCCACCGGTCGTGTTGAATGGGGAACGGGGAATGGCTCTGGAGTCAATGCAGGGGAATCGGGCCTCATCTCGAGTTGATTTGGGGCACATGGAGCTGCTTTGCGTTGCTGGGGTGACCTCAGGGTCCGTCTAGACTGGTGACAGTGTTCTTGGGGACTGTCTCGAGATCCATTAAGCAAGTCGAAGCTCCTGACTTGTTTGAATGGGGTCACGGAATAGCTCTGCATGCACTGCAGGGGAATGGGGCCTCATCTCGCCTCTAGGGGGAAGTCTCGTGGTTTTCCTCGAGTTGCGGCGGGGACCTGGGGTATGTTCTCGACTTACGGCGGGGATGGCCCTTCAAAACACGAGTTTCTTCAGTGACGTCAGGACTCCTGTCTAGTAACGAGGGACACCTCAGGAATCTCTTCGAGGCTTGGCAGGGCCAAAGGGACGCTTCTCGAGGTGAGGCAGGGCACCCAAGGACCCTTTCCAGTAGCCACAGGGATTTTGGGATTCCTATCAGTATTCAAGAGGAGTCAGGCATCGTCACCTTTTGAAGCAATGAACTCCGCGTGCCTCTCGAGGTGTCAGCGGGATGTGAGGCATTCCGTCAAAATGAGGCAGGGACCTAGGGCTTTCTCTAAGGTCTCCACAGGGGATTCAGACATCCCTTCATGTTGTGAGATGAAAGACGAGCCTGTATTCAAGCCACTGCAAGGAAATCCGGCCTCCTTTCAAGTTAGGGCTTCTCGCTGCATCTTCCCCTTGAGGCAGCAAACTCGGGGTCCCTCCCACATACCTATTGCTGAGAGAAGCCTCCTCCTGAGGTGCTTCTGGGAAGTTGGCATACGTCTTGAGCCTAAGCCAGGGAATCAGCTCGCATCTCGAGACGATTTGGGGTACACGGAGCATTCCTCGAGTTGCTGTGCTGAAGTTGGTGTTCCTCTAGACTTGGGACAGTGTTCTCGGGGCATCTCTGGAGTTGCCTGAAGGAAGTCGAGCCACCGGTCGTGTTGAATGGGGAACGGGGAATGGCTCTGGAGTCAATGCAGGGGAATCGGGCCTCATCTCGAGTTGATTTGGGGCACATGGAGCTGCTTTGCGTTGCTGGGGTGACCTCAGGGTCCGTCTAGACTGGTGACAGTGTTCTTGGGGACTGTCTCGAGATCCATTAAGCAAGTCGAAGCTCCTGACTTGTTTGAATGGGATCACGGAATAGCTCTGCATGCACTGCAGGGGAATGGGGCCTCATCTCGCCTCTAGGGGGAAGTCTCATGGTTTTTCTCGAGTTACGGCGGGGACCTGGGGTATGTTCTCGACTTACGGCGGGGATGGCCCTTCAAAACACGAGTTTCTTCAGTGACGTCAGGACTCCTGTCTAGTAACGAGGGACACCTCAGGAATCTCTTCGAGGCTTGGCAGGGCCAAAGGGACGCTTCTCGAGGTGAGGCAGGGCACCCAAGGACCCTTTCCAGTAGCCACAGGGATTTTGGGATTCCTATCAGTATTCAAGAGGAGTCAGGCATCGTCACCTTTTGAAGCAATGAACTCCGCGTGCCTCTCGAGGTGTCAGCGGGATGTGAGGCATTCCGTCAAAATGAGGCAGGGACCTAGGGCTTTCTCTAAGGTCTCCACAGGGGATTCAGACATCCCTTCATGTTGTGAGATGAAAGACGAGCCTGTATTCAAGCCACTGCAAGGAAATCCGGCCTCCTTTCAAGTTAGGGCTTCTCGCTGTATATTCCCCTTGAGGCAGCAAACTCGGGGTCCCTCCCACATACCTATTGCTGAGAGAAGCCTCCTCCTGAGGTGCTTCTGGGAAGTTGGCATACGTCTTGAGCCTAAGCCAGGGAATCAGCTCGCATCTCGAGACGATTTGGGGTACACGGAGCATTCCTCGAGTTGCTGTGCTGAAGTTGCTGTTCCTCTAGACTTGGGACAGTGTTCTCGGGGCATTTCTGGAGTTGCCTGAAGGAAGTCGAGCCACCGGTCGTGTTGAATGGGGAACGGGGAATGGCTCTGGAGTCAATGCAGGGGAATCGGGCCTCATCTCGAGTTGATTTGGGGCACATGGAGCTGCTTTGCGTTGCTGGGGTGACCTCAGGGTCCGTCTAGACTGGTGACAGTGTTCTTGGGGACTGTCTCGAGATCCATTAAGCAAGTCGAAGCTCCTGACTTGTTTGAATGGGGTCACGGAATAGCTCTGCATGCACTGCAGGGGAATGGGGCCTCATCTCGCCTCTAGGGGGAAGTCTCGTGGTTTTCCTCGAGTTGCGGCGGGGACCTGGGGTATGTTCTCGACTTACGGCGGGGATGGCCCTTCAAAACACGAGTTTCTTCAGTGACGTCAGGACTCCTGTCTAGTAACGAGGGACACCTCAGGAATCTCTTCGAGGCTTGGCAGGGCCAAAGGGACGCTTCTCGAGGTGAGGCAGGGCACCCAAGGACCCTTTCCAGTAGCCACAGGGATTTTGGGATTCCTATCAGTATTCAAGAGGAGTCAGGCATCGTCACCTTTTGAAGCAATGAACTCCGCGTGCCTCTCGAGGTGTCAGCGGGATGTGAGGCATTCCGTCAAAATGAGGCAGGGACCTAGGGCTTTCTCTAAGGTCTCCACAGGGGATTCAGACATCCCTTCATGTTGTGAGATGAAAGACGAGCCTGTATTCAAGCCACTGCAAGGAAATCCGGCCTCCTTTCAAGTTAGGGCTTCTCGCTGTATATTCCCCTTGAGGCAGCAAACTCGGGGTCCCTCCCACATACCTATTGCTGAGAGAAGCCTCCTCCTGAGGTGCTTCTGGGAAGTTGGCATACGTCTTGAGCCTAAGCCAGGGAATCAGCTCGCATCTCGAGACGATTTGGGGTACACGGAGCATTCCTCGAGTTGCTGTGCTGAAGTTGGTGTTCCTCTAGACTTGGGACAGTGTTCTCGGGGCATCTCTGGAGTTGCCTGAAGGAAGTCGAGCCACCGGTCGTGTTGAATGGGGAACGGGGAATGGCTCTGGAGTCAATGCAGGGGAATCGGGCCTCATCTCGAGTTGATTTGGGGCACATGGAGCTGCTTTGCGTTGCTGGGGTGACCTCAGGGTCCGTCTAGACTGGTGACAGTGTTCTTGGGGACTGTCTCGAGATCCATTAAGCAAGTCGAAGCTCCTGACTTGTTTGAATGGGGTCACGGAATAGCTCTGCATGCACTGCAGGGGAATGGGGCCTCATCTCGCCTCTAGGGGGAAGTCTCATGGTTTTTCTCGAGTTGCGGCGGGGACCTGGGGTATGTTCTCGACTTACGGCGGGGATGGCCCTTCAAAACACGAGTTTCTTCAGTGACGTCAGGACTCCTGTCTAGTAACGAGGGACACCTCAGGAATCTCTTCGAGGCTTGGCAGGGCCAAAGGGACGCTTCTCGAGGTGAGGCAGGGCACCCAAGGACCCTTTCCAGTAGCCACAGGGATTTTGGGATTCCTATCAGTATTCAAGAGGAGTCAGGCATCGTCACCTTTTGAAGCAATGAACTCCGCGTGCCTCTCGAGGTGTCAGCGGGATGTGAGGCATTCCGTCAAAATGAGGCAGGGACCTAGGGCTTTCTCTAAGGTCTCCACAGGGGATTCAGACATCCCTTCATGTTGTGAGATGAAAGACGAGCCTGTATTCAAGCCACTGCAAGGAAATCCGGCCTCCTTTCAAGTTAGGGCTTCTCGCTGTATATTCCCCTTGAGGCAGCAAACTCGGGGTCCCTCCCACATACCTATTGCTGAGAGAAGCCTCCTCCTGAGGTGCTTCTGGGAAGTTGGCATACGTCTTGAGCCTAAGCCAGGGAATCAGCTCGCATCTCGAGACGATTTGGGGTACACGGAGCATTCCTCGAGTTGCTGTGCTGAAGTTGGTGTTCCTCTAGACTTGGGACAGTGTTCTCGGGGCATCTCTGGAGTTGCCTGAAGGAAGTCGAGCCACCGGTCGTGTTGAATGGGGAACGGGGAATGGCTCTGGAGTCAATGCAGGGGAATCGGGCCTCATCTCGAGTTGATTTGGGGCACATGGAGCTGCTTTGCGTTGCTGGGGTGACCTCAGGGTCCGTCTAGACTGGTGACAGTGTTCTTGGGGACTGTCTCGAGATCCATTAAGCAAGTCGAAGCTCCTGACTTGTTTGAATGGGGTCACGGAATAGCTCTGCATGCACTGCAGGGGAATGGGGCCTCATCTCGCCTCTAGGGGGAAGTCTCATGGTTTTTCTCGAGTTGCGGCGGGGACCTGGGGTATGTTCTCGACTTACGGCGGGGATGGCCCTTCAAAACACGAGTTTCTTCAGTGACGTCAGGACTCCTGTCTAGTAACGAGGGACACCTCAGGAATCTCTTCGAGGCTTGGCAGGGCCAAAGGGACGCTTCTCGAGGTGAGGCAGGGCACCCAAGGACCCTTTCCAGTAGCCACAGGGATTTTGGGATTCCTATCAGTATTCAAGAGGAGTCAGGCATCGTCACCTTTTGAAGCAATGAACTCCGCGTGCCTCTCGAGGTGTCAGCGGGATGTGAGGCATTCCGTCAAAATGAGGCAGGGACCTAGGGCTTTCTCTAAGGTCTCCACAGGGGATTCAGACATCCCTTCATGTTGTGAGATGAAAGACGAGCCTGTATTCAAGCCACTGCAAGGAAATCCGGCCTCCTTTCAAGTTAGGGCTTCTCGCTGTATATTCCCCTTGAGGCAGCAAACTCGGGGTCCCTCCCACATACCTATTGCTGAGAGAAGCCTCCTCCTGAGGTGCTTCTGGGAAGTTGGCATACGTCTTGAGCCTAAGCCAGGGAATCAGCTCGCATCTCGAGACGATTTGGGGTACACGGAGCATTCCTCGAGTTGCTGTGCTGAAGTTGGTGTTCCTCTAGACTTGGGACAGTGTTCTCGGGGCATCTCTGGAGTTGCCTGAAGGAAGTCGAGCCACCGGTCGTGTTGAATGGGGAACGGGGAATGGCTCTGGAGTCAATGCAGGGGAATCGGGCCTCATCTCGAGTTGATTTGGGGCACATGGAGCTGCTTTGCGTTGCTGGGGTGACCTCAGGGTCCGTCTAGACTGGTGACAGTGTTCTTGGGGACTGTCTCGAGATCCATTAAGCAAGTCGAAGCTCCTGACTTGTTTGAATGGGGTCACGGAATAGCTCTGCATGCACTGCAGGGGAATGGGGCCTCATCTCGCCTCTAGGGGGAAGTCTCGTGGTTTTCCTCGAGTTGCGGCGGGGACCTGGGGTATGTTCTCGACTTACGGCGGGGATGGCCCTTCAAAACACGAGTTTCTTCAGTGACGTCAGGACTCCTGTCTAGTAACGAGGGACACCTCAGGAATCTCTTCGAGGCTTGGCAGGGCCAAAGGGACGCTTCTCGAGGTGAGGCAGGGCACCCAAGGACCCTTTCCAGTAGCCACAGGGATTTTGGGATTCCTATCAGTATTCAAGAGGAGTCAGGCATCGTCACCTTTTGAAGCAATGAACTCCGCGTGCCTCTCGAGGTGTCAGCGGGATGTGAGGCATTCCGTCAAAATGAGGCAGGGACCTAGGGCTTTCTCTAAGGTCTCCACAGGGGATTCAGACATCCCTTCATGTTGTGAGATGAAAGACGAGCCTGTATTCAAGCCACTGCAAGGAAATCCGGCCTCCTTTCAAGTTAGGGCTTCTCGCTGTATATTCCCCTTGAGGCAGCAAACTCGGGGTCCCTCCCACATACCTATTGCTGAGAGAAGCCTCCTCCTGAGGTGCTTCTGGGAAGTTGGCATACGTCTTGAGCCTAAGCCAGGGAATCAGCTCGCATCTCGAGACGATTTGGGGTACACGGAGCATTCCTCGAGTTGCTGTGCTGAAGTTGCTGTTCCTCTGGACTTGGGACAGTGTTCTCGGGGCATCTCTGGAGTTGCCTGAAGGAAGTCGAGCCACCGGTCGTGTTGAATGGGGAACGGGGAATGGCTCTGGAGTCAATGCAGGGGAATCGGGCCTCATCTCGAGTTGATTTGGGGCACATGGAGCTGCTTTGCGTTGCTGGGGTGACCTCAGGGTCCGTCTAGACTGGTGACAGTGTTCTTGGGGACTGTCTCGAGATCCATTAAGCAAGTCGAAGCTCCTGACTTGTTTGAATGGGATCACGGAATAGCTCTGCATGCACTGCAGGGGAATGGGGCCTCATCTCGCCTCTAGGGGGAAGTCTCATGGTTTTTCTCGAGTTGCGGCGGGGACCTGGGGTATGTTCTCGACTTACGGCGGGGATGGCCCTTCAAAACACGAGTTTCTTCAGTGACGTCAGGACTCCTGTCTAGTAACGAGGGACACCTCAGGAATCTCTTCGAGGCTTGGCAGGGCCAAAGGGACGCTTCTCGAGGTGAGGCAGGGCACCCAAGGACCCTTTCCAGTAGCCACAGGGATTTTGGGATTCCTATCAGTATTCAAGAGGAGTCAGGCATCGTCACCTTTTGAAGCAATGAACTCCGCGTGCCTCTCGAGGTGTCAGCGGGATGTGAGGCATTCCGTCAAAATGAGGCAGGGACCTAGGGCTTTCTCTAAGGTCTCCACAGGGGATTCAGACATCCCTTCATGTTGTGAGATGAAAGACGAGCCTGTATTCAAGCCACTGCAAGGAAATCCGGCCTCCTTTCAAGTTAGGGCTTCTCGCTGTATATTCCCCTTGAGGCAGCAAACTCGGGGTCCCTCCCACATACCTATTGCTGAGAGAAGCCTCCTCCTGAGGTGCTTCTGGGAAGTTGGCATACGTCTTGAGCCTAAGCCAGGGAATCAGCTCGCATCTCGAGACGATTTGGGGTACACGGAGCATTCCTCGAGTTGCTGTGCTGAAGTTGCTGTTCCTCTAGACTTGGGACAGTGTTCTCGGGGCATCTCTGGAGTTGCCTGAAGGAAGTCGAGCCACCGGTCGTGTTGAATGGGGAACGGGGAATGGCTCTGGAGTCAATGCAGGGGAATCGGGCCTCATCTCGAGTTGATTTGGGGCACATGGAGCTGCTTTGCGTTGCTGGGGTGACCTCAGGGTCCGTCTAGACTGGTGACAGTGTTCTTGGGGACTGTCTCGAGATCCATTAAGCAAGTCGAAGCTCCTGACTTGTTTGAATGGGGTCACGGAATAGCTCTGCATGCACTGCAGGGGAATGGGGCCTCATCTCGCCTCTAGGGGGAAGTCTCGTGGTTTTCCTCGAGTTGCGGCGGGGACCTGGGGTATGTTCTCGACTTACGGCGGGGATGGCCCTTCAAAACACGAGTTTCTTCAGTGACGTCAGGACTCCTGTCTAGTAACGAGGGACACCTCAGGAATCTCTTCGAGGCTTGGCAGGGCCAAAGGGACGCTTCTCGAGGTGAGGCAGGGCACCCAAGGACCCTTTCCAGTAGCCACAGGGATTTTGGGATTCCTATCAGTATTCAAGAGGAGTCAGGCATCGTCACCTTTTGAAGCAATGAACTCCGCGTGCCTCTCGAGGTGTCAGCGGGATGTGAGGCATTCCGTCAAAATGAGGCAGGGACCTAGGGCTTTCTCTAAGGTCTCCACAGGGGATTCAGACATCCCTTCATGTTGTGAGATGAAAGACGAGCCTGTATTCAAGCCACTGCAAGGAAATCCGGCCTCCTTTCAAGTTAGGGCTTCTCGCTGCATCTTCCCCTTGAGGCAGCAAACTCGGGGTCCCTCCCACATACCTATTGCTGAGAGAAGCCTCCTCCTGAGGTGCTTCTGGGAAGTTGGCATACGTCTTGAGCCTAAGCCAGGGAATCAGCTCGCATCTCGAGACGATTTGGGGTACACGGAGCATTCCTCGAGTTGCTGTGCTGAAGTTGGTGTTCCTCTAGACTTGGGACAGTGTTCTCGGGGCATCTCTGGAGTTGCCTGAAGGAAGTCGAGCCACCGGTCGTGTTGAATGGGGAACGGGGAATGGCTCTGGAGTCAATGCAGGGGAATCGGGCCTCATCTCGAGTTGATTTGGGGCACATGGAGCTGCTTTGCGTTGCTGGGGTGACCTCAGGGTCCGTCTAGACTGGTGACAGTGTTCTTGGGGACTGTCTCGAGATCCATTAAGCAAGTCGAAGCTCCTGACTTGTTTGAATGGGATCACGGAATAGCTCTGCATGCACTGCAGGGGAATGGGGCCTCATCTCGCCTCTAGGGGGAAGTCTCATGGTTTTCCTCGAGTTGCGGCGGGGACCTGGGGTATGTTCTCGACTTACGGCGGGGATGGCCCTTCAAAACACGAGTTTCTTCAGTGACGTCAGGACTCCTGTCTAGTAACGAGGGACACCTCAGGAATCTCTTCGAGGCTTGGCAGGGCCAAAGGGACGCTTCTCGAGGTGAGGCAGGGCACCCAAGGACCCTTTCCAGTAGCCACAGGGATTTTGGGATTCCTATCAGTATTCAAGAGGAGTCAGGCATCGTCACCTTTTGAAGCTATGAACTCCGCGTGCCTCTCGAGGTGTCAGCGGGATGTGAGGCATTCCGTCAAAATGAGGCAGGGACCTAGGGCTTTCTCTAAGGTCTCCACAGGGGATTCAGACATCCCTTCATGTTGTGAGATGAAAGACGAGCCTGTATTCAAGCCACTGCAAGGAAATCCGGCCTCCTTTCAAGTTAGGGCTTCTCGCTGTATATTCCCCTTGAGGCAGCAAACTCGGGGTCCCTCCCACATACCTATTGCTGAGAGAAGCCTCCTCCTGAGGTGCTTCTGGGAAGTTGGCATACGTCTTGAGCCTAAGCCAGGGAATCAGCTCGCATCTCGAGACGATTTGGGGTACACGGAGCATTCCTCGAGTTGCTGTGCTGAAGTTGGTGTTCCTCTAGACTTGGGACAGTGTTCTCGGGGCATCTCTGGAGTTGCCTGAAGGAAGTCGAGCCACCGGTCGTGTTGAATGGGGAACGGGGAATGGCTCTGGAGTCAATGCAGGGGAATCGGGCCTCATCTCGAGTTGATTTGGGGCACATGGAGCTGCTTTGCGTTGCTGGGGTGACCTCAGGGTCCGTCTAGACTGGTGACAGTGTTCTTGGGGACTGTCTCGAGATCCATTAAGCAAGTCGAAGCTCCTGACTTGTTTGAATGGGGTCACGGAATAGCTCTGCATGCACTGCAGGGGAATGGGGCCTCATCTAGCCTCTAGGGGGAAGTCTCCTGGTTTTCCTCGAGTTGCGGCGGGGACCTGGGGTATGTTCTCGACTTACGGCGGGGATGGCCCTTCAAAACACGAGTTTCTTCAGTGATGTCAGGACTCCTGTCTAGTAACGAGGGACACCTCAGGAATCTCTTCGAGGCTTGGCAGGGCCAAAGGGACGCTTCTCGAGGTGAGGCAGGGCACCCAAGGACCCTTTCCAGTAGCCACAGGGATTTTGGGATTCCTATCAGTATTCAAGAGGAGTCAGGCATCGTCACCTTTTGAAGCAATGAACTCCGCGTGCCTCTCGAGGTGTCAGCGGGATGTGAGGCATTCCGTCAAAATGAGGCAGGGACCTAGGGCTTTCTCTAAGGTCTCCACAGGGGATTCAGACATCCCTTCATGTTGTGAGATGAAAGACGAGCCTGTATTCAAGCCACTGCAAGGAAATCCGGCCTCCTTTCAAGTTAGGGCTTCTCGCTGTATATTCCCCTTGAGGCAGCAAACTCGGGGTCCCTCCCACATACCTATTGCTGAGAGAAGCCTCCTCCTGACGTGCTTCTGGGAAGTTGGCATACGTCTTGAGCCTAAGCCAGGGAATCAGCTCGCCTCTCGAGACGATTTGGGGTACACGGAGCATTCCTCGAGTTGCTGTGCTGAAGTTGGTGTTCCTCTAGACTTGGGACAGTGTTCTCGGGGCATCTCTGGAGTTGCCTGAAGGAAGTCGAGCCACCGGTCGTGTTGAATGGGGAACGGGGAATGGCTCTGGAGTCAATGCAGGGGAATCGGGCCTCATCTCGAGTTGATTTGGGGCACATGGAGCTGCTTTGCGTTGCTGGGGTGACCTCAGGGTCCGTCTAGACTGGTGACAGTGCTCTTGGGGACTGTCTCGAGATCCATTAAGCAAGTCGAAGCTCCTGACTTGTTTGAATGGGATCACGGAATAGCTCTGCATGCACTGCAGGGGAATGGGGCCTCATCTCGCCTCTAGGGGGAAGTCTCATGGTTTTTCTCGAGTTGCGGCGGGGACCTGGGGTATGTTCTCGACTTACGGCGGGGATGGCCCTTCAAAACACGAGTTTCTTCAGTGACGTCAGGACTCCTGTCTAGTAACGAGGGACACCTCAGGAATCTCTTCGAGGCTTGGCAGGGCCAAAGGGACGCTTCTCGAGGTGAGGCAGGGCACCCAAGGACCCTTTCCAGTAGCCACAGGGATTTTGGGATTCCTATCAGTATTCAAGAGGAGTCAGGCATCGTCACCTTTTGAAGCAATGAACTCCGCGTGCCTCTCGAGGTGTCAGCGGGATGTGAGGCATTCCGTCAAAATGAGGCAGGGACCTAGGGCTTTCTCTAAGGTCTCCACAGGGGATTCAGACATCCCTTCATGTTGTGAGATGAAAGACGAGCCTGTATTCAAGCCACTGCAAGGAAATCCGGCCTCCTTTCAAGTTAGGGCTTCTCGCTGTATATTCCCCTTGAGGCAGCAAACTCGGGGTCCCTCCCACATACCTATTGCTGAGAGAAGCCTCCTCCTGAGGTGCTTCTGGGAAGTTGGCATACGTCTTGAGCCTAAGCCAGGGAATCAGCTCGCATCTCGAGACGATTTGGGGTACACGGAGCATTCCTCGAGTTGCTGTGCTGAAGTTGGTGTTCCTCTAGACTTGGGACAGTGTTCTCGGGGCATCTCTGGAGTTGCCTGAAGGAAGTCGAGCCACCGGTCGTGTTGAATGGGGAACGGGGAATGGCTCTGGAGTCAATGCAGGGGAATCGGGGCTCATCTCGAGTTGATTTGGGGCACATGGAGCTGCTTTGCGTTGCTGGGGTGACCTCAGGGTCCGTCTAGACTGGTGACAGTGTTCTTGGGGACTGTCTCGAGATCCATTAAGCAAGTCGAAGCTCCTGACTTGTTTGAATGGGGTCACGGAATAGCTCTGCATGCACTGCAGGGGAATGGGGCCTCATCTCGCCTCTAGGGGGAAGTCTCATGGTTTTTCTCGAGTTGCGGCGGGGACCTGGGGTATGTTCTCGACTTACGGCGGGGATGGCCCTTCAAAACACGAGTTTCTTCAGTGACGTCAGGACTCCTGTCTAGTAACGAGGGACACCTCAGGAATCTCTTCGAGGCTTGGCAGGGCCAAAGGGACGCTTCTCGAGGTGAGGCAGTGCACCCAAGGACCCTTTCCAGTAGCCACAGGGATTTTGGGATTCCTATCAGTATTCAAGAGGAGTCAGGCATCGTCACCTTTTGAAGCAATGAACTCCGCGTGCCTCTCGAGGTGTCAGCGGGATGTGAGGCATTCCGTCAAAATGAGGCAGGGACCTAGGGCTTTCTCTAAGGTCTCCACAGGGGATTCAGACATCCCTTCATGTTGTGAGATGAAAGACGAGCCTGTATTCAAGCCACTGCAAGGAAATCCGGCCTCCTTTCAAGTTAGGGCTTCTCGCTGCATCTTCCCCTTGAGGCAGCAAACTCGGGGTCCCTCCCACATACCTATTGCTGAGAGAAGCCTCCTCCTGAGGTGCTTCTGGGAAGTTGGCATACGTCTTGAGCCTAAGCCAGGGAATCAGCTCGCATCTCGAGACGATTTGGGGTACACGGAGCATTCCTCGAGTTGCTGTGCTGAAGTTGGTGTTCCTCTAGACTTGGGACAGTGTTCTCGGGGCATCTCTGGAGTTGCCTGAAGGAAGTCGAGCCACCGGTCGTGTTGAATGGGGAACGGGGAATGGCTCTGGAGTCAATGCAGGGGAATCGGGCCTCATCTCGAGTTGATTTGGGGCACATGGAGCTGCTTTGCGTTGCTGGGGTGACCTCAGGGTCCGTCTAGACTGGTGACAGTGTTCTTGGGGACTGTCTCGAGATCCATTAAGCAAGTCGAAGCTCCTGACTTGTTTGAATGGGATCACGGAATAGCTCTGCATGCACTGCAGGGGAATGGGGCCTCATCTCGCCTCTAGGGGGAAGTCTCATGGTTTTCCTCGAGTTGCGGCGGGGACCTGGGGTATGTTCTCGACTTACGGCGGGGATGGCCCTTCAAAACACGAGTTTCTTCAGTGACGTCAGGACTCCTGTCTAGTAACGAGGGACACCTCAGGAATCTCTTCGAGGCTTGGCAGGGCCAAAGGGACGCTTCTCGAGGTGAGGCAGGGCACCCAAGGACCCTTTCCAGTAGCCACAGGGATTTTGGGATTCCTATCAGTATTCAAGAGGAGTCAGGCATCGTCACCTTTTGAAGCTATGAACTCCGCGTGCCTCTCGAGGTGTCAGCGGGATGTGAGGCATTCCGTCAAAATGAGGCAGGGACCTAGGGCTTTCTCTAAGGTCTCCACAGGGGATTCAGACATCCCTTCATGTTGTGAGATGAAAGACGAGCCTGTATTCAAGCCACTGCAAGGAAATCCGGCCTCCTTTCAAGTTAGGGCTTCTCGCTGTATATTCCCCTTGAGGCAGCAAACTCGGGGTCCCTCCCACATACCTATTGCTGAGAGAAGCCTCCTCCTGAGGTGCTTCTGGGAAGTTGGCATACGTCTTGAGCCTAAGCCAGGGAATCAGCTCGCATCTCGAGACGATTTGGGGTACACGGAGCATTCCTCGAGTTGCTGTGCTGAAGTTGGTGTTCCTCTAGACTTGGGACAGTGTTCTCGGGGCATCTCTGGAGTTGCCTGAAGGAAGTCGAGCCACCGGTCGTGTTGAATGGGGAACGGGGAATGGCTCTGGAGTCAATGCAGGGGAATCGGGCCTCATCTCGAGTTGATTTGGGGCACATGGAGCTGCTTTGCGTTGCTGGGGTGACCTCAGGGTCCGTCTAGACTGGTGACAGTGTTCTTGGGGACTGTCTCGAGATCCATTAAGCAAGTCGAAGCTCCTGACTTGTTTGAATGGGGTCACGGAATAGCTCTGCATGCACTGCAGGGGAATGGGGCCTCATCTAGCCTCTAGGGGGAAGTCTCCTGGTTTTCCTCGAGTTGCGGCGGGGACCTGGGGTATGTTCTCGACTTACGGCGGGGATGGCCCTTCAAAACACGAGTTTCTTCAGTGATGTCAGGACTCCTGTCTAGTAACGAGGGACACCTCAGGAATCTCTTCGAGGCTTGGCAGGGCCAAAGGGACGCTTCTCGAGGTGAGGCAGGGCACCCAAGGACCCTTTCCAGTAGCCACAGGGATTTTGGGATTCCTATCAGTATTCAAGAGGAGTCAGGCATCGTCACCTTTTGAAGCAATGAACTCCGCGTGCCTCTCGAGGTGTCAGCGGGATGTGAGGCATTCCGTCAAAATGAGGCAGGGACCTAGGGCTTTCTCTAAGGTCTCCACAGGGGATTCAGACATCCCTTCATGTTGTGAGATGAAAGACGAGCCTGTATTCAAGCCACTGCAAGGAAATCCGGCCTCCTTTCAAGTTAGGGCTTCTCGCTGTATATTCCCCTTGAGGCAGCAAACTCGGGGTCCCTCCCACATACCTATTGCTGAGAGAAGCCTCCTCCTGACGTGCTTCTGGGAAGTTGGCATACGTCTTGAGCCTAAGCCAGGGAATCAGCTCGCCTCTCGAGACGATTTGGGGTACACGGAGCATTCCTCGAGTTGCTGTGCTGAAGTTGGTGTTCCTCTAGACTTGGGACAGTGTTCTCGGGGCATCTCTGGAGTTGCCTGAAGGAAGTCGAGCCACCGGTCGTGTTGAATGGGGAACGGGGAATGGCTCTGGAGTCAATGCAGGGGAATCGGGCCTCATCTCGAGTTGATTTGGGGCACATGGAGCTGCTTTGCGTTGCTGGGGTGACCTCAGGGTCCGTCTAGACTGGTGACAGTGCTCTTGGGGACTGTCTCGAGATCCATTAAGCAAGTCGAAGCTCCTGACTTGTTTGAATGGGATCACGGAATAGCTCTGCATGCACTGCAGGGGAATGGGGCCTCATCTCGCCTCTAGGGGGAAGTCTCATGGTTTTTCTCGAGTTGCGGCGGGGACCTGGGGTATGTTCTCGACTTACGGCGGGGATGGCCCTTCAAAACACGAGTTTCTTCAGTGACGTCAGGACTCCTGTCTAGTAACGAGGGACACCTCAGGAATCTCTTCGAGGCTTGGCAGGGCCAAAGGGACGCTTCTCGAGGTGAGGCAGGGCACCCAAGGACCCTTTCCAGTAGCCACAGGGATTTTGGGATTCCTATCAGTATTCAAGAGGAGTCAGGCATCGTCACCTTTTGAAGCAATGAACTCCGCGTGCCTCTCGAGGTGTCAGCGGGATGTGAGGCATTCCGTCAAAATGAGGCAGGGACCTAGGGCTTTCTCTAAGGTCTCCACAGGGGATTCAGACATCCCTTCATGTTGTGAGATGAAAGACGAGCCTGTATTCAAGCCACTGCAAGGAAATCCGGCCTCCTTTCAAGTTAGGGCTTCTCGCTGTATATTCCCCTTGAGGCAGCAAACTCGGGGTCCCTCCCACATACCTATTGCTGAGAGAAGCCTCCTCCTGAGGTGCTTCTGGGAAGTTGGCATACGTCTTGAGCCTAAGCCAGGGAATCAGCTCGCATCTCGAGACGATTTGGGGTACACGGAGCATTCCTCGAGTTGCTGTGCTGAAGTTGGTGTTCCTCTAGACTTGGGACAGTGTTCTCGGGGCATCTCTGGAGTTGCCTGAAGGAAGTCGAGCCACCGGTCGTGTTGAATGGGGAACGGGGAATGGCTCTGGAGTCAATGCAGGGGAATCGGGGCTCATCTCGAGTTGATTTGGGGCACATGGAGCTGCTTTGCGTTGCTGGGGTGACCTCAGGGTCCGTCTAGACTGGTGACAGTGTTCTTGGGGACTGTCTCGAGATCCATTAAGCAAGTCGAAGCTCCTGACTTGTTTGAATGGGGTCACGGAATAGCTCTGCATGCACTGCAGGGGAATGGGGCCTCATCTCGCCTCTAGGGGGAAGTCTCATGGTTTTTCTCGAGTTGCGGCGGGGACCTGGGGTATGTTCTCGACTTACGGCGGGGATGGCCCTTCAAAACACGAGTTTCTTCAGTGACGTCAGGACTCCTGTCTAGTAACGAGGGACACCTCAGGAATCTCTTCGAGGCTTGGCAGGGCCAAAGGGACGCTTCTCGAGGTGAGGCAGTGCACCCAAGGACCCTTTCCAGTAGCCACAGGGATTTTGGGATTCCTATCAGTATTCAAGAGGAGTCAGGCATCGTCACCTTTTGAAGCAATGAACTCCGCGTGCCTCTCGATGTGTCAGCGGGATGTGAGGCATTCCGTCAAAATGAGGCAGGGACCTAGGGCTTTCTCTAAGGTCTCCACAGGGGATTCAGACATCCCTTCATGTTGTGAGATGAAAGACGAGCCTGTATTCAAGCCACTGCAAGGAAATCCGGCCTCCTTTCAAGTTAGGGCTTCTCGCTGTATATTCCCCTTGAGGCAGCAAACTCGGGGTCCCTCCCACATACCTATTGCTGAGAGAAGCCTCCTCCTGAGGTGCTTCTGGGAAGTTGGCATACGTCTTGAGCCTAAGCCAGGGAATCAGCTCGCATCTCGAGACGATTTGGGGTACACGGAGCATTCCTCGAGTTGCTGTGCTGAAGTTGGTGTTCCTCTAGACTTGGGACAGTGTTCTCGGGGCATCTCTGGAGTTGCCTGAAGGAAGTCGAGCCACCGGTCGTGTTGAATGTGGAATGGGGAATGGCTCTGGAGTCAATGCAGGGGAATCGGGGCTCATCTCGAGTTGATTTGGGGCACATGGAGCTGCTTTGCGTTGCTGGGGTGACCTCAGGGTCCGTCTAGACTGGTGACAGTGTTCTTGGGGACTGTCTCGAGATCCATTAAGCAAGTCGAAGCTCCTGACTTGTTTGAATGGGGTCACGGAATAGCTCTGCATGCACTGCAGGGGAATGGGGCCTCATCTCGCCTCTAGGGGGAAGTCTCGTGGTTTTCCTCGAGTTGCGGCGGGGACCTGGGGTATGTTCTCGACTTACGGCGGGGATGGCCCTTCAAAACACGAGTTTCTTCAGTGACGTCAGGACTCCTGTCTAGTAACGAGGGACACCTCAGGAATCTCTTCGAGGCTTGGCAGGGCCAAAGGGACGCTTCTCGAGGTGAGGCAGGGCACCCAAGGACCCTTTCCAGTAGCCACAGGGATTTTGGGATTCCTATCAGTATTCAAGAGGAGTCAGGCATCGTCACCTTTTGAAGCAATGAACTCCGCGTGCCTCTCGAGGTGTCAGCGGGATGTGAGGCATTCCGTCAAAATGAGGCAGGGACCTAGGGCTTTCTCTAAGGTCTCCACAGGGGATTCAGACATCCCTTCATGTTGTGAGATGAAAGACGAGCCTGTATTCAAGCCACTGCAAGGAAATCCGGCCTCCTTTCAAGTTAGGGCTTCTCGCTGTATATTCCCCTTGAGGCAGCAAACTCGGGGTCCCTCCCACATACCTATTGCTGAGAGAAGCCTCCTCCTGAGGTGCTTCTGGGAAGTTGGCATACGTCTTGAGCCTAAGCCAGGGAATCAGCTCGCATCTCGAGACGATTTGGGGTACACGGAGCATTCCTCGAGTTGCTGTGCTGAAGTTGGTGTTCCTCTAGACTTGGGACAGTGTTCTCGGGGCATCTCTGGAGTTGCCTGAAGGAAGTCGAGCCACCGGTCGTGTTGAATGGGGAACGGGGAATGGCTCTGGAGTCAATGCAGGGGAATCGGGCCTCATCTCGAGTTGATTTGGGGCACATGGAGCTGCTTTGCGTTGCTGGGGTGACCTCAGGGTCCGTCTAGACTGGTGACAGTGTTCTTGGGGACTGTCTCGAGATCCATTAAGCAAGTCGAAGCTCCTGACTTATTTGAATGGGGTCACGGAATAGCTCTGCATGCACTGCAGGGGAATGGGGCCTCATCTCGCCTCTAGGGGGAAGTCTCATGGTTTTTCTCGAGTTGCGGCGGGGACCTGGGGTATGTTCTCGACTTACGGCGGGGATGGCCCTTCAAAACACGAGTTTCTTCAGTGACGTCAGGACTCCTGTCTAGTAACGAGGGACACCTCAGGAATCTCTTCGAGGCTTGGCAGGGCCAAAGGGACGCTTCTCGAGGTGAGGCAGGGCACCCAAGGACCCTTTCCAGTAGCCACAGGGATTTTGGGATTCCTATCAGTATTCAAGAGGAGTCAGGCATCGTCACCTTTTGAAGCAATGAACTCCGCGTGCCTCTCGAGGTGTCAGCGGGATGTGAGGCATTCCGTCAAAATGAGGCAGGGACCTAGGGCTTTCTCTAAGGTCTCCACAGGGGATTCAGACATCCCTTCATGTTGTGAGATGAAAGACGAGCCTGTATTCAAGCCACTGCAAGGAAATCCGGCCTCCTTTCAAGTTAGGGCTTCTCGCTGTATATTCCCCTTGAGGCAGCAAACTCGGGGTCCCTCCCACATACCTATTGCTGAGAGAAGCCTCCTCCTGAGGTGCTTCTGGGAAGTTGGCATACGTCTTGAGCCTAAGCCAGGGAATCAGCTCGCCTCTCGAGACGATTTGGGGTACACGGAGCATTCCTCGAGTTGCTGTGCTGAAGTTGGTGTTCCTCTAGACTTGGGACAGTGTTCTCGGGGCATCACTGGAGTTGCCTGAAGGAAGTCGAGCCACCGGTCGTGTTGAATGGGGAACGGGGAATGGCTCTGGAGTCAATGCAGGGGAATCGGGCCTCATCTCGAGTTGATTTGGGGCACATGGAGCTGCTTTGCGTTGCTGGGGTGACCTCAGGGTCCGTCTAGACTGGTGACAGTGTTCTTGGGGACTGTCTCGAGATCCATTAAGCAAGTCGAAGCTCCTGACTTGTTTGAATGGGATCACGGAATAGCTCTGCATGCACTGCAGGGGAATGGGGCCTCATCTCGCCTCTAGGGGGAAGTCTCATGGTTTTTCTCGAGTTGCGGCGGGGACCTGGGGTATGTTCTCGACTTAGGGCGGGGATGGCCCTTCAAAACACGAGTTTCTTCAGTGACGTCAGGACTCCTGTCTAGTAACGAGGGACACCTCAGGAATCTCTTCGAGGCTTGGCAGGGCCAAAGGGACGCTTCTCGAGGTGAGGCAGGGCACCCAAGGACCCTTTCCAGTAGCCACAGGGATTTTGGGATTCCTATCAGTATTCAAGAGGAGTCAGGCATCGTCACCTTTTGAAGCAATGAACTCCGCGTGCCTCTCGAGGTGTCAGCGGGATGTGAGGCATTCCGTCAAAATGAGGCAGGGACCTAGGGCTTTCTCTAAGGTCTCCACAGGGGATTCAGACATCCCTTCATGTTGTGAGATGAAAGACGAGCCTGTATTCAAGCCACTGCAAGGAAATCCGGCCTCCTTTCAAGTTAGGGCTTCTCGCTGTATATTCCCCTTGAGGCAGCAAACTCGGGGTCCCTCCCACATACCTATTGCTGAGAGAAGCCTCCTCCTGAGGTGCTTCTGGGAAGTTGGCATACGTCTTGAGCCTAAGCCAGGGAATCAGCTCGCATCTCGAGACGATTTGGGGTACACGGAGCATTCCTCGAGTTGCTGTGCTGAAGTTGCTGTTCCTCTAGACTTGGGACAGTGTTCTCGGGGCATCTCTGGAGTTGCCTGAAGGAAGTCGAGCCACCGGTCGTGTTGAATGGGGAACGGGGAATGGCTCTGGAGTCAATGCAGGGGAATCGGGCCTCATCTCGAGTTGATTTGGGGCACATGGAGCTGCTTTTCGTTGCTGGGGTGACCTCAGGGTCCGTCTAGACTGGTGACAGTGTTCTTGGGGACTGTCTCGAGATCCATTAAGCAAGTCGAAGCTCCTGACTTGTTTGAATGGGGTCACGGAATAGCTCTGCATGCACTGCAGGGGAATGGGGCCTCATCTAGCCTCTAGGGGGAAGTCTCCTGGTTTTCCTCGAGTTGCGGCGGGGACCTGGGGTATGTTCTCGACTTAGGGCGGGGATGGCCCTTCAAAACACGAGTTTCTTCAGTGACGTCAGGACTCCTGTCTAGTAACGAGGGACACCTCAGGAATCTCTTCGAGGCTTGGCAGGGCCAAAGGGACGCTTCTCGAGGTGAGGCAGGGCACCCAAGGACCCTTTCCAGTAGCCACAGGGATTTTGGGATTCCTATCAGTATTCAAGAGGAGTCAGGCATCGTCACCTTTTGAAGCAATGAACTCCGCGTGCCTCTCGAGGTGTCAGCGGGATGTGAGGCATTCCGTCAAAATGAGGCAGGGACCTAGGGCTTTCTCTAAGGTCTCCACAGGGGATTCAGACATCCCTTCATGTTGTGAGATGAAAGACGAGCCTGTATTCAAGCCACTGCAAGGAAATCCGGCCTCCTTTCAAGTTAGGGCTTCTCGCTGTATATTCCCCTTGAGGCAGCAAACTCGGGGTCCCTCCCACATACCTATTGCTGAGAGAAGCCTCCTCCTGAGGTGCTTCTGGGAAGTTGGCATACGTCTTGAGCCTAAGCCAGGGAATCAGCTCGCATCTCGAGACGATTTGGGGTACACGGAGCATTCCTCGAGTTGCTGTGCTGAAGTTGCTGTTCCTCTAGACTTGGGACAGTGTTCTCGGGGCATCTCTGGAGTTGCCTGAAGGAAGTCGAGCCACCGGTCGTGTTGAATGGGGAACGGGGAATGGCTCTGGAGTCAATGCAGGGGAATCGGGCCTCATCTCGAGTTGATTTGGGGCACATGGAGCTGCTTTGCGTTGCTGGGGTGACCTCAGGGTCCGTCTAGACTGGTGACAGTGTTCTTGGGGACTGTCTCGAGATCCATTAAGCAAGTCGAAGCTCCTGACTTGTTTGAATGGGGTCACGGAATAGCTCTGCATGCACTGCAGGGGAATGGGGCCTCATCTCGCCTCTAGGGGGAAGTCTCGTGGTTTTCCTCGAGTTGCGGCGGGGACCTGGGGTATGTTCTCGACTTACGGCGGGGATGGCCCTTCAAAACACGAGTTTCTTCAGTGACGTCAGGACTCCTGTCTAGTAACGAGGGACACCTCAGGAATCTCTTCGAGGCTTGGCAGGGCCAAAGGGACGCTTCTCGAGGTGAGGCAGGGCACCCAAGGACCCTTTCCAGTAGCCACAGGGATTTTGGGATTCCTATCAGTATTCAAGAGGAGTCAGGCATCGTCACCTTTTGAAGCAATGAACTCCGCGTGCCTCTCGAGGTGTCAGCGGGATGTGAGGCATTCCGTCAAAATGAGGCAGGGACCTAGGGCTTTCTCTAAGGTCTCCACAGGGGATTCAGACATCCCTTCATGTTGTGAGATGAAAGACGAGCCTGTATTCAAGCCACTGCAAGGAAATCCGGCCTCCTTTCAAGTTAGGGCTTCTCGCTGTATATTCCCCTTGAGGCAGCAAACTCGGGGTCCCTCCCACATACCTATTGCTGAGAGGAGCCTCCTCCTGAGGTGCTTCTGGGAAGTTGGCATACGTCTTGAGCCTAAGCCAGGGAATCAGCTCGCATCTCGAGACGATTTGGGGTACACGGAGCATTCCTCGAGTTGCTGTGCTGAAGTTGCTGTTCCTCTAGACTTGGGACAGTGTTCTCGGGGCATCTCTGGAGTTGCCTGAAGGAAGTCGAGCCACCGGTCGTGTTGAATGGGGAACGGGGAATGGCTCTGGAGTCAATGCAGGGGAATCGGGCCTCATCTCGAGTTGATTTGGGGCACATGGAGCTGCTTTTCGTTGCTGGGGTGACCTCAGGGTCCGTCTAGACTGGTGACAGTGTTCTTGGGGACTGTCTCGAGATCCATTAAGCAAGTCGAAGCTCCTGACTTGTTTGAATGGGGTCACGGAATAGCTCTGCATGCACTGCAGGGGAATGGGGCCTCATCTAGCCTCTAGGGGGAAGTCTCCTGGTTTTCCTCGAGTTGCGGCGGGGACCTGGGGTATGTTCTCGACTTAGGGCGGGGATGGCCCTTCAAAACACGAGTTTCTTCAGTGACGTCAGGACTCCTGTCTAGTAACGAGGGACACCTCAGGAATCTCTTCGAGGCTTGGCAGGGCCAAAGGGACGCTTCTCGAGGTGAGGCAGGGCACCCAAGGACCCTTTCCAGTAGCCACAGGGATTTTGGGATTCCTATCAGTATTCAAGAGGAGTCAGGCATCGTCACCTTTTGAAGCAATGAACTCCGCGTGCCTCTCGAGGTGTCAGCGGGATGTGAGGCATTCCGTCAAAATGAGGCAGGGACCTAGGGCTTTCTCTAAGGTCTCCACAGGGGATTCAGACATCCCTTCATGTTGTGAGATGAAAGACGAGCCTGTATTCAAGCCACTGCAAGGAAATCCGGCCTCCTTTCAAGTTAGGGCTTCTCGCTGTATATTCCCCTTGAGGCAGCAAACTCGGGGTCCCTCCCACATACCTATTGCTGAGAGAAGCCTCCTCCTGAGGTGCTTCTGGGAAGTTGGCATACGTCTTGAGCCTAAGCCAGGGAATCAGCTCGCATCTCGAGACGATTTGGGGTACACGGAGCATTCCTCGAGTTGCTGTGCTGAAGTTGCTGTTCCTCTAGACTTGGGACAGTGTTCTCGGGGCATCTCTGGAGTTGCCTGAAGGAAGTCGAGCCACCGGTCGTGTTGAATGGGGAACGGGGAATGGCTCTGGAGTCAATGCAGGGGAATCGGGCCTCATCTCGAGTTGATTTGGGGCACATGGAGCTGCTTTGCGTTGCTGGGGTGACCTCAGGGTCCGTCTAGACTGGTGACAGTGTTCTTGGGGACTGTCTCGAGATCCATTAAGCAAGTCGAAGCTCCTGACTTGTTTGAATGGGGTCACGGAATAGCTCTGCATGCACTGCAGGGGAATGGGGCCTCATCTCGCCTCTAGGGGGAAGTCTCGTGGTTTTCCTCGAGTTGCGGCGGGGACCTGGGGTATGTTCTCGACTTACGGCGGGGATGGCCCTTCAAAACACGAGTTTCTTCAGTGACGTCAGGACTCCTGTCTAGTAACGAGGGACACCTCAGGAATCTCTTCGAGGCTTGGCAGGGCCAAAGGGACGCTTCTCGAGGTGAGGCAGGGCACCCAAGGACCCTTTCCAGTAGCCACAGGGATTTTGGGATTCCTATCAGTATTCAAGAGGAGTCAGGCATCGTCACCTTTTGAAGCAATGAACTCCGCGTGCCTCTCGAGGTGTCAGCGGGATGTGAGGCATTCCGTCAAAATGAGGCAGGGACCTAGGGCTTTCTCTAAGGTCTCCACAGGGGATTCAGACATCCCTTCATGTTGTGAGATGAAAGACGAGCCTGTATTCAAGCCACTGCAAGGAAATCCGGCCTCCTTTCAAGTTAGGGCTTCTCGCTGTATATTCCCCTTGAGGCAGCAAACTCGGGGTCCCTCCCACATACCTATTGCTGAGAGGAGCCTCCTCCTGAGGTGCTTCTGGGAAGTTGGCATACGTCTTGAGCCTAAGCCAGGGAATCAGCTCGCATCTCGAGACGATTTGGGGTACACGGAGCATTCCTCGAGTTGCTGTGCTGAAGTTGGTGTTCCTCTAGACTTGGGACAGTGTTCTCGGGGCATCTCTGGAGTTGCCTGAAGGAAGTCGAGCCACCGGTCGTGTTGAATGGGGAACGGGGAATGGCTCTGGAGTCAATGCAGGGGAATCGGGCCTCATCTCGAGTTGATTTGGGGCACATGGAGCTGCTTTGCGTTGCTGGGGTGACCTCAGGGTCCGTCTAGACTGGTGACAGTGTTCTTGGGGACTGTCTCGAGATCCATTAAGCAAGTCGAAGCTCCTGACTTGTTTGAATGGGGTCACGGAATAGCTCTGCATGCACTGCAGGGGAATGGGGCCTCATCTCGCCTCTAGGGGGAAGTCTCGTGGTTTTCCTCGAGTTGCGGCGGGGACCTGGGGTATGTTCTCGACTTACGGCGGGGATGGCCCTTCAAAACACGAGTTTCTTCAGTGACGTCAGGACTCCTGTCTAGTAACGAGGGACACCTCAGGAATCTCTTCGAGGCTTGGCAGGGCCAAAGGGACGCTTCTCGAGGTGAGGCAGGGCACCCAAGGACCCTTTCCAGTAGCCACAGGGATTTTGGGATTCCTATCAGTATTCAAGAGGAGTCAGGCATCGTCACCTTTTGAAGCAATGAACTCCGCGTGCCTCTCGAGGTGTCAGCGGGATGTGAGGCATTCCGTCAAAATGAGGCAGGGACCTAGGGCTTTCTCTAAGGTCTCCACAGGGGATTCAGACATCCCTTCATGTTGTGAGATGAAAGACGAGCCTGTATTCAAGCCACTGCAAGGAAATCCGGCCTCCTTTCAAGTTAGGGCTTCTCGCTGCATCTTCCCCTTGAGGCAGCAAACTCGGGGTCCCTCCCACATACCTATTGCTGAGAGAAGCCTCCTCCTGAGGTGCTTCTGGGAAGTTGGCATACGTCTTGAGCCTAAGCCAGGGAATCAGCTCGCATCTCGAGACGATTTGGGGTACACGGAGCATTCCTCGAGTTGCTGTGCTGAAGTTGGTGTTCCTCTAGACTTGGGACAGTGTTCTCGGGGCATCTCTGGAGTTGCCTGAAGGAAGTCGAGCCACCGGTCGTGTTGAATGGGGAACGGGGAATGGCTCTGGAGTCAATGCAGGGGAATCGGGCCTCATCTCGAGTTGATTTGGGGCACATGGAGCTGCTTTGCGTTGCTGGGGTGACCTCAGGGTCCGTCTAGACTGGTGACAGTGTTCTTGGGGACTGTCTCGAGATCCATTAAGCAAGTCGAAGCTCCTGACTTGTTTGAATGGGATCACGGAATAGCTCTGCATGCACTGCAGGGGAATGGGGCCTCATCTCGCCTCTAGGGGGAAGTCTCATGGTTTTTCTCGAGTTACGGCGGGGACCTGGGGTATGTTCTCGACTTACGGCGGGGATGGCCCTTCAAAACACGAGTTTCTTCAGTGACGTCAGGACTCCTGTCTAGTAACGAGGGACACCTCAGGAATCTCTTCGAGGCTTGGCAGGGCCAAAGGGACGCTTCTCGAGGTGAGGCAGGGCACCCAAGGACCCTTTCCAGTAGCCACAGGGATTTTGGGATTCCTATCAGTATTCAAGAGGAGTCAGGCATCGTCACCTTTTGAAGCAATGAACTCCGCGTGCCTCTCGAGGTGTCAGCGGGATGTGAGGCATTCCGTCAAAATGAGGCAGGGACCTAGGGCTTTCTCTAAGGTCTCCACAGGGGATTCAGACATCCCTTCATGTTGTGAGATGAAAGACGAGCCTGTATTCAAGCCACTGCAAGGAAATCCGCCCTCCTTTCAAGTTAGGGCTTCTCGCTGTATATTCCCCTTGAGGCAGCAAACTCGGGGTCCCTCCCACATACCTATTGCTGAGAGAAGCCTCCTCCTGAGGTGCTTCTGGGAAGTTGGCATACGTCTTGAGCCTAAGCCAGGGAATCAGCTCGCATCTCGAGACGATTTGGGGTACACGGAGCATTCCTCGAGTTGCTGTGCTGAAGTTGCTGTTCCTCTAGACTTGGGACAGTGTTCTCGGGGCATTTCTGGAGTTGCCTGAAGGAAGTCGAGCCACCGGTCGTGTTGAATGGGGAACGGGGAATGCCTCTGGAGTCAATGCAGGGGAATCGGGCCTCATCTCGAGTTGATTTGGGGCACATGGAGCTGCTTTGCGTTGCTGGGGTGACCTCAGGGTCCGTCTAGACTGGTGACAGTGTTCTTGGGGACTGTCTCGAGATCCATTAAGCAAGTCGAAGCTCCTGACTTGTTTGAATGGGGTCACGGAATAGCTCTGCATGCACTGCAGGGGAATGGGGCCTCATCTCGCCTCTAGGGGGAAGTCTCGTGGTTTTCCTCGAGTTGCGGCGGGGACCTGGGGTATGTTCTCGACTTACGGCGGGGATGGCCCTTCAAAACACGAGTTTCTTCAGTGACGTCAGGACTCCTGTCTAGTAACGAGGGACACCTCAGGAATCTCTTCGAGGCTTGGCAGGGCCAAAGGGACGCTTCTCGAGGTGAGGCAGGGCACCCAAGGACCCTTTCCAGTAGCCACAGGGATTTTGGGATTCCTATCAGTATTCAAGAGGAGTCAGGCATCGTCACCTTTTGAAGCAATGAACTCCGCGTGCCTCTCGAGGTGTCAGCGGGATGTGAGGCATTCCGTCAAAATGAGGCAGGGACCTAGGGCTTTCTCTAAGGTCTCCACAGGGGATTCAGACATCCCTTCATGTTGTGAGATGAAAGACGAGCCTGTATTCAAGCCACTGCAAGGAAATCCGGCCTCCTTTCAAGTTAGGGCTTCTCGCTGTATATTCCCCTTGAGGCAGCAAACTCGGGGTCCCTCCCACATACCTATTGCTGAGAGAAGCCTCCTCCTGAGGTGCTTCTGGGAAGTTGGCATACGTCTTGAGCCTAAGCCAGGGAATCAGCTCGCATCTCGAGACGATTTGGGGTACACGGAGCATTCCTCGAGTTGCTGTGCTGAAGTTGGTGTTCCTCTAGACTTGGGACAGTGTTCTCGGGGCATCTCTGGAGTTGCCTGAAGGAAGTCGAGCCACCGGTCGTGTTGAATGGGGAACGGGGAATGGCTCTGGAGTCAATGCAGGGGAATCGGGCCTCATCTCGAGTTGATTTGGGGCACATGGAGCTGCTTTGCGTTGCTGGGGTGACCTCAGGGTCCGTCTAGACTGGTGACAGTGTTCTTGGGGACTGTCTCGAGATCCATTAAGCAAGTCGAAGCTCCTGACTTGTTTGAATGGGGTCACGGAATAGCTCTGCATGCACTGCAGGGGAATGGGGCCTCATCTCGCCTCTAGGGGGAAGTCTCATGGTTTTTCTCGAGTTGCGGCGGGGACCTGGGGTATGTTCTCGACTTACGGCGGGGATGGCCCTTCAAAACACGAGTTTCTTCAGTGACGTCAGGACTCCTGTCTAGTAACGAGGGACACCTCAGGAATCTCTTCGAGGCTTGGCAGGGCCAAAGGGACGCTTCTCGAGGTGAGGCAGGGCACCCAAGGACCCTTTCCAGTAGCCACAGGGATTTTGGGATTCCTATCAGTATTCAAGAGGAGTCAGGCATCGTCACCTTTTGAAGCAATGAACTCCGCGTGCCTCTCGAGGTGTCAGCGGGATGTGAGGCATTCCGTCAAAATGAGGCAGGGACCTAGGGCTTTCTCTAAGGTCTCCACAGGGGATTCAGACATCCCTTCATGTTGTGAGATGAAAGACGAGCCTGTATTCAAGCCACTGCAAGGAAATCCGGCCTCCTTTCAAGTTAGGGCTTCTCGCTGTATATTCCCCTTGAGGCAGCAAACTCGGGGTCCCTCCCACATACCTATTGCTGAGAGAAGCCTCCTCCTGAGGTGCTTCTGGGAAGTTGGCATACGTCTTGAGCCTAAGCCAGGGAATCAGCTCGCATCTCGAGACGATTTGGGGTACACGGAGCATTCCTCGAGTTGCTGTGCTGAAGTTGGTGTTCCTCTAGACTTGGGACAGTGTTCTCGGGGCATCTCTGGAGTTGCCTGAAGGAAGTCGAGCCACCGGTCGTGTTGAATGGGGAACGGGGAATGGCTCTGGAGTCAATGCAGGGGAATCGGGCCTCATCTCGAGTTGATTTGGGGCACATGGAGCTGCTTTGCGTTGCTGGGGTGACCTCAGGGTCCGTCTAGACTGGTGACAGTGTTCTTGGGGACTGTCTCGAGATCCATTAAGCAAGTCGAAGCTCCTGACTTGTTTGAATGGGGTCACGGAATAGCTCTGCATGCACTGCAGGGGAATGGGGCCTCATCTCGCCTCTAGGGGGAAGTCTCGTGGTTTTCCTCGAGTTGCGGCGGGGACCTGGGGTATGTTCTCGACTTACGGCGGGGATGGCCCTTCAAAACACGAGTTTCTTCAGTGACGTCAGGACTCCTGTCTAGTAACGAGGGACACCTCAGGAATCTCTTCGAGGCTTGGCAGGGCCAAAGGGACGCTTCTCGAGGTGAGGCAGGGCACCCAAGGACCCTTTCCAGTAGCCACAGGGATTTTGGGATTCCTATCAGTATTCAAGAGGAGTCAGGCATCGTCACCTTTTGAAGCAATGAACTCCGCGTGCCTCTCGAGGTGTCAGCGGGATGTGAGGCATTCCGTCAAAATGAGGCAGGGACCTAGGGCTTTCTCTAAGGTCTCCACAGGGGATTCAGACATCCCTTCATGTTGTGAGATGAAAGACGAGCCTGTATTCAAGCCACTGCAAGGAAATCCGGCCTCCTTTCAAGTTAGGGCTTCTCGCTGTATATTCCCCTTGAGGCAGCAAACTCGGGGTCCCTCCCACATACCTATTGCTGAGAGAAGCCTCCTCCTGAGGTGCTTCTGGGAAGTTGGCATACGTCTTGAGCCTAAGCCAGGGAATCAGCTCGCATCTCGAGACGATTTGGGGTACACGGAGCATTCCTCGAGTTGCTGTGCTGAAGTTGGTGTTCCTCTAGACTTGGGACAGTGTTCTCGGGACATCTCTGGAGTTGCCTGAAGGAAGTCGAGCCACCGGTCGTGTTGAATGGGGAACGGGGAATGGCTCTGGAGTCAATGCAGGGGAATCGGGCCTCATCTCGAGTTGATTTGGGGCACATGGTGCTGCTTTGCGTTGCTGGGGTGACCTCAGGGTCCGTCTAGACTGGTGACAGTGTTCTTGGGGACTGTCTCGAGATCCATTAAGCAAGTCGAAGCTCCTGACTTGTTTGAATGGGGTCACGGAATAGCTCTGCATGCACTGCAGGGGAATGGGGCCTCATCTCGCCTCTAGGGGGAAGTCTCATGGTTTTTCTCGAGTTGCGGCGGGGACCTGGGGTATGTTCTCGACTTACGGCGGGGATGGCCCTTCAAAACACGAGTTTCTTCAGTGACGTCAGGACTCCTGTCTAGTAACGAGGGACACCTCAGGAATCTCTTCGAGGCTTGGCAGGGCCAAAGGGACGCTTCTCGAGGTGAGGCAGGGCACCCAAGGACCCTTTCCAGTAGCCACAGGGATTTTGGGATTCCTATCAGTATTCAAGAGGAGTCAGGCATCGTCACCTTTTGAAGCAATGAACTCCGCGTGCCTCTCGAGGTGTCAGCGGGATGTGAGGCATTCCGTCAAAATGAGGCAGGGACCTAGGGCTTTCTCTAAGGTCTCCACAGGGGATTCAGACATCCCTTCATGTTGTGAGATGAAAGACGAGCCTGTATTCAAGCCACTGCAAGGAAATCCGGCCTCCTTTCAAGTTAGGGCTTCTCGCTGTATATTCCCCTTGAGGCAGCAAACTCGGGGTCCCTCCCACATACCTATTGCTGAGAGAAGCCTCCTCCTGAGGTGCTTCTGGGAAGTTGGCATACGTCTTGAGCCTAAGCCAGGGAATCAGCTCGCATCTCGAGACGATTTGGGGTACACGGAGCATTCCTCGAGTTGCTGTGCTGAAGTTGGTGTTCCTCTAGACTTGGGACAGTGTTCTCGGGGCATCTCTGGAGTTGCCTGAAGGAAGTCGAGCCACCGGTCGTGTTGAATGGGGAACGGGGAATGGCTCTGGAGTCAATGCAGGGGAATCGGGCCTCATCTCGAGTTGATTTGGGGCACATGGAGCTGCTTTGCGTTGCTGGGGTGACCTCAGGGTCCGTCTAGACTGGTGACAGTGTTCTTGGGGACTGTCTCGAGATCCATTAAGCAAGTCGAAGCTCCTGACTTGTTTGAATGGGGTCACGGAATAGCTCTGCATGCACTGCAGGGGAATGGGGCCTCATCTCGCCTCTAGGGGGAAGTCTCGTGGTTTTCCTCGAGTTGCGGCGGGGACCTGGGGTATGTTCTCGACTTACGGCGGGGATGGCCCTTCAAAACACGAGTTTCTTCAGTGACGTCAGGACTCCTGTCTAGTAACGAGGGACACCTCAGGAATCTCTTCGAGGCTTGGCAGGGCCAAAGGGACGCTTCTCGAGGTGAGGCAGGGCACCCAAGGACCCTTTCCAGTAGCCACAGGGATTTTGGGATTCCTATCAGTATTCAAGAGGAGTCAGGCATCGTCACCTTTTGAAGCAATGAACTCCGCGTGCCTCTCGAGGTGTCAGCGGGATGTGAGGCATTCCGTCAAAATGAGGCAGGGACCTAGGGCTTTCTCTAAGGTCTCCACAGGGGATTCAGACATCCCTTCATGTTGTGAGATGAAAGACGAGCCTGTATTCAAGCCACTGCAAGGAAATCCGGCCTCCTTTCAAGTTAGGGCTTCTCGCTGTATATTCCCCTTGAGGCAGCAAACTCGGGGTCCCTCCCACATACCTATTGCTGAGAGGAGCCTCCTCCTGAGGTGCTTCTGGGAAGTTGGCATACGTCTTGAGCCTAAGCCAGGGAATCAGCTCGCATCTCGAGACGATTTGGGGTACACGGAGCATTCCTCGAGTTGCTGTGCTGAAGTTGGTGTTCCTCTAGACTTGGGACAGTGTTCTCGGGGCATCTCTGGAGTTGCCTGAAGGAAGTCGAGCCACCGGTCGTGTTGAATGGGGAACGGGGAATGGCTCTGGAGTCAATGCAGGGGAATCGGGCCTCATCTCGAGTTGATTTGGGGCACATGGAGCTGCTTTGCGTTGCTGGGGTGACCTCAGGGTCCGTCTAGACTGGTGACAGTGTTCTTGGGGACTGTCTCGAGATCCATTAAGCAAGTCGAAGCTCCTGACTTGTTTGAATGGGGTCACGGAATAGCTCTGCATGCACTGCAGGGGAATGGGGCCTCATCTCGCCTCTAGGGGGAAGTCTCGTGGTTTTCCTCGAGTTGCGGCGGGGACCTGGGGTATGTTCTCGACTTACGGCGGGGATGGCCCTTCAAAACACGAGTTTCTTCAGTGACGTCAGGACTCCTGTCTAGTAACGAGGGACACCTCAGGAATCTCTTCGAGGCTTGGCAGGGCCAAAGGGACGCTTCTCGAGGTGAGGCAGGGCACCCAAGGACCCTTTCCAGTAGCCACAGGGATTTTGGGATTCCTATCAGTATTCAAGAGGAGTCAGGCATCGTCACCTTTTGAAGCAATGAACTCCGCGTGCCTCTCGAGGTGTCAGCGGGATGTGAGGCATTCCGTCAAAATGAGGCAGGGACCTAGGGCTTTCTCTAAGGTCTCCACAGGGGATTCAGACATCCCTTCATGTTGTGAGATGAAAGACGAGCCTGTATTCAAGCCACTGCAAGGAAATCCGGCCTCCTTTCAAGTTAGGGCTTCTCGCTGCATCTTCCCCTTGAGGCAGCAAACTCGGGGTCCCTCCCACATACCTATTGCTGAGAGAAGCCTCCTCCTGAGGTGCTTCTGGGAAGTTGGCATACGTCTTGAGCCTAAGCCAGGGAATCAGCTCGCATCTCGAGACGATTTGGGGTACACGGAGCATTCCTCGAGTTGCTGTGCTGAAGTTGGTGTTCCTCTAGACTTGGGACAGTGTTCTCGGGGCATCTCTGGAGTTGCCTGAAGGAAGTCGAGCCACCGGTCGTGTTGAATGGGGAACGGGGAATGGCTCTGGAGTCAATGCAGGGGAATCGGGCCTCATCTCGAGTTGATTTGGGGCACATGGAGCTGCTTTGCGTTGCTGGGGTGACCTCAGGGTCCGTCTAGACTGGTGACAGTGTTCTTGGGGACTGTCTCGAGATCCATTAAGCAAGTCGAAGCTCCTGACTTGTTTGAATGGGATCACGGAATAGCTCTGCATGCACTGCAGGGGAATGGGGCCTCATCTCGCCTCTAGGGGGAAGTCTCATGGTTTTTCTCGAGTTACGGCGGGGACCTGGGGTATGTTCTCGACTTACGGCGGGGATGGCCCTTCAAAACACGAGTTTCTTCAGTGACGTCAGGACTCCTGTCTAGTAACGAGGGACACCTCAGGAATCTCTTCGAGGCTTGGCAGGGCCAAAGGGACGCTTCTCGAGGTGAGGCAGGGCACCCAAGGACCCTTTCCAGTAGCCACAGGGATTTTGGGATTCCTATCAGTATTCAAGAGGAGTCAGGCATCGTCACCTTTTGAAGCAATGAACTCCGCGTGCCTCTCGAGGTGTCAGCGGGATGTGAGGCATTCCGTCAAAATGAGGCAGGGACCTAGGGCTTTCTCTAAGGTCTCCACAGGGGATTCAGACATCCCTTCATGTTGTGAGATGAAAGACGAGCCTGTATTCAAGCCACTGCAAGGAAATCCGCCCTCCTTTCAAGTTAGGGCTTCTCGCTGTATATTCCCCTTGAGGCAGCAAACTCGGGGTCCCTCCCACATACCTATTGCTGAGAGAAGCCTCCTCCTGAGGTGCTTCTGGGAAGTTGGCATACGTCTTGAGCCTAAGCCAGGGAATCAGCTCGCATCTCGAGACGATTTGGGGTACACGGAGCATTCCTCGAGTTGCTGTGCTGAAGTTGCTGTTCCTCTAGACTTGGGACAGTGTTCTCGGGGCATTTCTGGAGTTGCCTGAAGGAAGTCGAGCCACCGGTCGTGTTGAATGGGGAACGGGGAATGGCTCTGGAGTCAATGCAGGGGAATCGGGCCTCATCTCGAGTTGATTTGGGGCACATGGAGCTGCTTTGCGTTGCTGGGGTGACCTCAGGGTCCGTCTAGACTGGTGACAGTGTTCTTGGGGACTGTCTCGAGATCCATTAAGCAAGTCGAAGCTCCTGACTTGTTTGAATGGGGTCACGGAATAGCTCTGCATGCACTGCAGGGGAATGGGGCCTCATCTCGCCTCTAGGGGGAAGTCTCGTGGTTTTCCTCGAGTTGCGGCGGGGACCTGGGGTATGTTCTCGACTTACGGCGGGGATGGCCCTTCAAAACACGAGTTTCTTCAGTGACGTCAGGACTCCTGTCTAGTAACGAGGGACACCTCAGGAATCTCTTCGAGGCTTGGCAGGGCCAAAGGGACGCTTCTCGAGGTGAGGCAGGGCACCCAAGGACCCTTTCCAGTAGCCACAGGGATTTTGGGATTCCTATCAGTATTCAAGAGGAGTCAGGCATCGTCACCTTTTGAAGCAATGAACTCCGCGTGCCTCTCGAGGTGTCAGCGGGATGTGAGGCATTCCGTCAAAATGAGGCAGGGACCTAGGGCTTTCTCTAAGGTCTCCACAGGGGATTCAGACATCCCTTCATGTTGTGAGATGAAAGACGAGCCTGTATTCAAGCCACTGCAAGGAAATCCGGCCTCCTTTCAAGTTAGGGCTTCTCGCTGTATATTCCCCTTGAGGCAGCAAACTCGGGGTCCCTCCCACATACCTATTGCTGAGAGAAGCCTCCTCCTGAGGTGCTTCTGGGAAGTTGGCATACGTCTTGAGCCTAAGCCAGGGAATCAGCTCGCATCTCGAGACGATTTGGGGTACACGGAGCATTCCTCGAGTTGCTGTGCTGAAGTTGGTGTTCCTCTAGACTTGGGACAGTGTTCTCGGGGCATCTCTGGAGTTGCCTGAAGGAAGTCGAGCCACCGGTCGTGTTGAATGGGGAACGGGGAATGGCTCTGGAGTCAATGCAGGGGAATCGGGCCTCATCTCGAGTTGATTTGGGGCACATGGAGCTGCTTTGCGTTGCTGGGGTGACCTCAGGGTCCGTCTAGACTGGTGACAGTGTTCTTGGGGACTGTCTCGAGATCCATTAAGCAAGTCGAAGCTCCTGACTTGTTTGAATGGGGTCACGGAATAGCTCTGCATGCACTGCAGGGGAATGGGGCCTCATCTCGCCTCTAGGGGGAAGTCTCATGGTTTTTCTCGAGTTGCGGCGGGGACCTGGGGTATGTTCTCGACTTACGGCGGGGATGGCCCTTCAAAACACGAGTTTCTTCAGTGACGTCAGGACTCCTGTCTAGTAACGAGGGACACCTCAGGAATCTCTTCGAGGCTTGGCAGGGCCAAAGGGACGCTTCTCGAGGTGAGGCAGGGCACCCAAGGACCCTTTCCAGTAGCCACAGGGATTTTGGGATTCCTATCAGTATTCAAGAGGAGTCAGGCATCGTCACCTTTTGAAGCAATGAACTCCGCGTGCCTCTCGAGGTGTCAGCGGGATGTGAGGCATTCCGTCAAAATGAGGCAGGGACCTAGGGCTTTCTCTAAGGTCTCCACAGGGGATTCAGACATCCCTTCATGTTGTGAGATGAAAGACGAGCCTGTATTCAAGCCACTGCAAGGAAATCCGGCCTCCTTTCAAGTTAGGGCTTCTCGCTGTATATTCCCCTTGAGGCAGCAAACTCGGGGTCCCTCCCACATACCTATTGCTGAGAGAAGCCTCCTCCTGAGGTGCTTCTGGGAAGTTGGCATACGTCTTGAGCCTAAGCCAGGGAATCAGCTCGCATCTCGAGACGATTTGGGGTACACGGAGCATTCCTCGAGTTGCTGTGCTGAAGTTGGTGTTCCTCTAGACTTGGGACAGTGTTCTCGGGGCATCTCTGGAGTTGCCTGAAGGAAGTCGAGCCACCGGTCGTGTTGAATGGGGAACGGGGAATGGCTCTGGAGTCAATGCAGGGGAATCGGGCCTCATCTCGAGTTGATTTGGGGCACATGGAGCTGCTTTGCGTTGCTGGGGTGACCTCAGGGTCCGTCTAGACTGGTGACAGTGTTCTTGGGGACTGTCTCGAGATCCATTAAGCAAGTCGAAGCTCCTGACTTGTTTGAATGGGGTCACGGAATAGCTCTGCATGCACTGCAGGGGAATGGGGCCTCATCTCGCCTCTAGGGGGAAGTCTCGTGGTTTTCCTCGAGTTGCGGCGGGGACCTGGGGTATGTTCTCGACTTACGGCGGGGATGGCCCTTCAAAACACGAGTTTCTTCAGTGACGTCAGGACTCCTGTCTAGTAACGAGGGACACCTCAGGAATCTCTTCGAGGCTTGGCAGGGCCAAAGGGACGCTTCTCGAGGTGAGGCAGGGCACCCAAGGACCCTTTCCAGTAGCCACAGGGATTTTGGGATTCCTATCAGTATTCAAGAGGAGTCAGGCATCGTCACCTTTTGAAGCAATGAACTCCGCGTGCCTCTCGAGGTGTCAGCGGGATGTGAGGCATTCCGTCAAAATGAGGCAGGGACCTAGGGCTTTCTCTAAGGTCTCCACAGGGGATTCAGACATCCCTTCATGTTGTGAGATGAAAGACGAGCCTGTATTCAAGCCACTGCAAGGAAATCCGGCCTCCTTTCAAGTTAGGGCTTCTCGCTGTATATTCCCCTTGAGGCAGCAAACTCGGGGTCCCTCCCACATACCTATTGCTGAGAGAAGCCTCCTCCTGAGGTGCTTCTGGGAAGTTGGCATACGTCTTGAGCCTAAGCCAGGGAATCAGCTCGCATCTCGAGACGATTTGGGGTACACGGAGCATTCCTCGAGTTGCTGTGCTGAAGTTGGTGTTCCTCTAGACTTGGGACAGTGTTCTCGGGACATCTCTGGAGTTGCCTGAAGGAAGTCGAGCCACCGGTCGTGTTGAATGGGGAACGGGGAATGGCTCTGGAGTCAATGCAGGGGAATCGGGCCTCATCTCGAGTTGATTTGGGGCACATGGAGCTGCTTTGCGTTGCTGGGGTGACCTCAGGGTCCGTCTAGACTGGTGACAGTGTTCTTGGGGACTGTCTCGAGATCCATTAAGCAAGTCGAAGCTCCTGACTTGTTTGAATGGGGTCACGGAATAGCTCTGCATGCACTGCAGGGGAATGGGGCCTCATCTCGCCTCTAGGGGGAAGTCTCATGGTTTTTCTCGAGTTGCGGCGGGGACCTGGGGTATGTTCTCGACTTACGGCGGGGATGGCCCTTCAAAACACGAGTTTCTTCAGTGACGTCAGGACTCCTGTCTAGTAACGAGGGACACCTCAGGAATCTCTTCGAGGCTTGGCAGGGCCAAAGGGACGCTTCTCGAGGTGAGGCAGGGCACCCAAGGACCCTTTCCAGTAGCCACAGGGATTTTGGGATTCCTATCAGTATTCAAGAGGAGTCAGGCATCGTCACCTTTTGAAGCAATGAACTCCGCGTGCCTCTCGAGGTGTCAGCGGGATGTGAGGCATTCCGTCAAAATGAGGCAGGGACCTAGGGCTTTCTCTAAGGTCTCCACAGGGGATTCAGACATCCCTTCATGTTGTGAGATGAAAGACGAGCCTGTATTCAAGCCACTGCAAGGAAATCCGGCCTCCTTTCAAGTTAGGGCTTCTCGCTGTATATTCCCCTTGAGGCAGCAAACTCGGGGTCCCTCCCACATACCTATTGCTGAGAGAAGCCTCCTCCTGAGGTGCTTCTGGGAAGTTGGCATACGTCTTGAGCCTAAGCCAGGGAATCAGCTCGCATCTCGAGACGATTTGGGGTACACGGAGCATTCCTCGAGTTGCTGTGCTGAAGTTGGTGTTCCTCTAGACTTGGGACAGTGTTCTCGGGGCATCTCTGGAGTTGCCTGAAGGAAGTCGAGCCACCGGTCGTGTTGAATGGGGAACGGGGAATGGCTCTGGAGTCAATGCAGGGGAATCGGGCCTCATCTCGAGTTGATTTGGGGCACATGGAGCTGCTTTGCGTTGCTGGGGTGACCTCAGGGTCCGTCTAGACTGGTGACAGTGTTCTTGGGGACTGTCTCGAGATCCATTAAGCAAGTCGAAGCTCCTGACTTGTTTGAATGGGGTCACGGAATAGCTCTGCATGCACTGCAGGGGAATGGGGCCTCATCTCGCCTCTAGGGGGAAGTCTCGTGGTTTTCCTCGAGTTGCGGCGGGGACCTGGGGTATGTTCTCGACTTACGGCGGGGATGGCCCTTCAAAACACGAGTTTCTTCAGTGACGTCAGGACTCCTGTCTAGTAACGAGGGACACCTCAGGAATCTCTTCGAGGCTTGGCAGGGCCAAAGGGACGCTTCTCGAGGTGAGGCAGGGCACCCAAGGACCCTTTCCAGTAGCCACAGGGATTTTGGGATTCCTATCAGTATTCAAGAGGAGTCAGGCATCGTCACCTTTTGAAGCAATGAACTCCGCGTGCCTCTCGAGGTGTCAGCGGGATGTGAGGCATTCCGTCAAAATGAGGCAGGGACCTAGGGCTTTCTCTAAGGTCTCCACAGGGGATTCAGACATCCCTTCATGTTGTGAGATGAAAGACGAGCCTGTATTCAAGCCACTGCAAGGAAATCCGGCCTCCTTTCAAGTTAGGGCTTCTCGCTGTATATTCCCCTTGAGGCAGCAAACTCGGGGTCCCTCCCACATACCTATTGCTGAGAGAAGCCTCCTCCTGAGGTGCTTCTGGGAAGTTGGCATACGTCTTGAGCCTAAGCCAGGGAATCAGCTCGCATCTCGAGACGATTTGGGGTACACGGAGCATTCCTCGAGTTGCTGTGCTGAAGTTGGTGTTCCTCTAGACTTGGGACAGTGTTCTCGGGGCATCTCTGGAGTTGCCTGAAGGAAGTCGAGCCACCGGTCGTGTTGAATGGGGAACGGGGAATGGCTCTGGAGTCAATGCAGGGGAATCGGGCCTCATCTCGAGTTGATTTGGGGCACATGGAGCTGCTTTGCGTTGCTGGGGTGACCTCAGGGTCCGTCTAGACTGGTGACAGTGTTCTTGGGGACTGTCTCGAGATCCATTAAGCAAGTCGAAGCTCCTGACTTGTTTGAATGGGGTCACGGAATAGCTCTGCATGCACTGCAGGGGAATGGGGCCTCATCTCGCCTCTAGGGGGAAGTCTCATGGTTTTTCTCGAGTTGCGGCGGGGACCTGGGGTATGTTCTCGACTTACGGCGGGGATGGCCCTTCAAAACACGAGTTTCTTCAGTGACGTCAGGACTCCTGTCTAGTAACGAGGGACACCTCAGGAATCTCTTCGAGGCTTGGCAGGGCCAAAGGGACGCTTCTCGAGGTGAGGCAGGGCACCCAAGGACCCTTTCCAGTAGCCACAGGGATTTTGGGATTCCTATCAGTATTCAAGAGGAGTCAGGCATCGTCACCTTTTGAAGCAATGAACTCCGCGTGCCTCTCGAGGTGTCAGCGGGATGTGAGGCATTCCGTCAAAATGAGGCAGGGACCTAGGGCTTTCTCTAAGGTCTCCACAGGGGATTCAGACATCCCTTCATGTTGTGAGATGAAAGACGAGCCTGTATTCAAGCCACTGCAAGGAAATCCGGCCTCCTTTCAAGTTAGGGCTTCTCGCTGTATATTCCCCTTGAGGCAGCAAACTCGGGGTCCCTCCCACATACCTATTGCTGAGAGAAGCCTCCTCCTGAGGTGCTTCTGGGAAGTTGGCATACGTCTTGAGCCTAAGCCAGGGAATCAGCTCGCATCTCGAGACGATTTGGGGTACACGGAGCATTCCTCGAGTTGCTGTGCTGAAGTTGGTGTTCCTCTAGACTTGGGACAGTGTTCTCGGGGCATCTCTGGAGTTGCCTGAAGGAAGTCGAGCCACCGGTCGTGTTGAATGGGGAACGGGGAATGGCTCTGGAGTCAATGCAGGGGAATCGGGCCTCATCTCGAGTTGATTTGGGGCACATGGAGCTGCTTTGCGTTGCTGGGGTGACCTCAGGGTCCGTCTAGACTGGTGACAGTGTTCTTGGGGACTGTCTCGAGATCCATTAAGCAAGTCGAAGCTCCTGACTTGTTTGAATGGGGTCACGGAATAGCTCTGCATGCACTGCAGGGGAATGGGGCCTCATCTCGCCTCTAGGGGGAAGTCTCGTGGTTTTCCTCGAGTTGCGGCGGGGACCTGGGGTATGTTCTCAACTTACGGCGGGGATGGCCCTTCAAAACACGAGTTTCTTCAGTGACGTCAGGACTCCTGTCTAGTAACGAGGGACACCTCAGGAATCTCTTCGAGGCTTGGCAGGGCCAAAGGGACGCTTCTCGAGGTGAGGCAGGGCACCCAAGGACCCTTTCCAGTAGCCACAGGGATTTTGGGATTCCTATCAGTATTCAAGAGGAGTCAGGCATCGTCACCTTTTGAAGCAATGAACTCCGCGTGCCTCTCGAGGTGTCAGCGGGATGTGAGGCATTCCGTCAAAATGAGGCAGGGACCTAGGGCTTTCTCTAAGGTCTCCACAGGGGATTCAGACATCCCTTCATGTTGTGAGATGAAAGACGAGCCTGTATTCAAGCCACTGCAAGGAAATCCGGCCTCCTTTCAAGTTAGGGCTTCTCGCTGTATATTCCCCTTGAGGCAGCAAACTCGGGGTCCCTCCCACATACCTATTGCTGAGAGAAGCCTCCTCCTGAGGTGCTTCTGGGAAGTTGGCATACGTCTTGAGCCTAAGCCAGGGAATCAGCTCGCATCTCGAGACGATTTGGGGTACACGGAGCATTCCTCGAGTTGCTGTGCTGAAGTTGGTGTTCCTCTAGACTTGGGACAGTGTTCTCGGGGCATCTCTGGAGTTGCCTGAAGGAAGTCGAGCCACCGGTCGTGTTGAATGGGGAACGGGGAATGGCTCTGGAGTCAATGCAGGGGAATCGGGCCTCATCTCGAGTTGATTTGGGGCACATGGAGCTGCTTTGCGTTGCTGGGGTGACCTCAGGGTCCGTCTAGACTGGTGACAGTGTTCTTGGGGACTGTCTCGAGATCCATTAAGCAAGTCGAAGCTCCTGACTTGTTTGAATGGGGTCACGGAATAGCTCTGCATGCACTGCAGGGGAATGGGGCCTCATCTCGCCTCTAGGGGGAAGTCTCATGGTTTTTCTCGAGTTGCGGCGGGGACCTGGGGTATGTTCTCGACTTACGGCGGGGATGGCCCTTCAAAACACGAGTTTCTTCAGTGACGTCAGGACTCCTGTCTAGTAACGAGGGACACCTCAGGAATCTCTTCGAGGCTTGGCAGGGCCAAAGGGACGCTTCTCGAGGTGAGGCAGGGCACCCAAGGACCCTTTCCAGTAGCCACAGGGATTTTGGGATTCCTATCAGTATTCAAGAGGAGTCAGGCATCGTCACCTTTTGAAGCAATGAACTCCGCGTGCCTCTCGAGGTGTCAGCGGGATGTGAGGCATTCCGTCAAAATGAGGCAGGGACCTAGGGCTTTCTCTAAGGTCTCCACAGGGGATTCAGACATCCCTTCATGTTGTGAGATGAAAGACGAGCCTGTATTCAAGCCACTGCAAGGAAATCCGGCCTCCTTTCAAGTTAGGGCTTCTCGCTGTATATTCCCCTTGAGGCAGCAAACTCGGGGTCCCTCCCACATACCTATTGCTGAGAGAAGCCTCCTCCTGAGGTGCTTCTGGGAAGTTGGCATACGTCTTGAGCCTAAGCCAGGGAATCAGCTCGCATCTCGAGACGATTTGGGGTACACGGAGCATTCCTCGAGTTGCTGTGCTGAAGTTGGTGTTCCTCTAGACTTGGGACAGTGTTCTCGGGGCATCTCTGGAGTTGCCTGAAGGAAGTCGAGCCACCGGTCGTGTTGAATGGGGAACGGGGAATGGCTCTGGAGTCAATGCAGGGGAATCGGGCCTCATCTCGAGTTGATTTGGGGCACATGGAGCTGCTTTGCGTTGCTGGGGTGACCTCAGGGTCCGTCTAGACTGGTGACAGTGTTCTTGGGGACTGTCTCGAGATCCATTAAGCAAGTCGAAGCTCCTGACTTGTTTGAATGGGGTCACGGAATAGCTCTGCATGCACTGCAGGGGAATGGGGCCTCATCTCGCCTCTAGGGGGAAGTCTCGTGGTTTTCCTCGAGTTGCGGCGGGGACCTGGGGTATGTTCTCAACTTACGGCGGGGATGGCCCTTCAAAACACGAGTTTCTTCAGTGACGTCAGGACTCCTGTCTAGTAACGAGGGACACCTCAGGAATCTCTTCGAGGCTTGGCAGGGCCAAAGGGACGCTTCTCGAGGTGAGGCAGGGCACCCAAGGACCCTTTCCAGTAGCCACAGGGATTTTGGGATTCCTATCAGTATTCAAGAGGAGTCAGGCATCGTCACCTTTTGAAGCAATGAACTCCGCGTGCCTCTCGAGGTGTCAGCGGGATGTGAGGCATTCCGTCAAAATGAGGCAGGGACCTAGGGCTTTCTCTAAGGTCTCCACAGGGGATTCAGACATCCCTTCATGTTGTGAGATGAAAGACGAGCCTGTATTCAAGCCACTGCAAGGAAATCCGGCCTCCTTTCAAGTTAGGGCTTCTCGCTGTATATTCCCCTTGAGGCAGCAAACTCGGGGTCCCTCCCACATACCTATTGCTGAGAGAAGCCTCCTCCTGAGGTGCTTCTGGGAAGTTGGCATACGTCTTGAGCCTAAGCCAGGGAATCAGCTCGCATCTCGAGACGATTTGGGGTACACGGAGCATTCCTCGAGTTGCTGTGCTGAAGTTGCTGTTCCTCTAGACTTGGGACAGTGTTCTCGGGGCATCTCTGGAGTTGCCTGAAGGAAGTCGAGCCACCGGTCGTGTTGAATGGGGAACGGGGAATGGCTCTGGAGTCAATGCAGGGGAATCGGGCCTCATCTCGAGTTGATTTGGGGCACATGGAGCTGCTTTGCGTTGCTGGGGTGACCTCAGGGTCCGTCTAGACTGGTGACAGTGTTCTTGGGGACTGTCTCGAGATCCATTAAGCAAGTCGAAGCTCCTGACTTGTTTGAATGGGATCACGGAATAGCTCTGCATGCACTGCAGGGGAATGGGGCCTCATCTCGCCTCTAGGGGGAAGTCTCATGGTTTTTCTCGAGTTGCGGCGGGGACCTGGGGTATGTTCTCGACTTACGGCGGGGATGGCCCTTCAAAACACGAGTTTCTTCAGTGACGTCAGGACTCCTGTCTAGTAACGAGGGACACCTCAGGAATCTCTTCGAGGCTTGGCAGGGCCAAAGGGACGCTTCTCGAGGTGAGGCAGGGCACCCAAGGACCCTTTCCAGTAGCCACAGGGATTTTGGGATTCCTATCAGTATTCAAGAGGAGTCAGGCATCGTCACCTTTTGAAGCAATGAACTCCGCGTGCCTCTCGAGGTGTCAGCGGGATGTGAGGCATTCCGTCAAAATGAGGCAGGGACCTAGGGCTTTCTCTAAGGTCTCCACAGGGGATTCAGACATCCCTTCATGTTGTGAGATGAAAGACGAGCCTGTATTCAAGCCACTGCAAGGAAATCCGGCCTCCTTTCAAGTTAGGGCTTCTCGCTGTATATTCCCCTTGAGGCAGCAAACTCGGGGTCCCTCCCACATACCTATTGCTGAGAGAAGCCTCCTCCTGAGGTGCTTCTGGGAAGTTGGCATACGTCTTGAGCCTAAGCCAGGGAATCAGCTCGCATCTCGAGACGATTTGGGGTACACGGAGCATTCCTCGAGTTGCTGTGCTGAAGTTGCTGTTCCTCTAGACTTGGGACAGTGTTCTCGGGGCATCTCTGGAGTTGCCTGAAGGAAGTCGAGCCACCGGTCGTGTTGAATGGGGAACGGGGAATGGCTCTGGAGTCAATGCAGGGGAATCGGGCCTCATCTCGAGTTGATTTGGGGCACATGGAGCTGCTTTGCGTTGCTGGGGTGACCTCAGGGTCCGTCTAGACTGGTGACAGTGTTCTTGGGGACTGTCTCGAGATCCATTAAGCAAGTCGAAGCTCCTGACTTGTTTGAATGGGGTCACGGAATAGCTCTGCATGCACTGCAGGGGAATGGGGCCTCATCTCGCCTCTAGGGGGAAGTCTCGTGGTTTTCCTCGAGTTGCGGCGGGGACCTGGGGTATGTTCTCGACTTACGGCGGGGATGGCCCTTCAAAACACGAGTTTCTTCAGTGACGTCAGGACTCCTGTCTAGTAACGAGGGACACCTCAGGAATCTCTTCGAGGCTTGGCAGGGCCAAAGGGACGCTTCTCGAGGTGAGGCAGGGCACCCAAGGACCCTTTCCAGTAGCCACAGGGATTTTGGGATTCCTATCAGTATTCAAGAGGAGTCAGGCATCGTCACCTTTTGAAGCAATGAACTCCGCGTGCCTCTCGAGGTGTCAGCGGGATGTGAGGCATTCCGTCAAAATGAGGCAGGGACCTAGGGCTTTCTCTAAGGTCTCCACAGGGGATTCAGACATCCCTTCATGTTGTGAGATGAAAGACGAGCCTGTATTCAAGCCACTGCAAGGAAATCCGGCCTCCTTTCAAGTTAGGGCTTCTCGCTGCATCTTCCCCTTGAGGCAGCAAACTCGGGGTCCCTCCCACATACCTATTGCTGAGAGAAGCCTCCTCCTGAGGTGCTTCTGGGAAGTTGGCATACGTCTTGAGCCTAAGCCAGGGAATCAGCTCGCATCTCGAGACGATTTGGGGTACACGGAGCATTCCTCGAGTTGCTGTGCTGAAGTTGGTGTTCCTCTAGACTTGGGACAGTGTTCTCGGGGCATCTCTGGAGTTGCCTGAAGGAAGTCGAGCCACCGGTCGTGTTGAATGGGGAACGGGGAATGGCTCTGGAGTCAATGCAGGGGAATCGGGCCTCATCTCGAGTTGATTTGGGGCACATGGAGCTGCTTTGCGTTGCTGGGGTGACCTCAGGGTCCGTCTAGACTGGTGACAGTGTTCTTGGGGACTGTCTCGAGATCCATTAAGCAAGTCGAAGCTCCTGACTTGTTTGAATGGGATCACGGAATAGCTCTGCATGCACTGCAGGGGAATGGGGCCTCATCTCGCCTCTAGGGGGAAGTCTCATGGTTTTCCTCGAGTTGCGGCGGGGACCTGGGGTATGTTCTCGACTTACGGCGGGGATGGCCCTTCAAAACACGAGTTTCTTCAGTGACGTCAGGACTCCTGTCTAGTAACGAGGGACACCTCAGGAATCTCTTCGAGGCTTGGCAGGGCCAAAGGGACGCTTCTCGAGGTGAGGCAGGGCACCCAAGGACCCTTTCCAGTAGCCACAGGGATTTTGGGATTCCTATCAGTATTCAAGAGGAGTCAGGCATCGTCACCTTTTGAAGCAATGAACTCCGCGTGCCTCTCGAGGTGTCAGCGGGATGTGAGGCATTCCGTCAAAATGAGGCAGGGACCTAGGGCTTTCTCTAAGGTCTCCACAGGGGATTCAGACATCCCTTCATGTTGTGAGATAAAAGACGAGCCTGTATTCAAGCCACTGCAAGGAAATCCGGCCTCCTTTCAAGTTAGGGCTTCTCGCTGTATATTCCCCTTGAGGCAGCAAACTCGGGGTCCCTCCCACATACCTATTGCTGAGAGAAGCCTCCTCCTGAGGTGCTTCTGGGAAGTTGGCATACGTCTTGAGCCTAAGCCAGGGAATCAGCTCGCATCTCGAGACGATTTGGGGTACACGGAGCATTCCTCGAGTTGCTGTGCTGAAGTTGGTGTTCCTCTAGACTTGGGACAGTGTTCTCGGGGCATCTCTGGAGTTGCCTGAAGGAAGTCGAGCCACCGGTCGTGTTGAATGGGGAACGGGGAATGGCTCTGGAGTCAATGCAGGGGAATCGGGCCTCATCTCGAGTTGATTTGGGGCACATGGAGCTGCTTTGCGTTGCTGGGGTGACCTCAGGGTCCGTCTAGACTGGTGACAGTGTTCTTGGGGACTGTCTCGAGATCCATTAAGCAAGTCGAAGCTCCTGACTTGTTTGAATGGGGTCACGGAATAGCTCTGCATGCACTGCAGGGGAATGGGGCCTCATCTCGCCTCTAGGGGGAAGTCTCCTGGTTTTCCTCGAGTTGCGGCGGGGACCTGGGGTATGTTCTCGACTTACGGCGGGGATGGCCCTTCAAAACACGAGTTTCTTCAGTGATGTCAGGACTCCTGTCTAGTAACGAGGGACACCTCAGGAATCTCTTCGAGGCTTGGCAGGGCCAAAGGGACGCTTCTCGAGGTGAGGCAGGGCACCCAAGGACCCTTTCCAGTAGCCACAGGGATTTTGGGATTCCTATCAGTATTCAAGAGGAGTCAGGCATCGTCACCTTTTGAAGCAATGAACTCCGCGTGCCTCTCGAGGTGTCAGCGGGATGTGAGGCATTCCGTCAAAATGAGGCAGGGACCTAGGGCTTTCTCTAAGGTCTCCACAGGGGATTCAGACATCCCTTCATGTTGTGAGATGAAAGACGAGCCTGTATTCAAGCCACTGCAAGGAAATCCGGCCTCCTTTCAAGTTAGGGCTTCTCGCTGTATATTCCCCTTGAGGCAGCAAACTCGGGGTCCCTCCCACATACCTATTGCTGAGAGAAGCCTCCTCCTGACGTGCTTCTGGGAAGTTGGCATACGTCTTGAGCCTAAGCCAGGGAATCAGCTCGCCTCTCGAGACGATTTGGGGTACACGGAGCATTCCTCGAGTTGCTGTGCTGAAGTTGGTGTTCCTCTAGACTTGGGACAGTGTTCTCGGGGCATCTCTGGAGTTGCCTGAAGGAAGTCGAGCCACCGGTCGTGTTGAATGGGGAACGGGGAATGGCTCTGGAGTCAATGCAGGGGAATCGGGCCTCATCTCGAGTTGATTTGGGGCACATGGAGCTGCTTTGCGTTGCTGGGGTGACCTCAGGGTCCGTCTAGACTGGTGACAGTGCTCTTGGGGACTGTCTCGAGATCCATTAAGCAAGTCGAAGCTCCTGACTTGTTTGAATGGGATCACGGAATAGCTCTGCATGCACTGCAGGGGAATGGGGCCTCATCTCGCCTCTAGGGGGAAGTCTCATGGTTTTTCTCGAGTTGCGGCGGGGACCTGGGGTATGTTCTCGACTTACGGCGGGGATGGCCCTTCAAAACACGAGTTTCTTCAGTGACGTCAGGACTCCTGTCTAGTAACGAGGGACACCTCAGGAATCTCTTCGAGGCTTGGCAGGGCCAAAGGGACGCTTCTCGAGGTGAGGCAGGGCACCCAAGGACCCTTTCCAGTAGCCACAGGGATTTTGGGATTCCTATCAGTATTCAAGAGGAGTCAGGCATCGTCACCTTTTGAAGCAATGAACTCCGCGTGCCTCTCGAGGTGTCAGCGGGATGTGAGGCATTCCGTCAAAATGAGGCAGGGACCTAGGGCTTTCTCTAAGGTCTCCACAGGGGATTCAGACATCCCTTCATGTTGTGAGATGAAAGACGAGCCTGTATTCAAGCCACTGCAAGGAAATCCGGCCTCCTTTCAAGTTAGGGCTTCTCGCTGTATATTCCCCTTGAGGCAGCAAACTCGGGGTCCCTCCCACATACCTATTGCTGAGAGAAGCCTCCTCCTGAGGTGCTTCTGGGAAGTTGGCATACGTCTTGAGCCTAAGCCAGGGAATCAGCTCGCATCTCGAGACGATTTGGGGTACACGGAGCATTCCTCGAGTTGCTGTGCTGAAGTTGGTGTTCCTCTAGACTTGGGACAGTGTTCTCGGGGCATCTCTGGAGTTGCCTGAAGGAAGTCGAGCCACCGGTCGTGTTGAATGGGGAACGGGGAATGGCTCTGGAGTCAATGCAGGGGAATCGGGGCTCATCTCGAGTTGATTTGGGGCACATGGAGCTGCTTTGCGTTGCTGGGGTGACCTCAGGGTCCGTCTAGACTGGTGACAGTGTTCTTGGGGACTGTCTCGAGATCCATTAAGCAAGTCGAAGCTCCTGACTTGTTTGAATGGGGTCACGGAATAGCTCTGCATGCACTGCAGGGGAATGGGGCCTCATCTCGCCTCTAGGGGGAAGTCTCATGGTTTTTCTCGAGTTGCGGCGGGGACCTGGGGTATGTTCTCGACTTACGGCGGGGATGGCCCTTCAAAACACGAGTTTCTTCAGTGACGTCAGGACTCCTGTCTAGTAACGAGGGACACCTCAGGAATCTCTTCGAGGCTTGGCAGGGCCAAAGGGACGCTTCTCGAGGTGAGGCAGTGCACCCAAGGACCCTTTCCAGTAGCCACAGGGATTTTGGGATTCCTATCAGTATTCAAGAGGAGTCAGGCATCGTCACCTTTTGAAGCAATGAACTCCGCGTGCCTCTCGAGGTGTCAGCGGGATGTGAGGCATTCCGTCAAAATGAGGCAGGGACCTAGGGCTTTCTCTAAGGTCTCCACAGGGGATTCAGACATCCCTTCATGTTGTGAGATGAAAGACGAGCCTGTATTCAAGCCACTGCAAGGAAATCCGGCCTCCTTTCAAGTTAGGGCTTCTCGCTGTATATTCCCCTTGAGGCAGCAAACTCGGGGTCCCTCCCACATACCTATTGCTGAGAGAAGCCTCCTCCTGAGGTGCTTCTGGGAAGTTGGCATACGTCTTGAGCCTAAGCCAGGGAATCAGCTCGCATCTCGAGACGATTTGGGGTACACGGAGCATTCCTCGAGTTGCTGTGCTGAAGTTGGTGTTCCTCTAGACTTGGGACAGTGTTCTCGGGGCATCTCTGGAGTTGCCTGAAGGAAGTCGAGCCACCGGTCGTGTTGAATGGGGAACGGGGAATGGCTCTGGAGTCAATGCAGGGGAATCGGGCCTCATCTCGAGTTGATTTGGGGCACATGGAGCTGCTTTGCGTTGCTGGGGTGACCTCAGGGTCCGTCTAGACTGGTGACAGTGTTCTTGGGGACTGTCTCGAGATCCATTAAGCAAGTCGAAGCTCCTGACTTATTTGAATGGGGTCACGGAATAGCTCTGCATGCACTGCAGGGGAATGGGGCCTCATCTCGCCTCTAGGGGGAAGTCTCATGGTTTTTCTCGAGTTGCGGCGGGGACCTGGGGTATGTTCTCGACTTACGGCGGGGATGGCCCTTCAAAACACGAGTTTCTTCAGTGACGTCAGGACTCCTGTCTAGTAACGAGGGACACCTCAGGAATCTCTTCGAGGCTTGGCAGGGCCAAAGGGACGCTTCTCGAGGTGAGGCAGGGCACCCAAGGACCCTTTCCAGTAGCCACAGGGATTTTGGGATTCCTATCAGTATTCAAGAGGAGTCAGGCATCGTCACCTTTTGAAGCAATGAACTCCGCGTGCCTCTCGAGGTGTCAGCGGGATGTGAGGCATTCCGTCAAAATGAGGCAGGGACCTAGGGCTTTCTCTAAGGTCTCCACAGGGGATTCAGACATCCCTTCATGTTGTGAGATGAAAGACGAGCCTGTATTCAAGCCACTGCAAGGAAATCCGGCCTCCTTTCAAGTTAGGGCTTCTCGCTGTATATTCCCCTTGAGGCAGCAAACTCGGGGTCCCTCCCACATACCTATTGCTGAGAGAAGCCTCCTCCTGAGGTGCTTCTGGGAAGTTGGCATACGTCTTGAGCCTAAGCCAGGGAATCAGCTCGCCTCTCGAGACGATTTGGGGTACACGGAGCATTCCTCGAGTTGCTGTGCTGAAGTTGGTGTTCCTCTAGACTTGGGACAGTGTTCTCGGGGCATCACTGGAGTTGCCTGAAGGAAGTCGAGCCACCGGTCGTGTTGAATGGGGAACGGGGAATGGCTCTGGAGTCAATGCAGGGGAATCGGGCCTCATCTCGAGTTGATTTGGGGCACATGGAGCTGCTTTGCGTTGCTGGGGTGACCTCAGGGTCCGTCTAGACTGGTGACAGTGTTCTTGGGGACTGTCTCGAGATCCATTAAGCAAGTCGAAGCTCCTGACTTGTTTGAATGGGATCACGGAATAGCTCTGCATGCACTGCAGGGGAATGGGGCCTCATCTCGCCTCTAGGGGGAAGTCTCATGGTTTTTCTCGAGTTGCGGCGGGGACCTGGGGTATGTTCTCGACTTACGGCGGGGATGGCCCTTCAAAACACGAGTTTCTTCAGTGACGTCAGGACTCCTGTCTAGTAACGAGGGACACCTCAGGAATCTCTTCGAGGCTTGGCAGGGCCAAAGGGACGCTTCTCGAGGTGAGGCAGGGCACCCAAGGACCCTTTCCAGTAGCCACAGGGATTTTGGGATTCCTATCAGTATTCAAGAGGAGTCAGGCATCGTCACCTTTTGAAGCAATGAACTCCGCGTGCCTCTCGAGGTGTCAGCGGGATGTGAGGCATTCCGTCAAAATGAGGCAGGGACCTAGGGCTTTCTCTAAGGTCTCCACAGGGGATTCAGACATCCCTTCATGTTGTGAGATGAAAGACGAGCCTGTATTCAAGCCACTGCAAGGAAATCCGGCCTCCTTTCAAGTTAGGGCTTCTCGCTGTATATTCCCCTTGAGGCAGCAAACTCGGGGTCCCTCCCACATACCTATTGCTGAGAGAAGCCTCCTCCTGAGGTGCTTCTGGGAAGTTGGCATACGTCTTGAGCCTAAGCCAGGGAATCAGCTCGCATCTCGAGACGATTTGGGGTACACAGAGCATTCCTCGAGTTGCTGTGCTGAAGTTGGTGTTCCTCTAGACTTGGGACAGTGTTCTCGGGGCATCTCTGGAGTTGCCTGAAGGAAGTCGAGCCACCGGTCGTGTTGAATGGGGAACGGGGAATGGCTCTGGAGTCAATGCAGGGGAATCGGGCCTCATCTCGAGTTGATTTGGGGCACATGGAGCTGCTTTGCGTTGCTGGGGTGACCTCAGGGTCCGTCTAGACTGGTGACAGTGTTCTTGGGGACTGTCTCGAGATCCATTAAGCAAGTCGAAGCTCCTGACTTGTTTGAATGGGGTCACGGAATAGCTCTGCATGCACTGCAGGGGAATGGGGCCTCATCTCGCCTCTAGGGGGAAGTCTCGTGGTTTTTCTCGAGTTGCGGCGGGGACCTGGGGTATGTTCTCGACTTACGGCGGGGATGGCCCTTCAAAACACGAGTTTCTTCAGTGACGTCAGGACTCCTGTCTAGTAACGAGGGACACCTCAGGAATCTCTTCGAGGCTTGGCAGGGCCAAAGGGACGCTTCTCGAGGTGAGGCAGGGCACCCAAGGACCCTTTCCAGTAGCCACAGGGATTTTGGGATTCCTATCAGTATTCAAGAGGAGTCAGGCATCGTCACCTTTTGAAGCAATGAACTCCGCGTGCCTCTCGAGGTGTCAGCGGGATGTGAGGCATTCCGTCAAAATGAGGCAGGGACCTAGGGCTTTCTCTAAGGTCTCCACAGGGGATTCAGACATCCCTTCATGTTGTGAGATGAAAGACGAGCCTGTATTCAAGCCACTGCAAGGAAATCCGGCCTCCTTTCAAGTTAGGGCTTCTCGCTGTATATTCCCCTTGAGGCAGCAAACTCGGGGTCCCTCCCACATACCTATTGCTGAGAGAAGCCTCCTCCTGAGGTGCTTCTGGGAAGTTGGCATACGTCTTGAGCCTAAGCCAGGGAATCAGCTCGCATCTCGAGACGATTTGGGGTACACGGAGCATTCCTCGAGTTGCTGTGCTGAAGTTGCTGTTCCTCTAGACTTGGGACAGTGTTCTCGGGGCATCTCTGGAGTTGCCTGAAGGAAGTCGAGCCACCGGTCGTGTTGAATGGGGAACGGGGAATGGCTCTGGAGTCAATGCAGGGGAATCGGGCCTCATCTCGAGTTGATTTGGGGCACATGGAGCTGCTTTGCGTTGCTGGGGTGACCTCAGGGTCCGTCTAGACTGGTGACAGTGTTCTTGGGGACTGTCTCGAGATCCATTAAGCAAGTCGAAGCTCCTGACTTGTTTGAATGGGATCACGGAATAGCTCTGCATGCACTGCAGGGGAATGGGGCCTCATCTCGCCTCTAGGGGGAAGTCTCATGGTTTTTCTCGAGTTGCGGCGGGGACCTGGGGTATGTTCTCGACTTACGGCGGGGATGGCCCTTCAAAACACGAGTTTCTTCAGTGACGTCAGGACTCCTGTCTAGTAACGAGGGACACCTCAGGAATCTCTTCGAGGCTTGGCAGGGCCAAAGGGACGCTTCTCGAGGTGAGGCAGGGCACCCAAGGACCCTTTCCAGTAGCCACAGGGATTTTGGGATTCCTATCAGTATTCAAGAGGAGTCAGGCATCGTCACCTTTTGAAGCAATGAACTCCGCGTGCCTCTCGAGGTGTCAGCGGGATGTGAGGCATTCCGTCAAAATGAGGCAGGGACCTAGGGCTTTCTCTAAGGTCTCCACAGGGGATTCAGACATCCCTTCATGTTGTGAGATGAAAGACGAGCCTGTATTCAAGCCACTGCAAGGAAATCCGGCCTCCTTTCAAGTTAGGGCTTCTCGCTGTATATTCCCCTTGAGGCAGCAAACTCGGGGTCCCTCCCACATACCTATTGCTGAGAGGAGCCTCCTCCTGAGGTGCTTCTGGGAAGTTGGCATACGTCTTGAGCCTAAGCCAGGGAATCAGCTCGCATCTCGAGACGATTTGGGGTACACGGAGCATTCCTCGAGTTGCTGTGCTGAAGTTGGTGTTCCTCTAGACTTGGGACAGTGTTCTCGGGGCATCTCTGGAGTTGCCTGAAGGAAGTCGAGCCACCGGTCGTGTTGAATGGGGAACGGGGAATGGCTCTGGAGTCAATGCAGGGGAATCGGGCCTCATCTCGAGTTGATTTGGGGCACATGGAGCTGCTTTGCGTTGCTGGGGTGACCTCAGGGTCCGTCTAGACTGGTGACAGTGTTCTTGGGGACTGTCTCGAGATCCATTAAGCAAGTCGAAGCTCCTGACTTGTTTGAATGGGGTCACGGAATAGCTCTGCATGCACTGCAGGGGAATGGGGCCTCATCTCGCCTCTAGGGGGAAGTCTCGTGGTTTTTCTCGAGTTGCGGCGGGGACCTGGGGTATGTTCTCGACTTACGGCGGGGATGGCCCTTCAAAACACGAGTTTCTTCAGTGACGTCAGGACTCCTGTCTAGTAACGAGGGACACCTCAGGAATCTCTTCGAGGCTTGGCAGGGCCAAAGGGACGCTTCTCGAGGTGAGGCAGGGCACCCAAGGACCCTTTCCAGTAGCCACAGGGATTTTGGGATTCCTATCAGTATTCAAGAGGAGTCAGGCATCGTCACCTTTTGAAGCAATGAACTCCGCGTGCCTCTCGAGGTGTCAGCGGGATGTGAGGCATTCCGTCAAAATGAGGCAGGGACCTAGGGCTTTCTCTAAGGTCTCCACAGGGGATTCAGACATCCCTTCATGTTGTGAGATGAAAGACGAGCCTGTATTCAAGCCACTGCAAGGAAATCCGGCCTCCTTTCAAGTTAGGGCTTCTCGCTGTATATTCCCCTTGAGGCAGCAAACTCGGGGTCCCTCCCACATACCTATTGCTGAGAGGAGCCTCCTCCTGAGGTGCTTCTGGGAAGTTGGCATACGTCTTGAGCCTAAGCCAGGGAATCAGCTCGCATCTCGAGACGATTTGGGGTACACGGAGCATTCCTCGAGTTGCTGTGCTGAAGTTGCTGTTCCTCTAGACTTGGGACAGTGTTCTCGGGGCATCTCTGGAGTTGCCTGAAGGAAGTCGAGCCACCGGTCGTGTTGAATGGGGAATGGGGAATGGCTCTGGAGTCAATGCAGGGGAATCGGGCCTCATCTCGAGTTGATTTGGGGCACATGGAGCTGCTTTGCGTTGCTGGGGTGACCTCAGGGTCCGTCTAGACTGGTGACAGTGTTCTTGGGGACTGTCTCGAGATCCATTAAGCAAGTCGAAGCTCCTGACTTGTTTGAATGGGATCACGGAATAGCTCTGCATGCACTGCAGGGGAATGGGGCCTCATCTCGCCTCTAGGGGGAAGTCTCATGGTTTTTCTCGAGTTGCGGCGGGGACCTGGGGTATGTTCTCGACTTACGGCGGGGATGGCCCTTCAAAACACGAGTTTCTTCAGTGACGTCAGGACTCCTGTCTAGTAACGAGGGACACCTCAGGAATCTCTTCGAGGCTTGGCAGGGCCAAAGGGACGCTTCTCGAGGTGAGGCAGGGCACCCAAGGACCCTTTCCAGTAGCCACAGGGATTTTGGGATTCCTATCAGTATTCAAGAGGAGTCAGGCATCGTCACCTTTTGAAGCAATGAACTCCGCGTGCCTCTCGAGGTGTCAGCGGGATGTGAGGCATTCCGTCAAAATGAGGCAGGGACCTAGGGCTTTCTCTAAGGTCTCCACAGGGGATTCAGACATCCCTTCATGTTGTGAGATGAAAGACGAGCCTGTATTCAAGCCACTGCAAGGAAATCCGGCCTCCTTTCAAGTTAGGGCTTCTCGCTGTATATTCCCCTTGAGGCAGCAAACTCGGGGTCCCTCCCACATACCTATTGCTGAGAGAAGCCTCCTCCTGAGGTGCTTCTGGGAAGTTGGCATACGTCTTGAGCCTAAGCCAGGGAATCAGCTCGCATCTCGAGACGATTTGGGGTACACGGAGCATTCCTCGAGTTGCTGTGCTGAAGTTGGTGTTCCTCTAGACTTGGGACAGTGTTCTCGGGGCATCTCTGGAGTTGCCTGAAGGAAGTCGAGCCACCGGTCGTGTTGAATGGGGAACGGGGAATGGCTCTGGAGTCAATGCAGGGGAATCGGGCCTCATCTCGAGTTGATTTGGGGCACATGGAGCTGCTTTGCGTTGCTGGGGTGACCTCAGGGTCCGTCTAGACTGGTGACAGTGTTCTTGGGGACTGTCTCGAGATCCATTAAGCAAGTCGAAGCTCCTGACTTGTTTGAATGGGGTCACGGAATAGCTGTGCATGCACTGCAGGGGAATGGGGCCTCATCTCGCCTCTAGGGGGAAGTCTCATGGTTTTTCTCGAGTTGCGGCGGGGACCTGGGGTATGTTCTCGACTTACGGCGGGGATGGCCCTTCAAAACACGAGTTTCTTCAGTGACGTCAGGACTCCTGTCTAGTAACGAGGGACACCTCAGGAATCTCTTCGAGGCTTGGCAGGGCCAAAGGGACGCTTCTCGAGGTGAGGCAGGGCACCCAAGGACCCTTTCCAGTAGCCACAGGGATTTTGGGATTCCTATCAGTATTCAAGAGGAGTCAGGCATCGTCACCTTTTGAAGCAATGAACTCCGCGTGCCTCTCGAGGTGTCAGCGGGATGTGAGGCATTCCGTCAAAATGAGGCAGGGACCTAGGGCTTTCTCTAAGGTCTCCACAGGGGATTCAGACATCCCTTCATGTTGTGAGATGAAAGACGAGCCTGTATTCAAGCCACTGCAAGGAAATCCGGCCTCCTTTCAAGTTAGGGCTTCTCGCTGTATATTCCCCTTGAGGCAGCAAACTCGGGGTCCCTCCCACATACCTATTGCTGAGAGAAGCCTCCTCCTGAGGTGCTTCTGGGAAGTTGGCATACGTCTTGAGCCTAAGCCAGGGAATCAGCTCGCATCTCGAGACGATTTGGGGTACACGGAGCATTCCTCGAGTTGCTGTGCTGAAGTTGGTGTTCCTCTAGACTTGGGACAGTGTTCTCGGGGCATCTCTGGAGTTGCCTGAAGGAAGTCGAGCCACCGGTCGTGTTGAATGGGGAACGGGGAATGGCTCTGGAGTCAATGCAGGGGAATCGGGCCTCATCTCGAGTTGATTTGGGGCACATGGAGCTGCTTTGCGTTGCTGGGGTGACCTCAGGGTCCGTCTAGACTGGTGACAGTGTTCTTGGGGACTGTCTCGAGATCCATTAAGCAAGTCGAAGCTCCTGACTTGTTTGAATGGGGTCACGGAATAGCTCTGCATGCACTGCAGGGGAATGGGGCCTCATCTCGCCTCTAGGGGGAAGTCTCATGGTTTTTCTCGAGTTGCGGCGGGGACCTGGGGTATGTTCTCGACTTACGGCGGGGATGGCCCTTCAAAACACGAGTTTCTTCAGTGACGTCAGGACTCCTGTCTAGTAACGAGGGACACCTCAGGAATCTCTTCGAGGCTTGGCAGGGCCAAAGGGACGCTTCTCGAGGTGAGGCAGGGCACCCAAGGACCCTTTCCAGTAGCCACAGGGATTTTGGGATTCCTATCAGTATTCAAGAGGAGTCAGGCATCGTCACCTTTTGAAGCAATGAACTCCGCGTGCCTCTCGAGGTGTCAGCGGGATGTGAGGCATTCCGTCAAAATGAGGCAGGGACCTAGGGCTTTCTCTAAGGTCTCCACAGGGGATTCAGACATCCCTTCATGTTGTGAGATGAAAGATGAGCCTGTATTCAAGCCACTGCAAGGAAATCCGGCCTCCTTTCAAGTTAGGGCTTCTCGCTGTATATTCCCCTTGAGGCAGCAAACTCGGGGTCCCTCCCACATACCTATTGCTGAGAGGAGCCTCCTCCTGAGGTGCTTCTGGGAAATTGGCATACGTCTTGAGCCTAAGCCAGGGAATCAGCTCGCATCTCGAGACGATTTGGGGTACACGGAGCATTCCTCGAGTTGCTGTGCTGAAGTTGGTGTTCCTCTAGACTTGGGACAGTGTTCTCGGGGCATCTCTGGAGTTGCCTGAAGGAAGTCGAGCCACCGGTCGTGTTGAATGGGGAACGGGGAATGGCTCTGGAGTCAATGCAGGGGAATCGGGCCTCATCTCGAGTTGATTTGGGGCACATGGAGCTGCTTTGCGTTGCTGGGGTGACCTCAGGGTCCGTCTAGACTGGTGACAGTGTTCTTGGGGACTGTCTCGAGATCCATTAAGCAAGTCGAAGCTCCTGACTTGTTTGAATGGGATCACGGAATAGCTCTGCATGCACTGCAGGGGAATGGGGCCTCATCTCGCCTCTAGGGGGAAGTCTCATGGTTTTCCTCGAGTTGCGGCGGGGACCTGGGGTATGTTCTCGACTTACGGCGGGGATGGCCCTTCAAAACACGAGTTTCTTCAGTGACGTCAGGACTCCTGTCTAGTAACGAGGGACACCTCAGGAATCTCTTCGAGGCTTGGCAGGGCCAAAGGGACGCTTCTCGAGGTGAGGCAGGGCACCCAAGGACCCTTTCCAGTAGCCACAGGGATTTTGGGATTCCTATCAGTATTCAAGAGGAGTCAGGCATCGTCACCTTTTGAAGCAATGAACTCCGCGTGCCTCTCGAGGTGTCAGCGGGATGTGAGGCATTCCGTCAAAATGAGGCAGGGACCTAGGGCTTTCTCTAAGGTCTCCACAGGGGATTCAGACATCCCTTCATGTTGTGAGATAAAAGACGAGCCTGTATTCAAGCCACTGCAAGGAAATCCGGCCTCCTTTCAAGTTAGGGCTTCTCGCTGTATATTCCCCTTGAGGCAGCAAACTCGGGGTCCCTCCCACATACCTATTGCTGAGAGAAGCCTCCTCCTGAGGTGCTTCTGGGAAGTTGGCATACGTCTTGAGCCTAAGCCAGGGAATCAGCTCGCATCTCGAGACGATTTGGGGTACACGGAGCATTCCTCGAGTTGCTGTGCTGAAGTTGCTGTTCCTCTAGACTTGGGACAGTGTTCTCGGGGCATCTCTGGAGTTGCCTGAAGGAAGTCGAGCCACCGGTCGTGTTGAATGGGGAACGGGGAATGGCTCTGGAGTCAATGCAGGGGAATCGGGCCTCATCTCGAGTTGATTTGGGGCACATGGAGCTGCTTTGCGTTGCTGGGGTGACCTCAGGGTCCGTCTAGACTGGTGACAGTGTTCTTGGGGACTGTCTCGAGATCCATTAAGCAAGTCGAAGCTCCTGACTTGTTTGAATGGGGTCACGGAATAGCTCTGCATGCACTGCAGGGGAATGGGGCCTCATCTAGCCTCTGGGGGGAAGTCTCCTGGTTTTCCTCGAGTTGCGGCGGGGACCTGGGGTATGTTCTCGACTTACGGCGGGGATGGCCCTTCAAAACACGAGTTTCTTCAGTGATGTCAGGACTCCTGTCTAGTAACGAGGGACACCTCAGGAATCTCTTCGAGGCTTGGCAGGGCCAAAGGGACGCTTCTCGAGGTGAGGCAGGGCACCCAAGGACCCTTTCCAGTAGCCACAGGGATTTTGGGATTCCTATCAGTATTCAAGAGGAGTCAGGCATCGTCACCTTTTGAAGCAATGAACTCCGCGTGCCTCTCGAGGTGTCAGCGGGATGTGAGGCATTCCGTCAAAATGAGGCAGGGACCTAGGGCTTTCTCTAAGGTCTCCACAGGGGATTCAGACATCCCTTCATGTTGTGAGATGAAAGACGAGCCTGTATTCAAGCCACTGCAAGGAAATCCGGCCTCCTTTCAAGTTAGGGCTTCTCGCTGTATATTCCCCTTGAGGCAGCAAACTCGGGGTCCCTCCCACATACCTATTGCTGAGAGAAGCCTCCTCCTGACGTGCTTCTGGGAAGTTGGCATACGTCTTGAGCCTAAGCCAGGGAATCAGCTCGCCTCTCGAGACGATTTGGGGTACACGGAGCATTCCTCGAGTTGCTGTGCTGAAGTTGGTGTTCCTCTAGACTTGGGACAGTGTTCTCGGGGCATCTCTGGAGTTGCCTGAAGGAAGTCGAGCCACCGGTCGTGTTGAATGGGGAACGGGGAATGGCTCTGGAGTCAATGCAGGGGAATCGGGCCTCATCTCGAGTTGATTTGGGGCACATGGAGCTGCTTTGCGTTGCTGGGGTGACCTCAGGGTCCGTCTAGACTGGTGACAGTGCTCTTGGGGACTGTCTCGAGATCCATTAAGCAAGTCGAAGCTCCTGACTTGTTTGAATGGGATCACGGAATAGCTCTGCATGCACTGCAGGGGAATGGGGCCTCATCTCGCCTCTAGGGGGAAGTCTCATGGTTTTTCTCGAGTTGCGGCGGGGACCTGGGGTATGTTCTCGACTTACGGCGGGGATGGCCCTTCAAAACACGAGTTTCTTCAGTGACGTCAGGACTCCTGTCTAGTAACGAGGGACACCTCAGGAATCTCTTCGAGGCTTGGCAGGGCCAAAGGGACGCTTCTCGAGGTGAGGCAGGGCACCCAAGGACCCTTTCCAGTAGCCACAGGGATTTTGGGATTCCTATCAGTATTCAAGAGGAGTCAGGCATCGTCACCTTTTGAAGCAATGAACTCCGCGTGCCTCTCGAGGTGTCAGCGGGATGTGAGGCATTCCGTCAAAATGAGGCAGGGACCTAGGGCTTTCTCTAAGGTCTCCACAGGGGATTCAGACATCCCTTCATGTTGTGAGATGAAAGACGAGCCTGTATTCAAGCCACTGCAAGGAAATCCGGCCTCCTTTCAAGTTAGGGCTTCTCGCTGTATATTCCCCTTGAGGCAGCAAACTCGGGGTCCCTCCCACATACCTATTGCTGAGAGAAGCCTCCTCCTGAGGTGCTTCTGGGAAGTTGGCATACGTCTTGAGCCTAAGCCAGGGAATCAGCTCGCATCTCGAGACGATTTGGGGTACACGGAGCATTCCTCGAGTTGCTGTGCTGAAGTTGGTGTTCCTCTAGACTTGGGACAGTGTTCTCGGGGCATCTCTGGAGTTGCCTGAAGGAAGTCGAGCCACCGGTCGTGTTGAATGGGGAACGGGGAATGGCTCTGGAGTCAATGCAGGGGAATCGGGGCTCATCTCGAGTTGATTTGGGGCACATGGAGCTGCTTTGCGTTGCTGGGGTGACCTCAGGGTCCGTCTAGACTGGTGACAGTGTTCTTGGGGACTGTCTCGAGATCCATTAAGCAAGTCGAAGCTCCTGACTTGTTTGAATGGGGTCACGGAATAGCTCTGCATGCACTGCAGGGGAATGGGGCCTCATCTCGCCTCTAGGGGGAAGTCTCATGGTTTTTCTCGAGTTGCGGCGGGGACCTGGGGTATGTTCTCGACTTACGGCGGGGATGGCCCTTCAAAACACGAGTTTCTTCAGTGACGTCAGGACTCCTGTCTAGTAACGAGGGACACCTCAGGAATCTCTTCGAGGCTTGGCAGGGCCAAAGGGACGCTTCTCGAGGTGAGGCAGGGCACCCAAGGACCCTTTCCAGTAGCCACAGGGATTTTGGGATTCCTATCAGTATTCAAGAGGAGTCAGGCATCGTCACCTTTTGAAGCAATGAACTCCGCGTGCCTCTCGAGGTGTCAGCGGGATGTGAGGCATTCCGTCAAAATGAGGCAGGGACCTAGGGCTTTCTCTAAGGTCTCCACAGGGGATTCAGACATCCCTTCATGTTGTGAGATGAAAGACGAGCCTGTATTCAAGCCACTGCAAGGAAATCCGGCCTCCTTTCAAGTTAGGGCTTCTCGCTGTATATTCCCCTTGAGGCAGCAAACTCGGGGTCCCTCCCACATACCTATTGCTGAGAGAAGCCTCCTCCTGAGGTGCTTCTGGGAAGTTGGCATACGTCTTGAGCCTAAGCCAGGGAATCAGCTCGCATCTCGAGACGATTTGGGGTACACGGAGCATTCCTCGAGTTGCTGTGCTGAAGTTGGTGTTCCTCTAGACTTGGGACAGTGTTCTCGGGGCATCTCTGGAGTTGCCTGAAGGAAGTCGAGCCACCGGTCGTGTTGAATGGGGAACGGGGAATGGCTCTGGAGTCAATGCAGGGGAATCGGGGCTCATCTCGAGTTGATTTGGGGCACATGGAGCTGCTTTGCGTTGCTGGGGTGACCTCAGGGTCCGTCTAGACTGGTGACAGTGTTCTTGGGGACTGTCTCGAGATCCATTAAGCAAGTCGAAGCTCCTGACTTGTTTGAATGGGGTCACGGAATAGCTCTGCATGCACTGCAGGGGAATGGGGCCTCATCTCGCCTCTAGGGGGAAGTCTCGTGGTTTTCCTCGAGTTGCGGCGGGGACCTGGGGTATGTTCTCGACTTACGGCGGGGATGGCCCTTCAAAACACGAGTTTCTTCAGTGACGTCAGGACTCCTGTCTAGTAACGAGGGACACCTCAGGAATCTCTTCGAGGCTTGGCAGGGCCAAAGGGACGCTTCTCGAGGTGAGGCAGGGCACCCAAGGACCCTTTCCAGTAGCCACAGGGATTTTGGGATTCCTATCAGTATTCAAGAGGAGTCAGGCATCGTCACCTTTTGAAGCAATGAACTCCGCGTGCCTCTCGAGGTGTCAGCGGGATGTGAGGCATTCCGTCAAAATGAGGCAGGGACCTAGGGCTTTCTCTAAGGTCTCCACAGGGGATTCAGACATCCCTTCATGTTGTGAGATGAAAGACGAGCCTGTATTCAAGCCACTGCAAGGAAATCCGGCCTCCTTTCAAGTTAGGGCTTCTCGCTGTATATTCCCCTTGAGGCAGCAAACTCGGGGTCCCTCCCACATACCTATTGCTGAGAGAAGCCTCCTCCTGAGGTGCTTCTGGGAAGTTGGCATACGTCTTGAGCCTAAGCCAGGGAATCAGCTCGCATCTCGAGACGATTTGGGGTACACGGAGCATTCCTCGAGTTGCTGTGCTGAAGTTGGTGTTCCTCTAGACTTGGGACAGTGTTCTCGGGGCATCTCTGGAGTTGCCTGAAGGAAGTCGAGCCACCGGTCGTGTTGAATGGGGAACGGGGAATGGCTCTGGAGTCAATGCAGGGGAATCGGGCCTCATCTCGAGTTGATTTGGGGCACATGGAGCTGCTTTGCGTTGCTGGGGTGACCTCAGGGTCCGTCTAGACTGGTGACAGTGTTCTTGGGGACTGTCTCGAGATCCATTAAGCAAGTCGAAGCTCCTGACTTATTTGAATGGGGTCACGGAATAGCTCTGCATGCACTGCAGGGGAATGGGGCCTCATCTCGCCTCTAGGGGGAAGTCTCATGGTTTTTCTCGAGTTGCGGCGGGGACCTGGGGTATGTTCTCGACTTACGGCGGGGATGGCCCTTCAAAACACGAGTTTCTTCAGTGACGTCAGGACTCCTGTCTAGTAACGAGGGACACCTCAGGAATCTCTTCGAGGCTTGGCAGGGCCAAAGGGACGCTTCTCGAGGTGAGGCAGGGCACCCAAGGACCCTTTCCAGTAGCCACAGGGATTTTGGGATTCCTATCAGTATTCAAGAGGAGTCAGGCATCGTCACCTTTTGAAGCAATGAACTCCGCGTGCCTCTCGAGGTGTCAGCGGGATGTGAGGCATTCCGTCAAAATGAGGCAGGGACCTAGGGCTTTCTCTAAGGTCTCCACAGGGGATTCAGACATCCCTTCATGTTGTGAGATGAAAGACGAGCCTGTATTCAAGCCACTGCAAGGAAATCCGGCCTCCTTTCAAGTTAGGGCTTCTCGCTGTATATTCCCCTTGAGGCAGCAAACTCGGGGTCCCTCCCACATACCTATTGCTGAGAGAAGCCTCCTCCTGAGGTGCTTCTGGGAAGTTGGCATACGTCTTGAGCCTAAGCCAGGGAATCAGCTCGCCTCTCGAGACGATTTGGGGTACACGGAGCATTCCTCGAGTTGCTGTGCTGAAGTTGGTGTTCCTCTAGACTTGGGACAGTGTTCTCGGGGCATCACTGGAGTTGCCTGAAGGAAGTCGAGCCACCGGTCGTGTTGAATGGGGAACGGGGAATGGCTCTGGAGTCAATGCAGGGGAATCGGGCCTCATCTCGAGTTGATTTGGGGCACATGGAGCTGCTTTGCGTTGCTGGGGTGACGTCAGGGTCCGTCTAGACTGGTGACAGTGTTCTTGGGGACTGTCTCGAGATCCATTAAGCAAGTCGAAGCTCCTGACTTGTTTGAATGGGATCACGGAATAGCTCTGCATGCACTGCAGGGGAATGGGGCCTCATCTCGCCTCTAGGGGGAAGTCTCATGGTTTTTCTCGAGTTGCGGCGGGGACCTGGGGTATGTTCTCGACTTACGGCGGGGATGGCCCTTCAAAACACGAGTTTCTTCAGTGACGTCAGGACTCCTGTCTAGTAACGAGGGACACCTCAGGAATCTCTTCGAGGCTTGGCAGGGCCAAAGGGACGCTTCTCGAGGTGAGGCAGGGCACCCAAGGACCCTTTCCAGTAGCCACAGGGATTTTGGGATTCCTATCAGTATTCAAGAGGAGTCAGGCATCGTCACCTTTTGAAGCAATGAACTCCGCGTGCCTCTCGAGGTGTCAGCGGGATGTGAGGCATTCCGTCAAAATGAGGCAGGGACCTAGGGCTTTCTCTAAGGTCTCCACAGGGGATTCAGACATCCCTTCATGTTGTGAGATGAAAGACGAGCCTGTATTCAAGCCACTGCAAGGAAATCCGGCCTCCTTTCAAGTTAGGGCTTCTCGCTGTATATTCCCCTTGAGGCAGCAAACTCGGGGTCCCTCCCACATACCTATTGCTGAGAGAAGCCTCCTCCTGAGGTGCTTCTGGGAAGTTGGCATACGTCTTGAGCCTAAGCCAGGGAATCAGCTCGCATCTCGAGACGATTTGGGGTACACAGAGCATTCCTCGAGTTGCTGTGCTGAAGTTGGTGTTCCTCTAGACTTGGGACAGTGTTCTCGGGGCATCTCTGGAGTTGCCTGAAGGAAGTCGAGCCACCGGTCGTGTTGAATGGGGAACGGGGAATGGCTCTGGAGTCAATGCAGGGGAATCGGGCCTCATCTCGAGTTGATTTGGGGCACATGGAGCTGCTTTGCGTTGCTGGGGTGACCTCAGGGTCCGTCTAGACTGGTGACAGTGTTCTTGGGGACTGTCTCGAGATCCATTAAGCAAGTCGAAGCTCCTGACTTGTTTGAATGGGGTCACGGAATAGCTCTGCATGCACTGCAGGGGAATGGGGCCTCATCTCGCCTCTAGGGGGAAGTCTCGTGGTTTTTCTCGAGTTGCGGCGGGGACCTGGGGTATGTTCTCGACTTACGGCGGGGATGGCCCTTCAAAACACGAGTTTCTTCAGTGACGTCAGGACTCCTGTCTAGTAACGAGGGACACCTCAGGAATCTCTTCGAGGCTTGGCAGGGCCAAAGGGACGCTTCTCGAGGTGAGGCAGGGCACCCAAGGACCCTTTCCAGTAGCCACAGGGATTTTGGGATTCCTATCAGTATTCAAGAGGAGTCAGGCATCGTCACCTTTTGAAGCAATGAACTCCGCGTGCCTCTCGAGGTGTCAGCGGGATGTGAGGCATTCCGTCAAAATGAGGCAGGGACCTAGGGCTTTCTCTAAGGTCTCCACAGGGGATTCAGACATCCCTTCATGTTGTGAGATGAAAGACGAGCCTGTATTCAAGCCACTGCAAGGAAATCCGGCCTCCTTTCAAGTTAGGGCTTCTCGCTGTATATTCCCCTTGAGGCAGCAAACTCGGGGTCCCTCCCACATACCTATTGCTGAGAGGAGCCTCCTCCTGAGGTGCTTCTGGGAAGTTGGCATACGTCTTGAGCCTAAGCCAGGGAATCAGCTCGCATCTCGAGACGATTTGGGGTACACGGAGCATTCCTCGAGTTGCTGTGCTGAAGTTGGTGTTCCTCTAGACTTGGGACAGTGTTCTCGGGGCATCTCTGGAGTTGCCTGAAGGAAGTCGAGCCACCGGTCGTGTTGAATGGGGAACGGGGAATGGCTCTGGAGTCAATGCAGGGGAATCGGGCCTCATCTCGAGTTGATTTGGGGCACATGGAGCTGCTTTGCGTTGCTGGGGTGACCTCAGGGTCCGTCTAGACTGGTGACAGTGTTCTTGGGGACTGTCTCGAGATCCATTAAGCAAGTCGAAGCTCCTGACTTGTTTGAATGGGGTCACGGAATAGCTCTGCATGCACTGCAGGGGAATGGGGCCTCATCTCGCCTCTAGGGGGAAGTCTCGTGGTTTTTCTCGAGTTGCGGCGGGGACCTGGGGTATGTTCTCGACTTACGGCGGGGATGGCCCTTCAAAACACGAGTTTCTTCAGTGACGTCAGGACTCCTGTCTAGTAACGAGGGACACCTCAGGAATCTCTTCGAGGCTTGGCAGGGCCAAAGGGACGCTTCTCGAGGTGAGGCAGGGCACCCAAGGACCCTTTCCAGTAGCCACAGGGATTTTGGGATTCCTATCAGTATTCAAGAGGAGTCAGGCATCGTCACCTTTTGAAGCAATGAACTCCGCGTGCCTCTCGAGGTGTCAGCGGGATGTGAGGCATTCCGTCAAAATGAGGCAGGGACCTAGGGCTTTCTCTAAGGTCTCCACAGGGGATTCAGACATCCCTTCATGTTGTGAGATGAAAGACGAGCCTGTATTCAAGCCACTGCAAGGAAATCCGGCCTCCTTTCAAGTTAGGGCTTCTCGCTGTATATTCCCCTTGAGGCAGCAAACTCGGGGTCCCTCCCACATACCTATTGCTGAGAGAAGCCTCCTCCTGAGGTGCTTCTGGGAAGTTGGCATACGTCTTGAGCCTAAGCCAGGGAATCAGCTCGCATCTCGAGACGATTTGGGGTACACGGAGCATTCCTCGAGTTGCTGTGCTGAAGTTGGTGTTCCTCTAGACTTGGGACAGTGTTCTCGGGGCATCTCTGGAGTTGCCTGAAGGAAGTCGAGCCACCGGTCGTGTTGAATGGGGAACGGGGAATGGCTCTGGAGTCAATGCAGGGGAATCGGGCCTCATCTCGAGTTGATTTGGGGCACATGGAGCTGCTTTGCGTTGCTGGGGTGACCTCAGGGTCCGTCTAGACTGGTGACAGTGTTCTTGGGGACTGTCTCGAGATCCATTAAGCAAGTCGAAGCTCCTGACTTGTTTGAATGGGGTCACGGAATAGCTCTGCATGCACTGCAGGGGAATGGGGCCTCATCTCGCCTCTAGGGGGAAGTCTCGTGGTTTTTCTCGAGTTGCGGCGGGGACCTGGGGTATGTTCTCGACTTACGGCGGGGATGGCCCTTCAAAACACGAGTTTCTTCAGTGACGTCAGGACTCCTGTCTAGTAACGAGGGACACCTCAGGAATCTCTTCGAGGCTTGGCAGGGCCAAAGGGACGCTTCTCGAGGTGAGGCAGGGCACCCAAGGACCCTTTCCAGTAGCCACAGGGATTTTGGGATTCCTATCAGTATTCAAGAGGAGTCAGGCATCGTCACCTTTTGAAGCAATGAACTCCGCGTGCCTCTCGAGGTGTCAGCGGGATGTGAGGCATTCCGTCAAAATGAGGCAGGGACCTAGGGCTTTCTCTAAGGTCTCCACAGGGGATTCAGACATCCCTTCATGTTGTGAGATGAAAGACGAGCCTGTATTCAAGCCACTGCAAGGAAATCCGGCCTCCTTTCAAGTTAGGGCTTCTCGCTGTATATTCCCCTTGAGGCAGCAAACTCGGGGTCCCTCCCACATACCTATTGCTGAGAGAAGCCTCCTCCTGAGGTGCTTCTGGGAAGTTGGCATACGTCTTGAGCCTAAGCCAGGGAATCAGCTCGCCTCTCGAGACGATTTGGGGTACACGGAGCATTCCTCGAGTTGCTGTGCTGAAGTTGGTGTTCCTCTAGACTTGGGACAGTGTTCTCGGGGCATCACTGGAGTTGCCTGAAGGAAGTCGAGCCACCGGTCGTGTTGAATGGGGAACGGGGAATGGCTCTGGAGTCAATGCAGGGGAATCGGGCCTCATCTCGAGTTGATTTGGGGCACATGGAGCTGCTTTGCGTTGCTGGGGTGACGTCAGGGTCCGTCTAGACTGGTGACAGTGTTCTTGGGGACTGTCTCGAGATCCATTAAGCAAGTCGAAGCTCCTGACTTGTTTGAATGGGATCACGGAATAGCTCTGCATGCACTGCAGGGGAATGGGGCCTCATCTCGCCTCTAGGGGGAAGTCTCATGGTTTTTCTCGAGTTGCGGCGGGGACCTGGGGTATGTTCTCGACTTACGGCGGGGATGGCCCTTCAAAACACGAGTTTCTTCAGTGACGTCAGGACTCCTGTCTAGTAACGAGGGACACCTCAGGAATCTCTTCGAGGCTTGGCAGGGCCAAAGGGACGCTTCTCGAGGTGAGGCAGGGCACCCAAGGACCCTTTCCAGTAGCCACAGGGATTTTGGGATTCCTATCAGTATTCAAGAGGAGTCAGGCATCGTCACCTTTTGAAGCAATGAACTCCGCGTGCCTCTCGAGGTGTCAGCGGGATGTGAGGCATTCCGTCAAAATGAGGCAGGGACCTAGGGCTTTCTCTAAGGTCTCCACAGGGGATTCAGACATCCCTTCATGTTGTGAGATGAAAGACGAGCCTGTATTCAAGCCACTGCAAGGAAATCCGGCCTCCTTTCAAGTTAGGGCTTCTCGCTGTATATTCCCCTTGAGGCAGCAAACTCGGGGTCCCTCCCACATACCTATTGCTGAGAGAAGCCTCCTCCTGAGGTGCTTCTGGGAAGTTGGCATACGTCTTGAGCCTAAGCCAGGGAATCAGCTCGCATCTCGAGACGATTTGGGGTACACAGAGCATTCCTCGAGTTGCTGTGCTGAAGTTGGTGTTCCTCTAGACTTGGGACAGTGTTCTCGGGGCATCTCTGGAGTTGCCTGAAGGAAGTCGAGCCACCGGTCGTGTTGAATGGGGAACGGGGAATGGCTCTGGAGTCAATGCAGGGGAATCGGGCCTCATCTCGAGTTGATTTGGGGCACATGGAGCTGCTTTGCGTTGCTGGGGTGACCTCAGGGTCCGTCTAGACTGGTGACAGTGTTCTTGGGGACTGTCTCGAGATCCATTAAGCAAGTCGAAGCTCCTGACTTGTTTGAATGGGGTCACGGAATAGCTCTGCATGCACTGCAGGGGAATGGGGCCTCATCTCGCCTCTAGGGGGAAGTCTCGTGGTTTTTCTCGAGTTGCGGCGGGGACCTGGGGTATGTTCTCGACTTACGGCGGGGATGGCCCTTCAAAACACGAGTTTCTTCAGTGACGTCAGGACTCCTGTCTAGTAACGAGGGACACCTCAGGAATCTCTTCGAGGCTTGGCAGGGCCAAAGGGACGCTTCTCGAGGTGAGGCAGGGCACCCAAGGACCCTTTCCAGTAGCCACAGGGATTTTGGGATTCCTATCAGTATTCAAGAGGAGTCAGGCATCGTCACCTTTTGAAGCAATGAACTCCGCGTGCCTCTCGAGGTGTCAGCGGGATGTGAGGCATTCCGTCAAAATGAGGCAGGGACCTAGGGCTTTCTCTAAGGTCTCCACAGGGGATTCAGACATCCCTTCATGTTGTGAGATGAAAGACGAGCCTGTATTCAAGCCACTGCAAGGAAATCCGGCCTCCTTTCAAGTTAGGGCTTCTCGCTGTATATTCCCCTTGAGGCAGCAAACTCGGGGTCCCTCCCACATACCTATTGCTGAGAGGAGCCTCCTCCTGAGGTGCTTCTGGGAAGTTGGCATACGTCTTGAGCCTAAGCCAGGGAATCAGCTCGCATCTCGAGACGATTTGGGGTACACGGAGCATTCCTCGAGTTGCTGTGCTGAAGTTGGTGTTCCTCTAGACTTGGGACAGTGTTCTCGGGGCATCTCTGGAGTTGCCTGAAGGAAGTCGAGCCACCGGTCGTGTTGAATGGGGAACGGGGAATGGCTCTGGAGTCAATGCAGGGGAATCGGGCCTCATCTCGAGTTGATTTGGGGCACATGGAGCTGCTTTGCGTTGCTGGGGTGACCTCAGGGTCCGTCTAGACTGGTGACAGTGTTCTTGGGGACTGTCTCGAGATCCATTAAGCAAGTCGAAGCTCCTGACTTGTTTGAATGGGGTCACGGAATAGCTCTGCATGCACTGCAGGGGAATGGGGCCTCATCTCGCCTCTAGGGGGAAGTCTCATGGTTTTTCTCGAGTTGCGGCGGGGACCTGGGGTATGTTCTCGACTTACGGCGGGGATGGCCCTTCAAAACACGAGTTTCTTCAGTGACGTCAGGACTCCTGTCTAGTAACGAGGGACACCTCAGGAATCTCTTCGAGGCTTGGCAGGGCCAAAGGGACGCTTCTCGAGGTGAGGCAGGGCACCCAAGGACCCTTTCCAGTAGCCACAGGGATTTTGGGATTCCTATCAGTATTCAAGAGGAGTCAGGCATCGTCACCTTTTGAAGCAATGAACTCCGCGTGCCTCTCGAGGTGTCAGCGGGATGTGAGGCATTCCGTCAAAATGAGGCAGGGACCTAGGGCTTTCTCTAAGGTCTCCACAGGGGATTCAGACATCCCTTCATGTTGTGAGATGAAAGACGAGCCTGTATTCAAGCCACTGCAAGGAAATCCGGCCTCCTTTCAAGTTAGGGCTTCTCGCTGTATATTCCCCTTGAGGCAGCAAACTCGGGGTCCCTCCCACATACCTATTGCTGAGAGGAGCCTCCTCCTGAGGTGCTTCTGGGAAGTTGGCATACGTCTTGAGCCTAAGCCAGGGAATCAGCTCGCATCTCGAGACGATTTGGGGTACACGGAGCATTCCTCGAGTTGCTGTGCTGAAGTTGGTGTTCCTCTAGACTTGGGACAGTGTTCTCGGGGCATCTCTGGAGTTGCCTGAAGGAAGTCGAGCCACCGGTCGTGTTGAATGGGGAATGGGGAATGGCTCTGGAGTCAATGCAGGGGAATCGGGCCTCATCTCGAGTTGATTTGGGGCACATGGAGCTGCTTTGCGTTGCTGGGGTGACCTCAGGGTCCGTCTAGACTGGTGACAGTGTTCTTGGGGACTGTCTCGAGATCCATTAAGCAAGTCGAAGCTCCTGACTTGTTTGAATGGGATCACGGAATAGCTCTGCATGCACTGCAGGGGAATGGGGCCTCATCTCGCCTCTAGGGGGAAGTCTCATGGTTTTTCTCGAGTTGCGGCGGGGACCTGGGGTATGTTCTCGACTTACGGCGGGGATGGCCCTTCAAAACACGAGTTTCTTCAGTGACGTCAGGACTCCTGTCTAGTAACGAGGGACACCTCAGGAATCTCTTCGAGGCTTGGCAGGGCCAAAGGGACGCTTCTCGAGGTGAGGCAGGGCACCCAAGGACCCTTTCCAGTAGCCACAGGGATTTTGGGATTCCTATCAGTATTCAAGAGGAGTCAGGCATCGTCACCTTTTGAAGCAATGAACTCCGCGTGCCTCTCGAGGTGTCAGCGGGATGTGAGGCATTCCGTCAAAATGAGGCAGGGACCTAGGGCTTTCTCTAAGGTCTCCACAGGGGATTCAGACATCCCTTCATGTTGTGAGATGAAAGACGAGCCTGTATTCAAGCCACTGCAAGGAAATCCGGCCTCCTTTCAAGTTAGGGCTTCTCGCTGTATATTCCCCTTGAGGCAGCAAACTCGGGGTCCCTCCCACATACCTATTGCTGAGAGAAGCCTCCTCCTGAGGTGCTTCTGGGAAGTTGGCATACGTCTTGAGCCTAAGCCAGGGAATCAGCTCGCATCTCGAGACGATTTGGGGTACACGGAGCATTCCTCGAGTTGCTGTGCTGAAGTTGGTGTTCCTCTAGACTTGGGACAGTGTTCTCGGGGCATCTCTGGAGTTGCCTGAAGGAAGTCGAGCCACCGGTCGTGTTGAATGGGGAACGGGGAATGGCTCTGGAGTCAATGCAGGGGAATCGGGCCTCATCTCGAGTTGATTTGGGGCACATGGAGCTGCTTTGCGTTGCTGGGGTGACCTCAGGGTCCGTCTAGACTGGTGACAGTGTTCTTGGGGACTGTCTCGAGATCCATTAAGCAAGTCGAAGCTCCTGACTTGTTTGAATGGGGTCACGGAATAGCTCTGCATGCACTGCAGGGGAATGGGGCCTCATCTCGCCTCTAGGGGGAAGTCTCGTGGTTTTTCTCGAGTTGCGGCGGGGACCTGGGGTATGTTCTCGACTTACGGCGGGGATGGCCCTTCAAAACACGAGTTTCTTCAGTGACGTCAGGACTCCTGTCTAGTAACGAGGGACACCTCAGGAATCTCTTCGAGGCTTGGCAGGGCCAAAGGGACGCTTCTCGAGGTGAGGCAGGGCACCCAAGGACCCTTTCCAGTAGCCACAGGGATTTTGGGATTCCTATCAGTATTCAAGAGGAGTCAGGCATCGTCACCTTTTGAAGCAATGAACTCCGCGTGCCTCTCGAGGTGTCAGCGGGATGTGAGGCATTCCGTCAAAATGAGGCAGGGACCTAGGGCTTTCTCTAAGGTCTCCACAGGGGATTCAGACATCCCTTCATGTTGTGAGATGAAAGACGAGCCTGTATTCAAGCCACTGCAAGGAAATCCGGCCTCCTTTCAAGTTAGGGCTTCTCGCTGTATATTCCCCTTGAGGCAGCAAACTCGGGGTCCCTCCCACATACCTATTGCTGAGAGAAGCCTCCTCCTGAGGTGCTTCTGGGAAGTTGGCATACGTCTTGAGCCTAAGCCAGGGAATCAGCTCGCCTCTCGAGACGATTTGGGGTACACGGAGCATTCCTCGAGTTGCTGTGCTGAAGTTGGTGTTCCTCTAGACTTGGGACAGTGTTCTCGGGGCATCACTGGAGTTGCCTGAAGGAAGTCGAGCCACCGGTCGTGTTGAATGGGGAACGGGGAATGGCTCTGGAGTCAATGCAGGGGAATCGGGCCTCATCTCGAGTTGATTTGGGGCACATGGAGCTGCTTTGCGTTGCTGGGGTGACGTCAGGGTCCGTCTAGACTGGTGACAGTGTTCTTGGGGACTGTCTCGAGATCCATTAAGCAAGTCGAAGCTCCTGACTTGTTTGAATGGGATCACGGAATAGCTCTGCATGCACTGCAGGGGAATGGGGCCTCATCTCGCCTCTAGGGGGAAGTCTCATGGTTTTTCTCGAGTTGCGGCGGGGACCTGGGGTATGTTCTCGACTTACGGCGGGGATGGCCCTTCAAAACACGAGTTTCTTCAGTGACGTCAGGACTCCTGTCTAGTAACGAGGGACACCTCAGGAATCTCTTCGAGGCTTGGCAGGGCCAAAGGGACGCTTCTCGAGGTGAGGCAGGGCACCCAAGGACCCTTTCCAGTAGCCACAGGGATTTTGGGATTCCTATCAGTATTCAAGAGGAGTCAGGCATCGTCACCTTTTGAAGCAATGAACTCCGCGTGCCTCTCGAGGTGTCAGCGGGATGTGAGGCATTCCGTCAAAATGAGGCAGGGACCTAGGGCTTTCTCTAAGGTCTCCACAGGGGATTCAGACATCCCTTCATGTTGTGAGATGAAAGACGAGCCTGTATTCAAGCCACTGCAAGGAAATCCGGCCTCCTTTCAAGTTAGGGCTTCTCGCTGTATATTCCCCTTGAGGCAGCAAACTCGGGGTCCCTCCCACATACCTATTGCTGAGAGAAGCCTCCTCCTGAGGTGCTTCTGGGAAGTTGGCATACGTCTTGAGCCTAAGCCAGGGAATCAGCTCGCATCTCGAGACGATTTGGGGTACACAGAGCATTCCTCGAGTTGCTGTGCTGAAGTTGGTGTTCCTCTAGACTTGGGACAGTGTTCTCGGGGCATCTCTGGAGTTGCCTGAAGGAAGTCGAGCCACCGGTCGTGTTGAATGGGGAACGGGGAATGGCTCTGGAGTCAATGCAGGGGAATCGGGCCTCATCTCGAGTTGATTTGGGGCACATGGAGCTGCTTTGCGTTGCTGGGGTGACCTCAGGGTCCGTCTAGACTGGTGACAGTGTTCTTGGGGACTGTCTCGAGATCCATTAAGCAAGTCGAAGCTCCTGACTTGTTTGAATGGGGTCACGGAATAGCTCTGCATGCACTGCAGGGGAATGGGGCCTCATCTCGCCTCTAGGGGGAAGTCTCGTGGTTTTTCTCGAGTTGCGGCGGGGACCTGGGGTATGTTCTCGACTTACGGCGGGGATGGCCCTTCAAAACACGAGTTTCTTCAGTGACGTCAGGACTCCTGTCTAGTAACGAGGGACACCTCAGGAATCTCTTCGAGGCTTGGCAGGGCCAAAGGGACGCTTCTCGAGGTGAGGCAGGGCACCCAAGGACCCTTTCCAGTAGCCACAGGGATTTTGGGATTCCTATCAGTATTCAAGAGGAGTCAGGCATCGTCACCTTTTGAAGCAATGAACTCCGCGTGCCTCTCGAGGTGTCAGCGGGATGTGAGGCATTCCGTCAAAATGAGGCAGGGACCTAGGGCTTTCTCTAAGGTCTCCACAGGGGATTCAGACATCCCTTCATGTTGTGAGATGAAAGACGAGCCTGTATTCAAGCCACTGCAAGGAAATCCGGCCTCCTTTCAAGTTAGGGCTTCTCGCTGTATATTCCCCTTGAGGCAGCAAACTCGGGGTCCCTCCCACATACCTATTGCTGAGAGGAGCCTCCTCCTGAGGTGCTTCTGGGAAGTTGGCATACGTCTTGAGCCTAAGCCAGGGAATCAGCTCGCATCTCGAGACGATTTGGGGTACACGGAGCATTCCTCGAGTTGCTGTGCTGAAGTTGGTGTTCCTCTAGACTTGGGACAGTGTTCTCGGGGCATCTCTGGAGTTGCCTGAAGGAAGTCGAGCCACCGGTCGTGTTGAATGGGGAACGGGGAATGGCTCTGGAGTCAATGCAGGGGAATCGGGCCTCATCTCGAGTTGATTTGGGGCACATGGAGCTGCTTTGCGTTGCTGGGGTGACCTCAGGGTCCGTCTAGACTGGTGACAGTGTTCTTGGGGACTGTCTCGAGATCCATTAAGCAAGTCGAAGCTCCTGACTTGTTTGAATGGGGTCACGGAATAGCTCTGCATGCACTGCAGGGGAATGGGGCCTCATCTCGCCTCTAGGGGGAAGTCTCGTGGTTTTTCTCGAGTTGCGGCGGGGACCTGGGGTATGTTCTCGACTTACGGCGGGGATGGCCCTTCAAAACACGAGTTTCTTCAGTGACGTCAGGACTCCTGTCTAGTAACGAGGGACACCTCAGGAATCTCTTCGAGGCTTGGCAGGGCCAAAGGGACGCTTCTCGAGGTGAGGCAGGGCACCCAAGGACCCTTTCCAGTAGCCACAGGGATTTTGGGATTCCTATCAGTATTCAAGAGGAGTCAGGCATCGTCACCTTTTGAAGCAATGAACTCCGCGTGCCTCTCGAGGTGTCAGCGGGATGTGAGGCATTCCGTCAAAATGAGGCAGGGACCTAGGGCTTTCTCTAAGGTCTCCACAGGGGATTCAGACATCCCTTCATGTTGTGAGATGAAAGACGAGCCTGTATTCAAGCCACTGCAAGGAAATCCGGCCTCCTTTCAAGTTAGGGCTTCTCGCTGTATATTCCCCTTGAGGCAGCAAACTCGGGGTCCCTCCCACATACCTATTGCTGAGAGGAGCCTCCTCCTGAGGTGCTTCTGGGAAGTTGGCATACGTCTTGAGCCTAAGCCAGGGAATCAGCTCGCATCTCGAGACGATTTGGGGTACACGGAGCATTCCTCGAGTTGCTGTGCTGAAGTTGCTGTTCCTCTAGACTTGGGACAGTGTTCTCGGGGCATCTCTGGAGTTGCCTGAAGGAAGTCGAGCCACCGGTCGTGTTGAATGGGGAACGGGGAATGGCTCTGGAGTCAATGCAGGGGAATCGGGCCTCATCTCGAGTTGATTTGGGGCACATGGAGCTGCTTTGCGTTGCTGGGGTGACCTCAGGGTCCGTCTAGACTGGTGACAGTGTTCTTGGGGACTGTCTCGAGATCCATTAAGCAAGTCGAAGCTCCTGACTTGTTTGAATGGGATCACGGAATAGCTCTGCATGCACTGCAGGGGAATGGGGCCTCATCTCGCCTCTAGGGGGAAGTCTCATGGTTTTTCTCGAGTTGCGGCGGGGACCTGGGGTATGTTCTCGACTTACGGCGGGGATGGCCCTTCAAAACACGAGTTTCTTCAGTGACGTCAGGACTCCTGTCTAGTAACGAGGGACACCTCAGGAATCTCTTCGAGGCTTGGCAGGGCCAAAGGGACGCTTCTCGAGGTGAGGCAGGGCACCCAAGGACCCTTTCCAGTAGCCACAGGGATTTTGGGATTCCTATCAGTATTCAAGAGGAGTCAGGCATCGTCACCTTTTGAAGCAATGAACTCCGCGTGCCTCTCGAGGTGTCAGCGGGATGTGAGGCATTCCGTCAAAATGAGGCAGGGACCTAGGGCTTTCTCTAAGGTCTCCACAGGGGATTCAGACATCCCTTCATGTTGTGAGATGAAAGACGAGCCTGTATTCAAGCCACTGCAAGGAAATCCGGCCTCCTTTCAAGTTAGGGCTTCTCGCTGTATATTCCCCTTGAGGCAGCAAACTCGGGGTCCCTCCCACATACCTATTGCTGAGAGAAGCCTCCTCCTGAGGTGCTTCTGGGAAGTTGGCATACGTCTTGAGCCTAAGCCAGGGAATCAGCTCGCCTCTCGAGACGATTTGGGGTACACGGAGCATTCCTCGAGTTGCTGTGCTGAAGTTGGTGTTCCTCTAGACTTGGGACAGTGTTCTCGGGGCATCTCTGGAGTTGCCTGAAGGAAGTCGAGCCACCGGTCGTGTTGAATGGGGAACGGGGAATGGCTCTGGAGTCAATGCAGGGGAATCGGGCCTCATCTCGAGTTGATTTGGGGCACATGGAGCTGCTTTGCGTTGCTGGGGTGACCTCAGGGTCCGTCTAGACTGGTGACAGTGTTCTTGGGGACTGTCTCGAGATCCATTAAGCAAGTCGAAGCTCCTGACTTGTTTGAATGGGGTCACGGAATAGCTCTGCATGCACTGCAGGGGAATGGGGCCTCATCTCGCCTCTAGGGGGAAGTCTCGTGGTTTTTCTCGAGTTGCGGCGGGGACCTGGGGTATGTTCTCGACTTACGGCGGGGATGGCCCTTCAAAACACGAGTTTCTTCAGTGACGTCAGGACTCCTGTCTAGTAACGAGGGACACCTCAGGAATCTCTTCGAGGCTTGGCAGGGCCAAAGGGACGCTTCTCGAGGTGAGGCAGGGCACCCAAGGACCCTTTCCAGTAGCCACAGGGATTTTGGGATTCCTATCAGTATTCAAGAGGAGTCAGGCATCGTCACCTTTTGAAGCAATGAACTCCGCGTGCCTCTCGAGGTGTCAGCGGGATGTGAGGCATTCCGTCAAAATGAGGCAGGGACCTAGGGCTTTCTCTAAGGTCTCCACAGGGGATTCAGACATCCCTTCATGTTGTGAGATGAAAGACGAGCCTGTATTCAAGCCACTGCAAGGAAATCCGGCCTCCTTTCAAGTTAGGGCTTCTCGCTGTATATTCCCCTTGAGGCAGCAAACTCGGGGTCCCTCCCACATACCTATTGCTGAGAGAAGCCTCCTCCTGAGGTGCTTCTGGGAAGTTGGCATACGTCTTGAGCCTAAGCCAGGGAATCAGCTCGCATCTCGAGACGATTTGGGGTACACGGAGCATTCCTCGAGTTGCTGTGCTGAAGTTGGTGTTCCTCTAGACTTGGGACAGTGTTCTCGGGGCATCTCTGGAGTTGCCTGAAGGAAGTCGAGCCACCGGTCGTGTTGAATGGGGAACGGGGAATGGCTCTGGAGTCAATGCAGGGGAATCGGGCCTCATCTCGAGTTGATTTGGGGCACATGGAGCTGCTTTGCGTTGCTGGGGTGACCTCAGGGTCCGTCTAGACTGGTGACAGTGTTCTTGGGGACTGTCTCGAGATCCATTAAGCAAGTCGAAGCTCCTGACTTATTTGAATGGGGTCACGGAATAGCTCTGCATGCACTGCAGGGGAATGGGGCCTCATCTCGCCTCTAGGGGGAAGTCTCATGGTTTTTCTCGAGTTGCGGCGGGGACCTGGGGTATGTTCTCGACTTACGGCGGGGATGGCCCTTCAAAACACGAGTTTCTTCAGTGACGTCAGGACTCCTGTCTAGTAACGAGGGACACCTCAGGAATCTCTTCGAGGCTTGGCAGGGCCAAAGGGACGCTTCTCGAGGTGAGGCAGGGCACCCAAGGACCCTTTCCAGTAGCCACAGGGATTTTGGGATTCCTATCAGTATTCAAGAGGAGTCAGGCATCGTCACCTTTTGAAGCAATGAACTCCGCGTGCCTCTCGAGGTGTCAGCGGGATGTGAGGCATTCCGTCAAAATGAGGCAGGGACCTAGGGCTTTCTCTAAGGTCTCCACAGGGGATTCAGACATCCCTTCATGTTGTGAGATGAAAGACGAGCCTGTATTCAAGCCACTGCAAGGAAATCCGGCCTCCTTTCAAGTTAGGGCTTCTCGCTGCATCTTCCAATTGAGGCAGCAAACTCGGGGTCCCTCCCACATACCTATTGCTGAGAGAAGCCTCCTCCTGAGGTGCTTCTGGGAAGTTGGCATACGTCTTGAGCCTAAGCCAGGGAATCAGCTCGCATCTCGAGACGATTTGGGGTACACGGAGCATTCCTCGAGTTGCTGTGCTGAAGTTGGTGTTCCTCTAGACTTGGGACAGTGTTCTCGGGGCATCTCTGGAGTTGCCTGAAGGAAGTCGAGCCACCGGTCGTGTTGAATGGGGAACGGGGAATGGCTCTGGAGTCAATGCAGGGGAATCGGGCCTCATCTCGAGTTGATTTGGGGCACATGGAGCTGCTTTGCGTTGCTGGGGTGACCTCAGGGTCCGTCTAGACTGGTGACAGTGTTCTTGGGGACTGTCTCGAGATCCATTAAGCAAGTCGAAGCTCCTGACTTGTTTGAATGGGATCACGGAATAGCTCTGCATGCACTGCAGGGGAATGGGGCCTCATCTCGCCTCTAGGGGGAAGTCTCATGGTTTTTCTCGAGTTGCGGCGGGGACCTGGGGTATGTTCTCGACTTACGGCGGGGATGGCCCTTCAAAACACGAGTTTCTTCAGTGACGTCAGGACTCCTGTCTAGTAACGAGGGACACCTCAGGAATCTCTTCGAGGCTTGGCAGGGCCAAAGGGACGCTTCTCGAGGTGAGGCAGGGCACCCAAGGACCCTTTCCAGTAGCCACAGGGATTTTGGGATTCCTATCAGTATTCAAGAGGAGTCAGGCATCGTCACCTTTTGAAGCAATGAACTCCGCGTGCCTCTCGAGGTGTCAGCGGGATGTGAGGCATTCCGTCAAAATGAGGCAGGGACCTAGGGCTTTCTCTAAGGTCTCCACAGGGGATTCAGACATCCCTTCATGTTGTGAGATGAAAGACGAGCCTGTATTCAAGCCACTGCAAGGAAATCCGGCCTCCTTTCAAGTTAGGGCTTCTCGCTGTATATTCCCCTTGAGGCAGCAAACTCGGGGTCCCTCCCACATACCTATTGCTGAGAGGAGCCTCCTCCTGAGGTGCTTCTGGGAAGTTGGCATACGTCTTGAGCCTAAGCCAGGGAATCAGCTCGCATCTCGAGACGATTTGGGGTACACGGAGCATTCCTCGAGTTGCTGTGCTGAAGTTGGTGTTCCTCTAGACTTGGGACAGTGTTCTCGGGGCATCTCTGGAGTTGCCTGAAGGAAGTCGAGCCACCGGTCGTGTTGAATGGGGAACGGGGAATGGCTCTGGAGTCAATGCAGGGGAATCGGGCCTCATCTCGAGTTGATTTGGGGCACATGGAGCTGCTTTGCGTTGCTGGGGTGACCTCAGGGTCCGTCTAGACTGGTGACAGTGTTCTTGGGGACTGTCTCGAGATCCATTAAGCAAGTCGAAGCTCCTGACTTGTTTGAATGGGGTCACGGAATAGCTCTGCATGCACTGCAGGGGAATGGGGCCTCATCTCGCCTCTAGGGGGAAGTCTCGTGGTTTTTCTCGAGTTGCGGCGGGGACTTGGGGTATGTTCTCGACTTACGGCGGGGATGGCCCTTCAAAACACGAGTTTCTTCAGTGACGTCAGGACTCCTGTCTAGTAACGAGGGACACCTCAGGAATCTCTTCGAGGCTTGGCAGGGCCAAAGGGACGCTTCTCGAGGTGAGGCAGGGCACCCAAGGACCCTTTCCAGTAGCCACAGGGATTTTGGGATTCCTATCAGTATTCAAGAGGAGTCAGGCATCGTCACCTTTTGAACCATGAACTCCGCGTGCCTCTCGAGGTGTCAGCGGGATGTGAGGCATTCCGTCAAAATGAGGCAGGGACCTAGGGCTTTCTCTAAGGTCTCCACAGGGGATTCAGACATCCCTTCATGTTGTGAGATGAAAGACGAGCCTGTATTCAAGCCACTGCAAGGAAATCCGGCCTCCTTTCAAGTTAGGGCTTCTCGCTGTATATTCCCCTTGAGGCAGCAAACTCGGGGTCCCTCCCACATACCTATTGCTGAGAGGAGCCTCCTCCTGAGGTGCTTCTGGGAAGTTGGCATACGTCTTGAGCCTAAGCCAGGGAATCAGCTCGCCTCTCGAGACGATTTGGGGTACACGGAGCATTCCTCGAGTTGCTGTGCTGAAGTTGGTGTTCCTCTAGACTTGGGACAGTGTTCTCGGGGCATCTCTGGAGTTGCCTGAAGGAAGTCGAGCCACCGGTCGTGTTGAATGGGGAACGGGGAATGGCTCTGGAGTCAATGCAGGGGAATCGGGCCTCATCTCGAGTTGATTTGGGGCACATGGAGCTGCTTTGCGTTGCTGGGGTGACCTCAGGGTCCGTCTAGACTGGTGACAGTGTTCTTGGGGACTGTCTCGAGATCCATTAAGCAAGTCGAAGCTCCTGACTTGTTTGAATGGGATCACGGAATAGCTCTGCATGCACTGCAGGGGAATGGGGCCTCATCTCGCCTCTAGGGGGAAGTCTCATGGTTTTTCTCGAGTTGCGGCGGGGACCTGGGGTATGTTCTCGACTTACGGCGGGGATGGCCCTTCAAAACACGAGTTTCTTCAGTGACGTCAGGACTCCTGTCTAGTAACGAGGGACACCTCAGGAATCTCTTCGAGGCTTGGCAGGGCCAAAGGGACGCTTCTCGAGGTGAGGCAGGGCACCCAAGGACCCTTTCCAGTAGCCACAGGGATTTTGGGATTCCTATCAGTATTCAAGAGGAGTCAGGCATCGTCACCTTTTGAAGCAATGAACTCCGCGTGCCTCTCGAGGTGTCAGCGGGATGTGAGGCATTCCGTCAAAATGAGGCAGGGACCTAGGGCTTTCTCTAAGGTCTCCACAGGGGATTCAGACATCCCTTCATGTTGTGAGATGAAAGACGAGCCTGTATTCAAGCCACTGCAAGGAAATCCGGCCTCCTTTCAAGTTAGGGCTTCTCGCTGTATATTCCCCTTGAGGCAGCAAACTCGGGGTCCCTCCCACATACCTATTGCTGAGAGAAGCCTCCTCCTGAGGTGCTTCTGGGAAGTTGGCATACGTCTTGAGCCTAAGCCAGGGAATCAGCTCGCATCTCGAGACGATTTGGGGTACACGGAGCATTCCTCGAGTTGCTGTGCTGAAGTTGGTGTTCCTCTAGACTTGGGACAGTGTTCTCGGGGCATCTCTGGAGTTGCCTGAAGGAAGTCGAGCCACCGGTCGTGTTGAATGGGGAACGGGGAATGGCTCTGGAGTCAATGCAGGGGAATCGGGCCTCATCTCGAGTTGATTTGGGGCACATGGAGCTGCTTTGCGTTGCTGGGGTGACCTCAGGGTCCGTCTAGACTGGTGACAGTGTTCTTGGGGACTGTCTCGAGATCCATTAAGCAAGTCGAAGCTCCTGACTTGTTTGAATGGGGTCACGGAATAGCTCTGCATGCACTGCAGGGGAATGGGGCCTCATCTCGCCTCTAGGGGGAAGTCTCGTGGTTTTTCTCGAGTTGCGGCGGGGACCTGGGGTATGTTCTCGACTTACGGCGGGGATGGCCCTTCAAAACACGAGTTTCTTCAGTGACGTCAGGACTCCTGTCTAGTAACGAGGGACACCTCAGGAATCTCTTCGAGGCTTGGCAGGGCCAAAGGGACGCTTCTCGAGGTGAGGCAGGGCACCCAAGGACCCTTTCCAGTAGCCACAGGGATTTTGGGATTCCTATCAGTATTCAAGAGGAGTCAGGCATCGTCACCTTTTGAAGCAATGAACTCCGCGTGCCTCTCGAGGTGTCAGCGGGATGTGAGGCATTCCGTCAAAATGAGGCAGGGACCTAGGGCTTTCTCTAAGGTCTCCACAGGGGATTCAGACATCCCTTCATGTTGTGAGATGAAAGACGAGCCTGTATTCAAGCCACTGCAAGGAAATCCGGCCTCCTTTCAAGTTAGGGCTTCTCGCTGTATATTCCCCTTGAGGCAGCAAACTCGGGGTCCCTCCCACATACCTATTGCTGAGAGAAGCCTCCTCCTGAGGTGCTTCTGGGAAGTTGGCATACGTCTTGAGCCTAAGCCAGGGAATCAGCTCGCCTCTCGAGACGATTTGGGGTACACGGAGCATTCCTCGAGTTGCTGTGCTGAAGTTGGTGTTCCTCTAGACTTGGGACAGTGTTCTCGGGGCATCACTGGAGTTGCCTGAAGGAAGTCGAGCCACCGGTCGTGTTGAATGGGGAACGGGGAATGGCTCTGGAGTCAATGCAGGGGAATCGGGCCTCATCTCGAGTTGATTTGGGGCACATGGAGCTGCTTTGCGTTGCTGGGGTGACGTCAGGGTCCGTCTAGACTGGTGACAGTGTTCTTGGGGACTGTCTCGAGATCCATTAAGCAAGTCGAAGCTCCTGACTTGTTTGAATGGGATCACGGAATAGCTCTGCATGCACTGCAGGGGAATGGGGCCTCATCTCGCCTCTAGGGGGAAGTCTCATGGTTTTTCTCGAGTTGCGGCGGGGACCTGGGGTATGTTCTCGACTTACGGCGGGGATGGCCCTTCAAAACACGAGTTTCTTCAGTGACGTCAGGACTCCTGTCTAGTAACGAGGGACACCTCAGGAATCTCTTCGAGGCTTGGCAGGGCCAAAGGGACGCTTCTCGAGGTGAGGCAGGGCACCCAAGGACCCTTTCCAGTAGCCACAGGGATTTTGGGATTCCTATCAGTATTCAAGAGGAGTCAGGCATCGTCACCTTTTGAAGCAATGAACTCCGCGTGCCTCTCGAGGTGTCAGCGGGATGTGAGGCATTCCGTCAAAATGAGGCAGGGACCTAGGGCTTTCTCTAAGGTCTCCACAGGGGATTCAGACATCCCTTCATGTTGTGAGATGAAAGACGAGCCTGTATTCAAGCCACTGCAAGGAAATCCGGCCTCCTTTCAAGTTAGGGCTTCTCGCTGTATATTCCCCTTGAGGCAGCAAACTCGGGGTCCCTCCCACATACCTATTGCTGAGAGAAGCCTCCTCCTGAGGTGCTTCTGGGAAGTTGGCATACGTCTTGAGCCTAAGCCAGGGAATCAGCTCGCATCTCGAGACGATTTGGGGTACACAGAGCATTCCTCGAGTTGCTGTGCTGAAGTTGGTGTTCCTCTAGACTTGGGACAGTGTTCTCGGGGCATCTCTGGAGTTGCCTGAAGGAAGTCGAGCCACCGGTCGTGTTGAATGGGGAACGGGGAATGGCTCTGGAGTCAATGCAGGGGAATCGGGCCTCATCTCGAGTTGATTTGGGGCACATGGAGCTGCTTTGCGTTGCTGGGGTGACCTCAGGGTCCGTCTAGACTGGTGACAGTGTTCTTGGGGACTGTCTCGAGATCCATTAAGCAAGTCGAAGCTCCTGACTTGTTTGAATGGGGTCACGGAATAGCTCTGCATGCACTGCAGGGGAATGGGGCCTCATCTCGCCTCTAGGGGGAAGTCTCGTGGTTTTTCTCGAGTTGCGGCGGGGACCTGGGGTATGTTCTCGACTTACGGCGGGGATGGCCCTTCAAAACACGAGTTTCTTCAGTGACGTCAGGACTCCTGTCTAGTAACGAGGGACACCTCAGGAATCTCTTCGAGGCTTGGCAGGGCCAAAGGGACGCTTCTCGAGGTGAGGCAGGGCACCCAAGGACCCTTTCCAGTAGCCACAGGGATTTTGGGATTCCTATCAGTATTCAAGAGGAGTCAGGCATCGTCACCTTTTGAAGCAATGAACTCCGCGTGCCTCTCGAGGTGTCAGCGGGATGTGAGGCATTCCGTCAAAATGAGGCAGGGACCTAGGGCTTTCTCTAAGGTCTCCACAGGGGATTCAGACATCCCTTCATGTTGTGAGATGAAAGACGAGCCTGTATTCAAGCCACTGCAAGGAAATCCGGCCTCCTTTCAAGTTAGGGCTTCTCGCTGTATATTCCCCTTGAGGCAGCAAACTCGGGGTCCCTCCCACATACCTATTGCTGAGAGGAGCCTCCTCCTGAGGTGCTTCTGGGAAGTTGGCATACGTCTTGAGCCTAAGCCAGGGAATCAGCTCGCATCTCGAGACGATTTGGGGTACACGGAGCATTCCTCGAGTTGCTGTGCTGAAGTTGGTGTTCCTCTAGACTTGGGACAGTGTTCTCGGGGCATCTCTGGAGTTGCCTGAAGGAAGTCGAGCCACCGGTCGTGTTGAATGGGGAACGGGGAATGGCTCTGGAGTCAATGCAGGGGAATCGGGCCTCATCTCGAGTTGATTTGGGGCACATGGAGCTGCTTTGCGTTGCTGGGGTGACCTCAGGGTCCGTCTAGACTGGTGACAGTGTTCTTGGGGACTGTCTCGAGATCCATTAAGCAAGTCGAAGCTCCTGACTTGTTTGAATGGGGTCACGGAATAGCTCTGCATGCACTGCAGGGGAATGGGGCCTCATCTCGCCTCTAGGGGGAAGTCTCGTGGTTTTTCTCGAGTTGCGGCGGGGACCTGGGGTATGTTCTCGACTTACGGCGGGGATGGCCCTTCAAAACACGAGTTTCTTCAGTGACGTCAGGACTCCTGTCTAGTAACGAGGGACACCTCAGGAATCTCTTCGAGGCTTGGCAGGGCCAAAGGGACGCTTCTCGAGGTGAGGCAGGGCACCCAAGGACCCTTTCCAGTAGCCACAGGGATTTTGGGATTCCTATCAGTATTCAAGAGGAGTCAGGCATCGTCACCTTTTGAAGCAATGAACTCCGCGTGCCTCTCGAGGTGTCAGCGGGATGTGAGGCATTCCGTCAAAATGAGGCAGGGACCTAGGGCTTTCTCTAAGGTCTCCACAGGGGATTCAGACATCCCTTCATGTTGTGAGATGAAAGACGAGCCTGTATTCAAGCCACTGCAAGGAAATCCGGCCTCCTTTCAAGTTAGGGCTTCTCGCTGTATATTCCCCTTGAGGCAGCAAACTCGGGGTCCCTCCCACATACCTATTGCTGAGAGGAGCCTCCTCCTGAGGTGCTTCTGGGAAGTTGGCATACGTCTTGAGCCTAAGCCAGGGAATCAGCTCGCATCTCGAGACGATTTGGGGTACACGGAGCATTCCTCGAGTTGCTGTGCTGAAGTTGCTGTTCCTCTAGACTTGGGACAGTGTTCTCGGGGCATCTCTGGAGTTGCCTGAAGGAAGTCGAGCCACCGGTCGTGTTGAATGGGGAACGGGGAATGGCTCTGGAGTCAATGCAGGGGAATCGGGCCTCATCTCGAGTTGATTTGGGGCACATGGAGCTGCTTTGCGTTGCTGGGGTGACCTCAGGGTCCGTCTAGACTGGTGACAGTGTTCTTGGGGACTGTCTCGAGATCCATTAAGCAAGTCGAAGCTCCTGACTTGTTTGAATGGGGTCACGGAATAGCTCTGCATGCACTGCAGGGGAATGGGGCCTCATCTCGCCTCTAGGGGGAAGTCTCGTGGTTTTTCTCGAGTTGCGGCGGGGACCTGGGGTATGTTCTCGACTTACGGCGGGGATGGCCCTTCAAAACACGAGTTTCTTCAGTGACGTCAGGACTCCTGTCTAGTAACGAGGGACACCTCAGGAATCTCTTCGAGGCTTGGCAGGGCCAAAGGGACGCTTCTCGAGGTGAGGCAGGGCACCCAAGGACCCTTTCCAGTAGCCACAGGGATTTTGGGATTCCTATCAGTATTCAAGAGGAGTCAGGCATCGTCACCTTTTGAAGCAATGAACTCCGCGTGCCTCTCGAGGTGTCAGCGGGATGTGAGGCATTCCGTCAAAATGAGGCAGGGACCTAGGGCTTTCTCTAAGGTCTCCACAGGGGATTCAGACATCCCTTCATGTTGTGAGATGAAAGACGAGCCTGTATTCAAGCCACTGCAAGGAAATCCGGCCTCCTTTCAAGTTAGGGCTTCTCGCTGTATATTCCCCTTGAGGCAGCAAACTCGGGGTCCCTCCCACATACCTATTGCTGAGAGAAGCCTCCTCCTGAGGTGCTTCTGGGAAGTTGGCATACGTCTTGAGCCTAAGCCAGGGAATCAGCTCGCCTCTCGAGACGATTTGGGGTACACGGAGCATTCCTCGAGTTGCTGTGCTGAAGTTGGTGTTCCTCTAGACTTGGGACAGTGTTCTCGGGGCATCACTGGAGTTGCCTGAAGGAAGTCGAGCCACCGGTCGTGTTGAATGGGGAACGGGGAATGGCTCTGGAGTCAATGCAGGGGAATCGGGCCTCATCTCGAGTTGATTTGGGGCACATGGAGCTGCTTTGCGTTGCTGGGGTGACGTCAGGGTCCGTCTAGACTGGTGACAGTGTTCTTGGGGACTGTCTCGAGATCCATTAAGCAAGTCGAAGCTCCTGACTTGTTTGAATGGGATCACGGAATAGCTCTGCATGCACTGCAGGGGAATGGGGCCTCATCTCGCCTCTAGGGGGAAGTCTCATGGTTTTTCTCGAGTTGCGGCGGGGACCTGGGGTATGTTCTCGACTTACGGCGGGGATGGCCCTTCAAAACACGAGTTTCTTCAGTGACGTCAGGACTCCTGTCTAGTAACGAGGGACACCTCAGGAATCTCTTCGAGGCTTGGCAGGGCCAAAGGGACGCTTCTCGAGGTGAGGCAGGGCACCCAAGGACCCTTTCCAGTAGCCACAGGGATTTTGGGATTCCTATCAGTATTCAAGAGGAGTCAGGCATCGTCACCTTTTGAAGCAATGAACTCCGCGTGCCTCTCGAGGTGTCAGCGGGATGTGAGGCATTCCGTCAAAATGAGGCAGGGACCTAGGGCTTTCTCTAAGGTCTCCACAGGGGATTCAGACATCCCTTCATGTTGTGAGATGAAAGACGAGCCTGTATTCAAGCCACTGCAAGGAAATCCGGCCTCCTTTCAAGTTAGGGCTTCTCGCTGTATATTCCCCTTGAGGCAGCAAACTCGGGGTCCCTCCCACATACCTATTGCTGAGAGAAGCCTCCTCCTGAGGTGCTTCTGGGAAGTTGGCATACGTCTTGAGCCTAAGCCAGGGAATCAGCTCGCATCTCGAGACGATTTGGGGTACACAGAGCATTCCTCGAGTTGCTGTGCTGAAGTTGGTGTTCCTCTAGACTTGGGACAGTGTTCTCGGGGCATCTCTGGAGTTGCCTGAAGGAAGTCGAGCCACCGGTCGTGTTGAATGGGGAACGGGGAATGGCTCTGGAGTCAATGCAGGGGAATCGGGCCTCATCTCGAGTTGATTTGGGGCACATGGAGCTGCTTTGCGTTGCTGGGGTGACCTCAGGGTCCGTCTAGACTGGTGACAGTGTTCTTGGGGACTGTCTCGAGATCCATTAAGCAAGTCGAAGCTCCTGACTTGTTTGAATGGGGTCACGGAATAGCTCTGCATGCACTGCAGGGGAATGGGGCCTCATCTCGCCTCTAGGGGGAAGTCTCGTGGTTTTTCTCGAGTTGCGGCGGGGACCTGGGGTATGTTCTCGACTTACGGCGGGGATGGCCCTTCAAAACACGAGTTTCTTCAGTGACGTCAGGACTCCTGTCTAGTAACGAGGGACACCTCAGGAATCTCTTCGAGGCTTGGCAGGGCCAAAGGGACGCTTCTCGAGGTGAGGCAGGGCACCCAAGGACCCTTTCCAGTAGCCACAGGGATTTTGGGATTCCTATCAGTATTCAAGAGGAGTCAGGCATCGTCACCTTTTGAAGCAATGAACTCCGCGTGCCTCTCGAGGTGTCAGCGGGATGTGAGGCATTCCGTCAAAATGAGGCAGGGACCTAGGGCTTTCTCTAAGGTCTCCACAGGGGATTCAGACATCCCTTCATGTTGTGAGATGAAAGACGAGCCTGTATTCAAGCCACTGCAAGGAAATCCGGCCTCCTTTCAAGTTAGGGCTTCTCGCTGTATATTCCCCTTGAGGCAGCAAACTCGGGGTCCCTCCCACATACCTATTGCTGAGAGGAGCCTCCTCCTGAGGTGCTTCTGGGAAGTTGGCATACGTCTTGAGCCTAAGCCAGGGAATCAGCTCGCATCTCGAGACGATTTGGGGTACACGGAGCATTCCTCGAGTTGCTGTGCTGAAGTTGGTGTTCCTCTAGACTTGGGACAGTGTTCTCGGGGCATCTCTGGAGTTGCCTGAAGGAAGTCGAGCCACCGGTCGTGTTGAATGGGGAACGGGGAATGGCTCTGGAGTCAATGCAGGGGAATCGGGCCTCATCTCGAGTTGATTTGGGGCACATGGAGCTGCTTTGCGTTGCTGGGGTGACCTCAGGGTCCGTCTAGACTGGTGACAGTGTTCTTGGGGACTGTCTCGAGATCCATTAAGCAAGTCGAAGCTCCTGACTTGTTTGAATGGGGTCACGGAATAGCTCTGCATGCACTGCAGGGGAATGGGGCCTCATCTCGCCTCTAGGGGGAAGTCTCGTGGTTTTTCTCGAGTTGCGGCGGGGACCTGGGGTATGTTCTCGACTTACGGCGGGGATGGCCCTTCAAAACACGAGTTTCTTCAGTGACGTCAGGACTCCTGTCTAGTAACGAGGGACACCTCAGGAATCTCTTCGAGGCTTGGCAGGGCCAAAGGGACGCTTCTCGAGGTGAGGCAGGGCACCCAAGGACCCTTTCCAGTAGCCACAGGGATTTTGGGATTCCTATCAGTATTCAAGAGGAGTCAGGCATCGTCACCTTTTGAAGCAATGAACTCCGCGTGCCTCTCGAGGTGTCAGCGGGATGTGAGGCATTCCGTCAAAATGAGGCAGGGACCTAGGGCTTTCTCTAAGGTCTCCACAGGGGATTCAGACATCCCTTCATGTTGTGAGATGAAAGACGAGCCTGTATTCAAGCCACTGCAAGGAAATCCGGCCTCCTTTCAAGTTAGGGCTTCTCGCTGTATATTCCCCTTGAGGCAGCAAACTCGGGGTCCCTCCCACATACCTATTGCTGAGAGAAGCCTCCTCCTGAGGTGCTTCTGGGAAGTTGGCATACGTCTTGAGCCTAAGCCAGGGAATCAGCTCGCCTCTCGAGACGATTTGGGGTACACGGAGCATTCCTCGAGTTGCTGTGCTGAAGTTGGTGTTCCTCTAGACTTGGGACAGTGTTCTCGGGGCATCACTGGAGTTGCCTGAAGGAAGTCGAGCCACCGGTCGTGTTGAATGGGGAACGGGGAATGGCTCTGGAGTCAATGCAGGGGAATCGGGCCTCATCTCGAGTTGATTTGGGGCACATGGAGCTGCTTTGCGTTGCTGGGGTGACGTCAGGGTCCGTCTAGACTGGTGACAGTGTTCTTGGGGACTGTCTCGAGATCCATTAAGCAAGTCGAAGCTCCTGACTTGTTTGAATGGGATCACGGAATAGCTCTGCATGCACTGCAGGGGAATGGGGCCTCATCTCGCCTCTAGGGGGAAGTCTCATGGTTTTTCTCGAGTTGCGGCGGGGACCTGGGGTATGTTCTCGACTTACGGCGGGGATGGCCCTTCAAAACACGAGTTTCTTCAGTGACGTCAGGACTCCTGTCTAGTAACGAGGGACACCTCAGGAATCTCTTCGAGGCTTGGCAGGGCCAAAGGGACGCTTCTCGAGGTGAGGCAGGGCACCCAAGGACCCTTTCCAGTAGCCACAGGGATTTTGGGATTCCTATCAGTATTCAAGAGGAGTCAGGCATCGTCACCTTTTGAAGCAATGAACTCCGCGTGCCTCTCGAGGTGTCAGCGGGATGTGAGGCATTCCGTCAAAATGAGGCAGGGACCTAGGGCTTTCTCTAAGGTCTCCACAGGGGATTCAGACATCCCTTCATGTTGTGAGATGAAAGACGAGCCTGTATTCAAGCCACTGCAAGGAAATCCGGCCTCCTTTCAAGTTAGGGCTTCTCGCTGTATATTCCCCTTGAGGCAGCAAACTCGGGGTCCCTCCCACATACCTATTGCTGAGAGAAGCCTCCTCCTGAGGTGCTTCTGGGAAGTTGGCATACGTCTTGAGCCTAAGCCAGGGAATCAGCTCGCATCTCGAGACGATTTGGGGTACACAGAGCATTCCTCGAGTTGCTGTGCTGAAGTTGGTGTTCCTCTAGACTTGGGACAGTGTTCTCGGGGCATCTCTGGAGTTGCCTGAAGGAAGTCGAGCCACCGGTCGTGTTGAATGGGGAACGGGGAATGGCTCTGGAGTCAATGCAGGGGAATCGGGCCTCATCTCGAGTTGATTTGGGGCACATGGAGCTGCTTTGCGTTGCTGGGGTGACCTCAGGGTCCGTCTAGACTGGTGACAGTGTTCTTGGGGACTGTCTCGAGATCCATTAAGCAAGTCGAAGCTCCTGACTTGTTTGAATGGGGTCACGGAATAGCTCTGCATGCACTGCAGGGGAATGGGGCCTCATCTCGCCTCTAGGGGGAAGTCTCGTGGTTTTTCTCGAGTTGCGGCGGGGACCTGGGGTATGTTCTCGACTTACGGCGGGGATGGCCCTTCAAAACACGAGTTTCTTCAGTGACGTCAGGACTCCTGTCTAGTAACGAGGGACACCTCAGGAATCTCTTCGAGGCTTGGCAGGGCCTAAGGGACGCTTCTCGAGGTGAGGCAGGGCACCCAAGGACCCTTTCCAGTAGCCACAGGGATTTTGGGATTCCTATCAGTATTCAAGAGGAGTCAGGCATCGTCACCTTTTGAAGCAATGAACTCCGCGTGCCTCTCGAGGTGTCAGCGGGATGTGAGGCATTCCGTCAAAATGAGGCAGGGACCTAGGGCTTTCTCTAAGGTCTCCACAGGGGATTCAGACATCCCTTCATGTTGTGAGATGAAAGACGAGCCTGTATTCAAGCCACTGCAAGGAAATCCGGCCTCCTTTCAAGTTAGGGCTTCTCGCTGTATATTCCCCTTGAGGCAGCAAACTCGGGGTCCCTCCCACATACCTATTGCTGAGAGGAGCCTCCTCCTGAGGTGCTTCTGGGAAGTTGGCATACGTCTTGAGCCTAAGCCAGGGAATCAGCTCGCATCTCGAGACGATTTGGGGTACACGGAGCATTCCTCGAGTTGCTGTGCTGAAGTTGGTGTTCCTCTAGACTTGGGACAGTGTTCTCGGGGCATCTCTGGAGTTGCCTGAAGGAAGTCGAGCCACCGGTCGTGTTGAATGGGGAACGGGGAATGGCTCTGGAGTCAATGCAGGGGAATCGGGCCTCATCTCGAGTTGATTTGGGGCACATGGAGCTGCTTTGCGTTGCTGGGGTGACCTCAGGGTCCGTCTAGACTGGTGACAGTGTTCTTGGGGACTGTCTCGAGATCCATTAAGCAAGTCGAAGCTCCTGACTTGTTTGAATGGGGTCACGGAATAGCTCTGCATGCACTGCAGGGGAATGGGGCCTCATCTCGCCTCTAGGGGGAAGTCTCGTGGTTTTTCTCGAGTTGCGGCGGGGACCTGGGGTATGTTCTCGACTTACGGCGGGGATGGCCCTTCAAAACACGAGTTTCTTCAGTGACGTCAGGACTCCTGTCTAGTAACGAGGGACACCTCAGGAATCTCTTCGAGGCTTGGCAGGGCCAAAGGGACGCTTCTCGAGGTGAGGCAGGGCACCCAAGGACCCTTTCCAGTAGCCACAGGGATTTTGGGATTCCTATCAGTATTCAAGAGGAGTCAGGCATCGTCACCTTTTGAAGCAATGAACTCCGCGTGCCTCTCGAGGTGTCAGCGGGATGTGAGGCATTCCGTCAAAATGAGGCAGGGACCTAGGGCTTTCTCTAAGGTCTCCACAGGGGATTCAGACATCCCTTCATGTTGTGAGATGAAAGACGAGCCTGTATTCAAACCACTGCAAGGAAATCCGGCCTCCTTTCAAGTTAGGGCTTCTCGCTGTATATTCCCCTTGAGGCAGCAAACTCGGGGTCCCTCCCACATACCTATTGCTGAGAGGAGCCTCCTCCTGAGGTGCTTCTGGGAAGTTGGCATACGTCTTGAGCCTAAGCCAGGGAATCAGCTCGCCTCTCGAGACGATTTGGGGTACACGGAGCATTCCTCGAGTTGCTGTGCTGAAGTTGGTGTTCCTCTAGACTTGGGACAGTGTTCTCGGGGCATCTCTGGAGTTGCCTGAAGGAAGTCGAGCCACCGGTCGTGTTGAATGGGGAACGGGGAATGGCTCTGGAGTCAATGCAGGGGAATCGGGCCTCATCTCGAGTTGATTTGGGGCACATGGAGCTGCTTTGCGTTGCTGGGGTGACCTCAGGGTCCGTCTAGACTGGTGACAGTGTTCTTGGGGACTGTCTCGAGATCCATTAAGCAAGTCGAAGCTCCTGACTTGTTTGAATGGGATCACGGAATAGCTCTGCATGCACTGCAGGGGAATGGGGCCTCATCTCGCCTCTAGGGGGAAGTCTCATGGTTTTTCTCGAGTTGCGGCGGGGACCTGGGGTATGTTCTCGACTTACGGCGGGGATGGCCCTTCAAAACACGAGTTTCTTCAGTGACGTCAGGACTCCTGTCTAGTAACGAGGGACACCTCAGGAATCTCTTCGAGGCTTGGCAGGGCCAAAGGGACGCTTCTCGAGGTGAGGCAGGGCACCCAAGGACCCTTTCCAGTAGCCACAGGGATTTTGGGATTCCTATCAGTATTCAAGAGGAGTCAGGCATCGTCACCTTTTGAAGCAATGAACTCCGCGTGCCTCTCGAGGTGTCAGCGGGATGTGAGGCATTCCGTCAAAATGAGGCAGGGACCTAGGGCTTTCTCTAAGGTCTCCACAGGGGATTCAGACATCCCTTCATGTTGTGAGATGAAAGACGAGCCTGTATTCAAGCCACTGCAAGGAAATCCGGCCTCCTTTCAAGTTAGGGCTTCTCGCTGTATATTCCCCTTGAGGCAGCAAACTCGGGGTCCCTCCCACATACCTATTGCTGAGAGAAGCCTCCTCCTGAGGTGCTTCTGGGAAGTTGGCATACGTCTTGAGCCTAAGCCAGGGAATCAGCTCGCATCTCGAGACGATTTGGGGTACACGGAGCATTCCTCGAGTTGCTGTGCTGAAGTTGGTGTTCCTCTAGACTTGGGACAGTGTTCTCGGGGCATCTCTGGAGTTGCCTGAAGGAAGTCGAGCCACCGGTCGTGTTGAATGGGGAACGGGGAATGGCTCTGGAGTCAATGCAGGGGAATCGGGCCTCATCTCGAGTTGATTTGGGGCACATGGAGCTGCTTTGCGTTGCTGGGGTGACCTCAGGGTCCGTCTAGACTGGTGACAGTGTTCTTGGGGACTGTCTCGAGATCCATTAAGCAAGTCGAAGCTCCTGACTTGTTTGAATGGGGTCACGGAATAGCTCTGCATGCACTGCAGGGGAATGGGGCCTCATCTCGCCTCTAGGGGGAAGTCTCGTGGTTTTTCTCGAGTTGCGGCGGGGACCTGGGGTATGTTCTCGACTTACGGCGGGGATGGCCCTTCAAAACACGAGTTTCTTCAGTGACGTCAGGACTCCTGTCTAGTAACGAGGGACACCTCAGGAATCTCTTCGAGGCTTGGCAGGGCCAAAGGGACGCTTCTCGAGGTGAGGCAGGGCACCCAAGGACCCTTTCCAGTAGCCACAGGGATTTTGGGATTCCTATCAGTATTCAAGAGGAGTCAGGCATCCTCACCTTTTGAAGCAATGAACTCCGCGTGCCTCTCGAGGTGTCAGCGGGATGTGAGGCATTCCGTCAAAATGAGGCAGGGACCTAGGGCTTTCTCTAAGGTCTCCACAGGGGATTCAGACATCCCTTCATGTTGTGAGATGAAAGACGAGCCTGTATTCAAGCCACTGCAAGGAAATCCGGCCTCCTTTCAAGTTAGGGCTTCTCGCTGTATATTCCCCTTGAGGCAGCAAACTCGGGGTCCCTCCCACATACCTATTGCTGAGAGAAGCCTCCTCCTGAGGTGCTTCTGGGAAGTTGGCATACGTCTTGAGCCTAAGCCAGGGAATCAGCTCGCCTCTCGAGACGATTTGGGGTACACGGAGCATTCCTCGAGTTGCTGTGCTGAAGTTGGTGTTCCTCTAGACTTGGGACAGTGTTCTCGGGGCATCACTGGAGTTGCCTGAAGGAAGTCGAGCCACCGGTCGTGTTGAATGGGGAACGGGGAATGGCTCTGGAGTCAATGCAGGGGAATCGGGCCTCATCTCGAGTTGATTTGGGGCACATGGAGCTGCTTTGCGTTGCTGGGGTGACCTCAGGGTCCGTCTAGACTGGTGACAGTGTTCTTGGGGACTGTCTCGAGATCCATTAAGCAAGTCGAAGCTCCTGACTTGTTTGAATGGGATCACGGAATAGCTCTGCATGCACTGCAGGGGAATGGGGCCTCATCTCGCCTCTAGGGGGAAGTCTCATGGTTTTTCTCGAGTTGCGGCGGGGACCTGGGGTATGTTCTCGACTTACGGCGGGGATGGCCCTTCAAAACACGAGTTTCTTCAGTGACGTCAGGACTCCTGTCTAGTAACGAGGGACACCTCAGGAATCTCTTCGAGGCTTGGCAGGGCCAAAGGGACGCTTCTCGAGGTGAGGCAGGGCACCCAAGGACCCTTTCCAGTAGCCACAGGGATTTTGGGATTCCTATCAGTATTCAAGAGGAGTCAGGCATCGTCACCTTTTGAAGCAATGAACTCCGCGTGCCTCTCGAGGTTTCAGCGGGATGTGAGGCATTCCGTCAAAATGAGGCAGGGACCTAGGGCTTTCTCTAAGGTCTCCACAGGGGATTCAGACATCCCTTCATGTTGTGAGATGAAAGACGAGCCTGTATTCAAGCCACTGCAAGGAAATCCGGCCTCCTTTCAAGTTAGGGCTTCTCGCTGTATATTCCCCTTGAGGCAGCAAACTCGGGGTCCCTCCCACATACCTATTGCTGAGAGAAGCCTCCTCCTGAGGTGCTTCTGGGAAGTTGGCATACGTCTTGAGCCTAAGCCAGGGAATCAGCTCGCCTCTCGAGACGATTTGGGGTACACGGAGCATTCCTCGAGTTGCTGTGCTGAAGTTGGTGTTCCTCTAGACTTGGGACAGTGTTCTCGGGGCATCACTGGAGTTGCCTGAAGGAAGTCGAGCCACCGGTCGTGTTGAATGGGGAACGGGGAATGGCTCTGGAGTCAATGCAGGGGAATCGGGCCTCATCTCGAGTTGATTTGGGGCACATGGAGCTGCTTTGCGTTGCTGGGGTGACCTCAGGGTCCGTCTAGACTGGTGACAGTGTTCTTGGGGACTGTCTCGAGATCCATTAAGCAAGTCGAAGCTCCTGACTTGTTTGAATGGGATCACGGAATAGCTCTGCATGCACTGCAGGGGAATGGGGCCTCATCTCGCCTCTAGGGGGAAGTCTCATGGTTTTTCTCGAGTTGCGGCGGGGACCTGGGGTATGTTCTCGACTTACGGCGGGGATGGCCCTTCAAAACACGAGTTTCTTCAGTGACGTCAGGACTCCTGTCTAGTAACGAGGGACACCTCAGGAATCTCTTCGAGGCTTGGCAGGGCCAAAGGGACGCTTCTCGAGGTGAGGCAGGGCACCCAAGGACCCTTTCCAGTAGCCACAGGGATTTTGGGATTCCTATCAGTATTCAAGAGGAGTCAGGCATCGTCACCTTTTGAAGCAATGAACTCCGCGTGCCTCTCGAGGTGTCAGCGGGATGTGAGGCATTCCGTCAAAATGAGGCAGGGACCTAGGGCTTTCTCTAAGGTCTCCACAGGGGATTCAGACATCCCTTCATGTTGTGAGATGAAAGACGAGCCTGTATTCAAGCCACTGCAAGGAAATCCGGCCTCCTTTCAAGTTAGGGCTTCTCGCTGTATATTCCCCTTGAGGCAGCAAACTCGGGGTCCCTCCCACATACCTATTGCTGAGAGAAGCCTCCTCCTGAGGTGCTTCTGGGAAGTTGGCATACGTCTTGAGCCTAAGCCAGGGAATCAGCTCGCCTCTCGAGACGATTTGGGGTACACGGAGCATTCCTCGAGTTGCTGTGCTGAAGTTGGTGTTCCTCTAGACTTGGGACAGTGTTCTCGGGGCATCACTGGAGTTGCCTGAAGGAAGTCGAGCCACCGGTCGTGTTGAATGGGGAACGGGGAATGGCTCTGGAGTCAATGCAGGGGAATCGGGCCTCATCTCGAGTTGATTTGGGGCACATGGAGCTGCTTTGCGTTGCTGGGGTGACCTCAGGGTCCGTCTAGACTGGTGACAGTGTTCTTGGGGACTGTCTCGAGATCCATTAAGCAAGTCGAAGCTCCTGACTTGTTTGAATGGGGTCACGGAATAGCTCTGCATGCACTGCAGGGGAATGGGGCCTCATCTCGCCTCTAGGGGGAAGTCTCGTGGTTTTTCTCGAGTTGCGGCGGGGACCTGGGGTATGTTCTCGACTTACGGCGGGGATGGCCCTTCAAAACACGAGTTTCTTCAGTGACGTCAGGACTCCTGTCTAGTAACGAGGGACACCTCAGGAATCTCTTCGAGGCTTGGCAGGGCCAAAGGGACGCTTCTCGAGGTGAGGCAGGGCACCCAAGGACCCTTTCCAGTAGCCACAGGGATTTTGGGATTCCTATCAGTATTCAAGAGGAGTCAGGCATCGTCACCTTTTGAAGCAATGAACTCCGCGTGCCTCTCGAGGTGTCAGCGGGATGTGAGGCATTCCGTCAAAATGAGGCAGGGACCTAGGGCTTTCTCTAAGGTCTCCACAGGGGATTCAGACATCCCTTCATGTTGTGAGATGAAAGACGAGCCTGTATTCAAGCCACTGCAAGGAAATCCGGCCTCCTTTCAAGTTAGGGCTTCTCGCTGTATATTCCCCTTGAGGCAGCAAACTCGGGGTCCCTCCCACATACCTATTGCTGAGAGAAGCCTCCTCCTGAGGTGCTTCTGGGAAGTTGGCATACGTCTTGAGCCTAAGCCAGGGAATCAGCTCGCATCTCGAGACGATTTGGGGTACACGGAGCATTCCTCGAGTTGCTGTGCTGAAGTTGGTGTTCCTCTAGACTTGGGACAGTGTTCTCGGGGCATCTCTGGAGTTGCCTGAAGGAAGTCGAGCCACCGGTCGTGTTGAATGGGGAACGGGGAATGGCTCTGGAGTCAATGCAGGGGAATCGGGCCTCATCTCGAGTTGATTTGGGGCACATGGAGCTGCTTTGCGTTGCTGGGGTGACCTCAGGGTCCGTCTAGACTGGTGACAGTGTTCTTGGGGACTGTCTCGAGATCCATTAAGCAAGTCGAAGCTCCTGACTTGTTTGAATGGGATCACGGAATAGCTCTGCATGCACTGAAGGGGAATGGGGCCTCATCTCGCCTCTAGGGGGAAGTCTCGTGGTTTTTCTCGAGTTGCGGCGGGGACCTGGGGTATGTTCTCGACTTACGGCGGGGATGGCCCTTCAAAACACGAGTTTCTTCAGTGACGTCAGGACTCCTGTCTAGTAACGAGGGACACCTCAGGAATCTCTTCGAGGCTTGGCAGGGCCAAAGGGACGCTTCTCGAGGTGAGGCAGGGCACCCAAGGACCCTTTCCAGTAGCCACAGGGATTTTGGGATTCCTATCAGTATTCAAGAGGAGTCAGGCATCGTCACCTTTTGAAGCAATGAACTCCGCGTGCCTCTCGAGGTGTCAGCGGGATGTGAGGCATTCCGTCAAAATGAGGCAGGGACCTAGGGCTTTCTCTAAGGTCTCCACAGGGGATTCAGACATCCCTTCATGTTGTGAGATGAAAGACGAGCCTGTATTCAAGCCACTGCAAGGAAATCCGGCCTCCTTTCAAGTTAGGGCTTCTCGCTGTATATTCCCCTTGAGGCAGCAAACTCGGGGTCCCTCCCACATACCTATTGCTGAGAGGAGCCTCCTCCTGAGGTGCTTCTGGGAAGTTGGCATACGTCTTGAGCATAAGCCAGGGAATCAGCTCGCATCTCGAGACGATTTGGGGTACACGGAGCATTCCTCGAGTTGCTGTGCTGAAGTTGCTGTTCCTCTAGACTTGGGACAGTGTTCTCGGGGCATCTCTGGAGTTGCCTGAAGGAAGTCGAGCCACCGGTCGTGTTGAATGGGGAACGGGGAATGGCTCTGGAGTCAATGCAGGGGAATCGGGCCTCATCTCGAGTTGATTTGGGGCACATGGAGCTGCTTTGCGTTGCTGGGGTGACCTCAGGGTCCGTCTAGACTGGTGACAGTGTTCTTGGGGACTGTCTCGAGATCCATTAAGCAAGTCGAAGCTCCTGACTTGTTTGAATGGGGTCACGGAATAGCTCTGCATGCACTGCAGGGGAATGGGGCCTCATCTCGCCTCTAGGGGGAAGTCTCGTGGTTTTCCTCGAGTTGCGGCGGGGACCTGGGGTATGTTCTCGACTTACGGCGGGGATGGCCCTTCAAAACACGAGTTTCTTCAGTGACGTCAGGACTCCTGTCTAGTAACGAGGGACACCTCAGGAATCTCTTCGAGGCTTGGCAGGGCCAAAGGGACGCTTCTCGAGGTGAGGCAGGGCACCCAAGGACCCTTTCCAGTAGCCACAGGGATTTTGGGATTCCTATCAGTATTCAAGAGGAGTCAGGCATCGTCACCTTTTGAAGCAATGAACTCCGCGTGCCTCTCGAGGTGTCAGCGGGATGTGAGGCATTCCGTCAAAATGAGGCAGGGACCTAGGGCTTTCTCTAAGGTCTCCACAGGGGATTCAGACATCCCTTCATGTTGTGAGATGAAAGACGAGCCTGTATTCAAGCCACTGCAAGGAAATCCGGCCTCCTTTCAAGTTAGGGCTTCTCGCTGTATATTCCCCTTGAGGCAGCAAACTCGGGGTCCCTCCCACATACCTATTGCTGAGAGGAGCCTCCTCCTGAGGTGCTTCTGGGAAGTTGGCATACGTCTTGAGCCTAAGCCAGGGAATCAGCTCGCATCTCGAGACGATTTGGGGTACACGGAGCATTCCTCGAGTTGCTGTGCTGAAGTTGCTGTTCCTCTAGACTTGGGACAGTGTTCTCGGGGCATCTCTGGAGTTGCCTGAAGGAAGTCGAGCCACCGGTCGTGTTGAATGGGGAACGGGGAATGGCTCTGGAGTCAATGCAGGGGAATCGGGCCTCATCTCGAGTTGATTTGGGGCACATGGAGCTGCTTTGCGTTGCTGGGGTGACCTCAGGGTCCGTCTAGACTGGTGACAGTGTTCTTGGGGACTGTCTCGAGATCCATTAAGCAAGTCGAAGCTCCTGACTTGTTTGAATGGGGTCACGGAATAGCTCTGCATGCACTGCAGGGGAATGGGGCCTCATCTCGCCTCTAGGGGGAAGTCTCGTGGTTTTCCTCGAGTTGCGGCGGGGACCTGCGGTATGTTCTCGACTTACGGCGGGGATGGCCCTTCAAAACACGAGTTTCTTCAGTGACGTCAGGACTCCTGTCTAGTAACGAGGGACACCTCAGGAATCTCTTCGAGGCTTGGCAGGGCCAAAGGGACGCTTCTCGAGGTGAGGCAGGGCACCCAAGGACCCTTTCCAGTAGCCACAGGGATTTTGGGATTCCTATCAGTATTCAAGAGGAGTCAGGCATCGTCACCTTTTGAAGCAATGAACTCCGCGTGCCTCTCGAGGTGTCAGCGGGATGTGAGGCATTCCGTCAAAATGAGGCAGGGACCTAGGGCTTTCTCTAAGGTCTCCACAGGGGATTCAGACATCCCTTCATGTTGTGAGATGAAAGACGAGCCTGTATTCAAGCCACTGCAAGGAAATCCGGCCTCCTTTCAAGTTAGGGCTTCTCGCTGTATATTCCCCTTGAGGCAGCAAACTCGGGGTCCCTCCCACATACCTATTGCTGAGAGGAGCCTCCTCCTGAGGTGCTTCTGGGAAGTTGGCATACGTCTTGAGCCTAAGCCAGGGAATCAGCTCGCATCTCGAGACGATTTGGGGTACACGGAGCATTCCTCGAGTTGCTGTGCTGAAGTTGGTGTTCCTCTAGACTTGGGACAGTGTTCTCGGGGCATCTCTGGAGTTGCCTGAAGGAAGTCGAGCCACCGGTCGTGTTGAATGGGGAACGGGGAATGGCTCTGGAGTCAATGCAGGGGAATCGGGCCTCATCTCGAGTTGATTTGGGGCACATGGAGCTGCTTTGCGTTGCTGGGGTGACCTCAGGGTCCGTCTAGACTGGTGACAGTGTTCTTGGGGACTGTCTCGAGATCCATTAAGCAAGTCGAAGCTCCTGACTTGTTTGAATGGGATCACGGAATAGCTCTGCATGCACTGCAGGGGAATGGGGCCTCATCTCGCCTCTAGGGGGAAGTCTCATGGTTTTTCTCGAGTTGCGGCGGGGACCTGGGGTATGTTCTCGACTTACGGCGGGGATGGCCCTTCAAAACACGAGTTTCTTCAGTGACGTCAGGACTCCTGTCTAGTAACGAGGGACACCTCAGGAATCTCTTCGAGGCTTGGCAGGGCCAAAGGGACGCTTCTCGAGGTGAGGCAGGGCACCCAAGGACCCTTTCCAGTAGCCACAGGGATTTTGGGATTCCTATCAGTATTCAAGAGGAGTCAGGCATCGTCACCTTTTGAAGCAATGAACTCCGCGTGCCTCTCGAGGTGTCAGCGGGATGTGAGGCATTCCGTCAAAATGAGGCAGGGACCTAGGGCTTTCTCTAAGGTCTCCACAGGGGATTCAGACATCCCTTCATGTTGTGAGATGAAAGACGAGCCTGTATTCAAGCCACTGCAAGGAAATCCGGCCTCCTTTCAAGTTAGGGCTTCTCGCTGTATATTCCCCTTGAGGCAGCAAACTCGGGGTCCCTCCCACATACCTATTGCTGAGAGATGCCTCCTCCTGAGGTGCTTCTGGGAAGTTGGCATACGTCTTGAGCCTAAGCCAGGGAATCAGCTCGCATCTCGAGACGATTTGGGGTACACGGAGCATTCCTCGAGTTGCTGTGCTGAAGTTGGTGTTCCTCTAGACTTGGGACAGTGTTCTCGGGGCATCTCTGGAGTTGCCTGAAGGAAGTCGAGCCACCGGTCGTGTTGAATGGGGAACGGGGAATGGCTCTGGAGTCAATGCAGGGGAATCGGGCCTCATCTCGAGTTGATTTGGGGCACATGGAGCTGCTTTGCGTTGCTGGGGTGACCTCAGGGTCCGTCTAGACTGGTGACAGTGTTCTTGGGGACTGTCTCGAGATCCATTAAGCAAGTCGAAGCTCCTGACTTGTTTGAATGGGGTCACGGAATAGCTCTGCATGCACTGCAGGGGAATGGGGCCTCATCTCGCCTCTAAGGGGAAGTCTCATGGTTTTTCTCGAGTTGCGGCGGGGACCTGGGGTATGTTCTCGACTTACGGCAGGGATGGCCCTTCAAAACACGAGTTTCTTCAGTGACGTCAGGACTCCTGTCTAGTAACGAGGGACACCTCAGGAATCTCTTCGAGGCTTGGCAGGGCCAAAGGGACGCTTCTCGAGGTGAGGCAGGGCACCCAAGGACCCTTTCCAGTAGCCACAGGGATTTTGGGATTCCTATCAGTATTCAAGAGGAGTCAGGCATCGTCACCTTTTGAAGCAATGAACTCCGCGTGCCTCTCGAGGTGTCAGCGGGATGTGAGGCATTCCGTCAAAATGAGGCAGGGACCTAGGGCTTTCTCTAAGGTCTCCACAGGGGATTCAGACATCCCTTCATGTTGTGAGATGAAAGACGAGCCTGTATTCAAGCCACTGCAAGGAAATCCGGCCTCCTTTCAAGTTAGGGCTTCTCGCTGTATATTCCCCTTGAGGCAGCAAACTCGGGGTCCCTCCCACATACCTATTGCTGAGAGAAGCCTCCTCCTGAGGTGCTTCTGGGAAGTTGGCATACGTCTTGAGCCTAAGCCAGGGAATCAGCTCGCATCTCGAGACGATTTGGGGTACACGGAGCATTCCTCGAGTTGCTGTGCTGAAGTTGCTGTTCCTCTAGACTTGGGACAGTGTTCTCGGGGCATCTCTGGAGTTGCCTGAAGGAAGTCGAGCCACCGGTCGTGTTGAATGGGGAACGGGGAATGGCTCTGGAGTCAATGCAGGGGAATCGGGCCTCATCTCGAGTTGATTTGGGGCACATGGAGCTGCTTTGCGTTGCTGGGGTGACCTCAGGGTCCGTCTAGACTGGTGACAGTGTTCTTGGGGACTGTCTCGAGATCCATTAAGCAAGTCGAAGCTCCTGACTTGTTTGAATGGGGTCACGGAATAGCTCTGCATGCACTGCAGGGGAATGGGGCCTCATCTCGCCTCTAGGGGGAAGTCTCATGGTTTTTCTCGAGTTGCGGCGGGGACCTGGGGTATGTTCTCGACTTACGGCGGGGATGGCCCTTCAAAACACGAGTTTCTTCAGTGACGTCAGGACTCCTGTCTAGTAACGAGGGACACCTCAGGAATCTCTTCGAGGCTTGGCAGGGCCAAAGGGACGCTTCTCGAGGTGAGGCAGGGCACCCAAGGACCCTTTCCAGTAGCCACAGGGATTTTGGGATTCCTATCAGTATTCAAGAGGAGTCAGGCATCGTCACCTTTTGAACCATGAACTCCGCGTGCCTCTCGAGGTGTCAGCGGGATGTGAGGCATTCCGTCAAAATGAGGCAGGGACCTAGGGCTTTCTCTAAGGTCTCCACAGGGGATTCAGACATCCCTTCATGTTGTGAGATGAAAGACGAGCCTGTATTCAAGCCACTGCAAGGAAATCCGGCCTCCTTTCAAGTTAGGGCTTCTCGCTGTATATTCCCCTTGAGGCAGCAAACTCGGGGTCCCTCCCACATACCTATTGCTGAGAGAAGCCTCCTCCTGAGGTGCTTCTGGGAAGTTGGCATACGTCGTGAGCCTAAGCCAGGGAATCAGCTCGCCTCTCGAGACGATTTGGGGTACACGGAGCATTCCTCGAGTTGCTGTGCTGAAGTTGGTGTTCCTCTAGACTTGGGACAGTGTTCTCGGGGCATCTCTGGAGTTGCCTGAAGGAAGTCGAGCCACCGGTCGTGTTGAATGGGGAACGGGGAATGGCTCTGGAGTCAATGCAGGGGAATCGGGCCTCATCTCGAGTTGATTTGGGGCACATGGAGCTGCTTTGCGTTGCTGGGGTGACCTCAGGGTCCGTCTAGACTGGTGACAGTGTTCTTGGGGACTGTCTCGAGATCCATTAAGCAAGTCGAAGCTCCTGACTTATTTGAATGGGGTCACGGAATAGCTCTGCATGCACTGCAGGGGAATGGGGCCTCATCTCGCCTCTAGGGGGAAGTCTCATGGTTTTTCTCGAGTTGCGGCGGGGACCTGGGGTATGTTCTCGACTTACGGCGGGGATGGCCCTTCAAAACACGAGTTTCTTCAGTGACGTCAGGACTCCTGTCTAGTAACGAGGGACACCTCAGGAATCTCTTCGAGGCTTGGCAGGGCCAAAGGGACGCTTCTCGAGGTGAGGCAGGGCACCCAAGGACCCTTTCCAGTAGCCACAGGGATTTTGGGATTCCTATCAGTATTCAAGAGGAGTCAGGCATCGTCACCTTTTGAAGCAATGAACTCCGCGTGCCTCTCGAGGTGTCAGCGGGATGTGAGGCATTCCGTCAAAATGAGGCAGGGACCTAGGGCTTTCTCTAAGGTCTCCACAGGGGATTCAGACATCCCTTCATGTTGTGAGATGAAAGACGAGCCTGTATTCAAGCCACTGCAAGGAAATCCGGCCTCCTTTCAAGTTAGGGCTTCTCGCTGCATCTTCCCCTTGAGGCAGCAAACTCGGGGTCCCTCCCACATACCTATTGCTGAGAGAAGCCTCCTCCTGAGGTGCTTCTGGGAAGTTGGCATACGTCTTGAGCCTAAGCCAGGGAATCAGCTCGCATCTCGAGACGATTTGGGGTACACGGAGCATTCCTCGAGTTGCTGTGCTGAAGTTGGTGTTCCTCTAGACTTGGGACAGTGTTCTCGGGGCATCTCTGGAGTTGCCTGAAGGAAGTCGAGCCACCGGTCGTGTTGAATGGGGAACGGGGAATGGCTCTGGAGTCAATGCAGGGGAATCGGGCCTCATCTCGAGTTGATTTGGGGCACATGGAGCTGCTTTGCGTTGCTGGGGTGACCTCAGGGTCCGTCTAGACTGGTGACAGTGTTCTTGGGGACTGTCTCGAGATCCATTAAGCAAGTCGAAGCTCCTGACTTGTTTGAATGGGATCACGGAATAGCTCTGCATGCACTGCAGGGGAATGGGGCCTCATCTCGCCTCTAGGGGGAAGTCTCATGGTTTTTCTCGAGTTGCGGCGGGGACCTGGGGTATGTTCTCGACTTACGGCGGGGATGGCCCTTCAAAACACGAGTTTCTTCAGTGACGTCAGGACTCCTGTCTAGTAACGAGGGACACCTCAGGAATCTCTTCGAGGCTTGGCAGGGCCAAAGGGACGCTTCTCGAGGTGAGGCAGGGCACCCAAGGACCCTTTCCAGTAGCCACAGGGATTTTGGGATTCCTATCAGTATTCAAGAGGAGTCAGGCATCGTCACCTTTTGAAGCAATGAACTCCGCGTGCCTCTCGAGGTGTCAGCGGGATGTGAGGCATTCCGTCAAAATGAGGCAGGGACCTAGGGCTTTCTCTAAGGTCTCCACAGGGGATTCAGACATCCCTTCATGTTGTGAGATGAAAGACGAGCCTGTATTCAAGCCACTGCAAGGAAATCCGGCCTCCTTTCAAGTTAGGGCTTCTCGCTGTATATTCCCCTTGAGGCAGCAAACTCGGGGTCCCTCCCACATACCTATTGCTGAGAGAAGCCTCCTCCTGAGGTGCTTCTGGGAAGTTGGCATACGTCTTGAGCCTAAGCCAGGGAATCAGCTCGCATCTCGAGACGATTTGGGGTACACGGAGCATTCCTCGAGTTGCTGTGCTGAAGTTGCTGTTCCTCTAGACTTGGGACAGTGTTCTCGGGGCATCTCTGGAGTTGCCTGAAGGAAGTCGAGCCACCGGTCGTGTTGAATGGGGAACGGGGAATGGCTCTGGAGTCAATGCAGGGGAATCGGGCCTCATCTCGAGTTGATTTGGGGCACATGGAGCTGCTTTGCGTTGCTGGGGTGACCTCAGGGTCCGTCTAGACTGGTGACAGTGTTCTTGGGGACTGTCTCGAGATCCATTAAGCAAGTCGAAGCTCCTGACTTGTTTGAATGGGGTCACGGAATAGCTCTGCATGCACTGCAGGGGAATGGGGCCTCATCTCGCCTCTAGGGGGAAGTCTCGTGGTTTTCCTCGAGTTGCGGCGGGGACCTGGGGTATGTTCTCGACTTACGGCGGGGATGGCCCTTCAAAACACGAGTTTCTTCAGTGACGTCAGGACTCCTGTCTAGTAACGAGGGACACCTCAGGAATCTCTTCGAGGCTTGGCAGGGCCAAAGGGACGCTTCTCGAGGTGAGGCAGGGCACCCAAGGACCCTTTCCAGTAGCCACAGGGATTTTGGGATTCCTATCAGTATTCAAGAGGAGTCAGGCATCGTCACCTTTTGAAGCAATGAACTCCGCGTGCCTCTCGAGGTGTCAGCGGGATGTGAGGCATTCCGTCAAAATGAGGCAGGGACCTAGGGCTTTCTCTAAGGTCTCCACAGGGGATTCAGACATCCCTTCATGTTGTGAGATGAAAGACGAGCCTGTATTCAAGCCACTGCAAGGAAATCCGGCCTCCTTTCAAGTTAGGGCTTCTCGCTGTATATTCCCCTTGAGGCAGCAAACTCGGGGTCCCTCCCACATACCTATTGCTGAGAGAAGCCTCCTCCTGAGGTGCTTCTGGGAAGTTGGCATACGTCTTGAGCCTAAGCCAGGGAATCAGCTCGCATCTCGAGACGATTTGGGGTACACGGAGCATTCCTCGAGTTGCTGTGCTGAAGTTGCTGTTCCTCTAGACTTGGGACAGTGTTCTCGGGGCATCTCTGGAGTTGCCTGAAGGAAGTCGAGCCACCGGTCGTGTTGAATGGGGAACGGGGAATGGCTCTGGAGTCAATGCAGGGGAATCGGGCCTCATCTCGAGTTGATTTGGGGCACATGGAGCTGCTTTGCGTTGCTGGGGTGACCTCAGGGTCCGTCTAGACTGGTGACAGTGTTCTTGGGGACTGTCTCGAGATCCATTAAGCAAGTCGAAGCTCCTGACTTATTTGAATGGGGTCACGGAATAGCTCTGCATGCACTGCAGGGGAATGGGGCCTCATCTCGCCTCTAGGGGGAAGTCTCATGGTTTTTCTCGAGTTGCGGCGGGGACCTGGGGTATGTTCTCGACTTACGGCGGGGATGGCCCTTCAAAACACGAGTTTCTTCAGTGACGTCAGGACTCCTGTCTAGTAACGAGGGACACCTCAGGAATCTCTTCGAGGCTTGGCAGGGCCAAAGGGACACTTCTCGAGGTGAGGCAGGGCACCCAAGGACCCTTTCCAGTAGCCACAGGGATTTTGGGATTCCTATCAGTATTCAAGAGGAGTCAGGCATCGTCACCTTTTGAAGCAATGAACTCCGCGTGCCTCTCGAGGTGTCAGCGGGATGTGAGGCATTCCATCAAAATGAGGCAGGGACCAAGGCTTTCTCTAAGGTCTCCACAGGGGATTCAGACATCCCTTCATGTTGTGAGATGAAAGACGAGCCTGTATTCAAGCCACTGCAAGGAAATCCGGCCTCCTTTCAAGTTAGGGCTTCTCGCTGTATATTCCCCTTGAGGCAGCAATCTCGGGGTCCCTCCCACATACCTATTGCTGAGAGAAGCCTCCTCCTGAGGTGCTTCTGGGAAGTTGGCATACGTCTTGAGCCTAAGCCAGGGAATCAGCTCGCATCTCGAGACGATTTGGGGTACACGGAGCATTCCTCGAGTTGCTGTGCTGAAGTTGGTGTTCCTCTAGACTTGGGACAGTGTTCTCGGGGCATCTCTGGAGTTGCCTGAAGGAAGTCGAGCCACCGGTCGTGTTGAATGGGGAACGGGGAATGGCTCTGGAGTCAATGCAGGGGAATCGGGCCTCATCTCGAGTTGATTTGGGGCACATGGAGCTGCTTTGCGTTGCTGGGGTGACCTCAGGGTCCGTCTAGACTGGTGACAGTGTTCTTGGGGACTGTCTCGAGATCCATTAAGCAAGTCGAAGCTCCTGACTTGTTTGAATGGGGTCACGGAATAGCTCTGCATGCACTGCAGGGGAATGGGGCCTCATCTCGCCTCTAGGGGGAAGTCTCATGGTTTTTCTCGAGTTGCGGCGGGGACCTGGGGTATGTTCTCGACTTACGGCGGGGATGGCCCTTCAAAACACGAGTTTCTTCAGTGACGTCAGGACTCCTGTCTAGTAACGAGGGACACCTCAGGAATCTCTTCGAGGCTTGGCAGGGCCAAAGGGACGCTTCTCGAGGTGAGGCAGGGCACCCAAGGACCCTTTCCAGTAGCCACAGGGATTTTGGGATTCCTATCAGTATTCAAGAGGAGTCAGGCATCGTCACCTTTTGAAGCAATGAACTCCGCGTGCCTCTCGAGGTGTCAGCGGGATGTGAGGCATTCCGTCAAAATGAGGCAGGGACCTAGGGCTTTCTCTAAGGTCTCCACAGGGGATTCAGACATCCCTTCATGTTGTGAGATGAAAGACGAGCCTGTATTCAAGCCACTGCAAGGAAATCCGGCCTCCTTTCAAGTTAGGGCTTCTCGCTGCATCTTCCCCTTGAGGCAGCAAACTCGGGGTCCCTCCCACATACCTATTGCTGAGAGAAGCCTCCTCCTGAGGTGCTTCTGGGAAGTTGGCATACGTCTTGAGCCTAAGCCAGGGAATCAGCTCGCATCTCGAGACGATTTGGGGTACACGGAGCATTCCTCGAGTTGCTGTGCTGAAGTTGGTGTTCCTCTAGACTTGGGACAGTGTTCTCGGGGCATCTCTGGAGTTGCCTGAAGGAAGTCGAGCCACCGGTCGTGTTGAATGGGGAACGGGGAATGGCTCTGGAGTCAATGCAGGGGAATCGGGCCTCATCTCGAGTTGATTTGGGGCACATGGAGCTGCTTTGCGTTGCTGGGGTGACCTCAGGGTCCGTCTAGACTGGTGACAGTGTTCTTGGGGACTGTCTCGAGATCCATTAAGCAAGTCGAAGCTCCTGACTTGTTTGAATGGGATCACGGAATAGCTCTGCATGCACTGCAGGGGAATGGGGCCTCATCTCGCCTCTAGGGGGAAGTCTCATGGTTTTTCTCGAGTTGCGGCGGGGACCTGGGGTATGTTCTCGACTTACGGCGGGGATGGCCCTTCAAAACACGAGTTTCTTCAGTGACGTCAGGACTCCTGTCTAGTAACGAGGGACACCTCAGGAATCTCTTCGAGGCTTGGCAGGGCCAAAGGGACGCTTCTCGAGGTGAGGCAGGGCACCCAAGGACCCTTTCCAGTAGCCACAGGGATTTTGGGATTCCTATCAGTATTCAAGAGGAGTCAGGCATCGTCACCTTTTGAAGCAATGAACTCCGCGTGCCTCTCGAGGTGTCAGCGGGATGTGAGGCATTCCGTCAAAATGAGGCAGGGACCTAGGGCTTTCTCTAAGGTCTCCACAGGGGATTCAGACATCCCTTCATGTTGTGAGATGAAAGACGAGCCTGTATTCAAGCCACTGCAAGGAAATCCGGCCTCCTTTCAAGTTAGGGCTTCTCGCTGTATATTCCCCTTGAGGCAGCAAACTCGGGGTCCCTCCCACATACCTATTGCTGAGAGAAGCCTCCTCCTGAGGTGCTTCTGGGAAGTTGGCATACGTCTTGAGCCTAAGCCAGGGAATCAGCTCGCATCTCGAGACGATTTGGGGTACACGGAGCATTCCTCGAGTTGCTGTGCTGAAGTTGCTGTTCCTCTAGACTTGGGACAGTGTTCTCGGGGCATCTCTGGAGTTGCCTGAAGGAAGTCGAGCCACCGGTCGTGTTGAATGGGGAACGGGGAATGGCTCTGGAGTCAATGCAGGGGAATCGGGCCTCATCTCGAGTTGATTTGGGGCACATGGAGCTGCTTTGCGTTGCTGGGGTGACCTCAGGGTCCGTCTAGACTGGTGACAGTGTTCTTGGGGACTGTCTCGAGATCCATTAAGCAAGTCGAAGCTCCTGACTTGTTTGAATGGGGTCACGGAATAGCTCTGCATGCACTGCAGGGGAATGGGGCCTCATCTCGCCTCTAGGGGGAAGTCTCGTGGTTTTCCTCGAGTTGCGGCGGGGACCTGGGGTATGTTCTCGACTTACGGCGGGGATGGCCCTTCAAAACACGAGTTTCTTCAGTGACGTCAGGACTCCTGTCTAGTAACGAGGGACACCTCAGGAATCTCTTCGAGGCTTGGCAGGGCCAAAGGGACGCTTCTCGAGGTGAGGCAGGGCACCCAAGGACCCTTTCCAGTAGCCACAGGGATTTTGGGATTCCTATCAGTATTCAAGAGGAGTCAGGCATCGTCACCTTTTGAAGCAATGAACTCCGCGTGCCTCTCGAGGTGTCAGCGGGATGTGAGGCATTCCATCAAAATGAGGCAGGGACCAAGGCTTTCTCTAAGGTCTCCACAGGGGATTCAGACATCCCTTCATGTTGTGAGATGAAAGACGAGCCTGTATTCAAGCCACTGCAAGGAAATCCGGCCTCCTTTCAAGTTAGGGCTTCTCGCTGTATATTCCCCTTGAGGCAGCAAACTCGGGGTCCCTCCCACATACCTATTGCTGAGAGAAGCCTCCTCCTGAGGTGCTTCTGGGAAGTTGGCATACGTCTTGAGCCTAAGCCAGGGAATCAGCTCGCATCTCGAGACGATTTGGGGTACACGGAGCATTCCTCGAGTTGCTGTGCTGAAGTTGGTGTTCCTCTAGACTTGGGACAGTGTTCTCGGGGCATCTCTGGAGTTGCCTGAAGGAAGTCGAGCCACCGGTCGTGTTGAATGGGGAACGGGGAATGGCTCTGGAGTCAATGCAGGGGAATCGGGCCTCATCTCGAGTTGATTTGGGGCACATGGAGCTGCTTTGCGTTGCTGGGGTGACCTCAGGGTCCGTCTAGACTGGTGACAGTGTTCTTGGGGACTGTCTCGAGATCCATTAAGCAAGTCGAAGCTCCTGACTTGTTTGAATGGGGTCACGGAATAGCTCTGCATGCACTGCAGGGGAATGGGGCCTCATCTCGCCTCTAGGGGGAAGTCTCATGGTTTTTCTCGAGTTGCGGCGGGGACCTGGGGTATGTTCTCGACTTACGGCGGGGATGGCCCTTCAAAACACGAGTTTCTTCAGTGACGTCAGGACTCCTGTCTAGTAACGAGGGACACCTCAGGAATCTCTTCGAGGCTTGGCAGGGCCAAAGGGACGCTTCTCGAGGTGAGGCAGGGCACCCAAGGACCCTTTCCAGTAGCCACAGGGATTTTGGGATTCCTATCAGTATTCAAGAGGAGTCAGGCATCGTCACCTTTTGAAGCAATGAACTCCGCGTGCCTCTCGAGGTGTCAGCGGGATGTGAGGCATTCCGTCAAAATGAGGCAGGGACCTAGGGCTTTCTCTAAGGTCTCCACAGGGGATTCAGACATCCCTTCATGTTGTGAGATGAAAGACGAGCCTGTATTCAAGCCACTGCAAGGAAATCCGGCCTCCTTTCAAGTTAGGGCTTCTCGCTGTATATTCCCCTTGAGGCAGCAAACTCGGGGTCCCTCCCACATACCTATTGCTGAGAGAAGCCTCCTCCTGAGGTGCTTCTGGGAAGTTGGCATACGTCTTGAGCCTAAGCCAGGGAATCAGCTCGCCTCTCGAGACGATTTGGGGTACACGGAGCATTCCTCGAGTTGCTGTGCTGAAGTTGGTGTTCCTCTAGACTTGGGACAGTGTTCTCGGGGCATCTCTGGAGTTGCCTGAAGGAAGTCGAGCCACCGGTCGTGTTGAATGGGGAACGGGAAATGGCTCTGGAGTCAATGCAGGGGAATCGGGCCTCATCTCGAGTTGATTTGGGGCACATGGAGCTGCTTTGCGTTGCTGGGGTGACCTCAGGGTCCGTCTAGACTGGTGACAGTGTTCTTGGGGACTGTCTCGAGATCCATTAAGCAAGTCGAAGCTCCTGACTTATTTGAATGGGGTCACGGAATAGCTCTGCATGCACTGCAGGGGAATGGGGCCTCATCTCGCCTCTAGGGGGAAGTCTCATGGTTTTTCTCGAGTTGCGGCGGGGACCTGGGGTATGTTCTCGACTTACGGCGGGGATGGCCCTTCAAAACACGAGTTTCTTCAGTGACGTCAGGACTCCTGTCTAGTAACGAGGGACACCTCAGGAATCTCTTCGAGGCTTGGCAGGGCCAAAGGGACGCTTCTCGAGGTGAGGCAGGGCACCCAAGGACCCTTTCCAGTAGCCACAGGGATTTTGGGATTCCTATCAGTATTCAAGAGGAGTCAGGCATCGTCACCTTTTGAAGCAATGAACTCCGCGTGCCTCTCGAGGTGTCAGCGGGATGTGAGGCATTCCGTCAAAATGAGGCAGGGACCTCGGGCTTTCTCTAAGGTCTCCACAGGGGATTCAGACATCCCTTCATGTTGTGAGATGAAAGACGAGCCTGTATTCAAGCCACTGCAAGGAAATCCGGCCTCCTTTCAAGTTAGGGCTTCTCGCTGTATATTCCCCTTGAGGCAGCAAACTCGGGGTCCCTCCCACATACCTATTGCTGAGAGAAGCCTCCTCCTGAGGTGCTTCTGGGAAGTTGGCATACGTCTTGAGCCTAAGCCAGGGAATCAGCTCGCATCTCGAGACGATTTGGGGTACACGGAGCATTCCTCGAGTTGCTGTGCTGAAGTTGCTGTTCCTCTAGACTTGGGACAGTGTTCTCGGGGCATCTCTGGAGTTGCCTGAAGGAAGTCGAGCCACCGGTCGTGTTGAATGGGGAACGGGGAATGGCTCTGGAGTCAATGCAGGGGAATCGGGCCTCATCTCGAGTTGATTTGGGGCACATGGAGCTGCTTTGCGTTGCTGGGGTGACCTCAGGGTCCGTCTAGACTGGTGACAGTGTTCTTGGGGACTGTCTCGAGATCCATTAAGCAAGTCGAAGCTCCTGACTTATTTGAATGGGGTCACGGAATAGCTCTGCATGCACTGCAGGGGAATGGGGCCTCATCTCGCCTCTAGGGGGAAGTCTCATGGTTTTTCTCGAGTTGCGGCGGGGACCTGGGGTATGTTCTCGACTTACGGCGGGGATGGCCCTTCAAAACACGAGTTTCTTCAGTGACGTCAGGACTCCTGTCTAGTAACGAGGGACACCTCAGGAATCTCTTCGAGGCTTGGCAGGGCCAAAGGGACACTTCTCGAGGTGAGGCAGGGCACCCAAGGACCCTTTCCAGTAGCCACAGGGATTTTGGGATTCCTATCAGTATTCAAGAGGAGTCAGGCATCGTCACCTTTTGAAGCAATGAACTCCGCGTGCCTCTCGAGGTGTCAGCGGGATGTGAGGCATTCCATCAAAATGAGGCAGGGACCAAGGCTTTCTCTAAGGTCTCCACAGGGGATTCAGACATCCCTTCATGTTGTGAGATGAAAGACGAGCCTGTATTCAAGCCACTGCAAGGAAATCCGGCCTCCTTTCAAGTTAGGGCTTCTCGCTGTATATTCCCCTTGAGGCAGCAAACTCGGGGTCCCTCCCACATACCTATTGCTGAGAGAAGCCTCCTCCTGAGGTGCTTCTGGGAAGTTGGCATACGTCTTGAGCCTAAGCCAGGGAATCAGCTCGCATCTCGAGACGATTTGGGGTACACGGAGCATTCCTCGAGTTGCTGTGCTGAAGTTGGTGTTCCTCTAGACTTGGGACAGTGTTCTCGGGGCATCTCTGGAGTTGCCTGAAGGAAGTCGAGCCACCGGTCGTGTTGAATGGGGAACGGGGAATGGCTCTGGAGTCAATGCAGGGGAATCGGGCCTCATCTCGAGTTGATTTGGGGCACATGGAGCTGCTTTGCGTTGCTGGGGTGACCTCAGGGTCCGTCTAGACTGGTGACAGTGTTCTTGGGGACTGTCTCGAGATCCATTAAGCAAGTCGAAGCTCCTGACTTGTTTGAATGGGGTCACGGAATAGCTCTGCATGCACTGCAGGGGAATGGGGCCTCATCTCGCCTCTAGGGGGAAGTCTCATGGTTTTTCTCGAGTTGCGGCGGGGACCTGGGGTATGTTCTCGACTTACGGCGGGGATGGCCCTTCAAAACACGAGTTTCTTCAGTGACGTCAGGACTCCTGTCTAGTAACGAGGGACACCTCAGGAATCTCTTCGAGGCTTGGCAGGGCCAAAGGGACGCTTCTCGAGGTGAGGCAGGGCACCCAAGGACCCTTTCCAGTAGCCACAGGGATTTTGGGATTCCTATCAGTATTCAAGAGGAGTCAGGCATCGTCACCTTTTGAAGCAATGAACTCCGCGTGCCTCTCGAGGTGTCAGCGGGATGTGAGGCATTCCGTCAAAATGAGGCAGGGACCTAGGGCTTTCTCTAAGGTCTCCACAGGGGATTCAGACATCCCTTCATGTTGTGAGATGAAAGACGAGCCTGTATTCAAGCCACTGCAAGGAAATCCGGCCTCCTTTCAAGTTAGGGCTTCTCGCTGCATCTTCCCCTTGAGGCAGCAAACTCGGGGTCCCTCCCACATACCTATTGCTGAGAGAAGCCTCCTCCTGAGGTGCTTCTGGGAAGTTGGCATACGTCTTGAGCCTAAGCCAGGGAATCAGCTCGCATCTCGAGACGATTTGGGGTACACGGAGCATTCCTCGAGTTGCTGTGCTGAAGTTGGTGTTCCTCTAGACTTGGGACAGTGTTCTCGGGGCATCTCTGGAGTTGCCTGAAGGAAGTCGAGCCACCGGTCGTGTTGAATGGGGAACGGGGAATGGCTCTGGAGTCAATGCAGGGGAATCGGGCCTCATCTCGAGTTGATTTGGGGCACATGGAGCTGCTTTGCGTTGCTGGGGTGACCTCAGGGTCCGTCTAGACTGGTGACAGTGTTCTTGGGGACTGTCTCGAGATCCATTAAGCAAGTCGAAGCTCCTGACTTGTTTGAATGGGATCACGGAATAGCTCTGCATGCACTGCAGGGGAATGGGGCCTCATCTCGCCTCTAGGGGGAAGTCTCATGGTTTTTCTCGAGTTGCGGCGGGGACCTGGGGTATGTTCTCGACTTACGGCGGGGATGGCCCTTCAAAACACGAGTTTCTTCAGTGACGTCAGGACTCCTGTCTAGTAACGAGGGACACCTCAGGAATCTCTTCGAGGCTTGGCAGGGCCAAAGGGACGCTTCTCGAGGTGAGGCAGGGCACCCAAGGACCCTTTCCAGTAGCCACAGGGATTTTGGGATTCCTATCAGTATTCAAGAGGAGTCAGGCATCGTCACCTTTTGAAGCAATGAACTCCGCGTGCCTCTCGAGGTGTCAGCGGGATGTGAGGCATTCCGTCAAAATGAGGCAGGGACCTAGGGCTTTCTCTAAGGTCTCCACAGGGGATTCAGACATCCCTTCATGTTGTGAGATGAAAGACGAGCCTGTATTCAAGCCACTGCAAGGAAATCCGGCCTCCTTTCAAGTTAGGGCTTCTCGCTGTATATTCCCCTTGAGGCAGCAAACTCGGGGTCCCTCCCACATACCTATTGCTGAGAGAAGCCTCCTCCTGAGGTGCTTCTGGGAAGTTGGCATACGTCTTGAGCCTAAGCCAGGGAATCAGCTCGCATCTCGAGACGATTTGGGGTACACGGAGCATTCCTCGAGTTGCTGTGCTGAAGTTGCTGTTCCTCTAGACTTGGGACAGTGTTCTCGGGGCATCTCTGGAGTTGCCTGAAGGAAGTCGAGCCACCGGTCGTGTTGAATGGGGAACGGGGAATGGCTCTGGAGTCAATGCAGGGGAATCGGGCCTCATCTCGAGTTGATTTGGGGCACATGGAGCTGCTTTGCGTTGCTGGGGTGACCTCAGGGTCCGTCTAGACTGGTGACAGTGTTCTTGGGGACTGTCTCGAGATCCATTAAGCAAGTCGAAGCTCCTGACTTGTTTGAATGGGGTCACGGAATAGCTCTGCATGCACTGCAGGGGAATGGGGCCTCATCTCGCCTCTAGGGGGAAGTCTCGTGGTTTTCCTCGAGTTGCGGCGGGGACCTGGGGTATGTTCTCGACTTACGGCGGGGATGGCCCTTCAAAACACGAGTTTCTTCAGTGACGTCAGGACTCCTGTCTAGTAACGAGGGACACCTCAGGAATCTCTTCGAGGCTTGGCAGGGCCAAAGGGACGCTTCTCGAGGTGAGGCAGGGCACCCAAGGACCCTTTCCAGTAGCCACAGGGATTTTGGGATTCCTATCAGTATTCAAGAGGAGTCAGGCATCGTCACCTTTTGAAGCAATGAACTCCGCGTGCCTCTCGAGGTGTCAGCGGGATGTGAGGCATTCCGTCAAAATGAGGCAGGGACCTAGGGCTTTCTCTAAGGTCTCCACAGGGGATTCAGACATCCCTTCATGTTGTGAGATGAAAGACGAGCCTGTATTCAAGCCACTGCAAGGAAATCCGGCCTCCTTTCAAGTTAGGGCTTCTCGCTGTATATTCCCCTTGAGGCAGCAAACTCGGGGTCCCTCCCACATACCTATTGCTGAGAGAAGCCTCCTCCTGAGGTGCTTCTGGGAAGTTGGCATACGTCTTGAGCCTAAGCCAGGGAATCAGCTCGCATCTCGAGACGATTTGGGGTACACGGAGCATTCCTCGAGTTGCTGTGCTGAAGTTGCTGTTCCTCTAGACTTGGGACAGTGTTCTCGGGGCATCTCTGGAGTTGCCTGAAGGAAGTCGAGCCACCGGTCGTGTTGAATGGGGAACGGGGAATGGCTCTGGAGTCAATGCAGGGGAATCGGGCCTCATCTCGAGTTGATTTGGGGCACATGGAGCTGCTTTGCGTTGCTGGGGTGACCTCAGGGTCCGTCTAGACTGGTGACAGTGTTCTTGGGGACTGTCTCGAGATCCATTAAGCAAGTCGAAGCTCCTGACTTATTTGAATGGGGTCACGGAATAGCTCTGCATGCACTGCAGGGGAATGGGGCCTCATCTCGCCTCTAGGGGGAAGTCTCATGGTTTTTCTCGAGTTGCGGCGGGGACCTGGGGTATGTTCTCGACTTACGGCGGGGATGGCCCTTCAAAACACGAGTTTCTTCAGTGACGTCAGGACTCCTGTCTAGTAACGAGGGACACCTCAGGAATCTCTTCGAGGCTTGGCAGGGCCAAAGGGACACTTCTCGAGGTGAGGCAGGGCACCCAAGGACCCTTTCCAGTAGCCACAGGGATTTTGGGATTCCTATCAGTATTCAAGAGGAGTCAGGCATCGTCACCTTTTGAAGCAATGAACTCCGCGTGCCTCTCGAGGTGTCAGCGGGATGTGAGGCATTCCATCAAAATGAGGCAGGGACCAAGGCTTTCTCTAAGGTCTCCACAGGGGATTCAGACATCCCTTCATGTTGTGAGATGAAAGACGAGCCTGTATTCAAGCCACTGCAAGGAAATCCGGCCTCCTTTCAAGTTAGGGCTTCTCGCTGTATATTCCCCTTGAGGCAGCAAACTCGGGGTCCCTCCCACATACCTATTGCTGAGAGAAGCCTCCTCCTGAGGTGCTTCTGGGAAGTTGGCATACGTCTTGAGCCTAAGCCAGGGAATCAGCTCGCATCTCGAGACGATTTGGGGTACACGGAGCATTCCTCGAGTTGCTGTGCTGAAGTTGGTGTTCCTCTAGACTTGGGACAGTGTTCTCGGGGCATCTCTGGAGTTGCCTGAAGGAAGTCGAGCCACCGGTCGTGTTGAATGGGGAACGGGGAATGGCTCTGGAGTCAATGCAGGGGAATCGGGCCTCATCTCGAGTTGATTTGGGGCACATGGAGCTGCTTTGCGTTGCTGGGGTGACCTCAGGGTCCGTCTAGACTGGTGACAGTGTTCTTGGGGACTGTCTCGAGATCCATTAAGCAAGTCGAAGCTCCTGACTTGTTTGAATGGGGTCACGGAATAGCTCTGCATGCACTGCAGGGGAATGGGGCCTCATCTCGCCTCTAGGGGGAAGTCTCATGGTTTTTCTCGAGTTGCGGCGGGGACCTGGGGTATGTTCTCGACTTACGGCGGGGATGGCCCTTCAAAACACGAGTTTCTTCAGTGACGTCAGGACTCCTGTCTAGTAACGAGGGACACCTCAGGAATCTCTTCGAGGCTTGGCAGGGCCAAAGGGACGCTTCTCGAGGTGAGGCAGGGCACCCAAGGACCCTTTCCAGTAGCCACAGGGATTTTGGGATTCCTATCAGTATTCAAGAGGAGTCAGGCATCGTCACCTTTTGAAGCAATGAACTCCGCGTGCCTCTCGAGGTGTCAGCGGGATGTGAGGCATTCCGTCAAAATGAGGCAGGGACCTAGGGCTTTCTCTAAGGTCTCCACAGGGGATTCAGACATCCCTTCATGTTGTGAGATGAAAGACGAGCCTGTATTCAAGCCACTGCAAGGAAATCCGGCCTCCTTTCAAGTTAGGGCTTCTCGCTGTATATTCCCCTTGAGGCAGCAAACTCGGGGTCCCTCCCACATACCTATTGCTGAGAGAAGCCTCCTCCTGAGGTGCTTCTGGGAAGTTGGCATACGTCTTGAGCCTAAGCCAGGGAATCAGCTCGCCTCTCGAGACGATTTGGGGTACACGGAGCATTCCTCGAGTTGCTGTGCTGAAGTTGGTGTTCCTCTAGACTTGGGACAGTGTTCTCGGGGCATCTCTGGAGTTGCCTGAAGGAAGTCGAGCCACCGGTCGTGTTGAATGGGGAACGGGAAATGGCTCTGGAGTCAATGCAGGGGAATCGGGCCTCATCTCGAGTTGATTTGGGGCACATGGAGCTGCTTTGCGTTGCTGGGGTGACCTCAGGGTCCGTCTAGACTGGTGACAGTGTTCTTGGGGACTGTCTCGAGATCCATTAAGCAAGTCGAAGCTCCTGACTTATTTGAATGGGGTCACGGAATAGCTCTGCATGCACTGCAGGGGAATGGGGCCTCATCTCGCCTCTAGGGGGAAGTCTCATGGTTTTTCTCGAGTTGCGGCGGGGACCTGGGGTATGTTCTCGACTTACGGCGGGGATGGCCCTTCAAAACACGAGTTTCTTCAGTGACGTCAGGACTCCTGTCTAGTAACGAGGGACACCTCAGGAATCTCTTCGAGGCTTGGCAGGGCCAAAGGGACGCTTCTCGAGGTGAGGCAGGGCACCCAAGGACCCTTTCCAGTAGCCACAGGGATTTTGGGATTCCTATCAGTATTCAAGAGGAGTCAGGCATCGTCACCTTTTGAAGCAATGAACTCCGCGTGCCTCTCGAGGTGTCAGCGGGATGTGAGGCATTCCGTCAAAATGAGGCAGGGACCTCGGGCTTTCTCTAAGGTCTCCACAGGGGATTCAGACATCCCTTCATGTTGTGAGATGAAAGACGAGCCTGTATTCAAGCCACTGCAAGGAAATCCGGCCTCCTTTCAAGTTAGGGCTTCTCGCTGTATATTCCCCTTGAGGCAGCAAACTCGGGGTCCCTCCCACATACCTATTGCTGAGAGAAGCCTCCTCCTGAGGTGCTTCTGGGAAGTTGGCATACGTCTTGAGCCTAAGCCAGGGAATCAGCTCGCCTCTCGAGACGATTTGGGGTACACGGAGCATTCCTCGAGTTGCTGTGCTGAAGTTGGTGTTCCTCTAGACTTGGGACAGTGTTCTCGGGGCATCACTGGAGTTGCCTGAAGGAAGTCGAGCCACCGGTCGTGTTGAATGGGGAACGGGGAATGGCTCTGGAGTCAATGCAGGGGAATCGGGCCTCATCTCGAGTTGATTTGGGGCACATGGAGCTGCTTTGCGTTGCTGGGATGACCTCAGGGTCCGTCTAGACTGGTGACAGTGTTCTTGGGGACTGTCTCGAGATCCATTAAGCAAGTCGAAGCTCCTGACTTGTTTGAATGGGATCACGGAATAGCTCTGCATGCACTGCAGGGGAATGGGGCCTCATCTCGCCTCTAGGGGGAAGTCTCATGGTTTTTCTCGAGTTGCGGCGGGGACCTGGGGTATGTTCTCGACTTACGGCGGGGATGGCCCTTCAAAACACGAGTTTCTTCAGTGACGTCAGGACTCCTGTCTAGTAACGAGGGACACCTCAGGAATCTCTTCGAGGCTTGGCAGGGCCAAAGGGACGCTTCTCGAGGTGAGGCAGGGCACCCAAGGACCCTTTCCAGTAGCCACAGGGATTTTGGGATTCCTATCAGTATTCAAGAGGAGTCAGGCATCGTCACCTTTTGAAGCAATGAACTCCGCGTGCCTCTCGAGGTGTCAGCGGGATGTGAGGCATTCCGTCAAAATGAGGCAGGGACCTAGGGCTTTCTCTAAGGTCTCCACAGGGGATTCAGACATCCCTTCATGTTGTGAGATGAAAGACGAGCCTGTATTCAAGCCACTGCAAGGAAATCCGGCCTCCTTTCAAGTTAGGGCTTCTCGCTGTATATTCCCCTTGAGGCAGCAAACTCGGGGTCCCTCCCACATACTTATTGCTGAGAGAAGCCTCCTCCTCAGGTGCTTCTGGGAAGTTGGCATACGTCTTGAGCCTAAGCCAGGGAATCAGCTCGCCTCTCGAGACGATTTGGGGTACACAGAGCATTCCTCGAGGTGCTGTGCTGAAGTTGGTGTTCCTCTAGACTTGGGACAGTGTTCTCGGGGCATCTCTGGAGTTGCCTGAAGGAAGTCGAGCCACCGGTCGTGTTGAATGGGGAACGGGGAATGGCTCTGGAGTCAATGCAGGGGAATCGGGCCTCATCTCGAGTTGATTTGGGGCACATGGAGCTGCTTTGCGTTGCTGGGGTGACCTCAGGGTCCGTCTAGACTGGTGACAGTGTTCTTGGGGACTGTCTCGAGATCCATTAAGCAAGTCGAAGCTCCTGACTTGTTTGAATGGGATCACGGAATAGCTCTGCATGCACTGCAGGGGAATGGGGCCTCATCTCGCCTCTAGGGGGAAGTCTCATGGTTTTTCTCGAGTTGCGGCGGGGACCTGGGGTATGTTCTCGACTTACGGCGGGGATGGCCCTTCAAAACACGAGTTTCTTCAGTGACGTCAGGACTCCTGTCTAGTAACGAGGGACACCTCAGGAATATCTTCGAGGCTTGGCAGGGCCAAAGGGACGCTTCTCGAGGTGAGGCAGGGCACCCAAGGACCCTTTCCAGTAGCCACAGGGATTTTGGGATTCCTATCAGTATTCAAGAGGAGTCAGGCATCGTCACCTTTTGAAGCAATGAACTCCGCGTGCCTCTTGAGGTGTCAGCGGGATGTGAGGCATTCCGTCAAAATGAGGCAGGGACCTAGGGCTTTCTCTAAGGTCTCCACAGGGGATTCAGACATCCCTTCATGTTGTGAGATGAAAGACGAGCCTGTATTCAAGCCACTGCAAGGAAATCCGGCCTCCTTTCAAGTTAGGGCTTCTCGCTGTATATTCCCCTTGAGGCAGCAAACTCGGGGTCCCTCCCACATACCTATTGCTGAGAGAAGCCTCCTCCTGAGGTGCTTCTGGGAAGTTGGCATACGTCTTGAGCCTAAGCCAGGGAATCAGCTCGCATCTCGAGACGATTTGGGGTACACGGAGCATTCCTCGAGTTGCTGTGCTGAAGTTGCTGTTCCTCTAGACTTGGGACAGTGTTCTCGGGGCATCTCTGGAGTTGCCTGAAGGAAGTCGAGCCACCGGTCGTGTTGAATGGGGAACGGGGAATGGCTCTGGAGTCAATGCAGGGGAATCGGGCCTCATCTCGAGTTGATTTGGGGCACATGGAGCTGCTTTGCGTTGCTGGGGTGACCTCAGGGTCCGTCTAGACTGGTGACAGTGTTCTTGGGGACTGTCTCGAGATCCATTAAGCAAGTCGAAGCTCCTGACTTGTTTGAATGGGGTCACGGAATAGCTCTGCATGCACTGCAGGGGAATGGGGCCTCATCTCGCCTCTAGGGGGAAGTCTCGTGGTTTTCCTCGAGTTGCGGCGGGGACCTGGGGTATGTTCTCGACTTACGGCGGGGATGGCCCTTCAAAACACGAGTTTCTTCAGTGACGTCAGGACTCCTGTCTAGTAACGAGGGACACCTCAGGAATCTCTTCGAGGCTTGGCAGGGCCAAAGGGACGCTTCTCGAGGTGAGGCAGGGCACCCAAGGACCCTTTCCAGTAGCCACAGGGATTTTGGGATTCCTATCAGTATTCAAGAGGAGTCAGGCATCGTCACCTTTTGAAGCAATGAACTCCGCGTGCCTCTCGAGGTGTCAGCGGGATGTGAGGCATTCCGTCAAAATGAGGCAGGGACCTAGGGCTTTCTCTAAGGTCTCCACAGGGGATTCAGACATCCCTTCATGTTGTGAGATGAAAGACGAGCCTGTATTCAAGCCACTGCAAGGAAATCCGGCCTCCTTTCAAGTTAGGGCTTCTCGCTGTATATTCCCCTTGAGGCAGCAAACTCGGGGTCCCTCCCACATACCTATTGCTGAGAGAAGCCTCCTCCTGAGGTGCTTCTGGGAAGTTGGCATACGTCTTGAGCCTAAGCCAGGGAATCAGCTCGCATCTCGAGACGATTTGGGGTACACGGAGCATTCCTCGAGTTGCTGTGCTGAAGTTGCTGTTCCTCTAGACTTGGGACAGTGTTCTCGGGGCATCTCTGGAGTTGCCTGAAGGAAGTCGAGCCACCGGTCGTGTTGAATGGGGAACGGGGAATGGCTCTGGAGTCAATGCAGGGGAATCGGGCCTCATCTCGAGTTGATTTGGGGCACATGGAGCTGCTTTGCGTTGCTGGGGTGACCTCAGGGTCCGTCTAGACTGGTGACAGTGTTCTTGGGGACTGTCTCGAGATCCATTAAGCAAGTCGAAGCTCCTGACTTGTTTGAATGGGATCACGGAATAGCTCTGCATGCACTGCAGGGGAATGGGGCCTCATCTCGCCTCTAGGGGGAAGTCTCATGGTTTTTCTCGAGTTGCGGCGGGGACCTGGGGTATGTTCTCGACTTACGGCGGGGATGGCCCTTCAAAACACGAGTTTCTTCAGTGACGTCAGGACTCCTGTCTAGTAACGAGGGACACCTCAGGAATCTCTTCGAGGCTTGGCAGGGCCAAAGGGACGCTTCTCGAGGTGAGGCAGGGCACCCAAGGACCCTTTCCAGTAGCCACAGGGATTTTGGGATTCCTATCAGTATTCAAGAGGAGTCAGGCATCGTCACCTTTTGAAGCAATGAACTCCGCGTGCCTCTCGAGGTGTCAGCGGGATGTGAGGCATTCCGTCAAAATGAGGCAGGGACCTAGGGCTTTCTCTAAGGTCTCCACAGGGGATTCAGACATCCCTTCATGTTGTGAGATGAAAGACGAGCCTGTATTCAAGCCACTGCAAGGAAATCCGGCCTCCTTTCAAGTTAGGGCTTCTCGCTGTATATTCCCCTTGAGGCAGCAAACTCGGGGTCCCTCCCACATACCTATTGCTGAGAGGAGCCTCCTCCTGAGGTGCTTCTGGGAAGTTGGCATACGTCTTGAGCCTAAGCCAGGGAATCAGCTCGCATCTCGAGACGATTTGGGGTACACGGAGCATTCCTCGAGTTGCTGTGCTGAAGTTGCTGTTCCTCTAGACTTGGGACAGTGTTCTCGGGGCATCTCTGGAGTTGCCTGAAGGAAGTCGAGCCACCGGTCGTGTTGAATGGGGAACGGGGAATGGCTCTGGAGTCAATGCAGGGGAATCGGGCCTCATCTCGAGTTGATTTGGGGCACATGGAGCTGCTTTGCGTTGCTGGGGTGACCTCAGGGTCCGTCTAGACTGGTGACAGTGTTCTTGGGGACTGTCTCGAGATCCATTAAGCAAGTCGAAGCTCCTGACTTGTTTGAATGGGGTCACGGAATAGCTCTGCATGCACTGCAGGGGAATGGGGCCTCATCTCGCCTCTAGGGGGAAGTCTCGTGGTTTTCCTCGAGTTGCGGCGGGGACCTGGGGTATGTTCTCGACTTACGGCGGGGATGGCCCTTCAAAACACGAGTTTCTTCAGTGACGTCAGGACTCCTGTCTAGTAACGAGGGACACCTCAGGAATCTCTTCGAGGCTTGGCAGGGCCAAAGGGACGCTTCTCGAGGTGAGGCAGGGCACCCAAGGACCCTTTCCAGTAGCCACAGGGATTTTGGGATTCCTATCAGTATTCAAGAGGAGTCAGGCATCATCACCTTTTGAAGCAATGAACTCCGCGTGCCTCTCGAGGTGTCAGCGGGATGTGAGGCATTCCGTCAAAATGAGGCAGGGACCTAGGGCTTTCTCTAAGGTCTCCACAGGGGATTCAGACATCCCTTCATGTTGTGAGATGAAAGACGAGCCTGTATTCAAGCCACTGCAAGGAAATCCGGCCTCCTTTCAAGTTAGGGCTTCTCGCTGTATATTCCCCTTGAGGCAGCAAACTCGGGGTCCCTCCCACATACCTATTGCTGAGAGGAGCCTCCTCCTGAGGTGCTTCTGGGAAGTTGGCATACGTCTTGAGCCTAAGCCAGGGAATCAGCTCGCATCTCGAGACGATTTGGGGTACACGGAGCATTCCTCGAGTTGCTGTGCTGAAGTTGGTGTTCCTCTAGACTTGGGACAGTGTTCTCGGGGCATCTCTGGAGTTGCCTGAAGGAAGTCGAGCCACCGGTCGTGTTGAATGGGGAACGGGGAATGGCTCTGGAGTCAATGCAGGGGAATCGGGCCTCATCTCGAGTTGATTTGGGGCACATGGAGCTGCTTTGCGTTGCTGGGGTGACCTCAGGGTCCGTCTAGACTGGTGACAGTGTTCTTGGGGACTGTCTCGAGATCCATTAAGCAAGTCGAAGCTCCTGACTTGTTTGAATGGGGTCACGGAATAGCTCTGCATGCACTGCAGGGGAATGGGGCCTCATCTCGCCTCTAGGGGGAAGTCTCATGGTTTTTCTCGAGTTGCGGCGGGGACCTGGGGTATGTTCTCGACTTACGGCGGGGATGGCCCTTCAAAACACGAGTTTCTTCAGTGACGTCAGGACTCCTGTCTAGTAACGAGGGACACCTCAGGAATCTCTTCGAGGCTTGGCAGGGCCAAAGGGACGCTTCTCGAGGTGAGGCAGGGCACCCAAGGACCCTTTCCAGTAGCCACAGGGATTTTGGGATTCCTATCAGTATTCAAGAGGAGTCAGGCATCGTCACCTTTTGAAGCAATGAACTCCGCGTGCCTCTCGAGGTGTCAGCGGGATGTGAGGCATTCCGTCAAAATGAGGCAGGGACCTAGGGCTTTCTCTAAGGTCTCCACAGGGGATTCAGACATCCCTTCATGTTGTGAGATGAAAGACGAGCCTGTATTCAAGCCACTGCAAGGAAATCCGGCCTCCTTTCAAGTTAGGGCTTCTCGCTGTATATTCCCCTTGAGGCAGCAAACTCGGGGTCCCTCCCACATACCTATTGCTGAGAGATGCCTCCTCCTGAGGTGCTTCTGGGAAGTTGGCATACGTCTTGAGCCTAAGCCAGGGAATCAGCTCGCATCTCGAGACGATTTGGGGTACACGGAGCATTCCTCGAGTTGCTGTGCTGAAGTTGGTGTTCCTCTAGACTTGGGACAGTGTTCTCGGGGCATCTCTGGAGTTGCCTGAAGGAAGTCGAGCCACCGGTCGTGTTGAATGGGGAACGGGGAATGGCTCTGGAGTCAATGCAGGGGAATCGGGCCTCATCTCGAGTTGATTTGGGGCACATGGAGCTGCTTTGCGTTGCTGGGGTGACCTCAGGGTCCGTCTAGACTGGTGACAGTGTTCTTGGGGACTGTCTCGAGATCCATTAAGCAAGTCGAAGCTCCTGACTTGTTTGAATGGGGTCACGGAATAGCTCTGCATGCACTGCAGGGGAATGGGGCCTCATCTCGCCTCTAAGGGGAAGTCTCATGGTTTTTCTCGAGTTGCGGCGGGGACCTGGGGTATGTTCTCGACTTACGGCAGGGATGGCCCTTCAAAACACGAGTTTCTTCAGTGACGTCAGGACTCCTGTCTAGTAACGAGGGACACCTCAGGAATCTCTTCGAGGCTTGGCAGGGCCAAAGGGACGCTTCTCGAGGTGAGGCAGGGCACCCAAGGACCCTTTCCAGTAGCCACAGGGATTTTGGGATTCCTATCAGTATTCAAGAGGAGTCAGGCATCGTCACCTTTTGAAGCAATGAACTCCGCGTGCCTCTCGAGGTGTCAGCGGGATGTGAGGCATTCCGTCAAAATGAGGCAGGGACCTAGGGCTTTCTCTAAGGTCTCCACAGGGGATTCAGACATCCCTTCATGTTGTGAGATGAAAGACGAGCCTGTATTCAAGCCACTGCAAGGAAATCCGGCCTCCTTTCAAGTTAGGGCTTCTCGCTGTATATTCCCCTTGAGGCAGCAAACTCGGGGTCCCTCCCACATACCTATTGCTGAGAGAAGCCTCCTCCTGAGGTGCTTCTGGGAAGTTGGCATACGTCTTGAGCCTAAGCCAGGGAATCAGCTCGCATCTCGAGACGATTTGGGGTACACGGAGCATTCCTCGAGTTGCTGTGCTGAAGTTGCTGTTCCTCTAGACTTGGGACAGTGTTCTCGGGGCATCTCTGGAGTTGCCTGAAGGAAGTCGAGCCACCGGTCGTGTTGAATGGGGAACGGGGAATGGCTCTGGAGTCAATGCAGGGGAATCGGGCCTCATCTCGAGTTGATTTGGGGCACATGGAGCTGCTTTGCGTTGCTGGGGTGACCTCAGGGTCCGTCTAGACTGGTGACAGTGTTCTTGGGGACTGTCTCGAGATCCATTAAGCAAGTCGAAGCTCCTGACTTGTTTGAATGGGGTCACGGAATAGCTCTGCATGCACTGCAGGGGAATGGGGCCTCATCTCGCCTCTAGGGGGAAGTCTCATGGTTTTTCTCGAGTTGCGGCGGGGACCTGGGGTATGTTCTCGACTTACGGCGGGGATGGCCCTTCAAAACACGAGTTTCTTCAGTGACGTCAGGACTCCTGTCTAGTAACGAGGGACACCTCAGGAATCTCTTCGAGGCTTGGCAGGGCCAAAGGGACGCTTCTCGAGGTGAGGCAGGGCACCCAAGGACCCTTTCCAGTAGCCACAGGGATTTTGGGATTCCTATCAGTATTCAAGAGGAGTCAGGCATCGTCACCTTTTGAAGCAATGAACTCCGCGTGCCTCTCGAGGTGTCAGCGGGATGTGAGGCATTCCGTCAAAATGAGGCAGGGACCTAGGGCTTTCTCTAAGGTCTCCACAGGGGATTCAGACATCCCTTCATGTTGTGAGATGAAAGACGAGCCTGTATTCAAGCCACTGCAAGGAAATCCGGCCTCCTTTCAAGTTAGGGCTTCTCGCTGTATATTCCCCTTGAGGCAGCAAACTCGGGGTCCCTCCCACATACCTATTGCTGAGAGAAGCCTCCTCCTGAGGTGCTTCTGGGAAGTTGGCATACGTCGTGAGCCTAAGCCAGGGAATCAGCTCGCCTCTCGAGACGATTTGGGGTACACGGAGCATTCCTCGAGTTGCTGTGCTGAAGTTGGTGTTCCTCTAGACTTGGGACAGTGTTCTCGGGGCATCTCTGGAGTTGCCTGAAGGAAGTCGAGCCACCGGTCGTGTTGAATGGGGAACGGGGAATGGCTCTGGAGTCAATGCAGGGGAATCGGGCCTCATCTCGAGTTGATTTGGGGCACATGGAGCTGCTTTGCGTTGCTGGGGTGACCTCAGGGTCCGTCTAGACTGGTGACAGTGTTCTTGGGGACTGTCTCGAGATCCATTAAGCAAGTCGAAGCTCCTGACTTGTTTGAATGGGATCACGGAATAGCTCTGCATGCACTGCAGGGGAATGGGGCCTCATCTCGCCTCTAGGGGGAAGTCTCATGGTTTTTCTCGAGTTGCGGCGGGGACCTGGGGTATGTTCTCGACTTACGGCGGGGATGGCCCTTCAAAACACGAGTTTCTTCAGTGACGTCAGGACTCCTGTCTAGTAACGAGGGACACCTCAGGAATCTCTTCGAGGCTTGGCAGGGCCAAAGGGACGCTTCTCGAGGTGAGGCAGGGCACCCAAGGACCCTTTCCAGTAGCCACAGGGATTTTGGGATTCCTATCAGTATTCAAGAGGAGTCAGGCATCGTCACCTTTTGAAGCAATGAACTCCGCGTGCCTCTCGAGGTGTCAGCGGGATGTGAGGCATTCCGTCAAAATGAGGCAGGGACCTAGGGCTTTCTCTAAGGTCTCCACAGGGGATTCAGACATCCCTTCATGTTGTGAGATGAAAGACGAGCCTGTATTCAAGCCACTGCAAGGAAATCCGGCCTCCTTTCAAGTTAGGGCTTCTCGCTGTATATTCCCCTTGAGGCAGCAAACTCGGGGTCCCTCCCACATACCTATTGCTGAGAGAAGCCTCCTCCTGAGGTGCTTCTGGGAAGTTGGCATACGTCTTGAGCCTAAGCCAGGGAATCAGCTCGCATCTCGAGACGATTTGGGGTACACGGAGCATTCCTCGAGTTGCTGTGCTGAAGTTGCTGTTCCTCTAGACTTGGGACAGTGTTCTCGGGGCATCTCTGGAGTTGCCTGAAGGAAGTCGAGCCACCGGTCGTGTTGAATGGGGAACGGGGAATGGCTCTGGAGTCAATGCAGGGGAATCGGGCCTCATCTCGAGTTGATTTGGGGCACATGGAGCTGCTTTGCGTTGCTGGGGTGACCTCAGGGTCCGTCTAGACTGGTGACAGTGTTCTTGGGGACTGTCTCGAGATCCATTAAGCAAGTCGAAGCTCCTGACTTGTTTGAATGGGGTCACGGAATAGCTCTGCATGCACTGCAGGGGAATGGGGCCTCATCTCGCCTCTAGGGGGAAGTCTCATGGTTTTTCTCGAGTTGCGGCGGGGACCTGGGGTATGTTCTCGACTTACGGCGGGGATGGCCCTTCAAAACACGAGTTTCTTCAGTGACGTCAGGACTCCTGTCTAGTAACGAGGGACACCTCAGGAATCTCTTCGAGGCTTGGCAGGGCCAAAGGGACGCTTCTCGAGGTGAGGCAGGGCACCCAAGGACCCTTTCCAGTAGCCACAGGGATTTTGGGATTCCTATCAGTATTCAAGAGGAGTCAGGCATCGTCACCTTTTGAACCATGAACTCCGCGTGCCTCTCGAGGTGTCAGCGGGATGTGAGGCATTCCGTCAAAATGAGGCAGGGACCTAGGGCTTTCTCTAAGGTCTCCACAGGGGATTCAGACATCCCTTCATGTTGTGAGATGAAAGACGAGCCTGTATTCAAGCCACTGCAAGGAAATCCGGCCTCCTTTCAAGTTAGGGCTTCTCGCTGTATATTCCCCTTGAGGCAGCAAACTCGGGGTCCCTCCCACATACCTATTGCTGAGAGAAGCCTCCTCCTGAGGTGCTTCTGGGAAGTTGGCATACGTCGTGAGCCTAAGCCAGGGAATCAGCTCGCCTCTCGAGACGATTTGGGGTACACGGAGCATTCCTCGAGTTGCTGTGCTGAAGTTGGTGTTCCTCTAGACTTGGGACAGTGTTCTCGGGGCATCTCTGGAGTTGCCTGAAGGAAGTCGAGCCACCGGTCGTGTTGAATGGGGAACGGGGAATGGCTCTGGAGTCAATGCAGGGGAATCGGGCCTCATCTCGAGTTGATTTGGGGCACATGGAGCTGCTTTGCGTTGCTGGGGTGACCTCAGGGTCCGTCTAGACTGGTGACAGTGTTCTTGGGGACTGTCTCGAGATCCATTAAGCAAGTCGAAGCTCCTGACTTGTTTGAATGGGATCACGGAATAGCTCTGCATGCACTGCAGGGGAATGGGGCCTCATCTCGCCTCTAGGGGGAAGTCTCATGGTTTTTCTCGAGTTGCGGCGGGGACCTGGGGTATGTTCTCGACTTACGGCGGGGATGGCCCTTCAAAACACGAGTTTCTTCAGTGACGTCAGGACTCCTGTCTAGTAACGAGGGACACCTCAGGAATCTCTTCGAGGCTTGGCAGGGCCAAAGGGACGCTTCTCGAGGTGAGGCAGGGCACCCAAGGACCCTTTCCAGTAGCCACAGGGATTTTGGGATTCCTATCAGTATTCAAGAGGAGTCAGGCATCGTCACCTTTTGAAGCAATGAACTCCGCGTGCCTCTCGAGGTGTCAGCGGGATGTGAGGCATTCCGTCAAAATGAGGCAGGGACCTAGGGCTTTCTCTAAGGTCTCCACAGGGGATTCAGACATCCCTTCATGTTGTGAGATGAAAGACGAGCCTGTATTCAAGCCACTGCAAGGAAATCCGGCCTCCTTTCAAGTTAGGGCTTCTCGCTGTATAGTCCCCTTGAGGCAGCAAACTCGGGGTCCCTCCCACATACCTATTGCTGAGAGAAGCCTCCTCCTGAGGTGCTTCTGGGAAGTTGGCATACGTCTTGAGCCTAAGCCAGGGAATCAGCTCGCATCTCGAGACGATTTGGGGTACACGGAGCATTCCTCGAGTTGCTGTGCTGAAGTTGGTGTTCCTCTAGACTTGGGACAGTGTTCTCGGGGCATCTCTGGAGTTGCCTGAAGGAAGTCGAGCCACCGGTCGTGTTGAATGGGGAACGGGGAATGGCTCTGGAGTCAATGCAGGGGAATCGGGCCTCATCTCGAGTTGATTTGGGGCACATGGAGCTGCTTTGCGTTGCTGGGGTGACCTCAGGGTCCGTCTAGACTGGTGACAGTGTTCTTGGGGACTGTATCGAGATCCATTAAGCAAGTCGAAGCTCCTGACTTATTTGAATGGGGTCACGGAATAGCTCTGCATGCACTGCAGGGGAATAGGGCCTCATCTCGCCTCTAGGGGGAAGTCTCATGGTTTTTCTCGAGTTGCGGCGGGGACCTGGGGTATGTTCTCGACTTACGGCGGGGATGGCCCTTCAAAACACGAGTTTCTTCAGTGACGTCAGGACTCCTGTCTAGTAACGAGGGACACCTCAGGAATCTCTTCGAGGCTTGGCAGGGCCAAAGGGACGCTTCTCGAGGTGAGGCAGGGCACCCAAGGACCCTTTCCAGTAGCCACAGGGATTTTGGGATTCCTATCAGTATTCAAGAGGAGTCAGGCATCGTCACCTTTTGAAGCAATGAACTCCGCGTGCCTCTCGAGGTGTCAGCGGGATGTGAGGCATTCCGTCAAAATGAGGCAGGGACCTAGGGCTTTCTCTAAGGTCTCCACAGGGGATTCAGACATCCCTTCATGTTGTGAGATGAAAGACGAGCCTGTATTCAAGCCACTGCAAGGAAATCCGGCCTCCTTTCAAGTTAGGGCTTCTCGCTGCATCTTCCCCTTGAGGCAGCAAACTCGGGGTCCCTCCCACATACCTATTGCTGAGAGAAGCCTCCTCCTGAGGTGCTTCTGGGAAGTTGGCATACGTCTTGAGCCTAAGCCAGGGAATCAGCTCGCATCTCGAGACGATTTGGGGTACACGGAGCATTCCTCGAGTTGCTGTGCTGAAGTTGGTGTTCCTCTAGACTTGGGACAGTGTTCTCAGGGCATCTCTGGAGTTGCCTGAAGGAAGTCGAGCCACCGGTCGTGTTGAATGGGGAACGGGGAATGGCTCTGGAGTCAATGCAGGGGAATCGGGCCTCATCTCGAGTTGATTTGGGGCACATGGAGCTGCTTTGCGTTGCTGGGGTGACCTCAGGGTCCGTCTAGACTGGTGACAGTGTTCTTGGGGACTGTCTCGAGATCCATTAAGCAAGTCGAAGCTCCTGACTTGTTTGAATGGGATCACGGAATAGCTCTGCATGCACTGCAGGGGAATGGGGCCTCATCTCGCCTCTAGGGGGAAGTCTCATGGTTTTTCTCGAGTTGCGGCGGGGACCTGGGGTATGTTCTCGACTTACGGCGGGGATGGCCCTTCAAAACACGAGTTTCTTCAGTGACGTCAGGACTCCTGTCTAGTAACGAGGGACACCTCAGGAATCTCTTCGAGGCTTGGCAGGGCCAAAGGGACGCTTCTCGAGGTGAGGCAGGGCACCCAAGGACCCTTTCCAGTAGCCACAGGGATTTTGGGATTCCTATCAGTATTCAAGAGGAGTCAGGCATCGTCACCTTTTGAAGCAATGAACTCCGCGTGCCTCTCGAGGTGTCAGCGGGATGTGAGGCATTCCGTCAAAATGAGGCAGGGACCTAGGGCTTTCTCTAAGGTCTCCACAGGGGATTCAGACATCCCTTCATGTTGTGAGATGAAAGACGAGCCTGTATTCAAGCCACTGCAAGGAAATCCGGCCTCCTTTCAAGTTAGGGCTTCTCGCTGTATATTCCCCTTGAGGCAGCAAACTCGGGGTCCCTCCCACATACCTATTGCTGAGAGAAGCCTCCTCCTGAGGTGCTTCTGGGAAGTTGGCATACGTCTTGAGCCTAAGCCAGGGAATCAGCTCGCATCTCGAGACGATTTGGGGTACACGGAGCATTCCTCGAGTTGCTGTGCTGAAGTTGCTGTTCCTCTAGACTTGGGACAGTGTTCTCGGGGCATCTCTGGAGTTGCCTGAAGGAAGTCGAGCCACCGGTCGTGTTGAATGGGGAACGGGGAATGGCTCTGGAGTCAATGCAGGGGAATCGGGCCTCATCTCGAGTTGATTTGGGGCACATGGAGCTGCTTTGCGTTGCTGGGGTGACCTCAGGGTCCGTCTAGACTGGTGACAGTGTTCTTGGGGACTGTCTCGAGATCCATTAAGCAAGTCGAAGCTCCTGACTTGTTTGAATGGGGTCACGGAATAGCTCTGCATGCACTGCAGGGGAATGGGGCCTCATCTCGCCTCTAGGGGGAAGTCTCGTGGTTTTCCTCGAGTTGCGGCGGGGACCTGGGGTATGTTCTCGACTTACGGCGGGGATGGCCCTTCAAAACACGAGTTTCTTCAGTGACGTCAGGACTCCTGTCTAGTAACGAGGGACACCTCAGGAATCTCTTCGAGGCTTGGCAGGGCCAAAGGGACGCTTCTCGAGGTGAGGCAGGGCACCCAAGGACCCTTTCCAGTAGCCACAGGGATTTTGGGATTCCTATCAGTATTCAAGAGGAGTCAGGCATCGTCACCTTTTGAAGCAATGAACTCCGCGTGCCTCTCGAGGTGTCAGCGGGATGTGAGGCATTCCGTCAAAATGAGGCAGGGACCTAGGGCTTTCTCTAAGGTCTCCACAGGGGATTCAGACATCCCTTCATGTTGTGAGATGAAAGACGAGCCTGTATTCAAGCCACTGCAAGGAAATCCGGCCTCCTTTCAAGTTAGGGCTTCTCGCTGTATATTCCCCTTGAGGCAGCAAACTCGGGGTCCCTCCCACATACCTATTGCTGAGAGAAGCCTCCTCCTGAGGTGCTTCTGGGAAGTTGGCATACGTCTTGAGCCTAAGCCAGGGAATCAGCTCGCATCTCGAGACGATTTGGGGTACACGGAGCATTCCTCGAGTTGCTGTGCTGAAGTTGGTGTTCCTCTAGACTTGGGACAGTGTTCTCGGGGCATCTCTGGAGTTGCCTGAAGGAAGTCGAGCCACCGGTCGTGTTGAATGGGGAACGGGGAATGGCTCTGGAGTCAATGCAGGGGAATCGGGCCTCATCTCGAGTTGATTTGGGGCACATGGAGCTGCTTTGCGTTGCTGGGGTGACCTCAGGGTCCGTCTAGACTGGTGACAGTGTTCTTGGGGACTGTCTCGAGATCCATTAAGCAAGTCGAAGCTCCTGACTTATTTGAATGGGGTCACGGAATAGCTCTGCATGCACTGCAGGGGAATGGGGCCTCATCTCGCCTCTAGGGGGAAGTCTCATGGTTTTTCTCGAGTTGCGGCGGGGACCTGGGGTATGTTCTCGACTTACGGCGGGGATGGCCCTTCAAAACACGAGTTTCTTCAGTGACGTCAGGACTCCTGTCTAGTAACGAGGGACACCTCAGGAATCTCTTCGAGGCTTGGCAGGGCCAAAGGGACACTTCTCGAGGTGAGGCAGGGCACCCAAGGACCCTTTCCAGTAGCCACAGGGATTTTGGGATTCCTATCAGTATTCAAGAGGAGTCAGGCATCGTCACCTTTTGAAGCAATGAACTCCGCGTGCCTCTCGAGGTGTCAGCGGGATGTGAGGCATTCCATCAAAATGAGGCAGGGACCAAGGCTTTCTCTAAGGTCTCCACAGGGGATTCAGACATCCCTTCATGTTGTGAGATGAAAGACGAGCCTGTATTCAAGCCACTGCAAGGAAATCCGGCCTCCTTTCAAGTTAGGGCTTCTCGCTGTATATTCCCCTTGAGGCAGCAAACTCGGGGTCCCTCCCACATACCTATTGCTGAGAGAAGCCTCCTCCTGAGGTGCTTCTGGGAAGTTGGCATACGTCTTGAGCCTAAGCCAGGGAATCAGCTCGCATCTCGAGACGATTTGGGGTACACGGAGCATTCCTCGAGTTGCTGTGCTGAAGTTGGTGTTCCTCTAGACTTGGGACAGTGTTCTCGGGGCATCTCTGGAGTTGCCTGAAGGAAGTCGAGCCACCGGTCGTGTTGAATGGGGAACGGGGAATGGCTCTGGAGTCAATGCAGGGGAATCGGGCCTCATCTCGAGTTGATTTGGGGCACATGGAGCTGCTTTGCATTGCTGGGGTGACCTCAGGGTCCGTCTAGACTGGTGACAGTGTTCTTGGGGACTGTCTCGAGATCCATTAAGCAAGTCGAAGCTCCTGACTTGTTTGAATGGGGTCACGGAATAGCTCTGCATGCACTGCAGGGGAATGGGGCCTCATCTCGCCTCTAGGGGGAAGTCTCATGGTTTTTCTCGAGTTGCGGCGGGGACCTGGGGTATGTTCTCGACTTACGGCGGGGATGGCCCTTCAAAACACGAGTTTCTTCAGTGACGTCAGGACTCCTGTCTAGTAACGAGGGACACCTCAGGAATCTCTTCGAGGCTTGGCAGGGCCAAAGGGACGCTTCTCGAGGTGAGGCAGGGCACCCAAGGACCCTTTCCAGTAGCCACAGGGATTTTGGGATTCCTATCAGTATTCAAGAGGAGTCAGGCATCGTCACCTTTTGAAGCAATGAACTCCGCGTGCCTCTCGAGGTGTCAGCGGGATGTGAGGCATTCCGTCAAAATGAGGCAGGGACCTAGGGCTTTCTCTAAGGTCTCCACAGGGGATTCAGACATCCCTTCATGTTGTGAGATGAAAGACGAGCCTGTATTCAAGCCACTGCAAGGAAATCCGGCCTCCTTTCAAGTTAGGGCTTCTCGCTGTATATTCCCCTTGAGGCAGCAAACTCGGGGTCCCTCCCACATACCTATTGCTGAGAGAAGCCTCCTCCTGAGGTGCTTCTGGGAAGTTGGCATACGTCTTGAGCCTAAGCCAGGGAATCAGCTCGCATCTCGAGACGATTTGGGGTACACGGAGCATTCCTCGAGTTGCTGTGCTGAAGTTGCTGTTCCTCTAGACTTGGGACAGTGTTCTCGGGGCATCTCTGGAGTTGCCTGAAGGAAGTCGAGCCACCGGTCGTGTTGAATGGGGAACGGGGAATGGCTCTGGAGTCAATGCAGGGGAATCGGGCCTCATCTCGAGTTGATTTGGGGCACATGGAGCTGCTTTGCGTTGCTGGGGTGACCTCAGGGTCCGTCTAGACTGGTGACAGTGTTCTTGGGGACTGTCTCGAGATCCATTAAGCAAGTCGAAGCTCCTGACTTGTTTGAATGGGGTCACGGAATAGCTCTGCATGCACTGCAGGGGAATGGGGCCTCATCTCGCCTCTAGGGGGAAGTCTCGTGGTTTTCCTCGAGTTGCGGCGGGGACCTGGGGTATGTTCTCGACTTACGGCGGGGATGGCCCTTCAAAACACGAGTTTCTTCAGTGACGTCAGGACTCCTGTCTAGTAACGAGGGACACCTCAGGAATCTCTTCGAGGCTTGGCAGGGCCAAAGGGACGCTTCTCGAGGTGAGGCAGGGCACCCAAGGACCCTTTCCAGTAGCCACAGGGATTTTGGGATTCCTATCAGTATTCAAGAGGAGTCAGGCATCGTCACCTTTTGAAGCAATGAACTCCGCGTGCCTCTCGAGGTGTCAGCGGGATGTGAGGCATTCCGTCAAAATGAGGCAGGGACCTAGGGCTTTCTCTAAGGTCTCCACAGGGGATTCAGACATCCCTTCATGTTGTGAGATGAAAGACGAGCCTGTATTCAAGCCACTGCAAGGAAATCCGGCCTCCTTTCAAGTTAGGGCTTCTCGCTGTATATTCCCCTTGAGGCAGCAAACTCGGGGTCCCTCCCACATACCTATTGCTGAGAGAAGCCTCCTCCTGAGGTGCTTCTGGGAAGTTGGCATACGTCTTGAGCCTAAGCCAGGGAATCAGCTCGCATCTCGAGACGATTTGGGGTACACGGAGCATTCCTCGAGTTGCTGTGCTGAAGTTGGTGTTCCTCTAGACTTGGGACAGTGTTCTCGGGGCATCTCTGGAGTTGCCTGAAGGAAGTCGAGCCACCGGTCGTGTTGAATGGGGAACGGGGAATGGCTCTGGAGTCAATGCAGGGGAATCGGGCCTCATCTCGAGTTGATTTGGGGCACATGGAGCTGCTTTGCGTTGCTGGGGTGACCTCAGGGTCCGTCTAGACTGGTGACAGTGTTCTTGGGGACTGTCTCGAGATCCATTAAGCAAGTCGAAGCTCCTGACTTGTTTGAATGGGGTCACGGAATAGCTCTGCATGCACTGCAGGGGAATGGGGCCTCATCTCGCCTCTAGGGGGAAGTCTCATGGTTTTCCTCGAGTTGCGGCGGGGACCTGGGGTATGTTCTCGACTTACGGCGGGGATGGCCCTTCAAAACACGAGTTTCTTCAGTGACGTCAGGACTCCTGTCTAGTAACGAGGGACACCTCAGGAATCTCTTCGAGGCTTGGCAGGGCCAAAGGGACGCTTCTCGAGGTGAGGCAGGGCACCCAAGGACCCTTTCCAGTAGCCACAGGGATTTTGGGATTCCTATCAGTATTCAAGAGGAGTCAGGCATCGTCACCTTTTGAAGCAATGAACTCCGCGTGCCTCTCGAGGTGTCAGCGGGATGTGAGGCATTCCGTCAAAATGAGGCAGGGACCTAGGGCTTTCTCTAAGGTCTCCACAGGGGATTCAGACATCCCTTCATGTTGTGAGATGAAAGACGAGCCTGTATTCAAGCCACTGCAAGGAAATCCGGCCTCCTTTCAAGTTAGGGCTTCTCGCTGTATATTCCCCTTGAGGCAGCAAACTCGGGGTCCCTCCCACATACCTATTGCTGAGAGAAGCCTCCTCCTGAGGTGCTTCTGGGAAGTTGGCATACGTCTTGAGCCTAAGCCAGGGAATCAGCTCGCCTCTCGAGACGATTTGGGGTACACGGAGCATTCCTCGAGTTGCTGTGCTGAAGTTGGTGTTCCTCTAGACTTGGGACAGTGTTCTCGGGGCATCTCTGGAGTTGCCTGAAGGAAGTCGAGCCACCGGTCGTGTTGAATGGGGAACGGGGAATGGCTCTGGAGTCAATGCAGGGGAATCGGGCCTCATCTCGAGTTGATTTGGGGCACATGGAGCTGCTTTGCGTTGCTGGGGTGACCTCAGGGTCCGTCTAGACTGGTGACAGTGTTCTTGGGGACTGTCTCGAGATCCATTAAGCAAGTCGAAGCTCCTGACTTGTTTGAATGGGATCACGGAATAGCTCTGCATGCACTGCAGGGGAATGGGGCCTCATCTCGCCTCTAGGGGGAAGTCTCATGGTTTTTCTCGAGTTGCGGCGGGGACCTGGGGTATGTTCTCGACTTACGGCGGGGATGGCCCTTCAAAACACGAGTTTCTTCAGTGACGTCAGGACTCCTGTCTAGTAACGAGGGACACCTCAGGAATCTCTTCGAGGCTTGGCAGGGCCAAAGGGACGCTTCTCGAGGTGAGGCAGGGCACCCAAGGACCCTTTCCAGTAGCCACAGGGATTTTGGGATTCCTATCAGTATTCAAGAGGAGTCAGGCATCGTCACCTTTTGAAGCAATGAACTCCGCGTGCCTCTCGAGGTGTCAGCGGGATGTGAGGCATTCCGTCAAAATGAGGCAGGGACCTCGGGCTTTCTCTAAGGTCTCCACAGGGGATTCAGACATCCCTTCATGTTGTGAGATGAAAGACGAGCCTGTATTCAAGCCACTGCAAGGAAATCCGGCCTCCTTTCAAGTTAGGGCTTCTCGCTGTATATTCCCCTTGAGGCAGCAAACTCGGGGTCCCTCCCACATACCTATTGCTGAGAGAAGCCTCCTCCTGAGGTGCTTCTGGGAAGTTGGCATACGTCTTGAGCCTAAGCCAGGGAATCAGCTCGCCTCTCGAGACGATTTGGGGTACACGGAGCATTCCTCGAGTTGCTGTGCTGAAGTTGGTGTTCCTCTAGACTTGGGACAGTGTTCTCGGGGCATCACTGGAGTTGCCTGAAGGAAGTCGAGCCACCGGTCGTGTTGAATGGGGAACGGGGAATGGCTCTGGAGTCAATGCAGGGGAATCGGGCCTCATCTCGAGTTGATTTGGGGCACATGGAGCTGCTTTGCGTTGCTGGGATGACCTCAGGGTCCGTCTAGACTGGTGACAGTGTTCTTGGGGACTGTCTCGAGATCCATTAAGCAAGTCGAAGCTCCTGACTTGTTTGAATGGGATCACGGAATAGCTCTGCATGCACTGCAGGGGAATGGGGCCTCATCTCGCCTCTAGGGGGAAGTCTCATGGTTTTTCTCGAGTTGCGGCGGGGACCTGGGGTATGTTCTCGACTTACGGCGGGGATGGCCCTTCAAAACACGAGTTTCTTCAGTGACGTCAGGACTCCTGTCTAGTAACGAGGGACACCTCAGGAATCTCTTCGAGGCTTGGCAGGGCCAAAGGGACGCTTCTCGAGGTGAGGCAGGGCACCCAAGGACCCTTTCCAGTAGCCACAGGGATTTTGGGATTCCTATCAGTATTCAAGAGGAGTCAGGCATCGTCACCTTTTGAAGCAATGAACTCCGCGTGCCTCTCGAGGTGTCAGCGGGATGTGAGGCATTCCGTCAAAATGAGGCAGGGACCTAGGGCTTTCTCTAAGGTCTCCACAGGGGATTCAGACATCCCTTCATGTTGTGAGATGAAAGACGAGCCTGTATTCAAGCCACTGCAAGGAAATCCGGCCTCCTTTCAAGTTAGGGCTTCTCGCTGTATATTCCCCTTGAGGCAGCAAACTCGGGGTCCCTCCCACATACTTATTGCTGAGAGAAGCCTCCTCCTCAGGTGCTTCTGGGAAGTTGGCATACGTCTTGAGCCTAAGCCAGGGAATCAGCTCGCCTCTCGAGACGATTTGGGGTACACAGAGCATTCCTCGAGTTGCTGTGCTGAAGTTGGTGTTCCTCTAGACTTGGGACAGTGTTCTCGGGGCATCTCTGGAGTTGCCTGAAGGAAGTCGAGCCACCGGTCGTGTTGAATGGGGAACGGGGAATGGCTCTGGAGTCAATGCAGGGGAATCGGGCCTCATCTCGAGTTGATTTGGGGCACATGGAGCTGCTTTGCGTTGCTGGGGTGACCTCAGGGTCCGTCTAGACTGGTGACAGTGTTCTTGGGGACTGTCTCGAGATCCATTAAGCAAGTCGAAGCTCCTGACTTGTTTGAATGGGATCACGGAATAGCTCTGCATGCACTGCAGGGGAATGGGGCCTCATCTCGCCTCTAGGGGGAAGTCTCATGGTTTTTCTCGAGTTGCGGCGGGGACCTGGGGTATGTTCTCGACTTACGGCGGGGATGGCCCTTCAAAACACGAGTTTCTTCAGTGACGTCAGGACTCCTGTCTAGTAACGAGGGACACCTCAGGAATATCTTCGAGGCTTGGCAGGGCCAAAGGGACGCTTCTCGAGGTGAGGCAGGGCACCCAAGGACCCTTTCCAGTAGCCACAGGGATTTTGGGATTCCTATCAGTATTCAAGAGGAGTCAGGCATCGTCACCTTTTGAAGCAATGAACTCCGCGTGCCTCTTGAGGTGTCAGCGGGATGTGAGGCATTCCGTCAAAATGAGGCAGGGACCTAGGGCTTTCTCTAAGGTCTCCACAGGGGATTCAGACATCCCTTCATGTTGTGAGATGAAAGACGAGCCTGTATTCAAGCCACTGCAAGGAAATCCGGCCTCCTTTCAAGTTAGGGCTTCTCGCTGTATATTCCCCTTGAGGCAGCAAACTCGGGGTCCCTCCCACATACCTATTGCTGAGAGAAGCCTCCTCCTGAGGTGCTTCTGGGAAGTTGGCATACGTCTTGAGCCTAAGCCAGGGAATCAGCTCGCATCTCGAGACGATTTGGGGTACACGGAGCATTCCTCGAGTTGCTGTGCTGAAGTTGGTGTTCCTCTAGACTTGGGACAGTGTTCTCGGGGCATCTCTGGAGTTGCCTGAAGGAAGTCGAGCCACCGGTCGTGTTGAATGGGGAACGGGGAATGGCTCTGGAGTCAATGCAGGGGAATCGGGCCTCATCTCGAGTTGATTTGGGGCACATGGAGCTGCTTTGCGTTGCTGGGGTGACCTCAGGGTCCGTCTAGACTGGTGACAGTGTTCTTGGGGACTGTCTCGAGATCCATTAAGCAAGTCGAAGCTCCTGACTTGTTTGAATGGGATCACGGAATAGCTCTGCATGCACTGCAGGGGAATGGGGCCTCATCTCGCCTCTAGGGGGAAGTCTCATGGTTTTTCTCGAGTTGCGGCGGGGACCTGGGGTATGTTCTCGACTTACGGCGGGGATGGCCCTTCAAAACACGAGTTTCTTCAGTGACGTCAGGACTCCTGTCTAGTAACGAGGGACACCTCAGGAATCTCTTCGAGGCTTGGCAGGGCCAAAGGGACGCTTCTCGAGGTGAGGCAGGGCACCCAAGGACCCTTTCCAGTAGCCACAGGGATTTTGGGATTCCTATCAGTATTCAAGAGGAGTCAGGCATCGTCACCTTTTGAAGCAATGAACTCCGCGTGCCTCTCGAGGTGTCAGCGGGATGTGAGGCATTCCGTCAAAATGAGGCAGGGACCTAGGGCTTTCTCTAAGGTCTCCACAGGGGATTCAGACATCCCTTCATGTTGTGAGATGAAAGACGAGCCTGTATTCAAGCCACTGCAAGGAAATCCGGCCTCCTTTCAAGTTAGGGCTTCTCGCTGTATATTCCCCTTGAGGCAGCAAACTCGGGGTCCCTCCCACATACCTATTGCTGAGAGAAGCCTCCTCCTGAGGTGCTTCTGGGAAGTTGGCATACGTCTTGAGCCTAAGCCAGGGAATCAGCTCGCATCTCGAGACGATTTGGGGTACACGGAGCATTCCTCGAGTTGCTGTGCTGAAGTTGCTGTTCCTCTAGACTTGGGACAGTGTTCTCGGGGCATCTCTGGAGTTGCCTGAAGGAAGTCGAGCCACCGGTCGTGTTGAATGGGGAACGGGGAATGGCTCTGGAGTCAATGCAGGGGAATCGGGCCTCATCTCGAGTTGATTTGGGGCACATGGAGCTGCTTTGCGTTGCTGGGGTGACCTCAGGGTCCGTCTAGACTGGTGACAGTGTTCTTGGGGACTGTCTCGAGATCCATTAAGCAAGTCGAAGCTCCTGACTTGTTTGAATGGGGTCACGGAATAGCTCTGCATGCACTGCAGGGGAATGGGGCCTCATCTCGCCTCTAGGGGGAAGTCTCGTGGTTTTCCTCGAGTTGCGGCGGGGACCTGGGGTATGTTCTCGACTTACGGCGGGGATGGCCCTTCAAAACACGAGTTTCTTCAGTGACGTCAGGACTCCTGTCTAGTAACGAGGGACACCTCAGGAATCTCTTCGAGGCTTGGCAGGGCCAAAGGGACGCTTCTCGAGGTGAGGCAGGGCACCCAAGGACCCTTTCCAGTAGCCACAGGGATTTTGGGATTCCTATCAGTATTCAAGAGGAGTCAGGCATCGTCACCTTTTGAAGCAATGAACTCCGCGTGCCTCTCGAGGTGTCAGCGGGATGTGAGGCATTCCGTCAAAATGAGGCAGGGACCTAGGGCTTTCTCTAAGGTCTCCACAGGGGATTCAGACATCCCTTCATGTTGTGAGATGAAAGACGAGCCTGTATTCAAGCCACTGCAAGGAAATCCGGCCTCCTTTCAAGTTAGGGCTTCTCGCTGTATATTCCCCTTGAGGCAGCAAACTCGGGGTCCCTCCCACATACCTATTGCTGAGAGAAGCCTCCTCCTGAGGTGCTTCTGGGAAGTTGGCATACGTCTTGAGCCTAAGCCAGGGAATCAGCTCGCATCTCGAGACGATTTGGGGTACACGGAGCATTCCTCGAGTTGCTGTGCTGAAGTTGGTGTTCCTCTAGACTTGGGACAGTGTTCTCGGGGCATCTCTGGAGTTGCCTGAAGGAAGTCGAGCCACCGGTCGTGTTGAATGGGGAACGGGGAATGGCTCTGGAGTCAATGCAGGGGAATCGGGCCTCATCTCGAGTTGATTTGGGGCACATGGAGCTGCTTTGCGTTGCTGGGGTGACCTCAGGGTCCGTCTAGACTGGTGACAGTGTTCTTGGGGACTGTCTCGAGATCCATTAAGCAAGTCGAAGCTCCTGACTTATTTGAATGGGGTCACGGAATAGCTCTGCATGCACTGCAGGGGAATGGGGCCTCATCTCGCCTCTAGGGGGAAGTCTCATGGTTTTTCTCGAGTTGCGGCGGGGACCTGGGGTATGTTCTCGACTTACGGCGGGGATGGCCCTACAAAACACGAGTTTCTTCAGTGACGTCAGGACTCCTGTCTAGTAACGAGGGACACCTCAGGAATCTCTTCGAGGCTTGGCAGGGCCAAAGGGACGCTTCTCGAGGTGAGGCAGGGCACCCAAGGACCCTTTCCAGTAGCCACAGGGATTTTGGGATTCCTATCAGTATTCAAGAGGAGTCAGGCATCGTCACCTTTTGAAGCAATGAACTCCGCGTGCCTCTCGAGGTGTCAGCGGGATGTGAGGCATTCCGTCAAAATGAGGCAGGGACCTAGGGCTTTCTCTAAGGTCTCCACAGGGGATTCAGACATCCCTTCATGTTGTGAGATGAAAGACGAGCCTGTATTCAAGCCACTGCAAGGAAATCCGGCCTCCTTTCAAGTTAGGGCTTCTCGCTGTATATTCCCCTTGAGGCAGCAAACTCGGGGTCCCTCCCACATACCTATTGCTGAGAGAAGCCTCCTCCTGAGGTGCTTCTGGGAAGTTGGCATACGTCTTGAGCCTAAGCCAGGGAATCAGCTCGCCTCTCGAGACGATTTGGGGTACACGGAGCATTCCTCGAGTTGCTGTGCTGAAGTTGGTGTTCCTCTAGACTTGGGACAGTGTTCTCGGGGCATCTCTGGAGTTGCCTGAAGGAAGTCGAGCCACCGGTCGTGTTGAATGGGGAACGGGGAATGGCTCTGGAGTCAATGCAGGGGAATCGGGCCTCATCTCGAGTTGATTTGGGGCACATGGAGCTGCTTTGCGTTGCTGGGGTGACCTCAGGGTCCGTCTAGACTGGTGACAGTGTTCTTGGGGACTGTCTCGAGATCCATTAAGCAAGTCGAAGCTCCTGACTTGTTTGAATGGGATCACGGAATAGCTCTGCATGCACTGCAGGGGAATCGGGCCTCATCTCGCCTCTAGGGGGAAGTCTCATGGTTTTTCTCGAGTTGCGGCGGGGACCTGGGGTATGTTCTCGACTTACGGCGGGGATGGCCCTTCAAAACACGAGTTTCTTCAGTGACGTCAGGACTCCTGTCTAGTAACGAGGGACACCTCAGGAATCTCTTCGAGGCTTGGCAGGGCCAAAGGGACGCTTCTCGAGGTGAGGCAGGGCACCCAAGGACCCTTTCCAGTAGCCACAGGGATTTTGGGATTCCTATCAGTATTCAAGAGGAGTCAGGCATCGTCACCTTTTGAAGCAATGAACTCCGCGTGCCTCTCGAGGTGTCAGCGGGATGTGAGGCATTCCGTCAAAATGAGGCAGGGACCTCGGGCTTTCTCTAAGGTCTCCACAGGGGATTCAGACATCCCTTCATGTTGTGAGATGAAAGACGAGCCTGTATTCAAGCCACTGCAAGGAAATCCGGCCTCCTTTCAAGTTAGGGCTTCTCGCTGTATATTCCCCTTGAGGCAGCAAACTCGGGGTCCCTCCCACATACCTATTGCTGAGAGAAGCCTCCTCCTGAGGTGCTTCTGGGAAGTTGGCATACGTCTTGAGCCTAAGCCAGGGAATCAGCTCGCCTCTCGAGACGATTTGGGGTACACGGAGCATTCCTCGAGTTGCTGTGCTGAAGTTGGTGTTCCTCTAGACTTGGGACAGTGTTCTCGGGGCATCACTGGAGTTGCCTGAAGGAAGTCGAGCCACCGGTCGTGTTGAATGGGGAACGGGGAATGGCTCTGGAGTCAATGCAGGGGAATCGGGCCTCATCTCGAGTTGATTTGGGGCACATGGAGCTGCTTTGCGTTGCTGGGATGACCTCAGGGTCCGTCTAGACTGGTGACAGTGTTCTTGGGGACTGTCTCGAGATCCATTAAGCAAGTCGAAGCTCCTGACTTGTTTGAATGGGATCACGGAATAGCTCTGCATGCACTGCAGGGGAATGGGGCCTCATCTCGCCTCTAGGGGGAAGTCTCATGGTTTTTCTCGAGTTGCGGCGGGGACCTGGGGTATGTTCTCGACTTACGGCGGGGATGGCCCTTCAAAACACGAGTTTCTTCAGTGACGTCAGGACTCCTGTCTAGTAACGAGGGACACCTCAGGAATCTCTTCGAGGCTTGGCAGGGCCAAAGGGACGCTTCTCGAGGTGAGGCAGGGCACCCAAGGACCCTTTCCAGTAGCCACAGGGATTTTGGGATTCCTATCAGTATTCAAGAGGAGTCAGGCATCGTCACCTTTTGAAGCAATGAACTCCGCGTGCCTCTCGAGGTGTCAGCGGGATGTGAGGCATTCCGTCAAAATGAGGCAGGGACCTAGGGCTTTCTCTAAGGTCTCCACAGGGGATTCAGACATCCCTTCATGTTGTGAGATGAAAGACGAGCCTGTATTCAAGCCACTGCAAGGAAATCCGGCCTCCTTTCAAGTTAGGGCTTCTCACTGTATATTCCCCTTGAGGCAGCAAACTCGGGGTCCCTCCCACATACTTATTGCTGAGAGAAGCCTCCTCCTCAGGTGCTTCTGGGAAGTTGGCATACGTCTTGAGCCTAAGCCAGGGAATCAGCTCGCCTCTCGAGACGATTTGGGGTACACAGAGCATTCCTCGAGTTGCTGTGCTGAAGTTGGTGTTCCTCTAGACTTGGGACAGTGTTCTCGGGGCATCTCTGGAGTTGCCTGAAGGAAGTCGAGCCACCGGTCGTGTTGAATGGGGAACGGGGAATGGCTCTGGAGTCAATGCAGGGGAATCGGGCCTCATCTCGAGTTGATTTGGGGCACATGGAGCTGCTTTGCGTTGCTGGGGTGACCTCAGGGTCCGTCTAGACTGGTGACAGTGTTCTTGGGGACTGTCTCGAGATCCATTAAGCAAGTCGAAGCTCCTGACTTGTTTGAATGGGATCACGGAATAGCTCTGCATGCACTGCAGGGGAATGGGGCCTCATCTCGCCTCTAGGGGGAAGTCTCATGGTTTTTCTCGAGTTGCGGCGGGGACCTGGGGTATGTTCTCGACTTACGGCGGGGATGGCCCTTCAAAACACGAGTTTCTTCAGTGACGTCAGGACTCCTGTCTAGTAACGAGGTACACCTCAGGAATCTCTTCGAGGCTTGGCAGGGCCAAAGGGACGCTTCTCGAGGTGAGGCAGGGCACCCAAGGACCCTTTCCAGTAGCCACAGGGATTTTGGGATTCCTATCAGTATTCAAGAGGAGTCAGGCATCGTCACCTTTTGAAGCAATGAACTCCGCGTGCCTCTTGAGGTGTCAGCGGGATGTGAGGCATTCCGTCAAAATGAGGCAGGGACCTAGGGCTTTCTCTAAGGTCTCCACAGGGGATTCAGACATCCCTTCATGTTGTGAGATGAAAGACGAGCCTGTATTCAAGCCACTGCAAGGAAATCCGGCCTCCTTTCAAGTTAGGGCTTCTCGCTGTATATTCCCCTTGAGGCAGCAAACTCGGGGTCCCTCCCACATACCTATTGCTGAGAGAAGCCTCCTCCTGAGGTGCTTCTGGGAAGTTGGCATACGTCTTGAGCCTAAGCCAGGGAATCAGCTCGCATCTCGAGACGATTTGGGGTACACGGAGCATTCCTCGAGTTGCTGTGCTGAAGTTGGTGTTCCTCTAGACTTGGGACAGTGTTCTCGGGGCATCTCTGGAGTTGCCTGAAGGAAGTCGAGCCACCGGTCGTGTTGAATGGGGAACGGGGAATGGCTCTGGAGTCAATGCAGGGGAATCGGGCCTCATCTCGAGTTGATTTGGGGCACATGGAGCTGCTTTGCGTTGCTGGGGTGACCTCAGGGTCCGTCTAGACTGGTGACAGTGTTCTTGGGGACTGTCTCGAGATCCATTAAGCAAGTCGAAGCTCCTGACTTGTTTGAATGGGATCACGGAATAGCTCTGCATGCACTGCAGGGGAATGGGGCCTCATCTCGCCTCTAGGGGGAAGTCTCATGGTTTTTCTCGAGTTGCGGCGGGGACCTGGGGTATGTTCTCGACTTACGGCGGGGATGGCCCTTCAAAACACGAGTTTCTTCAGTGACGTCAGGACTCCTGTCTAGTAACGAGGGACACCTCAGGAATCTCTTCGAGGCTTGGCAGGGCCAAAGGGACGCTTCTCGAGGTGAGGCAGGGCACCCAAGGACCCTTTCCAGTAGCCACAGGGATTTTGGGATTCCTATCAGTATTCAAGAGGAGTCAGGCATCGTCACCTTTTGAAGCAATGAACTCCGCGTGCCTCTCGAGGTGTCAGCGGGATGTGAGGCATTCCGTCAAAATGAGGCAGGGACCTAGGGCTTTCTCTAAGGTCTCCACAGGGGATTCAGACATCCCTTCATGTTGTGAGATGAAAGACGAGCCTGTATTCAAGCCACTGCAAGGAAATCCGGCCTCCTTTCAAGTTAGGGCTTCTCGCTGTATATTCCCCTTGAGGCAGCAAACTCGGGGTCCCTCCCACATACCTATTGCTGAGAGGAGCCTCCTCCTGAGGTGCTTCTGGGAAGTTGGCATACGTCTTGAGCCTAAGCCAGGGAATCAGCTCGCATCTCGAGACGATTTGGGGTACACGGAGCATTCCTCGAGTTGCTGTGCTGAAGTTGCTGTTCCTCTAGGCTTGGGACAGGGTTCTCGGGGCATCTCTGGAGTTGCCTGAAGGAAGTCGAGCCACCGGTCGTGTTGAATGGGGAACGGGGAATGGCTCTGGAGTCAATGCAGGGGAATCGGGCCTCATCTCGAGTTGATTTGGGGCACATGGAGCTGCTTTGCGTTGCTGGGGTGACCTCAGGGTCCGTCTAGACTGGTGACAGTGTTCTTGGGGACTGTCTCGAGATCCATTAAGCAAGTCGAAGCTCCTGACTTGTTTGAATGGGGTCACGGAATAGCTCTGCATGCACTGCAGGGGAATGGGGCCTCATCTCGCCTCTAGGGGGAAGTCTCATGGTTTTTCTCGAGTTGCGGCGGGGACCTGGGGTATGTTCTCGACTTACGGCGGGGATGGCCCTTCAAAACACGAGTTTCTTCAGTGACGTCAGGACTCCTGTCTAGTAACGAGGGACACCTCAGGAATCTCTTCGAGGCTTGGCAGGGCCAAAGGGACGCTTCTCGAGGTGAGGCAGGGCACCCAAGGACCCTTTCCAGTAGCCACAGGGATTTTGGGATTCCTATCAGTATTCAAGAGGAGTCAGGCATCGTCACCTTTTGAAGCAATGAACTCCGCGTGCCTCTCGAGGTGTCAGCGGGATGTGAGGCATTCCGTCAAAATGAGGCAGGGACCTAGGGCTTTCTCTAAGGTCTCCACAGGGGATTCAGACATCCCTTCATGTTGTGAGATGAAAGACGAGCCTGTATTCAAGCCACTGCAAGGAAATCCGGCCTCCTTTCAAGTTAGGGCTTCTCGCTGTATATTCCCCTTGAGGCAGCAAACTCGGGGTCCCTCCCACATACCTATTGCTGAGAGAAGCCTCCTCCTGAGGTGCTTCTGGGAAGTTGGCATACGTCTTGAGCCTAAGCCAGGGAATCAGCTCGCCTCTCGAGACGATTTGGGGTACACGGAGCATTCCTCGAGTTGCTGTGCTGAAGTTGGTGTTCCTCTAGACTTGGGACAGTGTTCTCGGGGCATCACTGGAGTTGCCTGAAGGAAGTCGAGCCACCGGTCGTGTTGAATGGGGAACGGGGAATGGCTCTGGAGTCAATGCAGGGGAATCGGGCCTCATCTCGAGTTGATTTGGGGCACATGGAGCTGCTTTGCGTTGCTGGGGTGACCTCAGGGTCCGTCTAGACTGGTGACAGTGTTCTTGGGGACTGTCTCGAGATCCATTAAGCAAGTCGAAGCTCCTGACTTGTTTGAATGGGATCACGGAATAGCTCTGCATGCACTGCAGGGGAGTGGGGCCTCATCTCGCCTCTAGGGGGAAGTCTCATGGTTTTTCTCGAGTTGCGGCGGGGACCTGGGGTATGTTCTCGACTTACGGCGGGGATGGCCCTTCAAAACACGAGTTTCTTCAGTGACGTCAGGACTCCTGTCTAGTAACGAGGGACACCTCAGGAATCTCTTCGAGGCTTGGCAGGGCCAAAGGGACGCTTCTCGAGGTGAGGCAGGGCACCCAAGGACCCTTTCCAGTAGCCACAGGGATTTTGGGATTCCTATCAGTATTCAAGAGGAGTCAGGCATCGTCACCTTTTGAAGCAATGAACTCCGCGTGCCTCTCGAGGTGTCAGCGGGATGTGAGGCATTCCGTCAAAATGAGGCAGGGACCTAGGGCTTTCTCTAAGGTCTCCACAGGGGATTCAGACATCCCTTCATGTTGTGAGATGAAAGACGAGCCTGTATTCAAGCCACTGCAAGGAAATCCGGCCTCCTTTCAAGTTAGGGCTTCTCGCTGTATATTCCCCTTGAGGCAGCAAACTCGGGGTCCCTCCCACATACTTATTGCTGAGAGAAGCCTCCTCCTCAGGTGCTTCTGGGAAGTTGGCATACGTCTTGAGCCTAAGCCAGGGAATCAGCTCGCCTCTCGAGACGATTTGGGGTACACAGAGCATTCCTCGAGTTGCTGTGCTGAAGTTGGTGTTCCTCTAGACTTGGGACAGTGTTCTCGGGGCATCTCTGGAGTTGCCTGAAGGAAGTCGAGCCACCGGTCGTGTTGAATGGGGAACGGGGAATGGCTCTGGAGTCAATGCAGGGGAATCGGGCCTCATCTCGAGTTGATTTGGGGCACATGGAGCTGCTTTGCGTTGCTGGGGTGACCTCAGGGTCCGTCTAGACTGGTGACAGTGTTCTTGGGGACTGTCTCGAGATCCATTAAGCAAGTCGAAGCTCCTGACTTGTTTGAATGGGATCACGGAATAGCTCTGCATGCACTGCAGGGGAATGGGGCCTCATCTCGCCTCTAGGGGGAAGTCTCATGGTTTTTCTCGAGTTGCGGCGGGGACCTGGGGTATGTTCTCGACTTACGGCGGGGATGGCCCTTCAAAACACGAGTTTCTTCAGTGACGTCAGGACTCCTGTCTAGTAACGAGGGACACCTCAGGAATCTCTTCGAGGCTTGGCAGGGCCAAAGGGACGCTTCTCGAGGTGAGGCAGGGCACCCAAGGACCCTTTCCAGTAGCCACAGGGATTTTGGGATTCCTATCAGTATTCAAGAGGAGTCAGGCATCGTCACCTTTTGAAGCAATGAACTCCGCGTGCCTCTCGAGGTGTCAGCGGGATGTGAGGCATTCCGTCAAAATGAGGCAGGGACCTAGGGCTTTCTCTAAGGTCTCCACAGGGGATTCAGACATCCCTTCATGTTGTGAGATGAAAGACGAGCCTGTATTCAAGCCACTGCAAGGAAATCCGGCCTCCTTTCAAGTTAGGGCTTCTCGCTGTATATTCCCCTTGAGGCAGCAAACTCGGGGTCCCTCCCACACACCTATTGCTGAGAGAAGCCTCCTCCTGAGGTGCTTCTGGGAAGTTGGCATACGTCTTGAGCCTAAGCCAGGGAATCAGCTCGCATCTCGAGACGATTTGGGGTACACGGAGCATTCCTCGAGTTGCTGTGCTGAAGTTGGTGTTCCTCTAGACTTGGGACAGTGTTCTCGGGGCATCTCTGAAGTTGCCTGAAGGAAGTCGAGCCACCGGTCGTGTTGAATGGGGAACGGGGAATGGCTCTGGAGTCAATGCAGGGGAATCGGGCCTCATCTCGAGTTGATTTGGGGCACATGGAGCTGCTTTGCGTTGCTGGGGTGACCTCAGGGTCCGTCTAGACTGGTGACAGTGTTCTTGGGGACTGTCTCGAGATCCATTAAGCAAGTCGAAGCTCCTGACTTGTTTGAATGGGATCACGGAATAGCTCTGCATGCACTGCAGGGGAATGGGGCCTCATCTCGCCTCTAGGGGGAAGTCTCATGGTTTTTCTCGAGTTGCGGCGGGGACCTGGGGTATGTTCTCGACTTACGGCGGGGATGGCCCTTCAAAACACGAGTTTCTTCAGTGACGTCAGGACTCCTGTCTAGTAACGAGGGACACCTCAGGAATCTCTTCGAGGCTTGGCAGGGCCAAAGGGACGCTTCTCGAGGTGAGGCAGGGCACCCAAGGACCCTTTCCAGTAGCCACAGGGATTTTGGGATTCCTATCAGTATTCAAGAGGAGTCAGGCATCGTCACCTTTTGAAGCAATGAACTCCGCGTGCCTCTCGAGGTGTCAGCGGGATGTGAGGCATTCCGTCAAAATGAGGCAGGGACCTAGGGCTTTCTCTAAGGTCTCCACAGGGGATTCAGACATCCCTTCATGTTGTGAGATGAAAGACGAGCCTGTATTCAAGCCACTGCAAGGAAATCCGGCCTCCTTTCAAGTTAGGGCTTCTCGCTGTATATTCCCCTTGAGGCAGCAAACTCGGGGTCCCTCCCACATACCTATTGCTGAGAGGAGCCTCCTCCTGAGGTGCTTCTGGGAAGTTGGCATACGTCTTGAGCCTAAGCCAGGGAATCAGCTCGCATCTCGAGACGATTTGGGGTACACGGAGCATTCCTCGAGTTGCTGTGCTGAAGTTGCTGTTCCTCTAGACTTGGGACAGTGTTCTCGGGGCATCTCTGGAGTTGCCTGAAGGAAGTCGAGCCACCGGTCGTGTTGAATGGGGAACGGGGAATGGCTCTGGAGTCAATACAGGGGAATCGGGCCTCATCTCGAGTTGATTTGGGGCACATGGAGCTGCTTTGCGTTGCTGGGGTGACCTCAGGGTCCGTCTAGACTGGTGACAGTGTTCTTGGGGACTGTCTCGAGATCCATTAAGCAAGTCGAAGCTCCTGACTTGTTTGAATGGGGTCACGGAATAGCTCTGCATGCACTGCAGGGGAATGGGGCCTCATCTCGCCTCTAGGGGGAAGTCTCGTGGTTTTCCTCGAGTTGCGGCGGGGACCTGGGGTATGTTCTCGACTTACGGCGGGGATGGCCCTTCAAAACACGAGTTTCTTCAGTGACGTCAGGACTCCTGTCTAGTAACGAGGGACACCTCAGGAATCTCTTCGAGGCTTGGCAGGGCCAAAGGGACGCTTCTCGAGGTGAGGCAGGGCACCCAAGGACCCTTTCCAGTAGCCACAGGGATTTTGGGATTCCTATCAGTATTCAAGAGGAGTCAGGCATCGTCACCTTTTGAAGCAATGAACTCCGCGTGCCTCTCGAGGTGTCAGCGGGATGTGAGGCATTCCGTCAAAATGAGGCAGGGACCTAGGGCTTTCTCTAAGGTCTCCACAGGGGATTCAGACATCCCTTCATGTTGTGAGATGAAAGACGAGCCTGTATTCAAGCCACTGCAAGGAAATCCGGCCTCCTTTCAAGTTAGGGCTTCTCGCTGTATATTCCCCTTGAGGCAGCAAACTCGGGGTCCCTCCCACATACTTATTGCTGAGAGAAGCCTCCTCCTCAGGTGCTTCTGGGAAGTTGGCATACGTCTTGAGCCTAAGCCAGGGAATCAGCTCGCCTCTCGAGACGATTTGGGGTACACAGAGCATTCCTCGAGTTGCTGTGCTGAAGTTGGTGTTCCTCTAGACTTGGGACAGTGTTCTCGGGGCATCTCTGGAGTTGCCTGAAGGAAGTCGAGCCACCGGTCGTGTTGAATGGGGAACGGGGAATGGCTCTGGAGTCAATGCAGGGGAATCGGGCCTCATCTCGAGTTGATTTGGGGCACATGGAGCTGCTTTGCGTTGCTGGGGTGACCTCAGGGTCCGTCTAGACTGGTGACAGTGTTCTTGGGGACTGTCTCGAGATCCATTAAGCAAGTCGAAGCTCCTGACTTGTTTGAATGGGATCACGGAATAGCTCTGCATGCACTGCAGGGGAATGGGGCCTCATCTCGCCTCTAGGGGGAAGTCTCATGGTTTTTCTCGAGTTGCGGCGGGGATCTGGGGTATGTTCTCGACTTACGGCGGGGATGGCCCTTCAAAACACGAGTTTCTTCAGTGACGTCAGGACTCCTGTCTAGTAACGAGGGACACCTCAGGAATCTCTTCGAGGCTTGGCAGGGCCAAAGGGACGCTTCTCGAGGTGAGGCAGGGCACCCAAGGACCCTTTCCAGTAGCCACAGGGATTTTGGGATTCCTATCAGTATTCAAGAGGAGTCAGGCATCGTCACCTTTTGAAGCAATGAACTCCGCGTGCCTCTCGAGGTGTCAGCGGGATGTGAGGCATTCCGTCAAAATGAGGCAGGGACCTAGGGCTTTCTCTAAGGTCTCCACAGGGGATTCAGACATCCCTTCATGTTGTGAGATGAAAGACGAGCCTGTATTCAAGCCACTGCAAGGAAATCCGGCCTCCTTTCAAGTTAGGGCTTCTCGCTGTATATTCCCCTTGAGGCAGCAAACTCGGGGTCCCTCCCACATACTTATTGCTGAGAGAAGCCTCCTCCTCAGGTGCTTCTGGGAAGTTGGCATACGTCTTGAGCCTAAGCCAGGGAATCAGCTCGCCTCTCGAGACGATTTGGGGTACACAGAGCATTCCTCGAGTTGCTGTGCTGAAGTTGGTGTTCCTCTAGACTTGGGACAGTGTTCTCGGGGCATCTCTGGAGTTGCCTGAAGGAAGTCGAGCCACCGGTCGTGTTGAATGGGGAACGGGGAATTTCTCTGGAGTCAATGCAGGGGAATCGGGCCTCATCTCGAGTTGATTTGGGGCACATGGAGCTGCTTTGCGTTGCTGGGGTGACCTCAGGGTCCGTCTAGACTGGTGACAGTGTTCTTGGGGACTGTCTCGAGATCCATTAAGCAAGTCGAAGCTCCTGACTTGTTTGAATGGGATCACGGAATAGCTCTGCATGCACTGCAGGGGAATGGGGCCTCATCTCGCCTCTAGGGGGAAGTCTCATGGTTTTTCTCGAGTTGCGGCGGGGACCTGGGGTATGTTCTCGACTTACGGCGGGGATGGCCCTTCAAAACACGAGTTTCTTCAGTGACGTCAGGACTCCTGTCTAGTAACGAGGGACACCTCAGGAATCTCTTCGAGGCTTGGCAGGGCCAAAGGGACGCTTCTCGAGGTGAGGCAGGGCACCCAAGGACCCTTTCCAGTAGCCACAGGGATTTTGGGATTCCTATCAGTATTCAAGAGGAGTCAGGCATCGTCACCTTTTGAAGCAATGAACTCCGCGTGCCTCTCGAGGTGTCAGCGGGATGTGAGGCATTCCGTCAAAATGAGGCAGGGACCTAGGGCTTTCTCTAAGGTCTCCACAGGGGATTCAGACATCCCTTCATGTTGTGAGATGAAAGACGAGCCTGTATTCAAGCCACTGCAAGGAAATCCGGCCTCCTTTCAAGTTAGGGCTTCTCGCTGTATATTCCCCTTGAGGCAGCAAACTCGGGGTCCCTCCCACACACCTATTGCTGAGAGAAGCCTCCTCCTGAGGTGCTTCTGGGAAGTTGGCATACGTCTTGAGCCTAAGCCAGGGAATCAGCTCGCATCTCGAGACGATTTGGGGTACACGGAGCATTCCTCGAGTTGCTGTGCTGAAGTTGGTGTTCCTCTAGACTTGGGACAGTGTTCTCGGGGCATCTCTGGAGTTGCCTGAAGGAAGTCGAGCCACCGGTCGTGTTGAATGGGGAACGGGGAATGGCTCTGGAGTCAATGCAGGGGAATCGGGCCTCATCTCGAGTTGATTTGGGGCACATGGAGCTGCTTTGCGTTGCTGGGGTGACCTCAGGGTCCGTCTAGACTGGTGACAGTGTTCTTGGGGACTGTCTCGAGATCCATTAAGCAAGTCGAAGCTCCTGACTTGTTTGAATGGGATCACGGAATAGCTCTGCATGCACTGCAGGGGAATGGGGCCTCATCTCGCCTCTAGGGGGAAGTCTCATGGTTTTTCTCGAGTTGCGGCGGGGACCTGGGGTATGTTCTCGACTTACGGCGGGGATGGCCCTTCAAAACACGAGTTTCTTCAGTGACGTCAGGACTCCTGTCTAGTAACGAGGGACACCTCAGGAATCTCTTCGAGGCTTGGCAGGGCCAAAGGGACGCTTCTCGAGGTGAGGCAGGGCACCCAAGGACCCTTTCCAGTAGCCACAGGGATTTTGGGATTCCTATCAGTATTCAAGAGGAGTCAGGCATCGTCACCTTTTGAAGCAATGAACTCCGCGTGCCTCTCGAGGTGTCAGCGGGATGTGAGGCATTCCGTCAAAATGAGGCAGGGACCTAGGGCTTTCTCTAAGGTCTCCACAGGGGATTCAGACATCCCTTCATGTTGTGAGATGAAAGACGAGCCTGTATTCAAGCCACTGCAAGGAAATCCGGCCTCCTTTCAAGTTAGGGCTTCTCGCTGTATATTCCCCTTGAGGCAGCAAACTCGGGGTCCCTCCCACATACCTATTGCTGAGAGGAGCCTCCTCCTGAGGTGCTTCTGGGAAGTTGGCATACGTCTTGAGCCTAAGCCAGGGAATCAGCTCGCATCTCGAGACGATTTGGGGTACACGGAGCATTCCTCGAGTTGCTGTGCTGAAGTTGCTGTTCCTCTAGACTTGGGACAGGGTTCTCGGGGCATCTCTGGAGTTGCCTGAAGGAAGTCGAGCCACCTGTCGTGTTGAATGGGGAACGGGGAATGGCTCTGGAGTCAATGCAGGGGAATCGGGCCTCATCTCGAGTTGATTTGGGGCACATGGAGCTGCTTTGCGTTGCTGGGGTGACCTCAGGGTCCGTCTAGACTGGTGACAGTGTTCTTGGGGACTGTCTCGAGATCCATTAAGCAAGTCGAAGCTCCTGACTTGTTTGAATGGGGTCACGGAATAGCTCTGCATGCACTGCAGGGGAATGGGGCCTCATCTCGCCTCTAGGGGGAAGTCTCGTGGTTTTCCTCGAGTTGCGGCGGGGACCTGGGGTATGTTCTCGACTTACGGCGGGGATGGCCCTTCAAAACACGAGTTTCTTCAGTGACGTCAGGACTCCTGTCTAGTAACGAGGGACACCTCAGGAATCTCTTCGAGGCTTGGCAGGGCCAAAGGGACGCTTCTCGAGGTGAGGCAGGGCACCCAAGGACCCTTTCCAGTAGCCACAGGGATTTTGGGATTCCTATCAGTATTCAAGAGGAGTCAGGCATCGTCACCTTTTGAAGCAATGAACTCCGCGTGCCTCTCGAGGTGTCAGCGGGATGTGAGGCATTCCGTCAAAATGAGGCAGGGACCTAGGGCTTTCTCTAAGGTCTCCACAGGGGATTCAGACATCCCTTCATGTTGTGAGATGAAAGACGAGCCTGTATTCAAGCCACTGCAAGGAAATCCGGCCTCCTTTCAAGTTAGGGCTTCTCGCTGTATATTCCCCTTGAGGCAGCAAACTCGGGGTCCCTCCCACATACTTATTGCTGAGAGAAGCCTCCTCCTCAGGTGCTTCTGGGAAGTTGGCATACGTCTTGAGCCTAAGCCAGGGAATCAGCTCGCCTCTCGAGACGATTTGGGGTACACAGAGCATTCCTCGAGTTGCTGTGCTGAAGTTGGTGTTCCTCTAGACTTGGGACAGTGTTCTCGGGGCATCTCTGGAGTTGCCTGAAGGAAGTCGAGCCACCGGTCGTGTTGAATGGGGAACGGGGAATGGCTCTGGAGTCAATGCAGGGGAATCGGGCCTCATCTCGAGTTGATTTGGGGCACATGGAGCTGCTTTGCGTTGCTGTGGTGACCTCAGGGTCCGTCTAGACTGGTGACAGTGTTCTTGGGGACTGTCTCGAGATCCATTAAGCAAGTCGAAGCTCCTGACTTGTTTGAATGGGATCACGGAATAGCTCTGCATGCACTGCAGGGGAATGGGGCCTCATCTCGCCTCTAGGGGGAAGTCTCATGGTTTTTCTCGAGTTGCGGCGGGGACCTGGGGTATGTTCTCGACTTACGGCGGGGATGGCCCTTCAAAACACGAGTTTCTTCAGTGACGTCAGGACTCCTGTCTAGTAACGAGGGACACCTCAGGAATCTCTTCGAGGCTTGGCAGGGCCAAAGGGACGCTTCTCGAGGTGAGGCAGGGCACCCAAGGACCCTTTCCAGTAGCCACAGGGATTTTGGGATTCCTATCAGTATTCAAGAGGAGTCAGGCATCGTCACCTTTTGAAGCAATGAACTCCGCGTGCCTCTCGAGGTGTCAGCGGGATGTGAGGCATTCCGTCAAAATGAGGCAGGGACCTAGGGCTTTCTCTAAGGTCTCCACAGGGGATTCAGACATCCCTTCATGTTGTGAGATGAAAGACGAGCCTGTATTCAAGCCACTGCAAGGAAATCCGGCCTCCTTTCAAGTTAGGGCTTCTCGCTGTATATTCCCCTTGAGGCAGCAAACTCGGGGTCCCTCCCACATACCTATTGCTGAGAGAAGCCTCCTCCTGAGGTGCTTCTGGGAAGTTGGCATACGTCTTGAGCCTAAGCCAGGGAATCAGCTCGCATCTCGAGACGATTTGGGGTACACGGAGCATTCCTCGAGTTGCTGTGCTGAAGTTGGTGTTCCTCTAGACTTGGGACAGTGTTCTCGGGGCATCTCTGGAGTTGCCTGAAGGAAGTCGAGCCACCGGTCGTGTTGAATGGGGAACGGGGAATGGCTCTGGAGTCAATGCAGGGGAATCGGGCCTCATCTCGAGTTGATTTGGGGCACATGGAGCTGCTTTGCGTTGCTGGGGTGACCTCAGGGTCCGTCTAGACTGGTGACAGTGTTCTTGGGGACTGTCTCGAGATCCATTAAGCAAGTCGAAGCTCCTGACTTGTTTGAATGGGGTCACGGAATAGCTCTGCATGCACTGCAGGGGAATGGGGCCTCATCTCGCCTCTAGGGGGAAGTCTCGTGGTTTTCCTCGAGTTGCGGCGGGGACCTGGGGTATGTTCTCGACTTACGGCGGGGATGGCCCTTCAAAACACGAGTTTCTTCAGTGACGTCAGGACTCCTGTCTAGTAACGAGGGACACCTCAGGAATCTCTTCGAGGCTTGGCAGGGCCAAAGGGACGCTTCTCGAGGTGAGGCAGGGCACCCAAGGACCCTTTCCAGTAGCCACAGGGATTTTGGGATTCCTATCAGTATTCAAGAGGAGTCAGGCATCGTCACCTTTTGAAGCAATGAACTCCGCGTGCCTCTCGAGGTGTCAGCGGGATGTGAGGCATTCCGTCAAAATGAGGCAGGGACCTAGGGCTTTCTCTAAGGTCTCCACAGGGGATTCAGACATCCCTTCATGTTGTGAGATGAAAGACGAGCCTGTATTCAAGCCACTGCAAGGAAATCCGGCCTCCTTTCAAGTTAGGGCTTCTCGCTGTATATTCCCCTTGAGGCAGCAAACTCGGGGTCCCTCCCACATACTTATTGCTGAGAGAAGCCTCCTCCTCAGGTGCTTCTGGGAAGTTGGCATACGTCTTGAGCCTAAGCCAGGGAATCAGCTCGCCTCTCGAGACGATTTGGGGTACATGGAGCATTCCTCGAGTTGCTGTGCTGAAGTTGGTGTTCCTCTAGACTTGGGACAGTGTTCTCGGGGCATCTCTGGAGTTGCCTGAAGGAAGTCGAGCCACCGGTCGTGTTGAATGGGGAACGGGGAATGGCTCTGGAGTCAATGCAGGGGAATCGGGCCTCATCTCGAGTTGATTTGGGGCACATGGAGCTGCTTTGCGTTGCTGGGGTGACCTCAGGGTCCGTCTAGACTGGTGACAGTGTTCTTGGGGACTGTCTCGAGATCCATTAAGCAAGTCGAAGCTCCTGACTTGTTTGAATGGGGTCACGGAATAGCTCTGCATGCACTGCAGGGGAATGGGGCCTCATCTCGCCTCTAGGGGGAAGTCTCATGGTTTTTCTCGAGTTGCGGCGGGGACCTGGGGTATGTTCTCGACTTACGGCGGGGATGGCCCTTCAAAACACGAGTTTCTTCAGTGACGTCAGGACTCCTGTCTAGTAACGAGGGACACCTCAGGAATCTCTTCGAGGCTTGGCAGGGCCAAAGGGACGCTTCTCGAGGTGAGGCAGGGCACCCAAGGACCCTTTCCAGTAGCCACAGGGATTTTGGGATTCCTATCAGTATTCAAGAGGAGTCAGGCATCGTCACCTTTTGAAGCAATGAACTCCGCGTGCCTCTCGAGGTGTCAGCGGGATGTGAGGCATTCCGTCAAAATGAGGCAGGGACCTAGGGCTTTCTCTAAGGTCTCCACAGGGGATTCAGACATCCCTTCATGTTGTGAGATGAAAGACGAGCCTGTATTCAAGCCACTGCAAGGAAATCCGGCCTCCTTTCAAGTTAGGGCTTCTCGCTGTATATTCCCCTTGAGGCAGCAAACTCGGGGTCCCTCCCACATACCTATTGCTGAGAGAAGCCTCCTCCTGAGGTGCTTCTGGGAAGTTGGCATACGTCTTGAGCCTAAGCCAGGGAATCAGCTCGCATCTCGAGACGATTTGGGGTACACGGAGCATTCCTCGAGTTGCTGTGCTGAAGTTGGTGTTCCTCTAGACTTGGGACAGTGTTCTCGGGGCATCTCTGGAGTTGCCTGAAGGAAGTCGAGCCACCGGTCGTGTTGAATGGGGAACGGGGAATGGCTCTGGAGTCAATGCAGGGGAATCGGGCCTCATCTCGAGTTGATTTGGGGCACATGGAGCTGCTTTGCGTTGCTGGGGTGACCTCAGGGTCCGTCTAGACTGATGACAGTGTTCTTGGGGACTGTCTCGAGATCCATTAAGCAAGTCGAAGCTCCTGACTTGTTTGAATGGGGTCACGGAATAGCTCTGCATGCACTGCAGGGGAATGGGGCCTCATCTCGCCTCTAGGGGGAAGTCTCATGGTTTTTCTCGAGTTGCGGTGGGGACCTGGGGTATGTTCTCGACTTACGGCGGGGATGGCCCTTCAAAACACGAGTTTCTTCAGTGACGTCAGGACTCCTGTCTAGTAACGAGGGACACCTCAGGAATCTCTTCGAGGCTTGGCAGGGCCAAAGGGACGCTTCTCGAGCTGAGGCAGGGCACCCAAGGACCCTTTCCAGTAGCCACAGGGATTTTGGGATTCCTATCAGTATTCAAGAGGAGTCAGGCATCGTCACCTTTTGAAGCAATGAACTCCGCGTGCCTCTCGAGGTGTCAGCGGGATGTGAGGCATTCCGTCAAAATGAGGCAGGGACCTAGGGCTTTCTCTAAGGTCTCCACAGGGGATTCAGACATCCCTTCATGTTGTGAGATGAAAGACGAGCCTGTATTCAAGCCACTGCAAGGAAATCCGGCCTCCTTTCAAGTTAGGGCTTCTCGCTGTATATTCCCCTTGAGGCAGCAAACTCGGGGTCCCTCCCACATACCTATTGCTGAGAGAAGCCTCCTCCTGAGGTGCTTCTGGGAAGTTGGCATACGTCTTGAGCCTAAGCCAGGGAATCAGCTCGCATCTCGAGACGATTTGGGGTACACGGAGCATTCCTCGAGTTGCTGTGCTGAAGTTGCTGTTCCTCTAGACTTGGGACAGTGTTCTCGGGGCATCTCTGGAGTTGCCTGAAGGAAGTCGAGCCACCGGTCGTGTTGAATGGGGAACGGGGAATGGCTCTGGAGTCAATGCAGGGGAATCGGGCCTCATCTCGAGTTGATTTGGGGCACATGGAGCTGCTTTGCGTTGCTGGGGTGACCTCAGGGTCCGTCTAGACTGGTGACAGTGTTCTTGGGGACTGTCTCGAGATCCATTAAGCAAGTCGAAGCTCCTGACTTGTTTGAATGGGGTCACGGAATAGCTCTGCATGCACTGCAGGGGAATGGGGCCTCATCTCGCCTCTAGGGGGAAGTCTCATGGTTTTTCTCGAGTTGCGGCGGGGACCTGGGGTATGTTCTCGACTTACGGCGGGGATGGCCCTTCAAAACACGAGTTTCTTCAGTGACGTCAGGACTCCTGTCTAGTAACGAGGGACACCTCAGGAATCTCTTCGAGGCTTGGCAGGGCCAAAGGGACGCTTCTCGAGGTGAGGCAGGGCACCCAAGGACCCTTTCCAGTAGCCACAGGGATTTTGGGATTCCTATCAGTATTCAAGAGGAGTCAGGCATCGTCACCTTTTGAAGCAATGAACTCCGCGTGCCTCTCGAGGTGTCAGCGGGATGTGAGGCATTCCGTCAAAATGAGGCAGGGACCTAGGGCTTTCTCTAAGGTCTCCACAGGGGATTCAGACATCCCTTCATGTTGTGAGATGAAAGACGAGCCTGTATTCAAGCCACTGCAAGGAAATCCGGCCTCCTTTCAAGTTAGGGCTTCTCGCTGTATATTCCCCTTGAGGCAGCAAACTCGGGGTCCCTCCCACATACCTATTGCTGAGAGAAGCCTCCTCCTGAGGTGCTTCTGGGAAGTTGGCATACGTCTTGAGCCTAAGCCAGGGAATCAGCTCGCATCTCGAGACGATTTGGGGTACACGGAGCATTCCTCGAGTTGCTGTGCTGAAGTTGGTGTTCCTCTAGACTTGGGACAGTGTTCTCGGGGCATCTCTGGAGTTGCCTGAAAGAAGTCGAGCCACCGGTCGTGTTGAATGGGGAACGGGGAATGGCTCTGGAGTCAATGCAGGGGAATCGGGCCTCATCTCGAGTTGATTTGGGGCACATGGAGCTGCTTTGCGTTGCTGGGGTGACCTCAGGGTCCGTCTAGACTGGTGACAGTGTTCTTGGGGACTGTCTCGAGATCCATTAAGCAAGTCGAAGCTCCTGACTTGTTTGAATGGGGTCACGGAATAGCTCTGCATGCACTGCAGGGGAATGGGGCCTCATCTCGCCTCTAGGGGGAAGTCTCATGGTTTTTCTCGAGTTGCGGCGGGGACCTGGGGTATGTTCTCGACTTACGGCGGGGATGGCCCTTCAAAACACGAGTTTCTTCAGTGACGTCAGGACTCCTGTCTAGTAACGAGGGACACCTCAGGAATCTCTTCGAGGCTTGGCAGGGCCAAAGGGACGCTTCTCGAGGTGAGGCAGGGCACCCAAGGACCCTTTCCAGTAGCCACAGGGATTTTGGGATTCCTATCAGTATTCAAGAGGAGTCAGGCATCGTCACCTTTTGAAGCAATGAACTCCGCGTGCCTCTCGAGGTGTCAGCGGGATGTGAGGCATTCCGTCAAAATGAGGCAGGGACCTAGGGCTTTCTCTAAGGTCTCCACAGGGGATTCAGACACCCCTTCATGTTGTGAGATGAAAGACGAGCCTGTATTCAAGCCACTGCAAGGAAATCCGGCCTCCTTTCAAGTTAGGGCTTCTCGCTGTATATTCCCCTTGAGGCAGCAAACTCGGGGTCCCTCCCACATACCTATTGCTGAGAGAAGCCTCCTCCTGAGGTGCTTCTGGGAAGTTGGCATACGTCTTGAGCCTAAGCCAGGGAATCAGCTCGCATCTCGAGACGATTTGGGGTACACGGAGCATTCCTCGAGTTGCTGTGCTGAAGTTGGTGTTCCTCTAGACTTGGGACAGTGTTCTCGGGGCATCTCTGGAGTTGCCTGAAGGAAGTCGAGCCACCGGTCGTGTTGAATGGGGAACGGGGAATGGCTCTGGAGTCAATGCAGGGGAATCGGGCCTCATCTCGAGTTGATTTGGGGCACATGGAGCTGCTTTGCGTTGCTGGGGTGACCTCAGGGTCCGTCTAGACTGGTGACAGTGTTCTTGGGGACTGTCTCGAGATCCATTAAGCAAGTCGAAGCTCCTGACTTGTTTGAATGGGGTCACGGAATAGCTGTGCATGCACTGCAGGGGAATGGGGCCTCATCTCGCCTCTAGGGGGAAGTCTCATGGTTTTTCTCGAGTTGCGGCGGGGACCTGGGGTATGTTCTCGACTTACGGCGGGGATGGCCCTTCAAAACACGAGTTTCTTCAGTGACGTCAGGACTCCTGTCTAGTAACGAGGGACACCTCAGGAATCTCTTCGAGGCTTGGCAGGGCCAAAGGGACGCTTCTCGAGGTGAGGCAGGGCACCCAAGGACCCTTTCCAGTAGCCACAGGGATTTTGGGATTCCTATCAGTATTCAAGAGGAGTCAGGCATCGTCACCTTTTGAAGCAATGAACTCCGCGTGCCTCTCGAGGTGTCAGCGGGATGTGAGGCATTCCGTCAAAATGAGGCAGGGACCTAGGGCTTTCTCTAAGGTCTCCACAGGGGATTCAGACATCCCTTCATGTTGTGAGATGAAAGACGAGCCTGTATTCAAGCCACTGCAAGGAAATCCGGCCTCCTTTCAAGTTAGGGCTTCTCGCTGTATATTCCCCTTGAGGCAGCAAACTCGGGGTCCCTCCCACATACTTATTGCTGAGAGAAGCCTCCTCCTCAGGTGCTTCTGGGAAGTTGGCATACGTCTTGAGCCTAAGCCAGGGAATCAGCTCGCCTCTCGAGACGATTTGGGGTACACGGAGCATTCCTCGAGTTGCTGTGCTGAAGTTGGTGTTCCTCTAGACTTGGGACAGTGTTCTCGGGGCATCTCTGGAGTTGCCTGAAGGAAGTCGAGCCACCGGTCGTGTTGAATGGGGAACGGGGAATGGCTCTGGAGTCAATGCAGGGGAATCGGGCCTCATCTCGAGTTGATTTGGGGCACATGGAGCTGCTTTGCGTTGCTGGGGTGACCTCAGGGTCCGTCTAGACTGGTGACAGTGTTCTTGGGGACTGTCTCGAGATCCATTAAGCAAGTCGAAGCTCCTGACTTGTTTGAATGGGGTCACGGAATAGCTGTGCATGCACTGCAGGGGAATGGGGCCTCATCTCGCCTCTAGGGGGAAGTCTCATGGTTTTTCTCGAGTTGCGGCGGGGACCTGGGGTATGTTCTCGACTTACGGCGGGGATGGCCCTTCAAAACACGAGTTTCTTCAGTGACGTCAGGACTCCTGTCTAGTAACGAGGGACACCTCAGGAATCTCTTCGAGGCTTGGCAGGGCCAAAGGGACGCTTCTCGAGGTGAGGCAGGGCACCCAAGGACCCTTTCCAGTAGCCACAGGGATTTTGGGATTCCTATCAGTATTCAAGAGGAGTCAGGCATCGTCACCTTTTGAAGCAATGAACTCCGCGTGCCTCTCGAGGTGTCAGCGGGATGTGAGGCATTCCGTCAAAATGAGGCAGGGACCTAGGGCTTTCTCTAAGGTCTCCACAGGGGATTCAGACATCCCTTCATGTTGTGAGATGAAAGACGAGCCTGTATTCAAGCCACTGCAAGGAAATCCGGCCTCCTTTCAAGTTAGGGCTTCTCGCTGTATATTCCCCTTGAGGCAGCAAACTCGGGGTCCCTCCCACATACTTATTGCTGAGAGAAGCCTCCTCCTCAGGTGCTTCTGGGAAGTTGGCATACGTCTTGAGCCTAAGCCAGGGAATCAGCTCGCCTCTCGAGACGATTTGGGGTACACAGAGCATTCCTCGAGTTGCTGTGCTGAAGTTGGTGTTCCTCTAGACTTGGGACAGTGTTCTCGGGGCATCTCTGGAGTTGCCTGAAGGAAGTCGAGCCACCGGTCGTGTTGAATGGGGAACGGGGAATGGCTCTGGAGTCAATGCAGGGGAATCGGGCCTCATCTCGAGTTGATTTGGGGCACATGGAGCTGCTTTGCGTTGCTGGGGTGACCTCAGGGTCCGTCTAGACTGGTGACAGTGTTCTTGGGGACTGTCTCGAGATCCATTAAGCAAGTCGAAGCTCCTGACTTGTTTGAATGGGATCACGGAATAGCTCTGCATGCACTGCAGGGGAATGGGGCCTCATCTCGCCTCTAGGGGGAAGTCTCATGGTTTTTCTCGAGTTGCGGCGGGGACCTGGGGTATGTTCTCGACTTACGGCGGGGATGGCCCTTCAAAACACGAGTTTCTTCAGTGACGTCAGGACTCCTGTCTAGTAACGAGGGACACCTCAGGAATCTCTTCGAGGCTTGGCAGGGCCAAAGGGACGCTTCTCGAGGTGAGGCAGGGCACCCAAGGACCCTTTCCAGTAGCCACAGGGATTTTGGGATTCCTATCAGTATTCAAGAGGAGTCAGGCATCGTCACCTTTTGAAGCAATGAACTCCGCGTGCCTCTCGAGGTGTCAGCGGGATGTGAGGCATTCCGTCAAAATGAGGCAGGGACCTAGGGCTTTCTCTAAGGTCTCCACAGGGGATTCAGACATCCCTTCATGTTGTGAGATGAAAGACGAGCCTGTATTCAAGCCACTGCAAGGAAATCCGGCCTCCTTTCAAGTTAGGGCTTCTCGCTGTATATTCCCCTTGAGGCAGCAAACTCGGGGTCCCTCCCACATACCTATTGCTGAGAGAAGCCTCCTCCTGAGGTGCTTCTGGGAAGTTGGCATACGTCTTGAGCCTAAGCCAGGGAATCAGCTCGCATCTCGAGACGATTTGGGGTACACGGAGCATTCCTCGAGTTGCTGTGCTGAAGTTGGTGTTCCTCTAGACTTGGGACAGTGTTCTCGGGGCATCTCTGGAGTTGCCTGAAGGAAGTCGAGCCACCGGTCGTGTTGAATGGGGAACGGGGAATGGCTCTGGAGTCAATGCAGGGGAATCGGGCCTCATCTCGAGTTGATTTGGGGCACATGGAGCTGCTTTGCGTTGCTGGGGTGACCTCAGGGTCCGTCTAGACTGGTGACAGTGTTCTTGGGGACTGTCTCGAGATCCATTAAGCAAGTCGAAGCTCCTGACTTGTTTGAATGGGATCACGGAATAGCTCTGCATGCACTGCAGGGGAATGGGGCCTCATCTCGCCTCTAGGGGGAAGTCTCATGGTTTTTCTCGAGTTGCGGCGGGGACCTGGGGTATGTTCTCGACTTACGGCGGGGATGGCCCTTCAAAACACGAGTTTCTTCAGTGACGTCAGGACTCCTGTCTAGTAACGAGGGACACCTCAGGAATCTCTTCGAGGCTTGGCAGGGCCAAAGGGACGCTTCTCGAGGTGAGGCAGGGCACCCAAGGACCCTTTCCAGTAGCCACAGGGATTTTGGGATTCCTATCAGTATTCAAGAGGAGTCAGGCATCGTCACCTTTTGAAGCAATGAACTCCGCGTGCCTCTCGAGGTGTCAGCGGGATGTGAGGCATTCCGTCAAAACGAGGCAGGGACCTAGGGCTTTCTCTAAGGTCTCCACAGGGGATTCAGACATCCCTTCATGTTGTGAGATGAAAGACGAGCCTGTATTCAAGCCACTGCAAGGAAATCCGGCCTCCTTTCAAGTTAGGGCTTCTCGCTGTATATTCCCCTTGAGGCAGCAAACTCGGGGTCCCTCCCACATACCTATTGCTGAGAGGAGCCTCCTCCTGAGGTGCTTCTGGGAAGTTGGCATACGTCTTGAGCCTAAGCCAGGGAATCAGCTCGCATCTCGAGACGATTTGGGGTACACGGAGCATTCCTCGAGTTGCTGTGCTGAAGTTGGTGTTCCTCTAGACTTGGGACAGGGTTCTCGGGGCATCTCTGGAGTTGCCTGAAGGAAGTCGAGCCACCGGTCGTGTTGAATGGGGAACGGGGAATGGCTCTGGAGTCAATGCAGGGGAATCGGGCCTCATCTCGAGTTGATTTGGGGCACATGGAGCTGCTTTGCGTTGCTGGGGTGACCTCAGGGTCCGTCTAGACTGGTGACAGTGTTCTTGGGGACTGTCTCGAGATCCATTAAGCAAGTCGAAGCTCCTGACTTGTTTGAATGGGGTCACGGAATAGCTCTGCATGCACTGCAGGGGAATGGGGCCTCATCTCGCCTCTAGGGGGAAGTCTCGTGGTTTTCCTCGAGTTGCGGCGGGGACCTGGGGTATGTTCTCGACTTACGGCGGGGATGGCCCTTCAAAACACGAGTTTCTTCAGTGACGTCAGGACTCCTGTCTAGTAACGAGGGACACCTCAGGAATCTCTTCGAGGCTTGGCAGGGCCAAAGGGACGCTTCTCGAGGTGAGGCAGGGCACCCAAGGACCCTTTCCAGTAGCCACAGGGATTTTGGGATTCCTATCAGTATTCAAGAGGAGTCAGGCATCGTCACCTTTTGAAGCAATGAACTCCGCGTGCCTCTCGAGGTGTCAGCGGGATGTGAGGCATTCCGTCAAAATGAGGCAGGGACCTAGGGCTTTCTCTAAGGTCTCCACAGGGGATTCAGACATCCCTTCATGTTGTGAGATGAAAGACGAGCCTGTATTCAAGCCACTGCAAGGAAATCCGGCCTCCTTTCAAGTTAGGGCTTCTCGCTGTATATTCCCCTTGAGGCAGCAAACTCGGGGTCCCTCCCACATACTTATTGCTGAGAGAAGCCTCCTCCTCAGGTGCTTCTGGGAAGTTGGCATACGTCTTGAGCCTAAGCCAGGGAATCAGCTCGCCTCTCGAGACGATTTGGGGTACATGGAGCATTCCTCGAGTTGCTGTGCTGAAGTTGGTGTTCCTCTAGACTTGGGACAGTGTTCTCGGGGCATCTCTGGAGTTGCCTGAAGGAAGTCGAGCCACCGGTCGTGTTGAATGGGGAACGGGGAATGGCTCTGGAGTCAATGCAGGGGAATCGGGCCTCATCTCGAGTTGATTTGGGGCACATGGAGCTGCTTTGCGTTGCTGGGGTGACCTCAGGGTCCGTCTAGACTGGTGACAGTGTTCTTGGGGACTGTCTCGAGATCCATTAAGCAAGTCGAAGCTCCTGACTTGTTTGAATGGGATCACGGAATAGCTCTGCATGCACTGCAGGGGAATGGGGCCTCATCTCGCCTCTAGGGGGAAGTCTCATGGTTTTTCTCGAGTTGCGGCGGGGACCTGGGGTATGTTCTCGACTTACGGCGGGGATGGCCCTTCAAAACACGAGTTTCTTCAGTGACGTCAGGACTCCTGTCTAGTAACGAGGGACACCTCAGGAATCTCTTCGAGGCTTGGCAGGGCCAAAGGGACGCTTCTCGAGGTGAGGCAGGGCACCCAAGGACCCTTTCCAGTAGCCACAGGGATTTTGGGATTCCTATCAGTATTCAAGAGGAGTCAGGCATCGTCACCTTTTGAAGCAATGAACTCCGCGTGCCTCTCGAGGTGTCAGCGGGATGTGAGGCATTCCGTCAAAATGAGGCAGGGACCTAGGGCTTTCTCTAAGGTCTCCACAGGGGATTCAGACATCCCTTCATGTTGTGAGATGAAAGACGAGCCTGTATTCAAGCCACTGCAAGGAAATCCGGCCTCCTTTCAAGTTAGGGCTTCTCGCTGTATATTCCCCTTGAGGCAGCAAACTCGGGGTCCCTCCCACATACCTATTGCTGAGAGAAGCCTCCTCCTGAGGTGCTTCTGGGAAGTTGGCATACGTCTTGAGCCTAAGCCAGGGAATCAGCTCGCATCTCGAGACGATTTGGGGTACACGGAGCATTCCTCGAGTTGCTGTGCTGAAGTTGGTGTTCCTCTAGACTTGGGACAGTGTTCTCGGGGCATCTCTGGAGTTGCCTGAAGGAAGTCGAGCCACCGGTCGTGTTGAATGGGGAACGGGGAATGGCTCTGGAGTCAATGCAGGGGAATCGGGCCTCATCTCGAGTTGATTTGGGGCACATGGAGCTGCTTTGCGTTGCTGGGGTGACCTCAGGGTCCGTCTAGACTGGTGACAGTGTTCTTGGGGACTGTCTCGAGATCCATTAAGCAAGTCGAAGCTCCTGACTTGTTTGAATGGGGTCACGGAATAGCTGTGCATGCACTGCAGGGGAATGGGGCCTCATCTCGCCTCTAGGGGGAAGTCTCATGGTTTTTCTCGAGTTGCGGCGGGGACCTGGGGTATGTTCTCGACTTACGGCGGGGATGGCCCTTCAAAACACGAGTTTCTTCAGTGACGTCAGGACTCCTGTCTAGTAACGAGGGACACCTCAGGAATCTCTTCGAGGCTTGGCAGGGCCAAAGGGACGCTTCTCGAGGTGAGGCAGGGCACCCAAGGACCCTTTCCAGTAGCCACAGGGATTTTGGGATTCCTATCAGTATTCAAGAGGAGTCAGGCATCGTCACCTTTTGAAGCAATGAACTCCGCGTGCCTCTCGAGGTGTCAGCGGGATGTGAGGCATTCCGTCAAAATGAGGCAGGGACCTAGGGCTTTCTCTAAGGTCTCCACAGGGGATTCAGACATCCCTTCATGTTGTGAGATGAAAGACGAGCCTGTATTCAAGCCACTGCAAGGAAATCCGGCCTCCTTTCAAGTTAGGGCTTCTCGCTGTATATTCCCCTTGAGGCAGCAAACTCGGGGTCCCTCCCACATACCTATTGCTGAGAGAAGCCTCCTCCTGAGGTGCTTCTGGGAAGTTGGCATACGTCTTGAGCCTAAGCCAGGGAATCAGCTCGCATCTCGAGACGATTTGGGGTACACGGAGCATTCCTCGAGTTGCTGTGCTGAAGTTGGTGTTCCTCTAGACTTGGGACAGTGTTCTCGGGGCATCTCTGGAGTTGCCTGAAGGAAGTCGAGCCACCGGTCGTGTTGAATGGGGAACGGGGAATGGCTCTGGAGTCAATGCAGGGGAATCGGGCCTCATCTCGAGTTGATTTGGGGCACATGGAGCTGCTTTGCGTTGCTGGGGTGACCTCAGGGTCCGTCTAGACTGGTGACAGTGTTCTTGGGGACTGTCTCGAGATCCATTAAGCAAGTCGAAGCTCCTGACTTGTTTGAATGGGGTCACGGAATAGCTCTGCATGCACTGCAGGGGAATGGGGCCTCATCTCGCCTCTAGGGGGAAGTCTCATGGTTTTTCTCGAGTTGCGGTGGGGACCTGGGGTATGTTCTCGACTTACGGCGGGGATGGCCCTTCAAAACACGAGTTTCTTCAGTGACGTCAGGACTCCTGTCTAGTAACGAGGGACACCTCAGGAATCTCTTCGAGGCTTGGCAGGGCCAAAGGGACGCTTCTCGAGCTGAGGCAGGGCACCCAAGGACCCTTTCCAGTAGCCACAGGGATTTTGGGATTCCTATCAGTATTCAAGAGGAGTCAGGCATCGTCACCTTTTGAAGCAATGAACTCCGCGTGCCTCTCGAGGTGTCAGCGGGATGTGAGGCATTCCGTCAAAATGAGGCAGGGACCTAGGGCTTTCTCTAAGGTCTCCACAGGGGATTCAGACATCCCTTCATGTTGTGAGATGAAAGACGAGCCTGTATTCAAGCCACTGCAAGGAAATCCGGCCTCCTTTCAAGTTAGGGCTTCTCGCTGTATATTCCCCTTGAGGCAGCAAACTCGGGGTCCCTCCCACATACCTATTGCTGAGAGAAGCCTCCTCCTGAGGTGTTTCTGGGAAGTTGGCATACGTCTTGAGCCTAAGCCAGGGAATCAGCTCGCATCTCGAGACGATTTGGGGTACACGGAGCATTCCTCGAGTTGCTGTGCTGAAGTTGGTGTTCCTCTAGACTTGGGACAGTGTTCTCGGGGCATCTCTGGAGTTGCCTGAAGGAAGTCGAGCCACCGGTCGTGTTGAATGGGGAACGGGGAATGGCTCTGGAGTCAATGCAGGGGAATCGGGCCTCATCTCGAGTTGATTTGGGGCACATGGAGCTGCTTTGCGTTGCTGGGGTGACCTCAGGGTCCGTCTAGACTGGTGACAGTGTTCTTGGGGACTGTCTCGAGATCCATTAAGCAAGTCGAAGCTCCTGACTTGTTTGAATGGGGTCACGGAATAGCTGTGCATGCACTGCAGGGGAATGGGGCCTCATCTCGCCTCTAGGGGGAAGTCTCATGGTTTTTCTCGAGTTGCGGCGGGGACCTGGGGTATGTTCTCGACTTACGGCGGGGATGGCCCTTCAAAACACGAGTTTCTTCAGTGACGTCAGGACTCCTGTCTAGTAACGAGGGACACCTCAGGAATCTCTTCGAGGCTTGGCAGGGCCAAAGGGACGCTTCTCGAGGTGAGGCAGGGCACCCAAGGACCCTTTCCAGTAGCCACAGGGATTTTGGGATTCCTATCAGTATTCAAGAGGAGTCAGGCATCGTCACCTTTTGAAGCAATGAACTCCGCGTGCCTCTCGAGGTGTCAGCGGGATGTGAGGCATTCCGTCAAAATGAGGCAGGGACCTAGGGCTTTCTCTAAGGTCTCCACAGGGGATTCAGACATCCCTTCATGTTGTGAGATGAAAGACGAGCCTGTATTCAAGCCACTGCAAGGAAATCCGGCCTCCTTTCAAGTTAGGGCTTCTCGCTGTATATTCCCCTTGAGGCAGCAAACTCGGGGTCCCTCCCACATACCTATTGCTGAGAGAAGCCTCCTCCTGAGGTGCTTCTGGGAAGTTGGCATACGTCTTGAGCCTAAGCCAGGGAATCAGCTCGCATCTCGAGACGATTTGGGGTACACGGAGCATTCCTCGAGTTGCTGTGCTGAAGTTGGTGTTCCTCTAGACTTGGGACAGTGTTCTCGGGGCATCTCTGGAGTTGCCTGAAAGAAGTCGAGCCACCGGTCGTGTTGAATGGGGAACGGGGAATGGCTCTGGAGTCAATGCAGGGGAATCGGGCCTCATCTCGAGTTGATTTGGGGCACATGGAGCTGCTTTGCGTTGCTGGGGTGACCTCAGGGTCCGTCTAGACTGGTGACAGTGTTCTTGGGGACTGTCTCGAGATCCATTAAGCAAGTCGAAGCTCCTGACTTGTTTGAATGGGGTCACGGAATAGCTCTGCATGCACTGCAGGGGAATGGGGCCTCATCTCGCCTCTAGGGGGAAGTCTCATGGTTTTTCTCGAGTTGCGGCGGGGACCTGGGGTATGTTCTCGACTTACGGCGGGGATGGCCCTTCAAAACACGAGTTTCTTCAGTGACGTCAGGACTCCTGTCTAGTAACGAGGGACACCTCAGGAATCTCTTCGAGGCTTGGCAGGGCCAAAGGGACGCTTCTCGAGGTGAGGCAGGGCACCCAAGGACCCTTTCCAGTAGCCACAGGGATTTTGGGATTCCTATCAGTATTCAAGAGGAGTCAGGCATCGTCACCTTTTGAAGCAATGAACTCCGCGTGCCTCTCGAGGTGTCAGCGGGATGTGAGGCATTCCGTCAAAATGAGGCAGGGACCTAGGGCTTTCTCTAAGGTCTCCACAGGGGATTCAGACACCCCTTCATGTTGTGAGATGAAAGACGAGCCTGTATTCAAGCCACTGCAAGGAAATCCGGCCTCCTTTCAAGTTAGGGCTTCTCGCTGTATATTCCCCTTGAGGCAGCAAACTCGGGGTCCCTCCCACATACCTATTGCTGAGAGAAGCCTCCTCCTGAGGTGCTTCTGGGAAGTTGGCATACGTCTTGAGCCTAAGCCAGGGAATCAGCTCGCATCTCGAGACGATTTGGGGTACACGGAGCATTCCTCGAGTTGCTGTGCTGAAGTTGCTGTTCCTCTAGACTTGGGACAGTGTTCTCGGGGCATCTCTGGAGTTGCCTGAAGGAAGTCGAGCCACCGGTCGTGTTGAATGGGGAACGGGGAATGGCTCTGGAGTCAATGCAGGGGAATCGGGCCTCATCTCGAGTTGATTTGGGGCACATGGAGCTGCTTTGCGTTGCTGGGGTGACCTCAGGGTCCGTCTAGACTGGTGACAGTGTTCTTGGGGACTGTCTCGAGATCCATTAAGCAAGTCGAAGCTCCTGACTTGTTTGAATGGGGTCACGGAATAGCTGTGCATGCACTGCAGGGGAATGGGGCCTCATCTCGCCTCTAGGGGGAAGTCTCATGGTTTTTCTCGAGTTGCGGCGGGGACCTGGGGTATGTTCTCGACTTACGGCGGGGATGGCCCTTCAAAACACGAGTTTCTTCAGTGACGTCAGGACTCCTGTCTAGTAACGAGGGACACCTCAGGAATCTCTTCGAGGCTTGGCAGGGCCAAAGGGACGCTTCTCGAGGTGAGGCAGGGCACCCAAGGACCCTTTCCAGTAGCCACAGGGATTTTGGGATTCCTATCAGTATTCAAGAGGAGTCAGGCATCGTCACCTTTTGAAGCAATGAACTCCACGTGCCTCTCGAGGTGTCAGCGGGATGTGAGGCATTCCGTCAAAATGAGGCAGGGACCTAGGGCTTTCTCTAAGGTCTCCACAGGGGATTCAGACATCCCTTCATGTTGTGAGATGAAAGACGAGCCTGTATTCAAGCCACTGCAAGGAAATCCGGCCTCCTTTCAAGTTAGGGCTTCTCGCTGTATATTCCCCTTGAGGCAGCAAACTCGGGGTCCCTCCCACATACATATTGCTGAGAGAAGCCTCCTCCTGAGGTGCTTCTGGGAAGTTGGCATACGTCTTGAGCCTAAGCCAGGGAATCAGCTCGCATCTCGAGACGATTTGGGGTACACGGAGCATTCCTCGAGTTGCTGTGCTGAAGTTGCTGTTCCTCTAGACTTGGGACAGTGTTCTCGGGGCATCTCTGGAGTTGCCTGAAGGAAGTCGAGCCACCGGTCGTGTTGAATGGGGAACGGGGAATGGCTCTGGAGTCAATGCAGGGGAATCGGGCCTCATCTCGAGTTGATTTGGGGCACATGGAGCTGCTTTGCGTTGCTGGGGTGACCTCAGGGTCCGTCTAGACTGGTGACAGTGTTCTTGGGGACTGTCTCGAGATCCATTAAGCAAGTCGAAGCTCCTGACTTGTTTGAATGGGATCACGGAATAGCTCTGCATGCACTGCAGGGGAATGGGGCCTCATCTCGCCTCTAGGGGGAAGTCTCATGGTTTTTCTCGAGTTGCGGCGGGGACCTGGGGTATGTTCTCGACTTACGGCGGGGATGGCCCTTCAAAACACGAGTTTCTTCAGTGACGTCAGGACTCCTGTCTAGTAACGAGGGACACCTCAGGAATCTCTTCGAGGCTTGGCAGGGCCAAAGGGACGCTTCTCGAGGTGAGGCAGGGCACCCAAGGACCCTTTCCAGTAGCCACAGGGATTTTGGGATTCCTATCAGTATTCAAGAGGAGTCAGGCATCGTCACCTTTTGAAGCAATGAACTCCGCGTGCCTCTCGAGGTGTCAGCGGGATGTGAGGCATTCCGTCAAAATGAGGCAGGGACCTAGGGCTTTCTCTAAGGTCTCCACAGGGGATTCAGACATCCCTTCATGTTGTGAGATGAAAGACGAGCCTGTATTCAAGCCACTGCAAGGAAATCCGGCCTCCTTTCAAGTTAGGGCTTCTCGCTGTATATTCCCCTTGAGGCAGCAAACTCGGGGTCCCTCCCACATACCTATTGCTGAGAGAAGCCTCCTCCTGAGGTGCTTCTGGGAAGTTGGCATACGTCTTGAGCCTAAGCCATGGAATCAGCTCGCATCTCGAGACGATTTGGGGTACACGGAGCATTCCTCGAGTTGCTGTGCTGAAGTTGCTGTTCCTCTAGACTTGGGACAGTGTTCTCGGGGCATCTCTGGAGTTGCCTGAAGGAAGTCGAGCCACCGGTCGTGTTGAATGGGGAACGGGGAATGGCTCTGGAGTCAATGCAGGGGAATCGGGCCTCATCTCGAGTTGATTTGGGGCACATGGAGCTGCTTTGCGTTGCTGGGGTGACCTCAGGGTCCGTCTAGACTGGTGACAGTGTTCTTGGGGACTGTCTCGAGATCCATTAAGCAAGTCGAAGCTCCTGACTTGTTTGAATGGGGTCACGGAATAGCTCTGCATGCACTGCAGGGGAATGGGGCCTCATCTCGCCTCTAGGGGGAAGTCTCATGGTTTTTCTCGAGTTGCGGCGGGGACCTGGGGTATGTTCTCGACTTACGGCGGGGATGGCCCTTCAAAACACGAGTTTCTTCAGTGACGTCAGGACTCCTGTCTAGTAACGAGGGACACCTCAGGAATCTCTTCGAGGCTTGGCAGGGCCAAAGGGACGCTTCTCGAGGTGAGGCAGGGCACCCAAGGACCCTTTCCAGTAGCCACAGGGATTTTGGGATTCCTATCAGTATTCAAGAGGAGTCAGGCATCGTCACCTTTTGAAGCAATGAACTCCGCGTGCCTCTCGAGGTGTCAGCGGGATGTGAGGCATTCCGTCAAAATGAGGCAGGGACCTAGGGCTTTCTCTAAGGTCTCCACAGGGGATTCAGACATCCCTTCATGTTGTGAGATGAAAGACGAGCCTGTATTCAAGCCACTGCAAGGAAATCCGGCCTCCTTTCAAGTTAGGGCTTCTCGCTGTATATTCCCCTTGAGGCAGCAAACTCGGGGTCCCTCCCACATACCTATTGCTGAGAGAAGCCTCCTCCTGAGGTGCTTCTGGGAAGTTGGCATACGTCTTGAGCCTAAGCCAGGGAATCAGCTCGCATCTCGAGACGATTTGGGGTACACGGAGCATTCCTCGAGTTGCTGTGCTGAAGTTGCTGTTCCTCTAGACTTGGGACAGTGTTCTCGGGGCATCTCTGGAGTTGCCTGAAGGAAGTCGAGCCACCGGTCGTGTTGAATGGGGAACGGGGAATGGCTCTGGAGTCAATGCAGGGGAATCGGGCCTCATCTCGAGTTGATTTGGGGCACATGGAGCTGCTTTGCGTTGCTGGGGTGACCTCAGGGTCCGTCTAGACTGGTGACAGTGTTCTTGGGGACTGTCTCGAGATCCATTAAGCAAGTCGAAGCTCCTGACTTGTTTGAATGGGGTCACGGAATAGCTCTGCATGCACTGCAGGGGAATGGGGCCTCATCTCGCCTCTAGGGGGAAGTCTCATGGTTTTTCTCGAGTTGCGGCGGGGACCTGGGGTATGTTCTCGACTTACGGCGGGGATGGCCCTTCAAAACACGAGTTTCTTCAGTGACGTCAGGACTCCTGTCTAGTAACGAGGGACACCTCAGGAATCTCTTCGAGGCTTGGCAGGGCCAAAGGGACGCTTCTCGAGCTGAGGCAGGGCACCCAAGGACCCTTTCCAGTAGCCACAGGGATTTTGGGATTCCTATCAGTATTCAAGAGGAGTCAGGCATCGTCACCTTTTGAAGCAATGAACTCCGCGTGCCTCTCGAGGTGTCAGCGGGATGTGAGGCATTCCGTCAAAATGAGGCAGGGACCTAGGGCTTTCTCTAAGGTCTCCACAGGGGATTCAGACATCCCTTCATGTTGTGAGATGAAAGACGAGCCTGTATTCAAGCCACTGCAAGGAAATCCGGCCTCCTTTCAAGTTAGGGCTTCTCGCTGTATATTCCCCTTGAGGCAGCAAACTCGGGGTCCCTCCCACATACCTATTGCTGAGAGAAGCCTCCTCCTGAGGTGCTTCTGGGAAGTTGGCATACGTCTTGAGCCTAAGCCAGGGAATCAGCTCGCATCTCGAGACGATTTGGGGTACACGGAGCATTCCTCGAGTTGCTGTGCTGAAGTTGCTGTTCCTCTAGACTTGGGACAGTGTTCTCGGGGCATCTCTGGAGTTGCCTGAAGGAAGTCGAGCCACCGGTCGTGTTGAATGGGGAACGGGGAATGGCTCTGGAGTCAATGCAGGGGAATCGGGCCTCATCTCGAGTTGATTTGGGGCACATGGAGCTGCTTTGCGTTGCTGGGGTGACCTCAGGGTCCGTCTAGACTGGTGACAGTGTTCTTGGGGACTGTCTCGAGATCCATTAAGCAAGTCGAAGCTCCTGACTTGTTTGAATGGGGTCACGGAATAGCTCTGCATGCACTGCAGGGGAATGGGGCCTCATCTCGCCTCTAGGGGGAAGTCTCATGGTTTTTCTCGAGTTGCGGCGGGGACCTGGGGTATGTTCTCGACTTACGGCGGGGATGGCCCTTCAAAACACGAGTTTCTTCAGTGACGTCAGGACTCCTGTCTAGTAACGAGGGACACCTCTGGAATCTCTTCGAGGCTTGGCAGGGCCAAAGGGACGCTTCTCGAGGTGAGGCAGGGCACCCAAGGACCCTTTCCAGTAGCCACAGGGATTTTGGGATTCCTATCAGTATTCAAGAGGAGTCAGGCATCGTCACCTTTTGAAGCAATGAACTCCGCGTGCCTCTCGAGGTGTCAGCGGGATGTGAGGCATTCCGTCAAAATGAGGCAGGGACCTAGGGCTTTCTCTAAGGTCTCCACAGGGGATTCAGACATCCCTTCATGTTGTGAGATGAAAGACGAGCCTGTATTCAAGCCACTGCAAGGAAATCCGGCCTCCTTTCAAGTTAGGGCTTCTCGCTGTATATTCCCCTTGAGGCAGCAAACTCGGGGTCCCTCCCACATACCTATTGCTGAGAGAAGCCTCCTCCTGAGGTGCTTCTGGGAAGTTGGCATACGTCTTGAGCCTAAGCCAGGGAATCAGCTCGCATCTCGAGACGATTTGGGGTACACGGAGCATTCCTCGAGTTGCTGTGCTGAAGTTGCTGTTCCTCTAGACTTGGGACAGTGTTCTCGGGGCATCTCTGGAGTTGCCTGAAGGAAGTCGAGCCACCGGTCGTGTTGAATGGGGAACGGGGAATGGCTCTGGAGTCAATGCAGGGGAATCGGGCCTCATCTCGAGTTGATTTGGGGCACATGGAGCTGCTTTGCGTTGCTGGGGTGACCTCAGGGTCCGTCTAGACTGGTGACAGTGTTCTTGGGGACTGTCTCGAGATCCATTAAGCAAGTCGAAGCTCCTGACTTGTTTGAATGGGGTCACGGAATAGCTCTGCATGCACTGCAGGGGAATGGGGCCTCATCTCGCCTCTAGGGGGAAGTCTCATGGTTTTTCTCGAGTTGCGGCGGGGACCTGGGGTATGTTCTCGACTTACGGCGGGGATGGCCCTTCAAAACACGAGTTTCTTCAGTGACGTCAGGACTCCTGTCTAGTAACGAGGGACACCTCAGGAATCTCTTCGAGGCTTGGCAGGGCCAAAGGGACGCTTCTCGAGCTGAGGCAGGGCACCCAAGGACCCTTTCCAGTAGCCACAGGGATTTTGGGATTCCTATCAGTATTCAAGAGGAGTCAGGCATCGTCACCTTTTGAAGCAATGAACTCCGCGTGCCTCTCGAGGTGTCAGCGGGATGTGAGGCATTCCGTCAAAATGAGGCAGGGACCTAGGGCTTTCTCTAAGGTCTCCACAGGGGATTCAGACATCCCTTCATGTTGTGAGATGAAAGACGAGCCTGTATTCAAGCCACTGCAAGGAAATCCGGCCTCCTTTCAAGTTAGGGCTTCTCGCTGTATATTCCCCTTGAGGCAGCAAACTCGGGGTCCCTCCCACATACCTATTGCTGAGAGAAGCCTCCTCCTGAGGTGCTTCTGGGAAGTTGGCATACGTCTTGAGCCTAAGCCAGGGAATCAGCTCGCATCTCGAGACGATTTGGGGTACACGGAGCATTCCTCGAGTTGCTGTGCTGAAGTTGCTGTTCCTCTAGACTTGGGACAGTGTTCTCGGGGCATCTCTGGAGTTGCCTGAAGGAAGTCGAGCCACCGGTCGTGTTGAATGGGGAACGGGGAATGGCTCTGGAGTCAATGCAGGGGAATCGGGCCTCATCTCGAGTTGATTTGGGGCACATGGAGCTGCTTTGCGTTGCTGGGGTGACCTCAGGGTCCGTCTAGACTGGTGACAGTGTTCTTGGGGACTGTCTCGAGATCCATTAAGCAAGTCGAAGCTCCTGACTTGTTTGAATGGGGTCACGGAATAGCTCTGCATGCACTGCAGGGGAATGGGGCCTCATCTCGCCTCTAGGGGGAAGTCTCATGGTTTTTCTCGAGTTGCGGCGGGGACCTGGGGTATGTTCTCGACTTACGGCGGGGATGGCCCTTCAAAACACGAGTTTCTTCAGTGACGTCAGGACTCCTGTCTAGTAACGAGGGACACCTCAGGAATCTCTTCGAGGCTTGGCAGGGCCAAAGGGACGCTTCTCGAGCTGAGGCAGGGCACCCAAGGACCCTTTCCAGTAGCCACAGGGATTTTGGGATTCCTATCAGTATTCAAGAGGAGTCAGGCATCGTCACCTTTTGAAGCAATGAACTCCGCGTGCCTCTCGAGGTGTCAGCGGGATGTGAGGCATTCCGTCAAAATGAGGCAGGGACCTAGGGCTTTCTCTAAGGTCTCCACAGGGGATTCAGACATCCCTTCATGTTGTGAGATGAAAGACGAGCCTGTATTCAAGCCACTGCAAGGAAATCCGGCCTCCTTTCAAGTTAGGGCTTCTCGCTGTATATTCCCCTTGAGGCAGCAAACTCGGGGTCCCTCCCACATACCTATTGCTGAGAGAAGCCTCCTCCTGAGGTGCTTCTGGGAAGTTGGCATACGTCTTGAGCCTAAGCCAGGGAATCAGCTCGCATCTCGAGACGATTTGGGGTACACGGAGCATTCCTCGAGTTGCTGTGCTGAAGTTGCTGTTCCTCTAGACTTGGGACAGTGTTCTCGGGGCATCTCTGGAGTTGCCTGAAGGAAGTCGAGCCACCGGTCGTGTTGAATGGGGAACGGGGAATGGCTCTGGAGTCAATGCAGGGGAATCGGGCCTTATCTCGAGTTGATTTGGGGCACATGGAGCTGCTTTGCGTTGCTGGGGTGACCTCAGGGTCTGTCTAGACTGGTGACAGTGTTCTTGGGGACTGTCTCGAGATCCATTAAGCAAGTCGAAGCTCCTGACTTGTTTGAATGGGGTCACGGAATAGCTCTGCATGCACTGCAGGGGAATGGGGCCTCATCTCGCCTCTAGGGGGAAGTCTCATGGTTTTTCTCGAGTTGCGGTGGGGACCTGGGGTATGTTCTCGACTTACGGCGGGGATGGCCCTTCAAAACACGAGTTTCTTCAGTGACGTCAGGACTCCTGTCTAGTAACGAGGGACACCTCAGGAATCTCTTCGAGGCTTGGCAGGGCCAAAGGGACGCTTCTCGAGCTGAGGCAGGGCACCCAAGGACCCTTTCCAGTAGCCACAGGGATTTTGGGATTCCTATCAGTATTCAAGAGGAGTCAGGCATCGTCACCTTTTGAAGCAATGAACTCCGCGTGCCTCTCGAGGTGTCAGCGAGATGTGAGGCATTCCGTCAAAATGAGGCAGCGACCTAGGGCTTTCTCTAAGGTCTCCACAGGGGATTCAGACATCCCTTCATGTTGTGAGATGAAAGACGAGCCTGTATTCAAGCCACTGCAAGGAAATCCGGCCTCCTTTCAAGTTAGGGCTTCTCGCTGTATATTCCCCTTGAGGCAGCAAACTCGGGGTCCCTCCCACATACCTATTGCTGAGAGAAGCCTCCTCCTGAGGTGCTTCTGGGAAGTTGGCATACGTCTTGAGCCTAAGCCAGGGAATCAGCTCGCATCTCGAGACGATTTGGGGTACACGGAGCATTCCTCGAGTTGCTGTGCTGAAGTTGGTGTTCCTCTAGACTTGGGACAGTGTTCTCGGGGCATCTCTGGAGTTGCCTGAAGGAAGTCGAGCCACCGGTCGTGTTGAATGGGGAACGGGGAATGGCTCTGGAGTCAATGCAGGGGAATCGGGCCTCATCTCGAGTTGATTTGGGGCACATGGAGCTGCTTTGCGTTGCTGGGGTGACCTCAGGGTCCGTCTAGACTGGTGACAGTGTTCTTGGGGACTGTCTCGAGATCCATTAAGCAAGTCGAAGCTCCTGACTTGTTTGAATGGGGTCACGGAATAGCTGTGCATGCACTGCAGGGGAATGGGGCCTCATCTCGCCTCTAGGGGGAAGTCTCATGGTTTTTCTCGAGTTGCGGCGGGGACCTGGGGTATGTTCTCGACTTACGGCGGGGATGGCCCTTCAAAACACGAGTTTCTTCAGTGACGTCAGGACTCCTGTCTAGTAACGAGGGACACCTCAGGAATCTCTTCGAGGCTTGGCAGGGCCAAAGGGACGCTTCTCGAGGTGAGGCAGGGCACCCAAGGACCCTTTCCAGTAGCCACAGGGATTTTGGGATTCCTATCAGTATTCAAGAGGAGTCAGGCATCGTCACCTTTTGAAGCAATGAACTCCGCGTGCCTCTCGAGGTGTCAGCGGGATGTGAGGCATTCCGTCAAAATGAGGCAGGGACCTAGGGCTTTCTCTAAGGTCTCCACAGGGGATTCAGACATCCCTTCATGTTGTGAGATGAAAGACGAGCCTGTATTCAAGCCACTGCAAGGAAATCCGGCCTCCTTTCAAGTTAGGGCTTCTCGCTGTATATTCCCCTTGAGGCAGCAAACTCGGGGTCCCTCCCACATACCTATTGCTGAGAGAAGCCTCCTCCTGAGGTGCTTCTGGGAAGTTGGCATACGTCTTGAGCCTAAGCCAGGGAATCAGCTCGCATCTCGAGACGATTTGGGGTACACGGAGCATTCCTCGAGTTGCTGTGCTGAAGTTGCTGTTCCTCTAGACTTGGGACAGTGTTCTCGGGGCATCTCTGGAGTTGCCTGAAGGAAGTCGAGCCACCGGTCGTGTTGAATGGGGAACGGGGAATGGCTCTGGAGTCAATGCAGGGGAATCGGGCCTCATCTCGAGTTGATTTGGGGCACATGGAGCTGCTTTGCGTTGCTGGGGTGACCTCAGGGTCCGTCTAGACTGGTGACAGTGTTCTTGGGGACTGTCTCGAGATCCATTAAGCAAGTCGAAGCTCCTGACTTGTTTGAATGGGGTCACGGAATAGCTCTGCATGCACTGCAGGGGAATGGGGCCTCATCTCGCCTCTAGGGGGAAGTCTCATGGTTTTTCTCGAGTTGCGGCGGGGACCTGGGGTATGTTCTCGACTTACGGCGGGGATGGCCCTTCAAAACACGAGTTTCTTCAGTGACGTCAGGACTCCTGTCTAGTAACGAGGGACACCTCAGGAATCTCTTCGAGGCTTGGCAGGGCCAAAGGGACGCTTCTCGAGGTGAGGCAGGGCACCCAAGGACCCTTTCCAGTAGCCACAGGGATTTTGGGATTCCTATCAGTATTCAAGAGGAGTCAGGCATCGTCACCTTTTGAAGCAATGAACTCCGCGTGCCTCTCGAGGTGTCAGCGGGATGTGAGGCATTCCGTCAAAATGAGGCAGGGACCTAGGGCTTTCTCTAAGGTCTCCACAGGGGATTCAGACACCCCTTCATGTTGTGAGATGAAAGACGAGCCTGTATTCAAGCCACTGCAAGGAAATCCGGCCTCCTTTCAAGTTAGGGCTTCTCGCTGTATATTCCCCTTGAGGCAGCAAACTCGGGGTCCCTCCCACATACCTATTGCTGAGAGAAGCCTCCTCCTGAGGTGCTTCTGGGAAGTTGGCATACGTCTTGAGCCTAAGCCAGGGAATCAGCTCGCATCTCGAGACGATTTGGGGTACACGGAGCATTCCTCGAGTTGCTGTGCTGAAGTTGCTGTTCCTCTAGACTTGGGACAGTGTTCTCGGGGCATCTCTGGAGTTGCCTGAAGGAAGTCGAGCCACCGGTCGTGTTGAATGGGGAACGGGGAATGGCTCTGGAGTCAATGCAGGGGAATCGGGCCTCATCTCGAGTTGATTTGGGGCACATGGAGCTGCTTTGCGTTGCTGGGGTGACCTCAGGGTCCGTCTAGACTGGTGACAGTGTTCTTGGGGACTGTCTCGAGATCCATTAAGCAAGTCGAAGCTCCTGACTTGTTTGAATGGGGTCACGGAATAGCTGTGCATGCACTGCAGGGGAATGGGGCCTCATCTCGCCTCTAGGGGGAAGTCTCATGGTTTTTCTCGAGTTGCGGCGGGGACCTGGGGTATGTTCTCGACTTACGGCGGGGATGGCCCTTCAAAACACGAGTTTCTTCAGTGACGTCAGGACTCCTGTCTAGTAATGAGGGACACCTCAGGAATCTCTTCGAGGCTTGGCAGGGCCAAAGGGACGCTTCTCGAGGTGAGGCAGGGCACCCAAGGACCCTTTCCAGTAGCCACAGGGATTTTGGGATTCCTATCAGTATTCAAGAGGAGTCAGGCATCGTCACCTTTTGAAGCAATGAACTCCGCGTGCCTCTCGAGGTGTCAGCGGGATGTGAGGCATTCCGTCAAAATGAGGCAGGGACCTAGGGCTTTCTCTAAGGTCTCCACAGGGGATTCAGACATCCCTTCATGTTGTGAGATGAAAGACGAGCCTGTATTCAAGCCACTGCAAGGAAATCCGGCCTCCTTTCAAGTTAGGGCTTCTCGCTGTATATTCCCCTTGAGGCAGCAAACTCGGGGTCCCTCCCACATACATATTGCTGAGAGAAGCCTCCTCCTGAGGTGCTTCTGGGAAGTTGGCATACGTCTTGAGCCTAAGCCAGGGAATCAGCTCGCATCTCGAGACGATTTGGGGTACACGGAGCATTCCTCGAGTTGCTGTGCTGAAGTTGCTGTTCCTCTAGACTTGGGACAGTGTTCTCGGGGCATCTCTGGAGTTGCCTGAAGGAAGTCGAGCCACCGGTCGTGTTGAATGGGGAACGGGGAATGGCTCTGGGGTCAATGCAGGGGAATCGGGCCTCATCTCGAGTTGATTTGGGGCACATGGAGCTGCTTTGCGTTGCTGGGGTGACCTCAGGGTCCGTCTAGACTGGTGACAGTGTTCTTGGGGACTGTCTCGAGATCCATTAAGCAAGTCGAAGCTCCTGACTTGTTTGAATGGGATCACGGAATAGCTCTGCATGCACTGCAGGGGAATGGGGCCTCATCTCGCCTCTAGGGGGAAGTCTCATGGTTTTTCTCGAGTTGCGGCGGGGACCTGGGGTATGTTCTCGACTTACGGCGGGGATGGCCCTTCAAAACACGAGTTTCTTCAGTGACGTCAGGACTCCTGTCTAGTAACGAGGGACACCTCAGGAATCTCTTCGAGGCTTGGCAGGGCCAAAGGGACGCTTCTCGAGGTGAGGCAGGGCACCCAAGGACCCTTTCCAGTAGCCACAGGGATTTTGGGATTCCTATCAGTATTCAAGAGGAGTCAGGCATCGTCACCTTTTGAAGCAATGAACTCCGCGTGCCTCTCGAGGTGTCAGCGGGATGTGAGGCATTCCGTCAAAATGAGGCAGGGACCTAGGGCTTTCTCTAAGGTCTCCACAGGGGATTCAGACATCCCTTCATGTTGTGAGATGAAAGACGAGCCTGTATTCAAGCCACTGCAAGGAAATCCGGCCTCCTTTCAAGTTAGGGCTTCTCGCTGCATATTCCCCTTGAGGCAGCAAACTCGGGGTCCCTCCCACATACCTATTGCTGAGAGAAGCCTCCTCCTGAGGTGCTTCTGGGAAGTTGGCATACGTCTTGAGCCTAAGCCAGGGAATCAGCTCGCATCTCGAGACGATTTGGGGTACACGGAGCATTCCTCGAGTTGTTGTGCTGAACTTGGTGTTCCTCTAGACTTGGGACAGTGTTCTCGGGGCATCTCTGGAGTTGCCTGAAGGAAGTCGAGCCACCGGTCGTGTTGAATGGGGAACGGGGAATGGCTCTGGAGTCAATGCAGGGGAATCGGGCCTCATCTCGAGTTGATTTGGGGCACATGGAGCTGCTTTGCGTTGCTGGGGTGACCTCAGGGTCCGTCTAGACTGGTGACAGTGTTCTTGGGGACTGTCTCGAGATCCATTAAGCAAGTCGAAGCTCCTGACTTGTTTGAATGGGATCACGGAATAGCTCTGCATGCACTGCAGGGGAATGGGGCCTCATCTCGCCTCTAGGGGGAAGTCTCATGGTTTTTCTCGAGTTGCGGCGGGGACCTGGGGTATGTTCTCGACTTACGGCGGGGATGGCCCTTCAAAACACGAGTTTCTTCAGTGACGTCAGGACTCCTGTCTAGTAACGAGGGACACCTCAGGAATCTCTTCGAGGCTTGGCAGGGCCAAAGGGACGCTTCTCGAGGTGAGGCAGGGCACCCAAGGACCCTTTCCAGTAGCCACAGGGATTTTGGGATTCCTATCAGTATTCAAGAGGAGTCAGGCATCGTCACCTTTTGAAGCAATGAACTCCGCGTGCCTCTCGAGGTGTCAGCGGGATGTGAGGCATTCCGTCAAAATGAGGCAGGGACCTAGGGCTTTCTCTAAGGTCTCCACAGGGGATTCAGACATCCCTTCATGTTGTGAGATGAAAGACGAGCCTGTATTCAAGCCACTGCAAGGAAATCCGGCCTCCTTTCAAGTTAGGGCTTCTCGCTGCATATTCCCCTTGAGGCAGCAAACTCGGGGTCCCTCCCACATACCTATTGCTGAGAGAAGCCTCCTCCTGAGGTGCTTCTGGGAAGTTGGCATACGTCTTGAGCCTAAGCCAGGGAATCAGCTCGCATCTCGAGACGATTTGGGGTACACGGAGCATTCCTCGAGTTGTTGTGCTGAACTTGGTGTTCCTCTAGACTTGGGACAGTGTTCTCGGGGCATCTCTGGAGTTGCCTGAAGGAAGTCGAGCCACCGGTCGTGTTGAATGGGGAACGGGGAATGGCTCTGGAGTCAATGCAGGGGAATCGGGCCTCATCTCGAGTTGATTTGGGGCACATGGAGCTGCTTTGCGTTGCTGGGGTGACCTCAGGGTCCGTCTAGACTGGTGACAGTGTTCTTGGGGACTGTCTCGAGATCCATTAAGCAAGTCGAAGCTCCTGACTTGTTTGAATGGGATCACGGAATAGCTCTGCATGCACTGCAGGGGAATGGGGCCTCATCTCGCCTCTAGGGGGAAGTCTCATGGTTTTTCTCGAGTTGCGGCGGGGACCTGGGGTATGTTCTCGACTTACGGCGGGGATGGCCCTTCAAAACACGAGTTTCTTCAGTGACGTCAGGACTCCTGTCTAGTAACGAGGGACACCTCAGGAATCTCTTCGAGGCTTGGCAGGGCCAAAGGGACGCTTCTCGAGGTGAGGCAGGGCACCCAAGGACCCTTTCCAGTAGCCACAGGGATTTTGGGATTCCTATCAGTATTCAAGAGGAGTCAGGCATCGTCACCTTTTGAAGCAATGAACTCCGCGTGCCTCTCGAGGTGTCAGCGGGATGTGAGGCATTCCGTCAAAATGAGGCAGGGACCTAGGGCTTTCTCTAAGGTCTCCACAGGGGATTCAGACATCCCTTTATGTTGTGAGATGAAAGACGAGCCTGTATTCAAGCCACTGCAAGGAAATCCGGCCTCCTTTCAAGTTAGGGCTTCTCGCTGTATATTCCCCTTGAGGCAGCAAACTCGGGGTCCCTCCCACATACCTATTGTTGAGAGAAGCCTCCTCCTGAGGTGCTTCTGGGAAGTTGGCATACGTCTTGAGCCTAAGCCAGGGAATCAGCTCGCATCTCGAGACGATTTGGGGTACACGGAGCATTCCTCGAGTTGCTGTGCTGAACTTGGTGTTCCTCTAGACTTGGGACAGTGTTCTCGGGGCATCTCTGGAGTTGCCTGAAGGAAGTCGAGCCACCGGTCGTGTTGAATGGGGAACGGGGAATGGCTCTGGAGTCAATGCAGGGGAATCGGGCCTCATCTCGAGTTGATTTGGGGCACATGGAGCTGCTTTGCGTTGCTGGGGTGACCTCAGGGTCCGTCTAGACTGGTGACAGTGTTCTTGGGGACTATCTCGAGATCCATTAAGCAAGTCGAAGCTCCTGACTTGTTTGAATGGGATCACGGAATAGCTCTGCATGCACTGCAGGGGAATGGGGCCTCATCTCGCCTCTAGGGGGAAGTCTCATGGTTTTCCTCGAGTTGCGGCGGGGACCTGGGTATGTTCTCGACTTACGGCGGGGATGGCCCTTCAAAACACGAGTTTCTTCAGTGACGTCAGGACTCCTGTCTAGTAACAAGGGACACCTCAGGAATCTCTTCGAGGCTTGGCAGGGCCAAAGGGACGCTTCTCGAGGTGAGGCAGGGCACCCAAGGACCCTTTCCAGTAGCCACAGGGATTTTGGGATTCCTATCAGTATTCAAGAGGAGTCAGGAATCGTCACCTCTTGAAGCAATGAACTCCGCGTGCCTCTCGAGGTGTCAGCGGGATGTGAGGCATTCCGTCAAAATGAGGCAGGGACCTAGGGCTTTCTCTAAGGTCTCCACAGGGGATTCAGACATCCCTTCATGTTGTGAGATGAAAGACGAGCCTGTATTCAAGCCACTGCAAGGAAATCCGGCCTCCTTTCAAGTTAGGGCTTCTCGCTGTATATTCCCCTTGAGGCAGCAAACTCGGGGTCCCTCCCACATACCTATTGCTGAGAGAAGCCTCCTCCTGAGGTGCTTCTGGGAAGTTGGCATACGTCTTGAGCCTAAGCCAGGGAATCAGCTCGCATCTTGAGACGATTTGCGGTACACGGAGCATTCCTCGAGTTGCTGTGCTGAAGTTGGTGTTCCTCTAGACTTGGGACAGTGTTCTCGGGGCATCTCTGGAGTTGCCTGAAGGAAGTCGAGCCACCGGTCGTGTTGAATGGGGAACGGGGAATGGCTCTGGAGTCAATGCAGGGGAATCGGGCCTCATCTCGAGTTGATTTGGGGCACATGGAGCTGCTTTGCGTTGCTGGGGTGACCTCAGGGTCCGTCTAGACTGGTGACAGTGTTCTTGGGGACTGTCTCGAGATCCATTAAGCAAGTCGAAGCTCCTGACTTGTTTGAATGGGGTCACGGAATAGCTGTGCATGCACTGCAGGGGAATGGGGCCTCATCTCGCCTCTAGGGGGAAGTCTCATGGTTTTTCTCGAGTTGCGGCGGGGACCTGGGGTATGTTCTCGACTTACGGCGGGGATGGCCCTTCAAAACACGAGTTTCTTCAGTGACGTCAGGACTCCTGTCTAGTAACGAGGGACACCTCAGGAATCTCTTCGAGGCTTGGCAGGGCCAAAGGGACGCTTCTCGAGGTGAGGCAGGGCACCCAAGGACCCTTTCCAGTAGCCACAGGGATTTTGGGATTCCTATCAGTATTCAAGAGGAGTCAGGCATCGTCACCTTTTGAAGCAATGAACTCCGCGTGCCTCTCGAGGTGTCAGCGGGATGTGAGGCATTCCGTCAAAATGAGGCAGGGACCTAGGGCTTTCTCTAAGGTCTCCACAGGGGATTCAGACATCCCTTCATGTTGTGAGATGAAAGACGAGCCTGTATTCAAGCCACTGCAAGGAAATCCGGCCTCCTTTCAAGTTAGGGCTTCTCGCTGTATATTCCCCTTGAGGCAGCAAACTCGGGGTCCCTCCCACATACATATTGCTGAGAGAAGCCTCCTCCTGAGGTGCTTCTGGGAAGTTGGCATACGTCTTGAGCCTAAGCCAGGGAATCAGCTCGCATCTCGAGACGATTTGGGGTACACGGAGCATTCCTCGAGTTGCTGTGCTGAAGTTGCTGTTCCTCTAGACTTGGGACAGTGTTCTCGGGGCATCTCTGGAGTTGCCTGAAGGAAGTCGAGCCACCGGTCGTGTTGAATGGGGAACGGGGAATGGCTCTGGGGTCAATGCAGGGGAATCGGGCCTCATCTCGAGTTGATTTGGGGCACATGGAGCTGCTTTGCGTTGCTGGGGTGACCTCAGGGTCCGTCTAGACTGGTGACAGTGTTCTTGGGGACTGTCTCGAGATCCATTAAGCAAGTCGAAGCTCCTGACTTGTTTGAATGGGATCACGGAATAGCTCTGCATGCACTGCAGGGGAATGGGGCCTCATCTCGCCTCTAGGGGGAAGTCTCATGGTTTTTCTCGAGTTGCGGCGGGGACCTGGGGTATGTTCTCGACTTACGGCGGGGATGGCCCTTCAAAACACGAGTTTCTTCAGTGACGTCAGGACTCCTGTCTAGTAACGAGGGACACCTCAGGAATCTCTTCGAGGCTTGGCAGGGCCAAAGGGACGCTTCTCGAGGTGAGGCAGGGCACCCAAGGACCCTTTCCAGTAGCCACAGGGATTTTGGGATTCCTATCAGTATTCAAGAGGAGTCAGGCATCGTCACCTTTTGAAGCAATGAACTCCGCGTGCCTCTCGAGGTGTCAGCGGGATGTGAGGCATTCCGTCAAAATGAGGCAGGGACCTAGGGCTTTCTCTAAGGTCTCCACAGGGGATTCAGACATCCCTTCATGTTGTGAGATGAAAGACGAGCCTGTATTCAAGCCACTGCAAGGAAATCCGGCCTCCTTTCAAGTTAGGGCTTCTCGCTGCATATTCCCCTTGAGGCAGCAAACTCGGGGTCCCTCCCACATACCTATTGCTGAGAGAAGCCTCCTCCTGAGGTGCTTCTGGGAAGTTGGCATACGTCTTGAGCCTAAGCCAGGGAATCAGCTCGCATCTCGAGACGATTTGGGGTACACGGAGCATTCCTCGAGTTGTTGTGCTGAACTTGGTGTTCCTCTAGACTTGGGACAGTGTTCTCGGGGCATCTCTGGAGTTGCCTGAAGGAAGTCGAGCCACCGGTCGTGTTGAATGGGGAACGGGGAATGGCTCTGGAGTCAATGCAGGGGAATCGGGCCTCATCTCGAGTTGATTTGGGGCACATGGAGCTGCTTTGCGTTGCTGGGGTGACCTCAGGGTCCGTCTAGACTGGTGACAGTGTTCTTGGGGACTGTCTCGAGATCCATTAAGCAAGTCGAAGCTCCTGACTTGTTTGAATGGGATCACGGAATAGCTCTGCATGCACTGCAGGGGAATGGGGCCTCATCTCGCCTCTAGGGGGAAGTCTCATGGTTTTTCTCGAGTTGCGGCGGGGACCTGGGGTATGTTCTCGACTTACGGCGGGGATGGCCCTTCAAAACACGAGTTTCTTCAGTGACGTCAGGACTCCTGTCTAGTAACGAGGGACACCTCAGGAATCTCTTCGAGGCTTGGCAGGGCCAAAGGGACGCTTCTCGAGGTGAGGCAGGGCACCCAAGGACCCTTTCCAGTAGCCACAGGGATTTTGGGATTCCTATCAGTATTCAAGAGGAGTCAGGCATCGTCACCTTTTGAAGCAATGAACTCCGCGTGCCTCTCGAGGTGTCAGCGGGATGTGAGGCATTCCGTCAAAATGAGGCAGGGACCTAGGGCTTTCTCTAAGGTCTCCACAGGGGATTCAGACATCCCTTCATGTTGTGAGATGAAAGACGAGCCTGTATTCAAGCCACTGCAAGGAAATCCGGCCTCCTTTCAAGTTAGGGCTTCTCGCTGCATATTCCCCTTGAGGCAGCAAACTCGGGGTCCCTCCCACATACCTATTGCTGAGAGAAGCCTCCTCCTGAGGTGCTTCTGGGAAGTTGGCATACGTCTTGAGCCTAAGCCAGGGAATCAGCTCGCATCTCGAGACGATTTGGGGTACACGGAGCATTCCTCGAGTTGTTGTGCTGAACTTGGTGTTCCTCTAGACTTGGGACAGTGTTCTCGGGGCATCTCTGGAGTTGCCTGAAGGAAGTCGAGCCACCGGTCGTGTTGAATGGGGAACGGGGAATGGCTCTGGAGTCAATGCAGGGGAATCGGGCCTCATCTCGAGTTGATTTGGGGCACATGGAGCTGCTTTGCGTTGCTGGGGTGACCTCAGGGTCCGTCTAGACTGGTGACAGTGTTCTTGGGGACTATCTCGAGATCCATTAAGCAAGTCGAAGCTCCTGACTTGTTTGAATGGGATCACGGAATAGCTCTGCATGCACTGCAGGGGAATGGGGCCTCATCTCGCCTCTAGGGGGAAGTCTCATGGTTTTCCTCGAGTTGCGGCGGGGACCTGGGTATGTTCTCGACTTACGGCGGGGATGGCCCTTCAAAACACGAGTTTCTTCAGTGACGTTAGGACTCCTGTCTAGTAACAAGGGACACCTCAGGAATCTCTTCGAGGCTTGGCAGGGCCAAAGGGACGCTTCTCGAGGTGAGGCAGGGCACCCAAGGACCCTTTCCAGTAGCCACAGGGATTTTGGGATTCCTATCAGTATTCAAGAGGAGTCAGGAATCGTCACCTCTTGAAGCAATGAACTCCGCGTGCCTCTCGAGGTGTCAGCGGGATGTGAGGCATTCCGTCAAAATGAGGCAGGGACCTAGGGCTTTCTCTAAGGTCTCCACAGGGGATTCAGACATCCCTTCATGTTGTGAGATGAAAGACGAGCCTGTATTCAAGCCACTGCAAGGAAATCCGGCCTCCTTTCAAGTTAGGGCTTCTCGCTGTATATTCCCCTTGAGGCAGCAAACTCGGGGTCCCTCCCACATACCTATTGCTGAGAGAAGCCTCCTCCTGAGGTGCTTCTGGGAAGTTGGCATACGTCTTGAGCCTAAGCCAGGGAATCAGCTCGCATCTTGAGACGATTTGCGGTACACGGAGCATTCCTCGAGTTGCTGTGCTGAAGTTGGTGTTCCTCTAGACTTGGGACAGTGTTCTCGGGGCATCTCTGGAGTTGCCTGAAGGAAGTCGAGCCACCGGTCGTGTTGAATGGGGAACGGGGAATGGCTCTGGAGTCAATGCAGGGGAATCGGGCCTCATCTCGAGTTGATTTGGGGCACATGGAGCTGCTTTGCGTTGCTGGGGTGACCTCAGGGTCCGTCTAGACTGGTGACAGTGTTCTTGGGGACTGTCTCGAGATCCATTAAGCAAGTCGAAGCTCCTGACTTGTTTGAATGGGATCACGGAATAGCTCTGCATGCACTGCAGGGGAATGGGGCCTCATCTCGCCTCTAGGGGGAAGTCTCATGGTTTTTCTCGAGTTGCGGCGGGGACCTGGGGTATGTTCTCGACTTACGGCGGGGATGGCCCTTCAAAACACGAGTTTCTTCAGTGACGTCAGGACTCCTGTCTAGTAACGAGGGACACCTCAGGAATCTCTTCGAGGCTTGGCAGGGCCAAAGGGACGCTTCTCGAGGTGAGGCAGGGCACCCAAGGACCCTTTCCAGTAGCCACAGGGATTTTGGGATTCCTATCAGTATTCAAGAGGAGTCAGGCATCGTCACCTTTTGAAGCAATGAACTCCGCGTGCCTCTCGAGGTGTCAGCGGGATGTGAGGCATTCCGTCAAAATGAGGCAGGGACCTAGGGCTTTCTCTAAGGTCTCCACAGGGGATTCAGACATCCCTTCATGTTGTGAGATGAAAGACGAGCCTGTATTCAAGCCACTGCAAGGAAATCCGGCCTCCTTTCAAGTTAGGGCTTCTCGCTGTATATTCCCCTTGAGGCAGCAAACTCGGGGTCCCTCCCACATACCTATTGCTGAGAGAAGCCTCCTCCTGAGGTGCTTCTGGGAAGTTGGCATACGTCTTGAGCCTAAGCCAGGGAATCAGCTCGCCTCTCGAGACGATTTGGGGTACACGGAGCATTCCTCGAGTTGCTGTGCTGAAGTTGGTGTTCCTCTAGACTTGGGACAGTGTTCTCGGGGCATCTCTGGAGTTGCCTGAAGGAAGTCGAGCCACCGGTCGTGTTGAATGGGGAACGGGGAATGGCTCTGGAGTCAATGCAGGGGAATCGGGCCTCATCTCGAGTTGATTTGGGGCACATGGAGCTGCTTTGCGTTGCTGGGGTGACCTCAGGGTCCGTCTAGACTGGTGACAGTGTTCTTGGGGACTGTCTCGAGATCCATTAAGCAAGTCGAAGCTCCTGACTTGTTTGAATGGGGTCACGGAATAGCTCTGCATGCACTGCAGGGGAATGGGGCCTCATCTCGCCTCTAGGGGGAAGTCTCATGGTTTTTCTCGAGTTGCGGCGGGGACCTGGGGTATGTTCTCGACTTACGGCGGGGATGGCCCTTCAAAACACGAGTTTCTTCAGTGACGTCAGGACTCCTGTCTAGTAACGAGGGACACCTCAGGAATCTCTTCGAGGCTTGGCAGGGCCAAAGGGACGCTTCTCGAGGTGAGGCAGGGCACCCAAGGACCCTTTCCAGTAGCCACAGGGATTTTGGGATTCCTATCAGTATTCAAGAGGAGTCAGGCATCGTCACCTTTTGAAGCAATGAACTCCGCGTGCCTCTCGAGGTGTCAGCGGGATGTGAGGCATTCTGTCAAAATGAGGCAGGGACCTAGGGCTTTCTCTAAGGTCTCCACAGGGGATTCAGACATCCCTTCATGTTGTCAGATCAAAGACGAGCCTGTATTCAAGCCACTGCACGGAAATCCGGCCTCCTTTCAAGTTAGGGCTTCTCGCTGTATATTCCCCTTGAGGCAGCAAACTCGGGGTCCCTCCCACATACCTATTGCTGAGAAGCCTCCTCGTGAGGTGCTTCTGGAAAGTTGGCATACGTCTTGAGCCTAAGCCAGGGAATCAGCTCTCATCTCGAGACGATTTGGGGTACACGGAGCATTCCTCGAGTTGCTGTGCTGAAGTTGGTGTTCCTCTAGACTTGGGACAGTGTTCTCGGGGCATCTCTGGAGTTGCCTGAAGGAAGGCGAGCCTCCGTTCGTGTTGAAGGGGGAACGGGAATGGCTCTGGAGTCAATGCAGGGGAATCGGGCCTCATCTCCAGTTGATTTGGGGCACATGGAGCTGCTTTGCGTTGCTGGGGTGACCTCAGGGTCCGTCTAGACTGGTGACAGTGTTCTTGGGGACTGTCTCGAGATCCATTAAGCAAGTCGAAGCTCCTGACTTGTTTGAGTGGGATCACGGAATAGCTCTGCATGCACTGCAGGGGAATGGGGCCTCATCTCGCCTCTAGGGGGAAGTCTCATGGTTTTTCTCGAGTTGCGGCGGGGACCTGGGGTATGTTCTCGACTTACGGCGGGGATGGCCCTTCAAAACACGAGTTTCTTCAGTGACGTCAGGACTCCTGTCTAGTATCGAGGGACACCTCAGCAATCTCTTCGAGGCTTGGCAGGGCAAAAGGGACGCTTCTCGAAGTGAGCCAGGGCACCCAAGGACCCTTTCCAGTAGCCACAGGGATTTTGGGATTCCTATAAGTATTCAAGAGGAGTCAGGCATCGTCAACTTTTCAAGCAATGAACTCTGCGTGCCTCTCGAGGTGTCAGGGGGATGTGAGGTATTCCGTCAAAATGAGGCAGGGACCTAGGGCTTCCTCTAAGGTCTCCACAGGGGATTCAGACATCCCTTCATGTTGTCAGATCAAAGACGAGCCTGTATTCAAGCCACTGCAAGGAAATCTGGCCTCCGTTCACATTAGGGCTTCTCCCTGTGTATTCCCCTTGAGGCAGCAAACTCGGGGTCCCTCCCACATAACTATTGCTGAGAGAAGCCTCCTCCTGAGGTGCTTCTGGAAAGTTGGCATACGTCTTGAGCCTAAGCCAGGGAATCAGCTCTCATCTCGAGATGATTTGGTGTACAAGGAGCATTCCTCGAGTTTCTGTGCTGAAGTTGGTGTTCCTCTAGACTTGGGACAGTGTTCTCGGGGCATCTCTGGAGTTGCCTGAAGGAAGTCGAGCCACCGGTCGTGTTGAATGGGGAACGGGGAATGGCTCTGGAGTCAATGCAGGGGAATCGGGCCTCATCTCGAGTTGATTTGGGGCACATGGAGCTGCTTTGCATTGCTGGGTGACCTCAGGCTCCGTCTAGACTGGTGACAGTGTTCTTGGGGACTGTCTCGAGATCCATTAAGCAAGTCGAAGCTCCTGACTTGTTTGAATGGGATCACGGAATAGCTCTGCATGCACTGCAGGGGAATGGGGCCTCATCTCGCCTCTAGGGGGAAGTCTCACGGTTTTTCTCGAGTTGCGGCGGGGACCTGGGGTATCTTCTCGACTTACGGCGGGGATGGCCCTTCAAAACACGAGTTTCTCCAGTGACGTCAGGACTCCTGCCTAGTAACGAGGAACACCTCAGCAATCTCTTCGAGGCTTGGCAGGGCAAAAGGGACGCTTCTCGAGGAGAGGCAGGGCACCCAAGGACCCTTTCCAGAAGCCACAGGGATTTTGGGATTCCTATCAGTATTCAAGAGGAGTTAGGCATCGTCACCTTTTGAAGCAATGAACTCCGCGTGCCTCTCGAGGTGTCAGCGGGATGTGAGGATTCAATCAAAATGAGGCAGGGACCTAGGGATTTCTCTAAGGTCTCCACAGCGGATTCAGACATCCCTTCATGTTGTGAGATGAAAGACAAGCCTGTATTCAAGCCACTGCAAGGAAATCCGGCCTCCTTTCAGGTTAGGGCTTCTCGCTGTATATTCCCCTTGAGGCAGCAAACTCGGGGTCCCTCCCACATACCTATTGCTGAGAGAAGCCTCCTCCTGAGGTGCTTCTGGAAAGTTGGCATACGTCTTGAGCCTAAGCCCGGGAATCAGCTCTCATCTCGAGACGATTTGGCATACACAGAGCATTCCTCGAGTTGCTGTGCTGAAGTTGGTGGTCCTCTAGGCTTGGGACAGTGTTCTCGGGGCATCTCTGGAGTTGCCTGAAGGAAGTCGAGCCACCGGTCGTGTTGAATGGGGAACGGGGAATGGCTCTGGAGTCAATGCAGGGGAATCCGGCCTCATCTCGAGTTGATTTGGGGCACATGGAGCTGCTTTGCATTGCTGGGTGACCTCAGGGTCCGTCTAGACTGGTGACAGTGTTCTTGGGGACTGTCTCGAGATCCATTAAGCAAGTCGAAGCTCCTGACTTGTTTGAATGGGATCACGGAATAGCTCTGCATGCACTGCAGGGGAATGGGGCCTCATCTCGCCTCTAGGGGGAAGTCTCACGGTTTTTCTCGAGTTGTGGCGGGGACCTGGGGAATGTTCTCGACTTACGGCGGGGATGGCCCTTCAAAACACGAGTTTCTTCAGTGACGTCAGGACTCCTGTCTAGTATCGAGGGACACCTCAGCAATCTCTTCGAGGCTTGGCAGGGCAAAAGGGACGCTTCTCGAAGTGAGCCAGGGCACCCAAGGACCCTTTCCAGTAGCCACAGGGATTTTGGGATTCCTATCAGTATTCAAGAGGAGTCAGGCATCGTCACCTTTTGAAGCAATGAACTCCGCGTGCCTCTCGAGGTGTCAGCGGGATGTGAGGATTCCGTCAAAATGAGGCAGGGACCTAGGGCTTCCTCTAAGGTCTCCACAGGGGATTCAGACATCCCTTCATGTTGTGAGATGAAAGACGAGCCTGTATTCAAGCCACTGCAAGGAAATCCGGCCTCCTTTCAAGTTAGGGCTTCTCGCTGTATATTCCCCTTGAGGCAGCAAACTCGGGGTCCCTCCCACATACCTATTGCTGAGAGAAGCCTCCTCCTGAGGTGCTTCTGGAAATTTGGAATACGTCTTGAGCCTAAGCCAGGGAATCAGCTCTCATCTCGAGACGATTTGGGGTACACGGAGCATTCCTCGAGTTGCTGTGCTAAAGTTGGTGTTCCTCTAGACTTGGGACAGTGTTCTCGGGGCATCTCTGGAGTTGCCTGAAGGAAGTCGAGCCACCGGTCGTGTTGAGTGGGGAACGGGGAATGGCTCTGGAGTCAATGCAGGGAAATCCGGCCTCATCTCGAGTTGATTTGGGGCACATGGAGCTGCTTTGCATTGCTGGGTGACCTCAGGGTCCGTCTAGACTGGTGACAGTGTTCTTGGGGACTGTCTCCAGATCCATTAACCAAGTCGAAGCTCCTGACTTGTTTGAATGGGATCATGGAATAGCTCTGCATGCACTGCAGGGGAATGGGGCCTCATCTCGCCTCTAGGGGGAAGTCTCACGGTTTTTCTCGAGTTGCGGTGGGGACCTGTAGTATGTTCTCGACTTACGGCAGGGATGGCCCTTCAAAACACGAGTTTCTTCAGTGACGTCAGGACTCCTGTCTAGTAACGAGGGACACTTCAGCAATCTCTTCGAGTCTTGGCAGGGCAAAAGGGACGCTTCTCGAGGTGAGCCAGGGCACCCAAGGACCCTTTCCAGTAGCCACAGAGATTTTGGGATTCCTATCAGTATACAAGAGGAGTCAGGCATCGTCACCTTTTGAAGCAATGAACTCTGCGTGCCTCTCGAGGTGTCAGCGGGATGTGAGGATTCCGTCAAAATGAGGCAGGGACCTAGGGCTTCCTCTAAGGTCTCCACAGGGGATTCAGACATCCCTTCAGGTTTTGAGATGAAAGACGAGCCTGTATTCAAGCCACTGCAAGGAAATCCGGCCTCCTTTCAAGTTAGGGCTTCTCCCTGTGTATTCCCCTTGAGGCAGCAAACTCGGGGTCCCTCCCACATACCTATTGCTGAGAGAAGCCTCCTCCTGAGGTGCTTCTGGGAAGTTGGCATACGTCTTGAGCCTAAGCCAGGGAATCAGCTCTCATCTTGAGACGATTTGGGGTACACAAAGCATTCCTCGAGTTGCTGTGCTGAAGTTGGTGGTCCTCTACACTTGGGACAGTGTTCTCGGGGCATCTCTGGAGTTGCCTGAAGGAAGTCGAGCCACCGGTCGTGTTGAATGGGGAACGGGGAATGGCTCTGGAGTCAATGCAGGGGAATACGGCCTCATCTCGAGTTGATTTGGGGCACATGGAGCTGCTTTGCATTGCTGGGTGACCTCAGGGTCCGTCTAGACTGGTGACAGTGTTCTTGGGGACTGTCTCGAGATCCATTAAGCAAGTCGAAGCTCCTGACTTGTTTGAATGGGATCACGGAATAGTTCTGCATGCACTGCAGGGGAATGGGGCATCATCTCGCCTCTAGGGGGAAGTCTCATGGTTTTTCTCGAGTTGCGGCGGGGACCTGGGGTATGTTCTCGACTTACGGCGGGGATGGCCCTTCAAAACACGAGTTTCTTCAGTGACGTCAGGACTCCTGGCTAGTAATGAGGGACACTTCAGCAATCTCTTCGAGGCTTGGCAGGGCAAAAGGGACGCTTCTCGAGGTGAGGCAGGGCACCCAAGGACCCTTTCCAGTAGCCACAGGGATTTTGGGATTCCTATCAGTATTCAAGAGGAGTCAGGCTTCGTCACCTTTTGAAGCAATGAAATCCGCGAGCCTCTCGAGGTGTCAGCGGGATGTGAGGCATTCCGTCAAAATGAGGCAGGGACCTAGGGCTTTCTCTAAGGTCTCCACAGGGGATTCAGACATCCCTTCATGTTGTCAGATCAAACACGAGCCAGTATTCAAGCCACTGCAAGGAAATCTGGCCTCTTTCAAGTTAGGGCTTCTCGCTGTATATTCCCCTTGAGGCAGCAAACTCGGGGTCCCTCCCACATACCTATTGCTGAGAGAAGCCTCCTCCTGAGGTGCTTCTGGAAAGTTGGCATACGTCTTGAGCCTAAGCCAGGGAATCAGCTCTCATCTCGAGATGATTTGGGGTACACGGAGCATTCCTCGAGTTGCTGTGCTGAAGTTGTTGTTCCTCTAGACTTGGGACAGTGTTCTCGGGGCATCTCTGGAGTTGCCTGAAGGAAGTCGAGCCACCGGTCGTGTTGAATGGGGAACGGGGAATGGCTCTGGAGTCAATGCAGGGGAATCGGGGCTCATCTCGAGTTGATTTGGGGCACATGGAGCAGCTTTGCGTTGCTGGAGTGACCTCAGGGTCCGTCTAGACTGGTGACAGTGTCCTTGGGGACTGTCTCGAGATCCATTAAGCAAGTCGAAGCTCCTGACTTGTTTGAATGGGATCACGGAATAGCTCTGCATGCACTGCAGGGGAATGGGGCCTCATCTCGCCTCTAGGGGGAAATCTCATGATTTTTCTCGAGTTGCGGCGGGGACCTGGGGTATGTTCTCGACTTACGGCGGGGATGGCCCTTCAAAACACGAGTTTCTTCACTGACGTCAGGACTCCTGCCTAGTAACGAGGGACACCTCAGGAATCTCTTCGAGGCTTGGCAGGGCAAAAGGGACACTTCTCGAGGTGAGGCAGGGCACCCAAGGACCCTTTCCAGTAGCCACAGGGATTTTGGGATTCCTATCACTATTCAAGAGCAGTCAGGCATCGTCACCTTTTGAAGCAATGAACTCCGAGTGCCTCTCGATGTGTCAGCGGGATGTGAGGCATTCCGTCAAAATGACGCAGGGACATAGGGCTTTCTCTAAGGTCTCCACAGGGGATTCAGACATCCCTTCAAGTTGTGAGATGAAAGACGAGCCTAGTATTCAAGCCACTGCAAAGAAATCCGGCTTCCTTTCAAGTTAGGGCTTCTCCCTGTGTATTCCCCTTGAGGCAGCAAACTCGGGGTCCCTCCCACATACCTATTGCTGAGAGAAGCCTCCTCCTGAGGTGCTTCTGGAAAGTTGGCATACGTCTTGAGCCTAAGCCAGGGAATCAGCTCTCATCTCGAGACGATTTGGGGTACACGGAGCATTCCTCGAGTTGCTGTGCTGAAGTTGGTGTTCCTCTAGACTTGGGACAGTGTTATCGGGGCATCTCTGGAGTTGCCTGAAGGAAGTCGAGCCACCGGTCGTGTTGAATGGGGAAAGAGGAATTGCTCTGGAGTCAATGCAGGGGAATCGGGCCTCATCTCCAGTTGATGTGGGGCACATGGAACTGCTTTGCGTTGCTGGGATGACCTCAGGGTCCGTCTAGACTGGTGACAGTGTTCTTGGGGACTGTCTCGAGATCCATTAACCAAGTCGAAGCTCCTGACTTGTTTGAATGGGATCACGGAATAGCTCTGCATGCACTGCAGGGGAATGGGGCCTCATCTCGCCTCTAGAGGGAAGTCTCATGGTGTTTCTCGAGTTGCGGCGGGGACCTGAGGTATGTTCTCGACTTACAAAGGTCAGGGCCCTTCAAAACACGAGTTTCTTCAGTGACGCCAGGACTCCTGTCTAGTAACGAGGGACAACTCAGGAATCACTTCGAGGCTTGGCAGGGCAAAAGGGACGCTTCTCGAGGTGAGGCAGGGCACCCAAGGTCCCTTTCCAGTAGTCACAGGGATTTTGGGATTCCTATCAGTATTCAAGAGGAGTCAGGTATCCTCACCTTTTGAAGCAATGAACTCCGCATGCAAGCACTCTCGCCGGGTATTCCCGCAAGGCTCGCAATCTGGTCTCAAAGCCGGGAGAAAAGCGCTTTGGGGTGGGCCTCTCTCAGGGCCCATGGCCCTGAGCCTGGGGACCAGCTAGGGGGTCCACACTCCCAGGCCAAGGCAGAACCACATGCACACGTCTGTTCCTGCCCCCTGCACCTTCAGACAGCTCGGCTGATCCGCAGTCTCTCAGGCAGTTTCCTGGCAGCCCCGGCAGCACTGCCTGTGTGGGAAGGGGGAGAGCTGACCTAGGTGCACTGTGGGCCTCCTGATCTCCCTGCTGCCCTGAGGCTGCTGGGCCAAAGAGGGCTTGGCTACCTACCCCCTTTCTCCCCTCTTCCCTCTGCCAGAAGGCTCTGCCCCCGGGGCTGTTGCAGTGTGGAGACAGCCCCTGCCAGCACCTCCACTCCCAGTAGGCCTCAGCAGAGGCCTAGGCCCAGGGAACGGCCCAGGCAGGGCTGCGTTGAGGGAGGCGCAAGGGCATGTCTGGACACACTCCCCACAGCCTGTTCCTTCATGGGGCAGTTACACTGGAGGCCAGGAAGGCCTGGGCAGGGCTGGCCAAGAGCAGGGGCATTGCTGGGTTCTGCCTCTGGCCTGTGGGGCCTCTGAGCAGGACCTGCCCTCTCCCTCTGGAAGTCCTCCCCGCCTGCGTGCAAATCCCCGATTGCAAGCACTCTGGCCGGGTGTTCCCGCAAGGCTCGCACTCTGGTCTCAAAGCCGGGAGAAAAGCGCTTTGGGGTGGGCCTCTCTCAGGGCCCATGGCCCTGAGCCTGGGGACCAGCTAGGGGGTCCACACACCCAGGCCAGGGCAGAACCACATGAACACGTCTGTTCCTGCCCCCTGCCCCTTCAGAGAGCTCGGCTGAGCCGCAGGCTCTCAGGCAGTTCCCTGGCAGCCCCGGCAGCACTGCCTGTGTGGGAAGGGGGAGAGCCGACCTAGGGGCACTGTGGGCCTCTTGCTCTCCCTGCTGCCCTGAGGCTGCTGGGACAAAGAGGGCTTGGCTACCTACCCCCTTTCTCCCCTCTTCCCTCTGCCAGAAGGCTCTGCCCCCGGGGCTGTTGCAGTGTGGAGACAGCCCCTGCCAGCACCTCCACTCCCAGTAGGCCTCAGCAGAGGCCTAGGCCCAGGGAACGGCCCAGGCAGGGCTGCGTTGAGGGAGGCGCAAGGGCATGTCTGGACACACTCCCCACAGCCTGTTCCTTCATGCGGCAGTTACACTGGAGGCCAGGAAGGCCTGGGCAGGGCTTGCCAAGAGCAGGGGCATTGCTGGGTTCTGCCTCTGGCCTGTGGGGCCTCTGAGCAGGACCTGCCCTCTCCCTCTGGAAGACCTCCCCGCCTGCGTGCAAATCCCCGTTTGCAAGCACTCTGGCCAGGTGTTCCCGCAAGGCTCGCACTCTGGTCTCAAAGCCGGGAGAAAAGCGCTTTGGGGTGGGCCTCTCTCAGGGCCCATGGCCCTGAGCCTGGGGACCAGCTACGGGGTCCACACACCCAGGCCAGGGCAGAACCACATGCACACGTCTGTTCCTGCCCCCTGCCCCTTCAGAGAGCTCGGCTGAGCCGCAGTCTCTCATTCAGTTCCCTGGCAGCCCCGGCAGCACTGCCTGTGTGGGAAGGGGGAGAGCCGACCTAGGGGCACTGTGGGCCTCTTGCTCTCCCTGCTGCCCTGAGGCTGCTGGGCCAAAGAGGGCTTGGCTACCTACCCCCTTTCTCCCCTCTTCCCTCTGCCAGAAGGCTCTGCCCCCGGGGCTGTTGCAGTGTGGAGACAGCCCCTGCCAGCACCTCCACTCCCAGTAGGCCTCAGCAGAGGCCTAGGCCCAGGGAACGGCCCAGGCAGGGCTGCGTTGAGGGAGGCGAAAGGGCATGTCTGGACACACTCCCCACAGCCTGTTCCTTCATGGGGCAGTTACACTGGAGGCCAGGAAGGCCTGGGCAGGGCTGGCCAAGAGCAGGGGCATTGCTGGGTTCTGCCTCTGGCCTGTGGGACCTCTGAGCAGGACCTGCCCTCTCCCTCTGGAAGTCCTCCCCGCCTGCGTGCAAATCCCCATTTGCAAGCACTCTGGCCGGGTGTTCCCGCAAGGCTCGCACTCTGGTCTCAAAGCCGGGAGAAAAGCGCTTTGGGGTGGGCCTCTCTCAAGGCCCATGGCCCTGGGCCTGGGGACCAGCTAGGGGGTCCACACTCCCAGGCCAGGGCAGAACCACATGCACACGTCTGTTCCTGCCCCCTGCCCCTTCAGAGAGCTCGGCTGAGCCGCAGTCTCTCAGGCAGTTCCCTGGCGGCCCCGGCAGCACTGCCTGTGTGGGAAGGGGGAGAGCCGACCTAGGGGCACTGTGGGCCTCTTGCTCTCCCTGCTGCCCTGAGGCTGCTGGGCCAAAGAGGGCTTGGCTACCTACCCCCTTTCTCCCCTCTTCCCTCTGCCAGAAGGCTCTGCCCCCGGGGCTTTTGCAGTGTGGAGACAGCCCCTGCCAGCACCTCCACTCCCAGTAGGCCTCAGCAGAGGCCTAGGCCCAGGGAACGGCCCAGGCAGGGCTGCGTTGAGGGAGGCGCAAGGGCATGTCTGGACACACTCCCCACAGCCTGTTCCTTCATGGGGCAGTTACACTGGAGGCCAGGAAGGCCTGGGCAGGGCTGGCCAAGAGCAGGGGCATTGCTGGGTTCTGCCTCTGGCCTGTGGGACCTCTGAGCAGGACCTGCCCTCTCCCTCTGGAAGACCTCCCCGCCTGCGTGCAAATCCCCGTTTGCAAGCACTCTGGCCGGGTGTTCCCGCAAGGCTCGCACTCTGGTCTCAAAGCCGGGAGAAAAGCGCTTTGGGGTGGGCCTCTCTCAGGGCCCATGGCCCTGAGCCTGGGGACCAGCTAGGGGGTCCACACCCCCAGGCCAGGGCAGAACCACATGCACACGTCTGTTCCTGCCCCCTGCCCCTTCAGAGAGCTCGGCTGAGCCGCAGTCTCTCAGGCAGTTCCCTGGCAGCCCCGGCAGCACTGCCTGTGTGGGAAGGGGGAGAGCCGACCTAGGGGCACTGTGGGCCTCTTGCTCTCCCTGCTGCCCTGAGGCTGCTGGGCCAAAGAGGGCTTGGCTACCTACTCCCTTTCTCCCCTCTTCCCTCTGCCAGAAGGCTCTGCCCCCGGGGCTGTTGCAGTGTGGAGACAGCCCCTGCCAGCACCTCCACTCCCAGTAGGCCTCAGCAGAGGCCTAGGCCCAGGGAACGGCCCAGGCAGGGCTGCGTTGAGGGAGGCGCAAGGGCATGTCTGGACACACTCCCCACAGCCTGTTCCTTCATGGGGCAGTTACACTGGAGGCCAGGAAGGCCTGGGTAGGGCTGGCCAAGAGCAGGGGCATTGCTGGGTTCTGCCTCTGGCCTGTGGGACCTCTGAGCAGGACCTGCCCTCTCCCTCTGGAAGACCTCCCCGCCTGCGTGCAAATCCCCGTTTTCAAGCACTCTGGCCGGGTGTTCCCGCAAGGCTCGCACTCTGGTCTCAAAGCCGGGAGAAAAGCGCTTTGGGGTGGGCCTCTCTCAGGGCCCATGGCCCTGACCCTGGGCACCAGCTAGGGGGTCCACACTCCCAGGCCAAGGCAGAACCACATGCACACGTCTGTTCCTGCCCCCTGCCCCTTCAGAGAGCTCGGCTGAGCCGCAGTCTCTCAGGCAGTTCCCTGGCAGCCCCGGCAGCACTGCCTGTGTGGGAAGGGGGAGAGCCGACCTAGGGGCACTGTGGGCCTCTTGCTCTCCCTGCTGCCCTGAGGCTGCTGGGCCAAAGAGGGCTTGGCTACCTACCCCCTTTCTCCCCCATTCCCTCTGCCAGAAGGCTCTGCCCCCGGGGCTGTTGCAGTGTGGAGACAGCCCCTGCCAGCACCTCCACTCCCAGTAGGCCTCAGCAGAGGCCTAGGCCCAGGGAACGGCCCAGGCAGGGCTGTGTTGAGGGAGGCCCAAGGGCATGTCTGGACACACTCCCCACAGCCTGTTCCTTCATGGGGCAGTTACCCTGGAGGCCAGGAAGGCCTGGGCAGGGCTGGCCAAGAGCAGGGGCATTGCTGGGTTCTGCCTCTGGCCTGTGGGGCCTCTGAGCAGGACCTGCCCTCTCCCTCTGGAAGACCTCCCCGCCTGCGTGCAAATCCCCGTTTGCAAGCACTCTGGCCGGGTGTTCCCGCAAGGCTCGCACTCTGGTCTCAAAGCCGGGAGAAAAGCGCTTTGGGGTGGGCCTCTCTCAGGGCCCATGGCCCTGAGCCTGGGGACCAGCTAGGGGGTCCACACTCCCAGGCCAGGGCAGAACCACATGCA